GGTCCAAGTGAGCGTCTTATTCCCATTTCAGATCTTCCAGATTGGGCACGTGCCGGTTTTAGGAACTCCCAAAAGCTCAACCGCATCCAAACAAAATGTTTCCCGACGGCCTTCAACGATGATGGTAACATGCTCGTGTGTGCTCCAACAGGCTCTGGTAAAACCAATGTGGCCATGCTTACAATACTACGTGAAATTGGGAAAAATCGGAACCACGAGACTGGCGAAATCATGTTGGATGACTTCAAAATTGTCTACATCGCACCATTGAAAGCGCTTGTCCAGGAGCAAGTTGGAAATTTCAGCGAGAGGTTGAAGCCTTACGGTATTCGCGTCTCGGAGCTCACGGGTGACCGGCAACTCACCAAACAGCAAATAGCCGATACGCAGATTATTGTCACCACTCCTGAGAAATGGGATGTTATCACGAGAAAAGCTACTGACACTAGCTATACACGCCTTGTACGGCTTATAATCATAGATGAAATCCACTTACTCCATGACGACCGAGGGCCTGTCTTGGAAAGTATAGTGAGCAGGACGATTCGTAAAATTGAACAAACGGGCGACCCAGTACGGCTCATTGGACTTAGCGCCACACTGCCTAATTACCGTGACGTGGGCAGCTTCCTGCGCGTTGATCCGATCAATGCCCTTTTCCACTTCGATGGTTCATACCGACCATGTCCGCTGAAGCAAGAGTTTATTGGTGTGACTGACAAAAAGGCTATAAAACAACTGAAAACCATGAACGATGTTTGCTATACCAAAGTTCTTGAGCAAGTTGGTACAAATAAAAACCAGATGCTAATTTTCGTTCACTCGAGAAAAGAAACGGCAAAGACAGCCAGGTACATTCGAGACAAAGCTGTTGAGATGGAAACCATTGGCCAAATTTTGAGAAGTGACGCAGCCAGTCGGGCCATCCTGGCGGAAGAAGCAGATGCGGTCAACGACCCCGCGTTGAAGGACCTCATGCCCTATGGCTTTGGTATACATCATGCTGGGATGAGTTTGGCCGATCGAACGTCCGTTCAAGAGCTCTTCGCCGACGGTAGTTTGCAAGTTCTTGTCTGTACTGCCACCCTTGCGTGGGGTGTCAATCTTCCAGCCCACACAGTCATTATCAAGGGAACACAGGTGTACTCGCCGGAGAAAGGTAGCTGGGTTGAGTTGAGTCCTCAAGATGTGCTGCAGATGCTTGGCCGTGCGGGTCGGCCGCAATATGATACGTTTGGAGAGGGAATCATCATTACATCTCAGACCGAAATGCAATATTACCTATCCTTGCTTAATCAGCAACTTCCTATTGAAAGTCAATTGATGAGCAAGCTCGCAGATAATCTAAATGCAGAAATTGTGCTCGGAAATGTACGCAATCGCGATGAGGGAGTTGATTGGCTTGGCTACACCTACTTATTTGTCCGAATGCTTCGATCCCCTGGTCTTTACAGTGTTGGCACTGATTATGAAAATGATGAAGCCCTTGAACAGCGACGAGTGGATCTCATCCATTCTGCGGCAACCGTTCTTGAAAAGGCTAACCTTGTCAAGTACGATAAAAAGTTGGGAAGACTCCAATCCACTGAACTTGGTCGTATCGCTTCACATTATTACATCACGCATAGTTCCATGAGTACATACAACTACCACCTTCAACCCATGGTGTCTACAATCGAGCTTTTCCGTATATTCGCTCTCAGCGATGAGTTCAAATATATTCCAGTTCGACAGGACGAAAAGTTGGAACTAGCGAAGTTACTTGGTCGTGTCCCAATCCCAGTGAAAGAAAGCATTGAGGAACCTCACGCAAAGATCAATGTCCTCTTGCAAGCCTATATATCTCGCTTGAAACTGGAGGGGTTAGCGTTAATGGCTGATATGGTATATGTTACCCAGTCTGCGGGCCGTATCCTTCGAGCAATTTTCGAAATTGCGCTAAGGAGAGGTTGGGCCTCCGTGGCTAAAACTGCCCTCAACCTTTGCAAAATGGCAGAAAAGCGAATGTGGCCTACTATGTCCCCACTCCGTCAGTTTCCGTCGTGCCCCCGCGATATTGTACAAAAATCGGAAAGGATTGACGTCCCCTGGCCAACATATTTCGACCTGGATCCCCCCCGGATGGGTGAGTTACTAGGAATCCCCAAGGCAGGTAGAGTAGTTTGCGGCCTGGTCGAGAAATTTCCGCGCCTAGAGGTCCAGGCACAGGTTCAGCCAATGACCCGGTCAATGCTGCGCGTGGAACTCACAATAACACCTAATTTCACCTGGGACGACGATCTTCATGGTGTCGCAGAAAGTTTCTGGATTATCGTGGAGGATTGTGATGGCGAAGATATCCTTTTCCATGACCAATTTATCCTTCGCAAAGAGTTTGCGGTTTCAGAAATGAATGAGCATTTAGTTGAGTTCACTGTGCCGATAACGGAACCGATGCCGCCAAATTATTTCATCTCGCTCGTCTCGGATCGATGGATGCATTCGGAGACAAAAATACCTGTTTCGTTTCAGAAACTTATTTTACCAGAGCGTTTCCCTGCTCATACGCCACTGTTAGATATGCAGCGGGTACCAGTCAAAGCCCTCAAACGACCAGAGTATCAAAGTCTCTATCCTCACTGGGACCATTTTAACAAGGTCCAAACACAGACCTTCAAGTCGCTGTTCGATACAGATGATAATGTTTTCCTAGGAGCCCCGACTGGGAGTGGAAAAACAGTCTGTGCAGAGTTTGCTCTTCTTCACCACTGGTCGAAATCCACACCTGGCAAAGCAGTTTATATTGCTCCTTTCCAAGAATTGGTTGACCACCGTGTTACTGATTGGCAAACCCGGTTAAGCAATCTCAATGGTGGCAAGAACATTTTGAAACTTACAGGGGAAACCACTGCCGATTTGAAAATTCTTGAGCAAGCCGATCTAGTACTTGGTACTCCCATTCAGTGGGATGTCCTATCACGGCAGTGGCAGCGTCGTAGGAACGTACAAGCCGTTGAACTCTTTATTGCCGATGAACTTCACATGCTTGGCGGTCAGGGTGGCTACATCTACGAAGTTGTTGTTTCACGGATGCATTATATTGCCCTTCAAACTGAAAAGGAACTCCGGATGATTGGACTGAGTGTCCCTCTGTCCAATGCTCGCGACATTGGGGAATGGTTGGGAGCCAAGAAGCATACCATTTACAACTTTAGCCCCCACGTGCGTCCTGTTCCACTAGAACTGCACATTCAGTCCTACTCAATCCCCCATTTTCCGTCTCTCATGCTTGCGATGGCGAAACCTGCCTTTACGTCGATACTACAACTATCTCCTGATAAACCAGCGCTAGTGTTTGTACCTACGCGAAAACAAACTCGCTCAACTGCTCTTGATTTGTTGGCTGCTTGCATTGCTGCAGATGATGAGGACAGGTTCCTACATGCCGATATTGGAGAGATTTCGCCCTTGCTAAAACGGATCGACGAACAAGCGCTGGCAGAATCTATTTCCCACGGAATTGGCTATTACCATGAAGCCCTCAGCAACAGTGACAAACGGATTGTCACGCATCTCTTCAAACTTGGTGCGATACAAGTAATGCTAGCGTCTCGAGATGTTTGTTGGGAGATCAATTTCAACGCACATCTTGTTATTGTCATGAACACCCAATTCTTTGATGGCCGAGAGCATCGATATATCGACTATCCTATCAGTGAAATACTTCAAATGTTCGGAAAAGCTTCTCGCCCTCTTGAAGACAGCAGTGGAAAAGGTGTGCTTATGGTTCCAGCCGTCAAGCGGGACTACTACAAGAAATTCCTCAATGAAGCACTACCAATAGAAAGTCACTTGCAAATATATCTTCACGATGCGTTTGTCGCCGAGATCAGCACTCGAACCATTGCATCTACTCAAGATGCTGTTGATTGGATGACATACACGTATTTCTATCGCCGTCTTCTTGCAAATCCTAGTTACTACGGCCTAACTGATGTGAGCCATGAAGGTCTGAGTACGTTCCTCTCAGAATTGGTTGAAAGCACCCTTAAGGAGCTCTCTGAAGCCAAGATCATCGACCTAGATGATGAAGACGACACTCTTTCGCCACTGAATGCGGCCATGATTGCTGCATACTACAACATTTCGTTCATCACCATGCAGACGTTCTTGCTTTCTCTATCAGCCAGAACCAAACTGAAGGGCATTCTTGAAATCGTCACCTCCGCAACGGAGTTTGAAACGATCCAGGTTCGACGCCATGAAGAACATATTCTCCGTCGCGTATACGACAGGGTACCAGTCAAGATGTCGCAACCAGTCTATGACTCGCCACACTTCAAAGCATTCGTCCTTTTGCAGGCACATTTCTCGCGTATGCAGCTTCCGATTGATCTGGGCAAAGATCAAGAAATGATCGTGGGAAAAGTTTTAAACCTCCTGAGTGCTTGTGTAGATGTCTTGTCTTCCGAGGGCCACTTGAATGCCATGAATGCAATGGAAATGTCGCAAATGGTTGTTCAGGCTATGTGGGACCGAGATAGTCCGTTGAAACAAATTCCTCATTTTGGCCCAGACGCGATCAAAGTGGCCAATGAGTTCCAGTATGTTCCTCCCTTCAGTGGTCATAAGTCTAGTCGCAGTTTTCTAACCATGCTTTTCACCTGTAGAATCAAGGACATCTTCGAGTTCATGGAAGCTATGGACCCGTCGGAGAACAAGGACTACGCATCCCTCGTAAAGCGTTTGGGTCTTGACAATAAGCAGCTAGCACAGGCAGCAGAATTTACTAATAACAAGTACCCCAACATGGATCTCGATTTCACTGTTCTGGACGAAGAAAACATTACGGCCGGCGAACCGGCTTATATCGATATCAAGATTGAGCGGGACGTTGAGGACGACGAGGAAGTGGATACTACTGTATCTGCTCCGTTCTACCCGGGCCAGAAGATGGAGAACTGGTGGCTTGTTGTTGGGGAAGAAAAGACAAACAGCCTCCTTGCCACTAAACGCATTACGATTAGAAAAAAATTGCAACTCAAACTAGAATACATTGTTCCGACGCCTGGTGAGCACGAGCTAACGCTATTTCTGATGAGCGATAGCTATGTCGGTGTTGACCAAGACCCTTCGTTCAAGATTACGGCTGCGGAGGGAATGGATGAGGATGAGGAGGAGGAAGAGGACAACGAGGAGTAAGCAATATCCGAGAGTGCCTCATTTAAGGCTTATTAAGGCCATGATAGTTTTGGTTTCCATTTTCCCTGTTACTGTGTTGTTTTCAACTGTACCATGTGTGTGTAATGTATGGGTTTGTCTATTCAACGGCTCTTTCCTCGATTTCATTTTCTAAAAAAGAATTAAATTTGTTTGGATCAATTGAAGATTCCTGAAGCTACAAACTATTATTGGGTTACGATAAGAAACAATCTGGACCGTTCCTAATAAAGCGATTCTTTGAGCTATGCGGGGTACAAAAAACTAAAGTCTAGGTTCAACCATATGTCGTCACTGGCTTGAGAGATCTGCCCATCCGCAAAGCCGCTATCCGAGCAATTCAGCGGGACAACTCACCTGCAAGATTGCTGGCTCCATCAGCTTCAAGTTCAGTGTCCATTGAAATTAATAAATAGAGAGCCCGACCCCGATCTTGACAGAGTTCTCCTTTCTCCCCCTTCAATAACAAAACACCTAGCTGTAACAGTCCTACAGACGTCGTAAACAATCATGACCATTCGTTCACTGAAGTTTACGCCAGAGTAATTATTACCCCGAGACCCATACATATCCATGTAGTATACAAAAACAATGGCGTTATCTCCATGAACGTATGTATCCTGTAACTGACGTTGAGCGTACTTGCAGGGTAATGCTGAGCGCTCCTCGACGCTCCGCTGCCATCCCAAATTCATTAGGCACATTGCTTGCCTACACGCAGACATCATATTCGTTTGAGACCCACGCAACAACCTCAGAACTCCGAGTCCTCGATGTTGCAACTGGGAGCTCCGTTCTCTTAACGGATTCCTATCACGGTTCTCCGCAATGGCTTGGTGACGGGGACAAGCTTGTCTGGCTAAGGGAAGGAGACAATGGAAGCACTAGTTTCATCGTCGGGTGTGGCCAACGCAAAGAAGACCCCTATGTCGCAGGGACGGTGTCTGCACCCGTGTCGAATCTGAAGCTCACTACTCTTTCGCCTGGACTCGTGGGTGTTGCGGTTTCCGGGAAGGCCAATCTAGATGGGTCGTTGTATAATCCATCCACCGCGAAAAAGCCCCTTAGCTCAGGCAAATTGTATACGTCGCTGTTCGTCAGACATTGGGACGAGTATACTATACCCCAGAAAAATACTATTTGGTTTGGGACACTACAGAAGACTTCGTCGTCGGAAGCCAAACAGCCCACATACAAATTGTCAGAGTTAAAAAATCTCTTCAAGTCTACCGGTTGTCTCAACCTTGAGTCGCCTATTCCACCTTTTGGCGGAACAAATAATTTCGATATTTGCCCGCGAGGTATTGTGTTTGTAGCCAAAGATCCGACTTTAGATCAGGCTACGCATACCAAATGTGTCACATACATTTGCAAGATCGATGCCCAGTCCTGGACACAAGCAGTACCAGTAGCTATACCTGTCAAGGCACTATCGCTTAATCTCGTGAATGGAGCGATAACCTCTCCGGTTCTGTCCCCGGTAGCCAATACACTCGCAATTCTAGCTATGAAAGAGGATGGATATGAATCGGATCTAAACAGGATCATTTTTGTCCCCAATGTATTTGACTGGAAGGCTGGACCACTTGAATCTGTCGAGATCTTTGCAAGTACAGGTGGTGCATGGGATCTGAGCCCAAGCTCACTCACATGGGGTGAGACGGATTCCGACCTATTTCTGCAAGCCGAAGACACCGGCTGCGGCGCCTTGTTCAGACTTCCATTGTCCGACTACACCAAAGCCTCTACCAAACAGCTTTCGAAACTGGTCTGTTCCGGATACGTAACGCATGTCGCACCAGCGTCCAACAAGCTGTTTTTAACCAGCACAAGCTTCGTGGAGAACAGTGAATTCTCCGTATTAGACTTGTCGAAACCCGACCAAGAACCCAGAGTTATCTGCTCAAGCTCACGGAACGGCACGTCGCTCGGCCTATCGGCAAATCAAGTCACCGACATTTGGTGGAAAGGAGCAGACGAACATCCCATTCACGCATGGGTGATCAAGCCATCAAACTTCGAGCCGAAGAAGAAATATCCTCTCTGTTACCTCATCCACGGCGGACCCCAGGGTGCATGGAACAACCAATGGAACACGCGCTGGAACCCTGCAGTCTTCGCAGAGCAAGGTTACGTTGTTGTCGCACCCAACCCCACAGGCAGCACCGGGTACGGCCAGGCATTTACAGATGCCATCCAGAACCAGTGGGGCGGTAAACCCTACGAAGACATCGTACGCGGCTTCGACTACATCGAAAAGGAGCTCGACTTCGTCGACACTACCCGTGCCGTTGCCTTGGGTGCCTCCTACGGCGGTTTCATGGTGAATTGGATCCAAGGCCACGAGCTAGGCCGCCGTTTCAAAGCCCTAGTCACGCATGACGGGATCTTCAGCACGAAATTCTCCCTCGCAGCGGAAGAGCTCTACTTCCCCATCCGCGATCTAAAGGGCGTATACTGGCAAGCGTCTGAGAACTGGGATCGCTGGGACCCTTCGCTGTTCCTCCACAAGTGGCAAACTCCGCACCTGATTATTCATAACGAGCTGGATTACCGCCTCACGATCGCGGAGGGGTTGGCTGCATTTAACGTGTTGCAGATGCGAGGCGTGCCTAGTGCGTTTTTGATGTTTCCTGATGAGAACCATTGGGTAGTCAAGCCGGAGAATTCACTTGTCTGGCATCGGACGGTTCTTAACTGGATTAACAAACATGTTGGGTTGCCGCTGTTGTTAGATAAGGATGGGTCCGATGGATTTGAGGAGAAGATTGTGGGTGATATAACGAAGTTGGCGGTGACCGAGTAGCTTTCATATGGAGAGATTAGTTCAATGAGGAAGGAATGTGTTGTTGCACTCGCGTTTTTTCTTTCTCTTTTTCTTTTTCTTTTGCGTTTTTACAAGGAGATTAACAAACAAAAATAAATAAACCAAGGAGGCTTTTGAAAAAGAAAAGGGGCTGGGGAACTTCACACATCCGCTAGTACGCATCTTATACGAGGAAATCAAACTACAAGCTATATAATATCATGATATTCAGATACAAGAAGTTCGTTTGCTTATACATATACCCCAGTCTTGCTTGCTTTTCAAAATAAAAAAAGGGAAGGGTGGAACTTGTCAGTTTTTGATATCGAGATTTTACGGGATATTAAGAGTAGATATACACGGAGAAAGAGAATAGCAAGCACAGACTGTGGGTAAGGAGGGAACAGCGAAAACAAAAGAACGTCGGCATTCGTATAGCATCACAAACCGATCCCAAGCTTTAAAAAAGTACATAGAGGTAAATAATAGAAAACAGCGGAAAGCCGACGGGAAGAAGGCACCAAGAAAATATATCCCTAGCAGACGAACAAAAAACATAAACGCGAATAGATAGGGGAAATCCCAGAATAGGATTTGCATTTGCTTTGAGAAACCAGACCAGAACCTTCTCCCAAAGAGTGGGAGAAAGAGAACAAAACAAACGAAATGCGTCGAGAAGAAAAGAAAGGAAGAAACAGAAATGAAACTTCCAAACAGCAACAGCTACTTCATTCGTCATCTGGCAACTTCTCAATAGTAGTCTTCAAAAGCTCAATCAACTCATCAACATCAGGTCGATCAGCTGGCTCAACCTGCAAACATCTCCTCACCACCTCCTTCGACGCCTCGCTAATGCCCCCTTTCCTAGCGGGGGAACCGGTTTCACCATCAACAGCAGCCGCACTTCCTTCCCCTTCACCAACACCCGCACTACCAGTGCCTGCGCTGGCAGTACCTTTTCCCTTTTGGCCAGCACTCTTCTCATCCGGAAACCTCCAATCACCACCTAGCACGCACATACTCAAACTACCACCAGTCTCCTCACTACGCGCTTCGAAGGGGCTTTTCCCCACCAGACACGCATATATGGTGCAGCCTAGTGACCAGATATCGACCTTAGTATCGATGATGGATCCCGTTTTCACGTCGAAGAGTTCGGGGGCGCGGTAGGGCATTGTGGAGTGCTCAGCAGCTGTGTCTTGGACTGCTAGGGCGAGGGACCGGGAAGTTATTGCGATTGGGCTGGGAGCGAGGGAGCCTAGGTCCATGACAATTGGGGTTAAGCCGTCGTCATCGATCATGATGTTTCCTGTTTTGTGTGGAAGGAGAAATTGACTTGGTCAGTGGATTTTTTATTTCCCCCACTGGTAGTAAATAGGAAACTTCAAACTGTGTGGAAATCATAAATACATATATACACATACCTGGTTTTATATCTCTGTGCGCATAGGGGCGGAAATCACCCTCGTCCACCCCCTCCTGGCTAATCGTAACCTCCCCATCCATCAACGGCTCATGTTCCGTATCATCGCTATCGCGACGGCTAACCCTTCTCGCTGGCCGCCCACGAGATGCCGCCGCTTCCGCATCCGCTGCCTCAGCATCATTCCTGACTATCTTCGCTTTCTTGACCGCGCTCGCACCACTTCTTACACGATATTGATGCATGGCCTTCAGCGCCTTGGCCACGCCCAGCATAAATGTCATGAGCTTCTTCTCCGGGAACGAGGTATGATTGACCAGATTGGCATTGATGGCATCTTGCAGGTTGCCGCGCTGGTAGTAAGGGAGGAGGATGTAGACGGTTTTGGAACCCGGATCGCCGCCATCGGCGCGGAATTTGGAGCCAGATTCGGTGGAAACGCAGTAGTCAATGGAGTGGATGATGTATCTATTTGGGGAGAAGAGGCTGTATGCTTCTACCTCTTTGAGGGCCTGGGAGACGGATTCCTGACCGAAAGGGCAGCGGATCTTTTTGAGGGCGAAAAGCTCAGACGTGTTCTTGTCCTGGACGAGGTAGACGTAGGAAAAGCCGCCCTGGGTAAATCAGTGAAATTGATTTCGTCAGCTTTTCGGTTTCCACTTTCCCTCATCTCATCACCTCTCATCTTATCGCATTCAGTGGGAACCCGAGTACACGCGCTATTAGAATATAACATACCTCTCCTAGTAGTCGGAGTAGCTTGAAACTCCTGTTGTTGATCTTGAGTTGCGGGGAGTTGGGGAAACAGCACATGCAGTCTGTGAAAGTGTAGAGGAGATCGAAGAAGTATTGCGACATGGTGGGGATGGAATATTAAAAGGGAAGTATATAAGAGAAGCAGAATAAGAAGGGAGGGCTGTCAGGAATAGTAATCTGTAGTTCACTCGATAGGTCGGTATGGAACTACTATTTATGGGAAGGTGTTGAGGACGCTGGCGCAACAAAACAAATTGAGCACAAGCGATACGGATATGAATTAGAGATAGATCAAGCAAAGAAAGGGAGCGCTCATTGCACAGCGGCAGGGGTTGGTGGTGTATGCTAAGGAGCTAATCTGTGTATCCAGTGATAGTTGCAATGTGTTTGGGGGAATTTGTTCGAGTGTTGATTGAGGCTGAGACGCAAAATACGATGCTTGGGCTGAGCTAACAGCGAAATTGTATGGAGAGAGATGGCATGCATGGAGTGAGGAGATAACAATAGCACCCAGGGAATAATCAGCTAGAATAAACAAAAGGAGAACTAGCCAGTGCGATCTGAACCATGCATCTGGGTCCGGTGCTATACAGATTGCACAGAAGACATCAATCTGCTCTTCACTCTCTATAAATACATATGTTTAGCTTTGAGGGAGGGAGGGAGTAAATAAATAAAATAATAGACATTGTATTTGAGATTGTTTTCTATTTCTTCCCAGTCGAATTGTAAATATCATTGTCGTGTCCCTTTAGATACAAATATTTGTATTTATAGTTCGCCAATCAACACCGACAACTTCCAAATCTTCTCGTCTTCTTCTGATCCACAACCCCAATGTCTCCTTTTCACAACGACTGTCTATGTATCACCAAGATCCTTCCTCTGCACTCATTGCACTGTTTTCTTCCGTCTCATGCTTGACTTGAATTGCACTTCTGGTTATTCTCAATTCTATGCCTGACATGTTACTACGGATCTCTTGAATAATCTGCCCTATCCCTGCACTATTTAACTATTTACTCCACCAGAACTTTATTTACACAACAGACATCACGACACGATTATGGCGCCCCTTGACGATATCCAGGTCGGAGACCTGGTGAACGTGCCAGGGGGCATGTACGGCACTGTCAAATTTCTAGGCCCAGTCGCCGGGAAGCCTGGCCGCTTTGCTGGTGTTGAGCTGGCCCCCGAACACGCCGGCAGAGGCAAGAATAATGGCGATGTCGAGGGCCGGAGCTACTTCACCACATCGCAACCAGGCTCCGGCATCTTCGTGCCTATGAATAATAACAAATATGTCTCCAAGCGGACTGCGTCTATGGGCAGCACACCGCCCACACCTTCTAAACCTCCCTTTAGCAAATCCGTCGGCCCTGGCGCAGGGCCTGGCCCTCTCTCTGTAAACAGACCCAAATTCAGACGCCCGTCCCTCCCACGGCCTGAATCACCACGAGCCTCTCCGCCGAAATTGAACCTGACCGCTCTCCGGACACCATCCGCATTTTCTAAGAGCATCCCTGCCAACGGAGGTGTTCCTCGAACGCCGCTCAGGGCTACCCGGCCACCCAGTCGCCCGTCATCTAGAATCAGCATCGAGAGTGGCATGAACACACCCGGGTCAATAAAACGGCATGACACGAGAACACCAGCACTTTATGACGGCGAGTCAACAGATAGAATCAAATATCTAGAGAAACAATTGCGTGATCGTGATAAACAGCTGGAAGACCAGGCGTCGACACTCGCAGAGTTTCAAAAGAGCATTACCGAGTTGGAGGGTCTGGATGCGCTCCAGGTGCGCGCACAACTTCGTGAGAAAAATGAGAAGATTGCGGCTCTCACGGCAGAATTCGACAGCCATCGAGCAGATTTTCGTAGCACTTTAGATACTCTGGAAGTGGCTGCCGCGGAGACTGAGAGGGTCTACGAGAGAAGACTAGAGGAACTGATGCAGGCTAATAGGGAGCTACAAGATCGTGGTGAGGATGTGGAAACTGTCGCAAGGCAACTTAAACAATTGGAGGAATTAGTTTCGGAACTAGAAGATGGTCTCGAAGACGCTCGTCGGGGCGAAGCTGAGGCAAGAGGAGAAGTGGAGTTCCTCAGGGGTGAGGTTGAAAGGACTAGGCTGGAATTGAAGCAGGAAAGGGAGAAATCAAATTCAGTATATAAAGGAGCCGGCGGTGATGGACATGCCAGCTCAAAAGACCTGGACCAAAAGGATGATGAAATTCGCGGTCTAAAAGCTATCATCCATTCCCTCAGCAGAGGTGAACCGACCGGCCTCACACACATTAATGTCGGGACTGCCAATAATGGTGACCACCAAGATGCAGACCGCATCGCCAGACTCGAACATCGTATTGAGGAACTCGAAAGCCTCGCAGACCATAAGTCCTACCGCATTGAAGAATTAGAGCGCGAGCTCGAAAACGCCCAGAATCAGAACCGCCCCGGCCGCAACCGCAGCGGTACCATAACCTCCTCACCTCTCAAACAGCGACACAACAGTGCCGGCACTGGCACGGGCGCTGGCGGCGCCAACCACACCCATACCCTCTCTGATCGCACTGTTGTCCCCAATGACTGGCACGACACCACCTCTCCACCTCCCAGAAGCAGCAATGGCCATAACCAATACCCCCACTTCTCCCCACCGCACCAAAACGAACCCATTCGCCACCAGCAGCAGCTCGAAAGCATGCAGGAATCTGACTCTCGCTCCTCAAGCACAGAGGACAGCGGCGCGCTCTGGTGCGAGATTTGCGAAACAAGCGGACATGATATCCTTACCTGCACCAATATGTTTGGTTCTGCTGCCGCCAATACGAACGCAGCAGGTAAGTCAGCTGCAAATAACAGCAAGAGCAACAACGGCTACAACAGCTTCAACGGCAATACCCACCAACGCCAACAAAATAACCTGGGCACATCAACAACAAATGGGTACAACAATAACAACAAGGCCAGTGGAAGCCCCAGCTCGCAACGCACGGGGCGCGATGCGGTGCTGGAAGGGTTGAAAGGTATCGGCGGGCTGACAGCTAACATGTCGCCGGTCGCCGGTAAGGCTTCTGGTGTCATCGATGAGTCAAAGTGGTGTGCTCTGTGCGAGCGGGATGGGCATGAGAGTATCGACTGTCCGTTTGAAGACTGAGTTCTTAGTTTTTTTTCTGACCATCCTCGAACGAGAATTAAGGGTCTACACGCCCTTGAGGTTCTCACAGCACCGTGGCCCCCTCTCCGTCTTTATTCTTGTTGAAGAGCTATATTAATTGGGTTGCTGAGTAAGTGAGTGAAAGGTTAAGCTTGAAAGGAATTCGAGCTAGGGAGCGGTGGTGTTAATGATGGATGTTACAGGTTATATATTTATATTTTGCGCTCTGGCTCCATTCTTTCTCCCTCCGTTTTCTTTTCTTTTTTACCCTTCTCTATAGCCTCGTATCTTCCTTTTTCGAGACATGTCATTCATGGTGTGGTGCGGGTTTTATTGCAATGTTTTCCCCATTTCGTCTCGGTATCTTTGTGAAATCAGACATTTGAGCTTTTCTTCATCCCTCGAAGCCTTTCTCGGCTTTCTTCTTTATTCCGGCTATTTGATGCAGATTTGGCTGATGGTGACATAAGTTACTATCTATTGTGTTTATAAGGTCTCCCCTTAACACCACCCAAACCAATCTTCAACCCCATCCGCCTCGCCACCCTCCTGTTTTCTTGCTTCCCTTCTTGCCCTTTCCATCTTTGCTTTTCTTTGCTTTTCTTTGCTTCTTCTTCTTTTTTGTAATATTCTTTTCCACTCTATACAGCCCGTTGTAATTCCACTTTCCATCATTCATCTTCCGCTGTAAATACACAAACCAACACCTTGATATCTCTCCCCACAACCACATGCCTACCATTTTCAAATCCCGTTACCAGTCCTCCTCCAGAATATCTAAGTGCTCCTCACGTTTATCTTCATGGGCTTCCTAACCCTAGGTAGCTAGCAGTCTTAATATTTGCTTACTGCTCTGCCAGCTCTCAACTACACAGAGTGCAACACACTACGAAACGATCCTTCGAATTTACTATTCACCCAACCATTTAAGCTCCATTAAGTTCGTCTCGTTCTATTTCAGTTCAGTTCAGTTCAGTTCAGTTCAGTTTCTTCTTTAACTGCTGTTCGCTCACTGTGATTGACTTTCTCCACATTATGCCTACGTTCTGCTAATGTGTGCTAGCCATATTCCATTGGGTGAGGCGGGCAACACAGTGCCTGGGGTCCCTAAAATATTTCGAGCCATGGGTAATAACTGAGGGGAATCTGTTGTATTTGGGCCATTTATATATCTTCGTGATGGTTGAATCACGACCAACTCCCGCTTGACTTCTCTTGGACTGTTGAAGGGGAAAATAGCGAAGGAAAAAGCAGAAATAGAATCGAATTTACTACAATACATTGTTCCTGTCAACTTCATGCCCGCCATCGAATGTGGAACAAATACCAGTGAGCCAGCTGATCTGATAATATTCGACATACCATCCAACCCTCCTCCATACCCACCCGTATCCTACTCCGGAAACCTCCCCGGCTGTACCACCTCACCTTCCGCATACCTGACCCCCGCCACCATCCCACACGAACCACACCTCCTTTTTCCCTCATCCGCCGCAAACCTCTCCACGACCTCCTTGACCTGCGTGCCCAGATCTGTGCACACAAAACTCGTCTCCCAAACCACCCCCTTACACCCACCGCAATACCACCTCAAGGTATCCTCCGCCCCGTCAGCCCTCGGCATCTCCACGACAATGCCGACCGTGTCCGCAAAGCGCACAGGGCTGTGCGGCGTATTTGCAGGCAGCAGGAACAGGGACCCTTCGTGGATGGGTGTATCGTGGAACGTCGGCGGGGAGGTGCTGGTGTCGACAGTTTTGAGGAGCATGGGGCCGCGGTGTTGGTAGAAGAATTCCGGAGTCGTGTTGATGTGGTAGTCTGTGCGGGCGTTGGGTCCGCCGACGACCATCACGGTGTATCCCTTTGTGGCGGTGGAGGATGGGTGGTAGACGCAGTAGTTGTTAATGGGGGGTTGGAGGAGGTGAGCGTTTTCGGCGAGCCTGTAGTATTGTGTAAAAGGGTTTTGAGGGTTAGTTATTATATTTGGGGGCTTGTTTCTTTTTTCTGTTTCTTTGATTTTTGTCATTTCTCCCACTTTGTTTTTTTACTCCTTTTGTTTTTCTATTTTATGGGTAGGCAATGAGCATGCAGGAATATATGTGTGGTGAGATGGTTTACCATCGAGGAATGTTGAGTGCTGGTGGGAGCATATCTGCTGTGGCTTGCTGGGGATCTCCCCTGCTGTGTCAGATGCGGATGCAAGGTGTTTGAGTAATGAAATAAATCAAGAGCTGGGATGGATTTCGATTCCCGCAGCGTAAATATGAGGTGAGGTCTCAATCGCAGTCGTCGGATGAATTCAGCAGTGCGTCATAAACAAGTTTGGACCCGATCTATGAATTTAATCGCTCCCCCTCGAACATCCTCCCCGCGCTGTCATGGGAATACGGCGATTACACACCTTCAGAACAATATTTGTAAGCAATCATAGATACGGTTTGGTATTACCATTACACCCAGTTCCGCATCTTATCAGCTCTCGGAGAAGCATTTATCCACCAAAAAAAAAAAAAAAAAATACCACACTCAATCCCGAAAGTGCTCAGGTTGTTTAGCAACATTGGTGACATTTTGAAGAAATAATTTCGGTCATTCATCTTCGCATGCGTTGATAGCGGCTGTTTTTGTTTTTGTTTTACAAATCTCAGGCCATCAAACTATGGCTACTCCGCAACCTCCTCTGCGTTTCACCTCCTACCGCCAGTTCACTCTCCGGCTTGTTCTTTCAACGCTTACTGGGCGCGCAGTCCATATATCTCAGATTCGACCATCCGATCCCATCCATATGGGCCTTGCCCCCCATGAAATCTCCTTTTTACGACTCTTGGAAGCTGTTACCAATGGCTCACATATGGAGATTTCCTACACTGGTACCATCGTCCTCTATAAACCTGGTCTCATAACCGGGAGTGCCCCCGGCTCCGGTGCAAGCGGAGGTGTCATAAAACATGAGATCCCTTCCAACTGTAGTCGTGGCATTAGTTATTTTTTACTTCCAATGTGCCTCCTTGCGCCATTCTCCAAAGCCCCGTTTAACATCCTCTTCACCGGTCCTGGTGTCATCACCTCCTCCACTCCAACTGGCGATATGTCTGTGGACAGTGTGCGGACTGCTATCCTTCCGTTATTTGCTCAATTTGGCATTTTCAACAACATAGAGTTGCGTGTATTAAAAAGATCAAACCCAGGGCCCAACGGAAAAGGAGGGGGAGGAGAGGTTCAGTTGGTGTTTGGTCATCAAGTTCGACTTCCGAAGACGATTCACTTGTTGAACCCTGGCAGAATCAAAAAAATACGTGGTGTGGCATATGCCATAGGTGTATCAGGATCCCATAACTCCAGGATGATCGAAGTTGCGAGGGGCGTTCTGAACCCTCTTTGTCCTGATACCTACGTATTTTCAGACGTCTCCTCAGCGCCTTTAGTCGCTGCACCGACTAGAGATAACCCTTCCAACAAAAAGAAAATTGGGCTTGGATTTGGACTGTCTTTGGTAGCCGAATCGTCCACTGGTTGCTTATTCTCCGCGGATGTGGCGTCGTTACCCACTGGCGGCGAGCCGCCAGAGGACATCGGCAAACGGTGTGCGTACCAGCTCCTAGAGTCCATCTCAGTGGGTGGATGTGTCTCGAGAGCTGCTGCTCCAACGATGATAACGCTGATGGCGATGGGTTCTGAAGATGTGGGAAGACTACAAGTCGGAAGAGATGTCGTCGCAGACGAGTCCATGATCCAGTTTGCCAGGGACCTCAATAAATTCGGTACTCCTGGATGGGGAATTAGGGATGCACCTGGAGAAAGCGATTCGGGGGACGTCATTATTAGTGTAGTTGGGAGGGGAATAGGCAACGTTGGGCGAAAGATTGCTTGATCAACTCGTCTCGGGTGAAACAGATGGCTCTTTGCGGCCTCTCTCTCGCCTTTTGAACTTAACCGACTGTGCTGGGCGTTCTGGTAGGAAATATGCTCATCGGGCTACATGTTAGATCCATACCACAGGACGGCGCATCTCGCGGATCTCACAGCAGCGCTTCTGACGAATTTGGTCAAAGAAACAACCATCCCGCTGGTCGATTTTGCCTAAGGAACACAGCGCTGTCACAGCCTCGCGAAGCCCGAGGACGGTTCACGAACCGATAGTCATCAGTTCTATTCATATATCGTCCACGCAACGTTGGATTTAATACAAAAGAGAAGTGAAGGCCGTCCGGGCCTTAAAACTAGGCCTTGCGCCTCCTGGATCTTTCAGATAGAATGAAGTACCTTAAGAAGGATATGTGAAAGACGGCAAGTACGATATGGCCATCGTACCTTCTCCCTGATCGAATGACATACCCACCCAGGAATTTATATGGAAGAAGCGACTACAAGGCTTGTGGCTGCTGTTTAATCCTTCCTATCGAGCTTGACGTTTCCTTCAAACACCTCCTCATTTCTCTTATTGATCAACTTCACTTTGTTCCTTGTTTGCTATATATATTTCCTCTCTAATACCATCCGCTGGAGCCCCAGATATCAAGTCAGTCTTGCTTAAATCCGCTCTGCCACTATTCGTTGGCTTCTTAATCAGCTAACCTTGGAATGAACCTAAATTCATACCGAATGAGCCCCTTTTGTCTCTGTTCGTAACGAAAATGCAGTTCATTCGCAGTTTCTACTATAGTCCTTGCCTCCTACAGTACGGCGCAGATGCTCGAGCCACTTTTGTATGTGGATGCATGTGTCATTCGACTACTTCTGCGGTCCAATTGCATAGCTCCTCCATCTAGTTCTGCTCTGATGAGCTCATTATACTATATAAACTTCCTTCCTATGGCAGCCACGCCGATTATGGTTAACAGTTGCTGCCGTTATACCCCAAATGTTAACCTTGAGATGAAAGCTCTATACTGTTTTCCTTACTGCTTTCCTTCGCGCTTCCTACGTTATGTTTCCCGAAAATCCCCCCTTTCCCTCTCTCAACAGCCATAATGTTCTTATAAATATACCCGTATGTGTTTCATAATCTACCTGCGCTATATGCAGGATTACACCCCACTCAAGCACTCTACATTCCCCTTTACAGCCCTATAGGATTTTACGTCATTTACTTATTCACATGCTGCCATGTCATACAATAAAATGTGCACGACGGGCCACACTACAGAGAGAAAAGGGAGATGGACATCAGCAATCGTCTCCAGGAAGCATAAGGTGCAGAAACACTTCGGTCCACTTTTGGTGAATTTGTATATTGGAATTACATCTAAATTCGTCGAGCAGCTCGCGAAGCTATAGCTGTAGAAAAGAAATCATTCAGTGGTATTGGTGAGCAGTTGCGTTACGTGTGTGCCTCATGGCCTTCATGAGAAGTGAGAGGTACGACCGCGGGTTTCAATGGTGCTTTCTAAGGCCTCTGAGCGTTAGCCACCTGTTTATAAATATACCGATATTTACGTGCAAGCAATCGGGCAGTGATGCAAGTTGATCTCTCAAACAGACCCGTCCCAATAGAGATTTATCGAACTACCTGGCAAACGAAGACGTGAGCCACCTTCTTCCCGCTACGGCCGCGTTACATATTCGAACATCACTTCAGGGATCCAACTACAGCCATGGTTACCAAATCTAAGAAAGTCGGGCTATTTGGAGACATCATTCATTCCTCCTAAATTTCATGTTCCAGTTGATCGATCAGTCGATGTTATAAGACTCTTTGGAGGAACCAAAACTGCTAATCAGCAGCACGTAACCTGAACTACTGATTTGATTTTTTTTTTTTTTTTTTTTTTACTATAGTTTTCAAATTTATCTATTATCTATCAACAAAATCACTTATGTACCTTTAAAGGTGCATAGTTCTCTCCTAAGCTTTTAGTTCATGAAACCATCTATCTATTCATTGATAATTAATTGGCTTGAAATGTGACAAGACGGATTTCCGATGCCTGGGATAAAAAAGTTCATGTACGACGAAAACTCGGCTTTTTTTTTTTTTTTAAAAAAAAAAAAAACGAACTATAAAATAAAAACAGGACCGATAAACAATTGATAACAACTGCCAGAAACCATAATAATAATAACAATAAATGACAGTCCCCGTAAGCATTAATAAATGGGCATTATGACCTCGATAGCTTGTGTAAAGGGAAGAAGAAGAAGAAGCAAAAAAACGACTTTACTTACACATAAATAAGCTCAGAAAATAAGAGAGAGAAAGAAAGGAAAAGATAAAAAAAATTGAACAAGCATGAAGAAGCGCAACAGCCCAGCACACACGAACAAAAACAAAAACCTGCCTCCAAATTATCCCTATTTTTTCCCTCAACAGAATGTAGTTTTGTGTTTGCAAACAGGAAAGAAAGAAAGGAAAGGAAAGCAGCTGCTAAAGATATAAATAACTATATAAAAAAGAGTAGAAAATGAGGATAGGGAAAAAAATTAAGATACCTGTGGCATATTTTTACTCACTCACCCTTCCCTCCTCTCAGATCAAATTTGATATATGATTTCCCTCTTTGTTATTTTTCCTGTCCATTGCATTTTCTTTTCTTCTCAGCCCAGATCATCCATCCAGAGCAGCAGCTTCCCTCCCTGTTTGGGGAACTGCCTCGTTAGTTTTTTTTATTTGTTTGCCTTCTCAAAAACAAACCAACCAACCCAATCAAGCAAAGCAAAGAAATTGCCCCCTGACCCCTGCCACTAGGCGGCAGCTAGGGGCCTGCGCGTTATGATTCCCCTCCTTGTTTTTCTTCCTTTCCCGGTCAGCTTTGGTAGTCTCGTTGGGTTTATTCCTGCCTTATTGCCTGCCTGTTGGGTATGCATATGAATTCCCTGACCCAGCACCCCTCCCGTACCTCCAAACATCCATCGTCTCCATGTAATTCCCTCGCACTGCCGCGACCAAGCAAAGGCATACCCTAATGTGATTGAAGAGAGAGGGAGGGAGAGTTTTTTATGGAAAAGAAAAAGAAAAGACATAATAGTAAATAACAGAAATAGAAGAAGGCAATAGCCATGAGATAAAATAAAACAAAAAAAGAAACCTCGAAAAGGGGGGTTTCAAGATCTGGCACACATACACACACGCAGACGCAGACAAATTTAAAACGCACAAAAAAAAAGAGAAAGAAAGCTACAAAATAGACACAAGAAAATATATTTAATATAATAAGAAAAATAAAATAGAACAGGGCAAACGAATATCAGACAGGAGGAACAAGTGATATCTTAGACCTCCATAGCCTCCGCTTCTCCTTTGGCAAGAAGCGATCCTGACTTCTCACCGTCCGCCGGAGTCTTGACCTCTGGGGCATCTGGCATGATCTCATCTTCATCCGCCTGGGTAGTAGCACCAACAGCAGCGCCGTCATTCGCATCAGTTGCCTCTTCCATCTTCTGCCCATTGACCTGCTTGTGGCCATTTGCCTTTGGCTTAGACTTCGGCTCCTGTTCTTCCTTCTCCCTTGCAGGGGGGATATCGGAATCCAGTAGGGTTGTCCATTTATTTAGGATGTTGATGGAGCGGCGGCGGAAGTTGAATTCCTCGTCCTTGGGGATCGAGTTTAGTTTGATGATGGCCTTCAGGACTTTGTTGATCTTGGTTTTGCGGATGATGCTGACTTCAAGATCGGCATACGACTCCAGTTTTTGGATGAAATTAGACATTGAAGCCATTTCCTCCGCCTTGGGTGCCTGGTCACGTGTGAGGAACCCTTTTTGGAGTTTGTGGCGAAGATACAAAACTGGTTGGAATCAAGTCAGTACAGCTCGCTACCACTGCAAACGTGCCAGAAATGGAGTAAAGAGGAGAAAATAGAGCTGCAAAAATAATCGGAGATATCAATGATCGTAGATAAAATTTGTTACCTTCTTTCTCCTTCTTCAGCTTGGCTTCCTGCGGATTAAGCGGCTTTTCAACTTCGCTCTCCTTTGAAGCTTCAGCGGTATCTCCATCACTTGTTGCCTTGGCTTCCTTTTTGGCCTTTTTGGCACTGGTGACCTTCGTTTTTGCTGGTTTTGCGGAAGTTTTCTTTCCTGACTCACCGGTCGCTGGAGTCTTGGGCGTGGTCAATTTTAGTTTAGTGGCAGTTTTGGGGGTCTTTGCGGGCTGTGATGTGTGCGACCAGAAACAAAACGAATCCCCGTTAGCCAATGTGTCCTTTCCACCAAAGCACTACCCAAAAGTGGCGCCCGAAGGAGTGCGATCGAGAATCACAGCTCCACAAAATTTCGGGCATATCCGCTTACCTTGTCGCTCTCAGCATCGCTCTCAACGTCCTTCTTCCGTTTCTTCGTGCTCTTTCGTTTCTCGGTTCCAACATCCGCTGCCTCATCTTCTTGCTCATCAGCCACATCCATGCTCTTCCGCTTTTTCTTCTCTTGCTTAGCCGCCTTTGCTGCCGCGCGAGCTTCACGTTCCTCCTGGTCTTGCTCTAACGCCCGCTGATGGTCCGCAAGCATATCTTTAAAATATTGAAGATCATGGTTCTCGGCGGCTACACGATAAGCCTCAACCAGGCTCTTCGTTTTTCCCTTTTCATTCACATCTTTGCAGGACTCCGGGTCGAGAGGCGTTAGGTCGGTGTTTGGAATCCAAGCACTGGAAATAGATCAATTTCTGTCAGCTCGAGCCCTCAACATTTCTAATATGACGACCCCACCGTGCAAGGTGGAAAAACGGCCGAGCGCATTGATTTCAGATGCGAACGTCAGGGAGAAATCATTTCCCTGAAAAAAAAAAAAGTCAATGAATGAAAAGCGAAAGCTTCACTTACAATTCATTTGTGTACAAGAACATAATTGGAAACGTTCGCTCATGCACACGTTTGCCGCCGTCACTGTAAGCCTCCTTGTATGTACCGTCCTTCTGTTTCGTAGTAACCGGGCGCGTCGACAAAAGAGAAGGGGGGAGCATCTCCTCATCACATATTATCGACGGCCAGGGCGCATAGCTTTTCAGACGAGCAGTGTAGTATTCTCCTGGCTTGGCATCCAGGTGTGTAATTCGAGCTGCAGACTTTTTCTTGTTCAATTTTTTCCCCTTGCTGTCAACGCCTCCTGTCGATTTGCGTTTTCCGTTACTGGATTTTTTGGAAGCAGATGGGGTTCCATTGGCGCCATCTCCGGTGGGGGCAGCAACTTCAGCTGTCTCTTCTACCGCAACGCCGCTCTCATCCGTATCTTGCTCTTGTGTTCCGGCAGGCGGCTCGGGCTTGGCAGCCTCTGTGGCAGGGGATTCAGGATTTTCAGAAGCGGCGGCTTTCGTCCCTTACAAATAGTGGATAGGTCAGTCGAAGAAGAAAGGCACAAAAGAAAAAAACAAGTAAATCCTTTCCCCCCCCCCCCCCAAAAATATAATCATAAAATAGGGGAAAGGAATGCACGTGGGACGGGAGGCGTAGCATTGAGTACCCACCAGCCAACGCGTTTTCAGGCTTTACATCGGCCTGTTCATCTCTCTCTGTATGTGGGGATGCAGAAGCATTTGGAGCAGCATCTGCGGATGGCATGTTTCGAGGGACCGAATTGATTCGCGATGCGGCGGGGTTTGCATCCTCGGCCATGGCGACAGCTTTGGCACGACAAGAAAAACAGGAGAACAGGGGAATAGGAGCAGTCGGCGAAGGGAGTGGAAAGAAAAGCGACGATGGCCAGGCGGAAGGGTGGTCGAGGAGTGGATTGGGCGGAGTCGATGGATGGAGGTTGAGAGAGAAAGTTGTGTGTTTGGGATTTGGAGTTGGCGGTGGATAAGATTATTCCTTGGGTGCGCGAAGACCGTGGCGTGAGACAAGAAACGCGTGTGTGGAAAGGGCCGGGCGAGGCTCGGGAGAATCCACCACCAGCACCAAGCACCAGGCACCAAGCACCAGCACCACAACAAGAAGAAGACGTGCGGGATCGTAGAGACAGCAGTCTGCTTCTCCAGACAGTCGATTTGAGGGTATTGAAAAGGGGGCCCTCTCAATTTCAAGGGGGGTTCGCCCTTTTTCCGCACCGCTTTGAGATAAACTCTCTCACTGTGCCTGGTATTCACACCACAATGGGCGGATGAATGGAGGGGCTTCACAGCTTCTCTCCCTCGTAGTCCCTTTCACAGTCACAATGACTCGTTCAAAATATAATTAAATCAAAATACAGGTAGACAGAAAGGAATGCGTTTTTCTTTCTTTTTCTTTTTCTTTTTTTTTTGCCCCTTTGGTTTGAAAGAACCAAGAGTATGAGTAACGACAAGAGAGAAACCAGCGCAAGAAATCCCGTAAGAAGATAAGTTAATATCTTCCTTTTCTGCTGACTTCAAAGGCTCAGGAGTGTCAATATAGATGAACCATAGTACGGTATAGCAACCGTGGGGAAATCCGGATTAACTGATCAAAAAAATGTGAGCTGATATTCCCTATCAAGGCCGGCCACCAGCCAGAGGAGCCAGTCGAGAAAGACGGGGATGGGATGAGCTGAGTCTGGCGAGATGTGAAACGAGGGTAGGAGGAAGACCCAGAGCTCTCCCTGGGTCGACCATCAACTCTTATTTTCCTCGTCAGGCAACTTCATATAAATGCATCCCTTTTGTGCTCCCAGTCACCTCTTCTATATTTTTATATATGTATATATATAACAATAATAACTCACCAGTTAGTTGCATAATTCACTGATTATATGGTAACCAAGTTAGCCTAACTGTAATACAAAAATTGCTGTGAAAAAGGGGGTTCGTGGCATTTTCCATCAGAGGACGTGTGAATACAGCCCAGAGAGAGCCCTTTGAGTTTTTTATTTTTTGCTTTTTTGTTTTTTGTTTTTTTGTTTTCCTACAAACCCATATCGAGAACTGGGCCACGCATAGGTAACAACGGGAGTAAATAGATACTCGTAACTATATAATTTCGCCTTGGACTTCCATCCATCCATCCACTTTTCTCGATTCCAGCGTCTCTTCCCTTCCCTTTTTTTTTTTTTTTTTCCTTTTCTTTTTCTTTCCCCCTTCTGCCCCTTTCTCTGCATGTATGACAACATCCAGGCGTTGAAACGCAGCCGGTACCATAGAGATAGACGGAGAATCCTCCACTTCCCCTAACCTCCCATCCAACCACCTATCCACCCATTCACGCTCTCCGTCAGCCTCTCCAGCAGTGTCCTACGTGTGTACTTCGTCCCACACATCGGTTCCCTATCCCATGTGGGCTAGGCGTGGAGGTCATCGACCAGGTCACCAGGCCGTATCCGGGTGCTGGCAGAGCAAGCTCTTCCCTTTTTACTCCATTTTTCCGCTAGCTTTTTTAAGTAGTACCGCAGTGTGAAGCAGCATTCTTCTGGAGGCGGTTGGGGTCGTTGTTTTTCTTTTTTATCCTCATATTTTGTGCTCAAGAGGAGGAAGCGAGGTCGTGAGATATATATATTCACCCCCGCTTTTCTTCCCCGGAGACAGAATTGTGATTTCAAAAGAAAAGAGAAAAAAGAACCCAATATTAATTCTCCCCTTCTCATTCTGAGGAACGAACACATCCATTTGAAAAAAAAGAAAGCAGAAAAAAGATACTAACAAGTGGGTGAGGTATCATATCCTAAGACTCAAGAAATACTGTCCATAACATCAGTCGGGCTCGTGGAAATCAACCTCGGAAATCAGAAAAGGGTTTGAAGGAGTGTCCATATGACTATATCAGCATTGAAGAAGCGACTGTTGTTTATGGTAACATATATGCATCTTTATCAGGACCAACGAATTTCTCACATACCAGACAATCTGCCGAACCCGGCAAGGTAACCGGAGTAAAACCCTACAGTAGTTCGGATCTCATATCCAGTCGAATAGATATATAAAAGGTCGGGACTAAGAAGCAAAATGCGTAATATAGAAGGACTGGGAGCCGGTGCATGATTTTATAATTCATCGCATCTAGGCTTGGCCTTCACCAGAATCATCGAAAACAAACAAAGGGCGGAAACCTATAGACACTTGTTCCGGCTTATGAATCCGCAATACCCAAAAAATATAATCCTCCAGCGGAAGCAAATTTAAAAGAACAGAATTTCCCCACCACCCTAGCCCGCAAATAATCGCGCCAGCAAAAGCATCGAGGATAAAATGGTTGGCGGTTGCGATTATAGCAGCAAGAATGGTAAGCGGGTAGGTTATCCCGAAGACAATACATACGATGCGCTGCCATGGTAGGCGGAGGGCTTTGGAGGCGAGTCTAGGATGAGAATAGTTGAGAAAAAGTGGGCGTAAGGTTTGGGATAGATGGTGCTGAGGAGGGAGTGGAAATGTTGTTATAGTGATACCAATCATCAACGAATATCCAAATGCAGAGATGGCATGGCAGCTAGAGAAAGTAAGGAGATCGTATCATCAGCAGGAAATACCGTATGGGTATAAAATGGTCGTGGGTTGTGAAACTGACCATATTGATTGCAGAATCGGTTCTGCGTCCAAACACTGCTTGCGCCACCAGCCCCGTGAACTGTGTCAACAAAACCATAGCTCCTTGAAAGCTCGCCTACCGGACCGACCACTGGCCGATCACTTAAAAGTCGAGGTGGCATACACAGCCACAGCGTGAAAACTACAAAGGCGAGCAGGTTACAAAGTGCCAGCGTTCGCCTGCGCGTTTGATACAGTTCTGGGACTTTCGGGACTCTGCTTGGACAGCCAATACACTTCACGGAATGGCGGCTTTCGGGATAATTATTCGTGTTGGTATAGTAGTAGAGCAAAACGAGGAAGGCAATTGTTCCAGGTATATGGATGAAAGAGTAGAGCCGATTTGTCCAAGCCATTAGGATTGGGCGGCGGAGGAAATAATGTTGTATATGTGCCTCCCACAAGATGTAGAAGCTTTTCTCCAGTTTTAGAAGCTGTATTGCATGTTTTCGTGCAACGTCTACAGTTGCATCTTTGAGAGTAACTGCTGTGAAGGCTCGTGCAATTTGATATATCTGTATATACAGTCAGCATAAACACATAGACAGGGTTTCGTCTCAAGTCATTGTAACTCATATAAAGGGCACATACCCAATACACTAAGGTCCAATACCAGCATTCCACCAAAAAAGGGAATCTCCGAAGAAATCTGCTGAAGCATCGATTGCGAAATTTTGCTGTATTTGGTGTGATAATTTCTCTTTTCCACAGCCACAGCCCAATTCGTCTAATTCTCCATGGCCGTTCTTGATTCAAAAGCAAAGATGGGGATGAGGAACGATAAGTGGGAGTTGACAACGACCCATCATCTGTTCCGGCAGTGGTGGATGGTTTGTCCTCAGCGTTGTCCATTATTTTATCCGTTAAGTCATCACTCGATACCGAGCTAAACCGTGTTGTATCGGAGGTATATGGACAGGATACATTTGACAATCGGTTGATCCATGTTCCCCCCAGCAGCAGAGCAACAACCACCAATGGCTCCAAAAGGAGTCCAATCCCCATCCCTTAAATGAAGAGATTAATATACAGAATATGCACCCAGCTGCTTGGTAGCGGAGTTGTGTCAACAACTCGTACATATATAAAGAGATCCGGAGACCCGATCTGGGGAAAACTCAGTGAAAAGGGTAGCAATTTTAGGCTAGAACGTAATGCCATTAACAGAAAGAACTCAAAAAATACCTCCCACGATGAGATAATGTGATACAGGCCAGGAGGAATGAATTCAAACGCGTAACAGGAGCCATTATTGAGAGCAGTTATTCGATATTGGTCTTGGGTTCCTGGTCTCCGGTTGCTGTCCTGATAAACGAGAACAAAAAATCGGATAAGGAGTATGCTGGTAATCTCTCATGGTGTCATGTATAGCATAACAAACAAACAAAGAAAAAGAAATCCATATTGCTCCACGACTGAAGAAGAGAACAACAACAGAATTCTCATCGTTGAGCCAGGCCAAGCCACGGCAAGAGCAAGGAAGCTGCACACCTCAGGAGCGCTAGCATTGTCAATGGCAAGGAAACCACGCATTGGATCAAATCCAATTTTCTCCTGTCTGCACAACAAATATTGGTGGCAACTTATTCGAACCACAATCTCATACATGGAAACCTGATAGAGGTGAAATCCAGAGCAAGGTCTGGCCTAGCTCTGAACTCGCCTGTTAGCGCTCCGGAGTCCAACGGGTGGCGTGTGGGCCGATTTGAAGACATCTCGTCTCCAAATAAAAGGGTGAGGGCTCCATATTATATCCTATTGAATTAAAAGGTGTTCCCCAAGCCTTTCGGCGGTACAGGAGTTGGATGGGGTCGGTTGAAATGGCCCAGGTCCACCAGCGCACGTGACCAGCAGCCTCCACTATCACCACCATTGTCAACAACGGAAGATTGACCATCTCATAAGGTTATGAGCCCAGTTGGCATGGTTTTGAGAAAAGCTTCACATCTTGATTGAGAATATGCCGCGGTAGACTATATTAGATGCGTTCGACATCAATTTGTTGAAAAGGCAGCTCCTTGCACATAAAGCAGTGTATTCCACAGGAATACGAGTAACGTGGAACTACAGCAGGAAGGTGATCGCATTCTTGGAATCAAAACCCCTATTTTATCAATTGGTCAAATGAGCGGTTCGTGATTACGACCAATTCCGCGATCAGATCACAAGAAATCCCTACGTTCTCATTCAGACACCATTCACGAACAAGAGTGCAATCAGGAATCCAGCTCAAAGGCACGAGACAAGGAGATCAAACCGAAATACGCGACGGCAGAGGAAGACGTGATGAAGACCTCCAGCTCGAGCCGCGATACTGGCAAAACTCTGCCAACAGGTGATGATTGCGGCGCGTCAGGATTGGGCTAATGCTCCAGCAGATGATTGAAAGAATGAAAACTGCGAATATCAAATGGAGGTGCAAGCTTCAATGGATACGAAACCCGCCACCACGTTAGATGGGACCAACTACCAAACGTGGTAGGTTGGAATTCAATCAGACTTGGATGTAATAGGTGGAACTGACATTCTCGCCAAAAATCAGAAGATGGCCCTGGAAAACTTATGAGCATTAGAAAATAACGTCGGATGATGTACACAAAGATGCTCTATTGTTGCATGTTGCAATCACTAAGAAGCCCTATTCAAACAAGAATTGGAATCTTAGAACCAGATAACGCAGCTGCGCTATGGGAGAACATAGGAGTCAAATATGCAGTGTCCCTGGCAGAAGAACATTTTAATATCATCAGAGAGATAACTACCTTATATGTCAAGGATAATGATCGTCTGTCATACAAATATCATTTGCACGATTTTGTCACTCACGATATAAAACTCACCAGAGATCGAGATGATTTCTATCACAACCCATTCATCAACAGCATGCGAGATCGCCAATAGGCATTTGTTAGAAGACGCCTTGATGGATTCTACACTACTGTAAAGATCCTATCTCCAACATCGATGACCTGATGAAGACAAAGGATTCCGAACGTACAAAGACTCCGAGGGCCAACGGGGCCACCACTACCACCACTACTACTACGAGCAACAACACAATCTTCCACCTCCATCAGGTTCTGGGCCCTTGGCCGCTCCCCGCACCATCAACTATATGCTTAACCTAAGGTTGGCTCCGTGGGCCTCCTGCCATAAATGGTCAATCTCCGACAAGTAGCAAGCTTACTGCAATGCATTGGTTCAAAGACCGGACAGAATGACTAACAAAACGACTCGAATTCATGTCCAAAGATCAACAAGCAACAAAGCCCTCAGCAGGAGACAACAGAAGTCCTTGCTTAGAGTCATTACAATTTCACCATCCTCCTCCATCCAACATACGCGATTCAGTACTAATTATCTATTCAACTACATCACTCTATCAAACTTCAAGGTCTACCCATCGGTGAATTCCAGTCAATCCTTCGACTGGTCAAATAAAACCTCCTGCCAGAAGCTGTTCTAAGCCAAGGGCCAGAGCCAGAAGAGAAGAGCGAGACCTTTGCTAGAACCAGATCTTGTGAGATGGGAGAAAGGAGCAAACAAAAATGTTCAGTGTTTTTAGGCTACAAGAGCAGGATATTGTGGGGGAATTGAGGGAGGAAGGAGCAGAGAATAATGCTCAAATGAGAGTTGATTAGAAGAGACAGAGTTGAATTGCAGGGAATATAAGAAGTTATATAAATGGGAGAATTTCAATGGGATTACTGGGCCGGATTAATATGTAATATTCATGGAGCCATAGATATGCTCCGGGTGCTTGTGGCCAGGGTGCTGGTAGGCCTCTAGTAGACCAGATATTAGCTCGCCATATACATAGTTGCATACAATCAATCAACTTTCAATTTCCCACCTCCATCATAGAAGATTAGCCATTCTACAGAAAAGGTCAGGAACGGCCGAGATTTGGCCTAAGGCCTAAAAGCACTATTACGAAGTTGAAAGGTTATCGGCATAAACCGATGCTTCTATATTTAAATTATTTACTAGAATTTAGGTGGTTGGATGAGGCAGATGTCGCTTAAAACAGGATGGAGACGAAACAAATACCGGCGATTAAATTATTATATATATATATATATATATATATAAATACACAATCAGTGTACAGTTCGGCGCAGATGGGTGCCTGTTGCTATTTACTAGCATAAAATGGCGGGTATCTCTTTTGAGCAGGTAAATCAGTCCCTTTCTCACGGAATGAATATATACTGTACAGCGACTTATTATACGGGAAAAGGCACATCGCTCAACATTTCAATCAAAGCTGGTTTGATCCCTTTTTCTCTTGTACTTTTAAACTCCTTTCGCAGCCTGGAGAATGACATCCGAAGCTTTCTCGCTGATCATATAGATAGGAACGGCAATGTAGAAGCCGGGAATCTTAGGGAAGACAGAGGCATCAACAACGCGCAGGCCCTCAACGCCACGCACGCGGAAATTGGAATCCAGTACAGCCATTGGGTCATTGTCAGCGCCAATTGGACATGTGCAGGACGCATGGTGACCCCACGCCTCCTTCTTGATAAAATCCTTGAGGCTCTCGGTGTCGTTGGCTCGCTCGGGGCCAGGCCAAACTTCCTTGAAGCTGCCTTCGATGGGTACTACGCTCTTGAAGATCTCGCGCGAAAACTGCACTGCTTCGACAACGGCCTGGAGATCCTTCTCATCTGCGCCATCAGTGGTGACGCCAGCGTCGAACGAATTAAAGTTAATCTCGGGCATATCGCGGGGATCCTTGGAGCGTAGCTTGACGGTTCCCGCGTTATTACGAGTGTGTGCTTTGAGCGTAATCCAAGTCCAGTGACGAGCATCAGCAAGTGCCTTAACGGAGTAGCCGGGAAAGTAGCCGTCGAAGTAGGCTGGGGCGCCAGTGATGAAGAGATCGGGATCGCCACTGGCGACGGAAGAGCGTTTGATAATTGCGATGGCGAGGCCGTTGGTGGTGTAGGTTCCCTTTCCAACAGCAGATTCGCCATGCCGGTACTGTTCAAGGCATGGGTCTGGGTCCGTGGTTAAGAAGGTACATTTGGAAGTGATGGAGAAATCAGTCTCGGTCTCTGCCACAAGACCTATCTCGTAGCGATCCTGGAGGTTCTGGCCAACTCCGGGAAGGTCGACAAGGACCGGGATATCGAATTTCTCTAGCTCATCCTTGGGACCGATACCGCTCAGTTTGAGCAGTTGAGGGGTATTAAATGCTCCGGCGGAGAGAATCACTTCTTTAGTTGCAGTGACACTGCCTGGGGTTCCCTTCCGGGAATCCGAAGCACGAGGATCGGCTGAATAGAGACTTTGGCCCTTTAGGAAATCTACACCAACGGCCTTCGGGACAGGACCAGATGTGTCGAATCGAACATTGGTTACAAGTGTATTGAGGGCAATATCCAGGTGGTATTTTCGCGCGCCATCTTCATTGACCGCATTGGCGGTCTGGAGGATGAATTCACGAGGGCCGTTTCGTCTATACCCATGAGTATTGACAGCGATAGGAACCTGGTATACGGCCTCAGTGGAGTCACGAAGCGGACTACCGGAGTTAAGATCAGAAAGCAAAGCCTCTCCTAAGCCAGCTACAGTTGAGATCAGCCTGCCGACACCTTTTCCCATGGCAGTGCCAATAGCAACGACCAGGGAGACGAGTTTGAGGTCCTGCACAACGATGCCCAAGTTTGTCAGGCTAGTTTCGAACCAACCTTCGAAACCATGACCGACAATACCATTAGGCAAATATCGCGACCGCTCTAGACGCTCAAAAAATTTGCGCATTTTATCCGGAGCCCAGGATGCATCACCAGTGATGGTTTGGATGTTATGCCAATCACTCCTATGAGGATAAACACTGATCAAAGCGTTATGGGAGGCGCAGCCTCCGAGCGTTCCTGCTCTTGGATATATAATTCCCAAAGGTTTGGCATCTGCGGGTGCAGCTGCTCCGACATGGAATTGGCCATCGGGTTTCCCATAAGTAAATTTGGAATCTTTCTCTTGGCGTTCGAGATCAGAGTAATGGTTAACCCAATAGTCCCAGCGCATTTCTTGATATTCACTCGATTGCAGATGAAGAGCTGGGGTTTGATAAACTGTGGAATCGCCTTGGTCATCGCCAGCTTCGATCAGAAGGACTTTATGCCCTGCAAGAGCAAGCCTAGATGCGAGAGGGCCCCCGCCGGGGCCAGATCCGACAATGACATATTCATATTCCTCTGTGGTATTGGACGATTGCCGTTTTTCGTAGGTGGCATGGATGTGGTTGTGATGCCTTCCATGGAAACTATCAGAAGGGTCAGTAACCCACAGTTTCACATCTTCATCCGATGAGCGCTTGATACTTACTTCGCAGCCAGCACGTCAGAGGTGACGAGGGCGAGCAAGCCTAGACCATGTCGAAAGAGCATATTCTCAAGAAACTTTAGCCACAGTAACTGGAATATTGTACAAACCCGCTGCCAGCCTTAAAAACTGCAGCCTCGCAAAGGTGTTTGAAGTTGCAAATGCTGGAAAACGAAGGTAGAAACAAGAAAAGAAATAAAATATAGAAACGAGAGGCGATATCCCTAGGAATAAGTAATCAAGATACCAAGCGACCAACTTCACCGTCCGATCATTTGATTTCACTTGGGAGGTCAAATTATTTCAAATAACCCCTTAACCTGGAGCTCCTCTGGAATAGCGGGAAGCAGTTCATACTTCAGAGTCCGGATGACATCTCTCAGGGCCAAAGACAACCCCCAATTGAGTTGGTTCAGCTAGCGCTGGAGCTGCGAACATGGGTGGAGGTAGGTGGATATACGGATGTCCACAAGTATTACTACTCACATCCGAAATGATATGTGGATACGGTGCTTCGCCGCGGAGGATGGAGGTCCCGGCGGCCCGTTTATGGCGCTTTCTCATCGAGCCTTTGCATGAACCTGGCCACTTGCGGCCCAGCAAGAATTTTCCAGTATGGCAGCCATCTAGCGTTAGGAGAGTCTTCCACGCAAAAGGCAGTCTCCAACCCTCTGCTCAGTGAGTGCTCAGTAGATGGCCAAGTGATGCTTTGAGGAATCTGAATTTCGATTACCTCCTGGTTAAAATAATTGAGTTCAAGGAATGCTACGTTCCATGTTGATCTCCTGTCAAACCCGAGACATACTCTCTTGAGTGGTTCAGATGGAGTATGCAGTAAGCTGTAGAAAGCCCATATTCGACCGGAAAAACCTTCAAGGTGGGGGTTCCAATGTCCTTAGCGATGGTTTCAATATTCCTCCGGGCGCCACCATTGCCTAACCTTAACCAAAATGCTAATCTCTGGTCATGTTTGATAGTCACGTTCAAGCTTTGGTGTACTAACTCCCATTTTGTTAGGTTGTCTACCAGTTCGTATTCATCTTGAGTATGGAGGGGATAATAATAGGGCTCAAAGAAAGAGCCCAGGCGCTGGATTAGCTTCAAAACAAGCATACACAGGTGTACCATGAACGAAAATACCGGAGTATACCAGCATAAGCAAGAAGAGTGATGAGGGAAGTGAAGGAAAAGCTTGGGTTGGATCTTGAACTCCAAACACATTGCGATATCTGACTGGTCTCATTCATAGGACTGGTAAAAACCTCGATCGATATTTACCTCCTGGGTAAGTATCTTTCAAAGGCACATGGTTCATGCTAGTTACTATTCTCAAGACTTACTCAAGCAGTACGCAGTAGTTAAAGACGAGAGTATTCAAATTTGTGCATGGTGCTTCCCAGCATTCTGTTGCATTATCTGACATCGTCAAAGTACTAGCCACGACTATGGAAATCCGTCGCATGAGAGTTGGTCGATCATTTCCAAATCCCAAATTCGGCGACCCCCTTTACGAGATGACACGGCAAGGTGCATGATTCCTCGGAATTGTCGTCTGTCATAAGTTTTGCATTGATGTTCAAGAAATCTTCCAGAACAATGCCCATGAACAGCATTGATATGTCATTCATTCTTGACCCAATAACAGTGAGGCAATATCCGGGATGAAAATCAGAGAGGGCGGCTAACTTGAAAGGCTCTTCACATATGCGCAACCGAGTGTAGTTGCGAAACCCACTGCCATCCCAACTAATCCGGCCTCAGAGATGATGATACTTAATATCAAAGCGACCTGGGCTTCGTAATCCAAGACGCATCCCATGCGGGGATGCTTTTTCTCGCCATGCCTGTCGCAGGTTTTGCTTGTATTGTTTTAGTTGTTCTTCCTAGTCGCATATTTGCTTTTTCCCATCTCACGTTGCCTAAAAAACGGTCTCTGGGCTCGGAGACCCATCGTGGAGCGTGACAGCGATAGCCACAAAAAATGTGGGCATGCACGGCACATTGGAATCAGGTCACTAAAAGCCTGGAACATGTTGACGAAGCCCTCCACATAGTAATATATTGTTGGGCATGACAGTATCCATCGGGAATAATAAAGCTTAGCGTATAGCAAGCTGTTCCAAAGAATTTCGTATTACCTTTGAATAGCAATTGACAATTGTTTACCCACACGATCCTTCTGTTGAAGTGATCTGTCATGTCGAAGGACCAGGCCGGGTCAAGGAGTATCTTAAAGACAGGCTAATATGCCGATCATCTGCCAGGAACGAAACCTTGAGTAAGCACTATTCTCCGACACAGTGGGCAACATCAGCACAATAGCTCAACGGTGGCTGGCAAGGGACAGGGTCCGAGAACGCCATCAATGAGTATTTGTTCAAATTCTCAGTCTGATGGGGTGGGTAGAGTATGTTCCGCGTTTGTAACCAAAGAAACATTGGAGAATCGCCCATCCCACGTCCTCTATAAACGCCTTTCGTAACTGCTCGCCCGGGAATGTATATATATATATACCTTGTCAGGATCAGAAATGTAGTTTGTGGCGAATGTTTAGAGTATTGAGAATAGTTGGCCAGTGGTATGAAACAGGGCTTCTTGCCGAACGACCCACTTTAAAAACAATCACGATTTCATGGGATCCCTCAGCCTTGTCCCGTGTGGCAGGGGTGGTGTGAGGGAATTACGGCAGCCTATAGTGACAAATGTGTCAAATAGGTTTTTTTGATGTTTTTCACTGTAATTACTTAATTCCACTATAGACACCTACCAATAGAAATTTATATGAAAGTTTGTCTACAGCAGAAACATCTCATTTTCATTTTGATTAACTAAAAAAAAAAAAAAAAAAAATTAAAAACATCAACTTCATGGGATATCATCAAAAAAACAAAAAAAGTGAAAACTGAAAACAAAAAGTGAAATCAAAAAGTGAAAACAAAAAACAAAAACAAAAAATGAAAATAAAAAGCAAAAATAAAAAGTGAACTAATTTGAGGTATTTTCATATTCTGATATATCACTTTCTGTCATGATTTGTTACAGATGTTGCATCAATTTCATATCTTTCTATTGAATTGTGATACATTTAGTATGAATAATGTATAGATTGATCACTAACACTTCATCAATTAGTATAATGATTAGTATATTAACTTGTAAAATTCAGTCATTTTCATATTTGTAAATTCATTAACTAAGACTGTCTCTGCAGTCTCTTGTAATATCTGAAGTACTGTTGCTTGAAATTGAATATCATCAAAAATATTATATATAATTTCATGAATAAGATATTGAAAGAGGACTTTGCAGATAAGAAGCTCAACAGATTTCTGATAATATCAGATTTGACATAGAGCATTTGCTAAAATAATTAAGTTAGATATTCAGCTATATATATCAAAAAATCTATAGATATATTTATACTTACTACTACTCTTTCAACAGTAACAGTGTTTTGAGTCTATATAAGTGATATACTGTTTTTTTGAAGAGTGTTTGTTTTTTTCTCTTCTAATTTTGTTAATTAAATTCTTTGTAGATCTCTTCTCTGCAACACATCTTCTTACTATTATTTTTATTTTTGTCATTTTTATGGCTATTTGATGATTCTAGCTGTCAATTTATTGATTAGCATAATAACTAGTATAAAAATAAAATATAGCTCACTTACATTGATAGAATTAAAAAAAAATTAAAAATTATAAGAAAGAAGAAGAGAAAGAGAAGCTAGAGAGAGCAGAGAACACAGAGAGAGAGAATGATAGAGTAAAAATAGTATAAGAAGATGAAAAGATTGACAGAAGAGAAAGAAGAGATATTTGATATTTATATATAGTTGATGAATAACACAACAACAAAATCACTCAAATAGACAATTCAAGAAAATGTAATAATATATTATATAGAATATGATCATTTATTCTTCAATTCTTTTGATTTTTTTTTTTTATTCATTATTACTACTACTGCTCTCTGCCCTCTACTCTGAGCTCATTTTTATATCAATTATTATATTGATCAATCACTTCTAGCCTCAGTTTCATCTCTTATCTCAGATTTTTCAGTTTTTATATCTGCCACAGTTGATTCTCACTTTCAAATCTATCAAAATGATATATTGTGAATCAAAATCTGAAACCACAGCTGACAAAAAATGAAAAGCAGAAGCAGAACTCTCAGTTAATTCTCATATTCAAAAAACAACAAAATAATGAATAAAAATGAATGAAGAAGAAGCCACAGTTGAACAGATCAAAAATGCAGATCACACAGCTGTCAATTACTATATTCAACAGTTGAAAAAAACTGAGATATTCAGAAAAGCAAATACTGAAGAACAATAGAAAATAATTGACAATAAAAAATCAAAAATCATGAGTAAAAGATAATTAACAAAATCTTGAAATCTTGTTAATATAGATATTGATAGAATATAGATTTAGCACAGAGATTACAGCATCAATACTGAAACAGAGACTGAAAGATGTCTCTAAATCAAATAAAAAGTAAGTTCTCTATTCTACTGATTATTATATTAATCATTCTAAGTATCAATCACAGACTCATGATGTGGAATCATTTGTTAGATTCTGAGAAAACTATACAAGAAGTGAAATGGCAGATGAAAGATAAACAATGATTTGACAAAGAAAATATATCAACTGAGAAAGATTCACAGACTGCATATGAGAAAGAAATAAAGCTGATGAAAAAAAAAGAAAGACTTTCTATTGTTTTATACAATCAATGAATTTGCTCATGAAAAGATATCAGCAGTTGTCTTTTTAAAAAATTACAATATTATTTTTTCAATAATATTGTCAGCTATTATAGTTTTTTGAAAAAAGTTTCAAATCAGAAGTTTTCTGTTTTGAAAATACTGCTTTGTATAGAACAAATTAAATCAAGATTGACAAAAGAATAATGAGAAGAGCAAATAATCAAAAAATCAAAAAGAATCATTGATGCTTGTAAACAGACTTATAGAGCCTTGAAAGAGAAGATGATCTTGAAGGAATTTATACAAATGATATGAAACTCAGATGAGTATATACTTTTTGTTTCAGAAAACTGATGTATTGTTTTGTTTTTATGATTATATCAATCATTCTACTAATCAATTTTTTGTGTGAAAATTTTTTTTTATGACTAAGAACTCTTAAGCTAGTTTAGTGTATTTTCTGTTTCAATTTCTTTTTTACTTTTTTAATATATTATTATTTTCCTCTTCTTCTCTTTTTTTTTAAAATAAATGAATATTTTTTCTTTCACTTTCTTTTACAATGTCTTCTACTGACTATTCTCATCTTCTTTTTTATAAAGATTTTATCATTGATCTTCATCAACAGAATCAAACTCATTAATATATTATCTCTCAATTAAAACAAGTTCATAATCTTGAAGTTAGTCAATCTACTCTTAGTCATTGTCTTTAGAAATGAAATATTAGAAAATACAAGAAATGAAAAATCAATGATGAAATTCAATATTTTATTAAAGAGTTGTTTTTACAAAGCTTGCAGAATACTGATATTCTATCTGTTGTTAAATAAAAACATTCTGAGTTTCAACTTTGTATATATGAACTTCATCAAATTCAGCAGCAGTTAAAACTTCATCAGCAAAGAGATGACTATAAGAGTGATGAGATACAAAAAGAGCTTATATCTACTGTACAGAAAGAGCTTGACAGTGAATTTATTCAGAAATTTGAAAGAGAGCATCTGTACACATATTTTAGACAGTAAGAGTATAGCATTTCACAGTATGTTTGATTGATTGATATAATAATTAGTATAATACTAATAAATTCAGAGATCATCTATTCAAAACAGTTCAGATTCTTGATTCAGATGGAATTAAGTATTGACTGAATAATCTTCAATATCATCAAGAATTCTATATTGTTTCTGAATCAAATTATCTTTGATCTATTGATGATTATTGCAAGCTTCAACACTGAGGAATTGAAATATATACAGCAATCAATGTATACTCTCAATATATTGTCTGAATATATATTGAAATCACCAACTGAACTGCTGTTTCTGTTCTTTGACAATTTTTTGATATTCTTCAAATCACTGATATATTTTCTCAGATTATTTGTTCAGATTGAGAGACTGAGACTTCAATGATTACAGCTGCACAACTCAAACTATATCAAGTAACTAATTCAAATATATCTTTGAATGATTGTTATTGATTTGAAACAAGTACACTAAATCAGCAAATTGAATCTTGATGAAGACAACTTGCAAAACAGTTGACAAATTATTGAAGAGTATGAAATTCTCTATTCTTTTCATTAATTATTATACTAATCTTCATACTAATATTTCTCTCAGTGCTATTTTTTAGATCTCAGTGATAGAGATCTATATCACAGCAATACTGTATTCAATTATATTGTCTTTCTTACTGTTTATATGTCAATTATTTGACAGAAGATGGCAAACTATATTGAAGTCTGAAATAATCATCAAATTTATACTCAATATAAATGATCTGATGAAGTATATAAACAGCTCTGAATGATGTATTATTATTCTGATAATACATTATAGTTTGATTTAAAATCAGACTTATAAGTGCTTTCAGAACTTCACATGTACTTTGAAAACTGAGGTATATAATATCTCTATCACTAATATTTCTATTTATTTAATATCATATAAGTACTAATACTTGACAGATATCAATGAGTATCTGCTGCTGAAGACAAAGAATTGATGTCAGAATTATATTTCAAAGTTAAGATTTTCTTCTGAAAGAATCACTGCTGCAGCTGTCAATGAAGCTGATGAGTATATATATAAAATAGTATATTTTCAGCTGTGATAACTTGTATACAATCATATACAATCTCAACAATTTTCTATTCTACAAGAATCTGAAAAATCATCTGATGCTTGAAACTGACTGACAGAACAATTACAGAAGTATGAGATGAATTTTAATAATGTAATGAAAATAGAAATCTATAATGAGAATAGTGAGAATGATAAGTCTGATATATCAAAGTTGTAACTTGTAATTAATTCAGATACAAATAAGTATTATAATAATCACTCTTTAATATTCTCAAGAATATATCTTTTAACATTGTTACTTTATTAATTGTGCTGTATATATTAAATTTAATGCTTTGTGAATTTTGAAATCTACTAATATAGAATAACTATATATATAAATATATATAATTGCAATGAATATACATCACAGTATATATATATACACTGAATACTCTATATCTTGTAATATCATTATCATCTCTATTTATATATTCAAATCTAGAGTTATTAATACTATTAAAAGATATTTTAATCATGAATTTGCTTACTTGATTAATATAACAATATTCTGTTGATTATATATGAATGATTTATGTATTGATTTGATATGTTATTTATTACTCATTATATCTAGATATGTGATGTGCTAATCTGTAATAGATAGTCTAGAGCCAATAAAAGTAGTTAGCTATTATACTAATCAATATACTAATCAAGTTGCTGAAATCCACATACACACACACACACACACATTCACATACACACACAAAATTTCCTCAGTTTTGCTTTGTTGTTTATTATCATCTTGATTTCCTTCACTATATGAACATCATTCTGTCTCAATTGTTCTAGATTTTCTCATGAAATATACTGTATTAGTGAAGCTGTCTGTTTTTATTGTGATAAAGTCAATTTATTCACATTGAAATCCTTCATCATCACTTCAACAAATGATGAAATCATTGTCATTGAAGATAGTCTCAGTTCTTCAGCTCTGACACTATCACTCTCTGCAATAATTCTTGATTCTAAATCTTCTCAGTAAGTATATTAACTGATTATTCAAAAAACACAGAAAGTTCAACAAATGATTCTCAATGCTGATACATCAATTCAATGTACATTATTCACAAAGAAATCTATTGTCAAATCTGAGCTGAATCAGCTCTTCTCATTGCAGAAATCCTACAAATTACTTATTTATATTTAAAAGTGTAAATACAATGATACAAAACTACAAACATACTACAACTGAGAGTTAATTTATAAGTATAAAATCTTCAATTAAAGAGTAACTCTAATCAGTTTTATATAGATAAAATCCAGAATGAAATCTACTCAGATTGTGAATTTTTCACTATAAAAGATTTTCTAGAAATTATAACTGTCAGACTTGATATATTCTGAAAGAATATTCTTTCTATTGTTTCTTCAGTTGATGTATTTATTTCTATCTTGATTATAGAAAAGAATGATGCAGTAATACTCACTTCTAATGTTTGAAAGTTAGATTTGAAGAAGTTATTGAGTTCATTTAAGAAAGTGCACTCATCAATCTCAACAACTACAATTATTCATATATGTCTTGTTATCTATAATAAGTTCAATTATCTCATTGAACAATCATCAGAATCAATAAATATTAAAATCAAATCATCAGATATTAAAGTCAAAAAAGAGAATATCTCTATATTAATAATCAAATACAAATATACTTCCTCTGTCAATTTATTCAATCTAAGTTGTATTAAATGAAGTCAGTCATCTCAAACCAAAATCAAATCTGAAGCCAAAGTTGACAAATCAGAGACAATTAAAATAGAGAAGAATCTATTCAAGTTGTTTAAGTTGAAGAAATTGAAACATAATATAGAATCAGAGACAGAGAAGAAATCTGTAAAGAAGATGGAAGACACTCTGATGAAGATAGATAAGAAGATAAAGAAGAAGATGAAAGACACTGTGATGGAGATAAAGAAGAGTCATTCTAATAAACTTGAAACACAAACAAACTATCTTGATTCATCTGCAAATGAAACAAGATTTCAGCATCAGCATTGAGATTGATTAGTAGAATGATTGATAGATTATAGTATACTTTGTAAAATTTGATATTAATACAAACAATTGTTTGTAAAATCTTTGATCAAAAAATGAATGCTATCTAACTGATCTCTAGATAATTTATAAGCTATCACTCATATCAACTTTTGATCAGATTCTTGTAAACAGAGCTCAGTTGCTGTTCTTGTAAGAAATCTCACTTCTCACAGATCTTTGACCACTATTCTTGTCTCTATTCTTATCTCTATTCTTACCCCTATTTTATCATATAATCAATAGAGTTAGTGAGTCTTGATGACATAAGATAATATAGAGCTAAAATATCTAATCAATAAGCTCTAATTGACTACAAATAAAATGAATATAATTGGAGTGTGTACACTGTAATGCTAGTATAAAAAACCTATTTGACACATTTGTCACTATAGGCTGCCGTAGGAATGCTCCACTCAAGCAGTGGGGGTGTCCACCGTTAGTTCATTGAGATGCCATGACGGCAAAAAATGCGGGAGGCTTAGTTTGTTTGAAAGAGCCAAGGTTATTTGCAGCCATAATAAACCCCCTTTTCGATTCTACCAAAAATATTACTCCCAATTGAAAAGCACTGCCTATGATATAAGAAAAAAGAAAAGAAATGGGTCTCGCCCATTACATTATTGGGCGGTGTCAAATGAGCGCAAGGATAGTATCTGTGATCTTCAAGATCAAGTACTGCGTAAGCAAAAAGGAGAACAAAGAAATGATTATCAAAGTCTAAAATGTTAGCGGCAGAAAAGAAGAGAACACGGCGGTGGACTCAAAATACGGCGAAAACCGACGGAACAACCAGTCACACTGGCAAGATGAGAGTTACTTGGCGTGGAAGTAGCTGTACTGCGGTCGAGAATTATAAACATCGACGAGAGGCAACGAGTCCGACTCATGAAAATCAGATTTTGGAGGCTGCGAGTTGCGCATTACAGACTCGTCATGAGATGAGCTATTACCGAATGTGCCTGATTTCTGGTGTTGCGTGTAGGAGAAGAAGCTGGGGAACAGTCTTCGAAGGAGTGATCGAATTGCTGGCATACATGCGCAGATGATGCCCACGTGGACCTCAATTGTACTCCAGTAGCCCATTTCGACGTAATCCCCTGGAAGTAGTTCAGTCTGAATTCATGAACATGTAATGCATTAACAATAAGGTAGACTCACAAGTAAAATTACGTGATTTAGCAAATTTGAGTAGTGATTGGAGGCGGAGAATGCTAACGATTGTGACGCTATCAGGTTTTCTCGTCAGCCTTTTATGTTGCAATGAGATGGGAATGGAGTGTGAAGATCAACGTACAAAGAACCGACGCTGAACATGATACATATGTGGATCTTCTTCTTGCGCCAGAGGTCCATTTGGGATAACTCTCTCAAAGGGAGAGCCAACGTAACGAAGTCCAAGACAATATTGATCGCCGCACTTGTCCAGCCCTGCAAGTTGATATTATTGCAGTGGCCTGGCGCAGTGCCATCCCACCGGAGCCATGCGGTTTTGATAGGAGAGCACTGGAATACGGATACGAGGATGAACACGATGCCGTATGCCAGAGTGATACCCATCACGATATATATTGCTATCCTGAAACTCTTTTTTGGGAATATGCGAAGATAGAAGAAGTGAAGGGACATTTTTGTCGGAACGATAGCCGAGAAGTAAATCCACTCGTCCCAATAGTAGATCTAGGGTTTGTCAGTTACGCAAAGAGCACGCCGATCTAGGAGGTATATTACGAACGTAAAGAACTTTTGTAATATCATCGAAATCAACGTGCCATATGTCTTTCCCGAGGCCGGCGTTTGCGACTGTTGGAAGGAGATTGGTTATTAGCTACATTGCCCCGCGGCTATCTCAGAATCAATGACACTCACTGAATACCGAGAAAACGGTGAAGGGGATTGCGAAGATCTAATATTGAGTTAGCCAGAGCTCAAGCGGCAGGGGAGTCATCCCGGGCTACTAACCATTGCTACAATTATCATCACATCGTCCATACCAAATGGCCCGCCATTGAAAAACGGCAATCTTGCCATCATTCGCAAAATGAACGCCAAAAACGCAACACCACCCCCAACCACACCAGCAATAGATACCACCTTAGTGCGGTCTCGGATTGGGCGTCCACATTTTAAATCAGATATCCGCTGCGTCGCTGCATTAAATCAGTAGCCGTTGATAGCGATTGTCATTGCGGTGACCACATACTCAAAGATTCCCTGACTGTACATTTCTGTTCCACGCATGGTGCAATCTTCGCCTCGAGTTCTGGGTTTGTGCAGGTGTCCATGCATTTCACATCTGTGAGCGAGCATAGCTGAGAGATTGCTAGTTTCGTACACTCGATCTGATTGCATTTTAGCTATGTTGCATATGTGACTATCCAGGACTCGCCCTACCGTGCATTTCGGTATATAGATTTTCTCTGCCTGCACTGCTGAAAATAGGATTGCAAGCCCCGTTAAGAAGATGTTGAAGGCCTTCATATCCACGGTCTAAGTACCACAGAGGCGGCGCGATGCCCAATTGCCGTACATGTGTAGAAGAGACTGAGGGGTCACGAAGGTAAACCCAATGAAAGTGAAAAGTTGACAAAGAGAAAGTCGGAAGAATTCAACAGGTCAATGTTGCGAGAATAGAAAATAAGCAGAACGAGGCTAATAATAAGGAATGGAAATACGAAATCCTGTTTAAAAAAATATACATGAGCGGCTGTGATTTTGACAGTGGACCAAAGTGAATTGTTCCCAGGGCACAAGGAGCAAGAGAAATTGAGATTCTGGCCGAGCATTGATAGTCCTTCAGGTTCAACTCGGCGTCAGCGCTTGACGGGGGTTCCATATTCCAGCTTCCGAAGGGTCGGCTAGGATCGCGGAAGGTCGCTCTCGGCTTCTCTCAAGTAATCGTATCAAACGGCTTATGGTCACAAATCGAGAGGTCAACTTCAGGAAGCATCACAAACAAACTTCAACGATGCGCAAGCAAATAAACTAAAAGCTGCTGACGCTGATCACCGACCAGAGGCTGAAAGCTAAGGGAGGAACAAACCCTGCAAGCCTCAAACATACCCATACTCGGGTGCCGTGGGGACAGTGTTGGCCCAAGAGTCTAGGAAAGAAGCGAGCCAAACAAAATCTCGATAGACAAACTAGCTACGTGCCTTCTTCGTTCCCATAAACGCAGTAAAAACGGGTTTCTACCCGCACGAGGCTTATCAGCAAGTATGCGAAATTAAATTCTGACCGGAAGCACGTTGGTTTTACCGGGGATAGCTTTAAGGGAGCATGCTATTCGACATCTAGCACGGGTCGTATCCCCTGAGCGTGATCAAGCGCTAACAACCTTGGAAATACTCGTGGGCCCCAGCAATAAGGATGCGAGTAGGGGGTAAGAGGCACGACGTGCTGGGTCAAAGCCGCCAACGCCCACCAACTCGAACCTCTCTTCAAAGGTCACACTTTGCATTGGCAAAGAAACTGTCCATGCCGGAGATCATAATGAGGATGGTTTCTCAGTTCTCAACCTCATGAGCCGCTTCTTACCACTCTTAATTAATTAAGAGTACGACTAGTCCTAACAGGAATGGGCTCCTCTAGACATTTTTCTGTAGTACACTCTCTGTCATCCATGTGTTTCCAGTATCCAAGTTTCTGAAGAAAAGAGAGTCTGTTGGATTGAGAGTTTGGCCTTCTTTCGATTCTAAATGGTCAATGTCGCGCATATTCAGTCCAGTCCATTAGCTATGATCGAGAAGTGCTCTCGTGTCCCATGGTAATGCTTGTATGTTGCAATGACAAAGCTCACTTCGCAGAGCTGCCGCCCACTAGAAATGAATACATTTCAATTTATCTGAAGGCATTCATATGTTGACTCACGCTCATACCCTTGTCATTCTGAAACCTTAAGGATTGGGAATCGGCACATCCGGACGGTTCTTGTTGATCCAAGAAGGCCGAGTCGATGTCACGGTGGGAGAATCTGATGGAGGAGGATGTCACGTGGCCATGAAACATGCAGCAAAAGCCTTCAAGCCACCAAGTCCAGTCCTAAGTTGCCCTGTCCGCCTCCTGAGTCCTGGACTCCTGGCAGCATAAGATAAGGATCTCCCTTTCCCCATGTTTTTCAAGGTTTCTTAAAAGAAGCTTATCACCAAATCCTATGAGTAATGTAGCAGGGGTTGGCATCGTTGCGCTAGTATGCATCCACCTCGCCGGTCCAATATGCCCGGTCCACCCCCTGCACAAGAGAGACGACTTCGACAAGTCCTCGTCCAGTGCCTGCTTGAACCGAGTCTACTTCCAGCGGGCGGCGATCTACTGAATAATGAAAATGGAGTCATTGGTTCATTCCAAGCCACGTCCAGTTCACCCTTCCATGCATGATGCTGCGCAACTGAACCCTGTCGGTTTAGGGCTTCACAGGTTACCTCCCCTTCCCGTGGTGGAGCTACTGTACTAGTATCGTAGGTCAGCAACATTCAGCAAAGCTGCTCAACCGCTGATGATGCGGCTGGATTTGGGGATGTGAATTCCTCACCACAGACTGAATGATCGGCCTCTGGTCGGTTTGGGCCGGAATATTTCCTGGACCTTCTGGCCCCCATTTGCCTCTTGCTCTTCGAGGTATCCATCTGTTCCCATTTTCCTTCGACAAAGCTTGCCTTGGTCGAACTGGAGAATCCATTCATTTTGTCACTCATTTTCGAGATCTTTGATCGTTTGATCTTGTCCACTCCTTTCCCAGACGCCGTATGATATTTTACATGAGCAGACTTTAGGTTCCAGTCATTCGTTTCATATATTCTTTTCTCAGAACCGTCGCCTTTTCGTTTGTGATGAAGTTTTCAATTCTCTCCTTTACCCTCCCTATTCTGGGGTTGGATGCGCTCGTCAATGCCCTGCCGACTGTGGAAAACATTGCTAGATTCAATGCGGATCAGTCTCACGAAGGATGTCCGTATGCGCAGCTTCAAGCCGAGCTCAAGCATAAGCGCGAAAAGCGGATGCTTTTCGACACAATGAAAAAACCCATCGAGAGTAAGATGGAAAATTGCCGTGTCTACCTGTGATAGTAGCTAACATTGAACATAGCTACTGGAAAACATGCTTTCGTACCACCCAACTTCGAAGCCGGTGATCAGCGAGGCCCTTGCCCAGGCTTGAACGCTTTGGCAAACCATGGATATATCCCACATAACGGGGTTACAACTGTACTTGAAAGTTGCCCTACATGGCTCATTTTACAATCTAACAGGTCTACAGACAGCTCAAGTTATCTTTGCGATCAACGATGGTGAGCGCTACCTACCAGCGAGCGCACCTTAACTTTTGATTAATATGACCTCTATGTGTAGTATATGGAATGGGCCTCGACCTTGCGACAATTCTTGGAGTCTTGGGAACTGTGTGGGTTGGGAATCCAATCTCCTTAACTCCAGGATTCAGCATTGGAGGGCCGACTCATCTGTCTGAAAATATCCTGCACGATCTTCTTGGCTTGGTTGGTATGAGAAGAACGAATTTCCAGTGTCTTTTGAACAGTATCGTTGATTATTCATGTCAGGCACCCCGCAAGGTCTAATCGGGTCTCACAACATGATCGAATCAGACTCTTCCAATACGCGAGATGACCTATATGCCACAGGAAATGCACATACACTTCGAATGGACAAGTTTATGGCTTGGTATAACATGTCCAGGGAACACCCGGTCGGGGATTATAACATGGACGTCATGGCACGCCGGGCAGCGGACAGATTCCAAGAAAGCAAATTTGAGAACCCATACTTCTACTACGGCCCAGTTACCGGTTTGATCAACCGCAACGCTGGGTACATTTTCCCCGGTCGACTATTCAGGAACCATTCCAGTGGAAACCCTCAGGGTGCCTTGAGTGAGTGAAACTTTCCATACCTCCCCGGTAGGCATCAGTGATGTTAAAAGAGATTTATCGCAGCAAAAAACATTATCAAGAACTTCTACGGTATTTATGGCGAAGAGGACTGCTTCGAGTACAAGGAGGGCTGGGAAAGGATTCCAGAAAACTGGTATCGCACGCCAGTCGATTACGGTCTAATCCAATTTAATCTTGATATCATTGACTGGGTTGTTAAATATCCCGAGTTGGCAAGGTTAGTTCTTCCAAGGCTGCTGACCTTAACTACTATTCCAGGCGTATATAGATCTCAGTATATGGTCGTGGACAAAGAGCACACATACTAATAATACCTTCACATTGAAGCATCGGCGGTAACATGGGCAAAATCAACACTTTCGCCGGTATCGACCTTGGCAATCTTACAAGCGGGATTGCAAACGCCGGCCATATTCTCGAAGAAAACAATCTCATCTGCTTCCTTCTCCAGTTCATCAAAACCTTCGCTCCCAACGTTCTATCTAGCACCGTCGCTACCCTCGAAGCCCCACTCAAGCTCCTGACCGAGACTATCAACACTCCTCTCCTTGATCTCGGCTGTCCCGCAATGGCTGACCTAACCAAGGGCGGCAAGCCTATTTGGGATGTGTTGCTGGATACATTTCCCGGTGCAAAGAAGGGCGGGACTCCACTCTGAATTCTGAACTAAGCGGGCCTTAATTCTCAACCAATGTAGGTTTACATTGATTGGATATAGCCGAAAGTAGCCTAAACTCTTGAATAATATCGTTTGATTCTTTAGCCTTCTTTTCAACCTATCTACTGTGTCTGCGGTTTCGTTGTCCCAGACAGTTCTTCATCATCAAGTTGGCTATCAAACATAGCTAGTTCTCACTTTTATCTCTCTCTATTATGCATGTGCAGGGCGCGTTTGACCTTAATTCCTCGGGCTCATATTTTTTAATGTGTGTTCCATGTATGTCGTAATGGCTGTTTTCAACTAGATACTTTCTTCTTGTGGAAACAGCGAACCCCAAATATTATTATTCTCATGCTTGTCATAGTTGTTGGGTTGGTTTACTATGCAGACGCCAAGTCAATATGCGAATGTCAAACTGCAAACTTATCAACCTTCACGAATGTCAATATCCAATCAAGCCTCATGTTCTCAACAACTTGTATTAATGTATAACATGGATGTCCCTGTTGCAGCAAATGTTTTGGGCACCATTGGCGCTGTAAGCTCAAATCGCGGTTGTTGATATAATTTTTACCATTCCTGAATTCAAGTTCTAACAGCAACGGCAGGTCTGCTGGTGTATCCAGGTAAGCAGATTTGGGGGATGTATGGCTCTGAATCCTCTACCGAGAGATCGAATAACGTTAACCATTTGTTTTCCTAGCTACTCCCTCAAATCGCAGTAAACCATCGGCGCCACCACACCGAGGGTCTACAGCCTTCGATGATGATTCTATGGGCAATTGCTGGCGTTCCGCTTGGGACATACAATATAGTTGAGGAGTTCAACATTGCCCTGCGGATCCAGCCTCAGATTTTAACGCTGCTGAGTCTCGCAACTTGGACGCAGTGCATGTATTATGGAAAAGTATGCACATTGATTTTATCATTTTGGTCTTATATCCAACCCCTCCCCCCCTATATTGCTCTCGAGCACGCATTGCTAAGCATACGCATACACATATATGTATTTCAGAAATGGCCCGTGAAGAAATGTCTCATTACTGTTTTTATTCTCTGCGCCGTGTTCGGCGGTGTCCAAGCCGCCCTAATATTTTTGCTCCGAATCGCAAAGCATCACGAAGTCCAATGGCCCATCACCATGATGGCCATTTTAAGCGCCTGTCTCCTCGTTGCCGGTGTGCTTAGGCACTACTGGGATATATATATCCATCGGACTGTGCGGGGAATAAGTTTCCTGTTTGTGGCCATTGATGCGGCGGGTGATTTATTTTCACTGGTTTCTATCTGTATGCTTCATTTCAAACTACGGCCCCGTTCCCCATGTCACCACTCCCTATTGCAAGAAGATCACTCAGTAGTTATATCATCTCCTATGCCGATACCACCTTGTCTAACAATTCAATCTAGTATACCAACCCACACTTGATATACTCGGGATGGCTATCTACGGAAGCGAGCTAGCCTTTTGGTTGGGAATCTGTGCGTGTGGTTTCTTTATGAATTTCTCCCCCTGGATTAAGAAGAAAGCCAGAGCATGGGGATATCGTGCGGAAGAAGAGTCTAGGAGTGAAGAAAATGAACCTGCGACACAACAGCCCCAACAAATTTACCTTCAGGAGGTGCCGTCATCTACCTCTGTGTTTCAAACAGCGTCTGGGACAACGGACACGCTGAGGAGGAGAGACACTGTTGTGCAAGAGCCATAAGAGGCCAATGAACAAACATCGGCTCTAAGTCAGCTCTATCCCTGGAGACTGGCAAGGGCGCTTGGTCAGGTTGGGAATCATGATAAAGAAGTTGTAGATAGTCATGTAGTCCTCAGCGTCAAGCCATCCGAGTTCATCACCGGGGCGAGGAATTCCAGATCGAAGCACGAAAACTGATGGTATACAAACTTCTTAAATTACATTCAAAGCATACAGATCTATATGTACAGTATTCGTACAGCATGTTGCTTTATGTACAGTCTATAAAGAAACAATTTTTTAGGTTCTTTTGAGCCATTTCCCTCTGAGCGGATGACGATGCACACAAAGGCCTGCCTTTTCTGTTTGAAAAATTGGGGCATGTGAGTTGACACCCATCTCTAACCCAACCATCTTTAACATGCGCCAACACAGCCCTCCTGACAAGAGCTTGCAAAGTATTAAGGATATGAAAACAAAACTGTCCTGAGTAGTCATTTGTGACCACTTCTTTCCGTTCTATGGGTTCCAAAGCGGTACCGACATGCCGATTTCCGAGTGGTGTCAGATCTATACCATATAATCCATCTTTCTCAAGTACTGTTACTTTCTGAGCCGGAATGCAGTTCAGCGGGGAGTTTCATCATGACTCTGCTCTCCCCTCTTCAACCGCAACGACGACGACGGCACAGATATCATCGATTTTACCACCTCTCCATTTATCCCAAGGGTAATATCGCTGAGCTTCTTTCGCAAATGGGCCGTCCCTATGACGATCCATGCTGGAAACTTTCGCCTGCCGAACGACTGTAAGAGCGAGGCGATCCTGCAACGGAAGGAATCTCGTTCGAGGGTTAGATATCGGTTGCTTGGATTGAGAGTCGTTCGTCGATGTGGAGACTCTGGGGGCTTGAACAAGGCCGCCTTCGTGAGTGAATTTATCAAGATCAGCAGCAACGCTAATCCCCGATTCCGAAGTAACGTTCCAAGCACCAGCAGTTATCATTTGGTCTGTTATGATATTTAAAATATCCTGGTTGAAAAGGTTGTCGAGGACGCCGTCCGTTGCTAGAATGAGCACGTCACCATGCTGCATTTTCAAATTAGTTACACTCGCATGGCAGGGGAAATCCTCGAAGATTTGACCTCCGAACATTGACGATTGGATTCGGATGAGCGGCGGTATCAAGGAGAGCTGGTAAGGAGCATTGAAAGCGTGCGTTTGAGAAATGGAGTACTGATGAATGGCTGCCAGTCGGCAAAAAATGGATCCTGAATCTCCGAGACTGGAATCGAATTTTTTGCTGTTAACATTACAAGGTCATACACAGGGCTTCGTCATGTAGCGAATAGACAGGATATTTACATACTTCGCAAGTTCCACCCTCCCATCATCATGCCCAATGCCAACGCTAGCGGTACTTCCACCTGCAAAAATAGATTGATCTGCTAAGCATCTCTCATAGCCGGCCTGCATCAGAGCCCTGGGGCTCAATTTTTCGACTTTTGTATTCCAATCTAAAGCGGCCTGAGCCATGTTGCTGCAGAGCGCATGGGAGAAATCCGCCGGGTCCACACCCGATTGGGACCAACCTCCTACACCATCTGCCACGCCAAAAGCAACAGTGTTGGGTTCGCCGTTCACCTTGCTCACAAAAAAAGCATCCTCTCCACTATCAAACCGGGACATCCTCCGGGCGAAAGGCGTTGTCCCCACCTGTAGGCCTAAAGCCGCATCCTTTTCCGGCCGAAAACTAATGACATTTTTCGTGGGAGAAAATCGTTGTCCTTTTCCAGACGCGGACGCGGCGATGCGATACGTTATGCGGCGTCCCGATAGAGTGAAAGGGCTCGAGTGGAACGACCTCGTCGACCCTGTGCTCCGCCAGTGCGTACCGGGGAATGGGCACGGGGATTGAAAACTCGCTCGAAACGCAGCCGGTCTGGACAAGAGCGACCGACAGGATCCTACTACGTTCCGCAGCTGCATTGGACACAAGCTCCGTAGGCCACTGGTTCCGGCGACTATAGCCGCGTCCATTCGAAAAACTGGGCTTTGCCCTCCTGCGCAGGAATGACCCGCGAGGGCATCTGGGACACGCTCTGGAGTTCAACACGGGTGAAACGCATGTGCTCACGTGGCTTTCGGAGGCAGTTTCCAAAAAAAAAAAAAAAAAAAAAAAAAAAAAAAAAAAAAAAAAAAGTTGGAGCGGTGGGTAGAGATGCGGAATATTCGTTGTTTGGGCACTGCGGAAGAATTGATGAAGCCAAGAGTTTTATTTATCCGACCTAGCCGCCTAAACAATTATTATGAAACAAGCAACCTCCTTGATACATTGAGCAAAGAAAGGCTCACATACTCGGATGTAAATCAATTTCATATGCGAAAGGTAGAGAACGTATTGAGAGACTTGCACAATAGAACCATAATTCATTTCCCCCTTTCAATGCAGAGCAGAACCCTCGGGTGCGTCTAGCGTTAGGCGCGCGTGAATTCAGAAATGGACTGGCCAACCACCGAATCCTAACATCTAAATTCTCACAAGCGACGGAACATCACATCAAATAGCTTGCTTGACTCCCTTGCTTCTAGCATCCGCTCGCAATTACAACACCGTTTGAGGATTTCTAACCTGCATTTCCATCCTCCTCCCTCATTCTAATCGAGTGCAGACAGGCTTTTTTCAAATTCTAACTCTCTAACCTGAAGTTGGGGATGGCTACTTATCAACCTTGAAAATGAACGTGCATTAGTAATAAGGGACAGGTGTGAGACATGAACGCTCCGGATGCGCCCATGGGTCATTGTCCACCAAGGACTGGACATTTTCCAGATAATCTTTGCTGTTTGATTGTCTAGAGCCGCCACCGGATTCTAGGGAGATGCAATTCTGCAATGCCGTCTCATGAATGATCGGCGCTTGGTGGTTAAACCAGCCAGAGGTTACTGTACAGACGGTTTTTTTTCGTGGGCAACAATTTTACTCTTTTCAAAGATCTCGACCTTGAAGCTGGTTAGTGATGGCTGACCTATGGCTTGTTCTGCAACCACGCGACGAGAATGTCATATAGATATGTGAAGTAGAGAGGTATTTTGATCCCATATATGTTCCAATTGCATATGTATATTCAGTCGCCATGCCGGAATCGGCAGTTTGATTTTTGGTTTCTAGATTTCTATCCAGTTTCCCGCGTTAATGATAATAATAACGGCTTCGAATATCTAACTTAATTATCGATATCGAGGCAACTCGTCCATAATTTATTAATTTCATTCCCACACCTTGTCTCGCTCATGTCCGGATCGCGGACTCCACCCTTTTCGCATAACAACAATCCTTTGGGAGTTGTTATAAAAACACAATAGGTCCTGATCTAATAGAATAAATCCAATCTCGCATACCAGATAGCACCTAGAAGATGCCAGGAATGATTCTCCATCGGACTTTCTCACAGTATTCCTCCCAGGTCTTCCCGTATTTCCTGGCGCATCGCTGCTCATCTCGATAGCACCGGTGGACGAGTATCGTTGTCATGAATATGGCGTATGTCCACGGGAGCAAGTGAGTGAACCCGCAGGTAGCACACATTGCGTAGGATAAGATGAGATCACCCAAGTAGTTCGCATGACGGACAACTCCCCACCATCCTGTCATGAAAAGAATGCGCAATGGACGGTTCAGCAATGAAATTCACAACTACTACAGGTGGTAGTTTTAATAAAGAGCGCTGGGATAGTGTTTCAACGTACCGGAACATAGAATAATGGATTTGTGCGTCGATCCATCTGTGGTCTTATACTTGCATTGGATATACTTTGGCGCCCTCCCCCATATTAAACATTTGCCCTGGGTTTCACGCACGAGGTATTTCTGGTCATTTGCGGACCGGAACAGAGCATATCCACCAAGCCCAGTGGTCAAAATCGTAGCTGCAGCAATAGGAGAGAGAGAGACTGGGTGAATTGCTAGAAATTGGGGCTGCAAGGTGTAGATGGTGGGAAGCCAGGCTGCCGAGCCCCAAGCTAAATAAAATCCGACATGGTCATGAGCCATATCGAGGGTTTTGAGGTACCTAACTCGCATTTATTTTTAGAAGAGACATTTCAAAATTTCGCCTTTGTAGAAAACACACCAATGCTCATTGAAGAAGAAGTCTATAATATAAACCAGGTGAAGGATGTCGGCAATAATAATTGAGCTCGTAATGTATCCGTGCCGTAAAAATTGGAGCGCGGTGAAGGACATGTCACTATGAAAAATAGCATTGTTGTTAGCTCATACAACGCCAACTAGGAAAACATTTGAGGGTCTCACATTAATATCCAACCAATAATACCAGGACGACCATTGTGGAAAAGTTTCATGTCCCATGATTGGCCCAACCGCGGGTTGAGCTCGATTCCCATATACAAGTCGTAGATGGGAGACCCTGTGGAAATGTCAGTGTGGCAAAATTCTAATAATAAAGTCAACGCTGCGTGATCTAACCGCTGAACTTTCTGTCTTCTGGATGTGATGGCGAAATGTGGGCTTTAAGGTAGAAAGCTAGAGTGAGAAACAAGCCGTAAATATTGAATGTGGCCAGAAATGCACCCCAATTTGTGGCGACAAATGATGAAGCAAGAATACCACCCCGCAGACTTATCGCGCCAAACAGGAGCACAGTGACAACGACAGCCAACAATCCGTTGATTTTGTACTTGAGGACATTTCCAGCAGGGGTGGGCTGTCCTTCATACGTAGACCCTGGGAGAAAACTGTACAGCAGCGCTTGAAAAAGAACCCAAGCTCCGTAGACAAGAGTGGCTCTCGGATTAAGGACGGGGCAGTATTCGCGATAAAAGGAAATGAACCCCTTGTTCCTGAGCGCCACGGAGGCTGACAATAATGAGCCATCAAAATGGTGTAGCGTCACATACCAGAAGATAATGGCAGCAGGGCATGCCAGCATTATCGCAAGAGACAGTGCACCCCGAAATCGAGGGACATGGCTCCGCCTGCCCCAGGATGGGATAACGTCCTTTGAAATACGTTGAAGTTTATAGCCCTTCTGGTCCGAATGACAAGGAGGGCCACTCGAAATGATATCCTCCATCTTCTCAATCGAATGTGGCAACGGACCAACGTGTAGCTGTGATCAACGGCAGACGGCGAATGGGTTTTCTCGACGTGGGAGGCTGTGGATTGTGGACGGGACTGCGTTGAAACAGGCTGGAAAGGAACTGTCAACATCGATCTAAATCAGCACAGACAGACGAGACGCGCAACAAAACTTTATATTTCGAGTCAAGTGTATGAAGGGGCAAGTGGGCCAATGCGTCCGTCAGAGGCACGGATCTGGTACGACGCCAGGAGCTGTCTCATGGTTGGACATCAAACGAAATATAACAAACAAATTTACCGAATACCATTTCTTAACAGAACACACTTCCACCTGCATCCTGCCCGGCCTCGCATCCTGCAGCCGCGTCCTGGGGCCAGTGCCACCCTTTCTTCCTGTCTTCCGATGGTCATGCAGGTGCCAGGCGGACAACAACAACAACAACAACAAAAACAAAAACAACAGCAACCAGTTCTCTCGGCGTTTGCAACCCGCAGTCCTTCTGAATTTTGAGGCCAATAATACAGAGTGCATAGTACATAGTTTCCCCTCTTCTGCAGATCAGCGGTCAACAGAGAATATTGCTACATGTGGCATCGAGCTTCGAAGCTATCAATAGGTTTGTATTATATATTGTTATGTGTCCATACGGCAATTAAAGCGGGGTCATGCAAGCAATCCAGTATGGAATTGGCCCCCCGAATACAACAACAATTTAGTGATTAACTTATTATTCGCTGGTCTTCTGCATTGAACATTCACGAGTCGAGGTTCATTCGGTGCAGGAGCTTGGATGTTGATAGCTCCAGCACTAGCCCCGGTCTAGCTGCAGATTGAAAATCCACCTTTGGGCAGGGGTCTGTGGCGGCGAGATCACGTGTTGCTCGTGGGAGAATTCACCTTCAACATTCAAACATTCAGCATTCAATACCATGCCACCATTATAGCATTCCTGTAGGTTAAGACTGTGTATAGTGGTTTCTATAATCCGGCGCACTTCAATTCGGCCAACCTTACTCTATCTCTTTTCCGAGAGACCGGTGGGACAAGATGCATCCTGCAAGACGGGCATATGTCAATGATGCCGCAGAGGTAGGCATTTTGAGCCCCGCCCATTGCCATTCCTTACGGTTATATATTACCCTCCTATCCGTATGGAATTGTTCACACAGAATTCCCTTAAAAGAACATTTGCGCTTCCTGCCGTTTTGATTGCTTACGTTAGCTGATCAGTGCCATGCCTGTTGGAATATAGGATACGGAAATGGGGATTGATTTAAATGCTGTCCGTAAGTAACAAACAAATGAACACATTATTATCTCACTTCTTGTTTATTTATCCTATAAACTTGCCGATGGCCAGTGTACTGATATTCTGTTTTCCGGAAACTTAGCGATCGACCGGGACTATGACATGCCTGCTGCTGCTGCGGGCATTCCCCCTGAGAAAGCTTCTGCTATCCTGTCGCAATTTTCCCGTCGCAGAAGAGCTGCCGCAATTGCCGTTCCCACCGAAGATAGTCGAGTTCGTGCCAGATTACGCGAGCTTGGACATCCCATCACCCTTTTCGGCGAAGATGCTACAGATAGACGAGACCGCTTGCGTGAGCTATTGACGGACCTCGAGGAGCAGAAGGAGGCTGTTGACGCGGCTGCTGCTGAAGAAGGAGAGGATGTATCTATGAAAGAGGGAAAGGACGGCGATGAAGAAGAGGCAGAAGGTGAAGAGGAGTTCTATACTGCTGGTGGACCAGAATTATTAGAGGCCCGGCAGAAGATTGCTAGGTATTCACTACCACGCGCAAAGGCCAGGGTTGAGCGGCAGAAAGAAGAATCTACCATCCCGCTACGTACACATATCAAACATCGCAAGGCCGTGAAAGAGAAATTACAGAGTTTTGATCTCTATGGTTCCCAAATCGCGGGCGAGCGTCCAGTCAGCATTTTGCGCTTTGCTCCGGATGGTCAGACCCTAGCAGCGGGAAACTGGGGAGGAGGGATTAAACTTCTCAACGTGCCAAATTTAGATGAAAAGGTTACATTACGGGGCCATACGGATCGCGTTGGTGGAATTTCATGGTATCCAGGTGCTACGAAACCCGAATCTAACGTATCAGAGTCATCTGTCAACCTAGCGTCGGGAGGAGGTGAAGGAAACGTCAACCTTTGGTCTCTCACTCAAGATACACCAGTGGCGACATTGTCTGGCCACTCAGGACGCGTTTGTCGCGTGGAATTTCACCCTTCAGGAGATTACCTTGCCTCTGCTTCCTACGACACAACTTGGAGACTTTGGGACGTCGCGACTAGCACTGAGCTTCTCCTACAGGAAGGCCATTCTCGAGAAGTTTACTCGTTGGCATTTAATTCCGATGGCTCTCTCCTTGCCAGTGGTGGTCTGGATAGTTATGGGCGCATCTGGGATCTACGGACTGGTCGAACCGTTATGATTTTGGAAGGACATATCCGAGAAATATATGGCCTGGATTGGGGCGCTGACGGATATCGTGTGCTTTCTGGCTCGGGTGATGGCTGGGTGAAATGCTGGGATATCAGACAGGTACGGTGCACAGGTGGGGTAGGAGCTCATCGCGGCGTTGTCTCAGACCTCAGGTGGTATAAAGGAACTGAATCAACAGCTTCATGCCTCCCATCCATCCCGTTGCAAGACCAGAATGGCGTCGCAATCGACAATCCCGTTAGCCCTTCAATACCAGGAGATGACCAATCATCATCGTCACCCTCACAGCCAGTACAACCAAAGAAATCGGGCACCTTCTTCGTTTCTAGTGGGTTTGACAAGAATGTCAACGTGTTCAGCGCGGATGACTGGTCACTTGTCAAGTCCTTGAGCGGACATTCCGGAAATGTTCTTAGCGTCGATGTGAGCGATGATGTGAAATGGATTGCCAGCTGTGGCCACGATCGTACGGTGAAACTCTGGGGCATTGACAGTTGATAGCAATGGCAATGTGAACCGACCAAAGCCGCTCTTGGCTACTGCCCGACCAGTAGGGGGGAACCTGTACTCTGCAACCTTCAAGATCGATCCGGATATCCTATCTTCCGTCATTGCGATTTCGCTTGTCCCATGTTTGGCCAATGTTTGCGATTATTTTGACGTATAATTGGAATGACCCATCGAAACGTACTTGCCGCAGAAGGACGGAAGAAGCAAACTCAAAACAATAAACATGGGAGACTCCGAAATATTTGACCCATTTTAACAACCACAGTATCTATACTCTGTGTGCTGCTAAGATCTCTAACCCGAGGTTAAGAGTTACTTGAGATATCAGAAATCGAAGGACGTAAAAACTGCTCATAACGAGCTAATTTCATGATAATCTGAAATGAGTTAAGAGAGTACTTCATTTTTTCCCGGCCTATTTATACAAAAAAATTTTAACATCCACAAACCATCAATGCAACATCTGGGTTGCATGTCCAGAAGAGGCATCGCCATGTAAGAAGAGTGTTCTGCAAAAAAAGGGATCATAAGGAATTCGTCATATCCAACAATAGTAGCAAAAGACATACACTCAAAACAAACCATTAGGTTAAACATGTAAGGAAATGAAAGCGCATGTCGAAACAGCGCCGGGACATAGTTGAACGTGGTGCTAAAAAGTTCAACCACTATCAATTGCAGCACACCTAGCTATTTTTCCAGCCCCGCCTTTGCACCTCATACACTATACACTTATATATATTATCTACGGATAGCTATCCCGATGTCAACGGGAGAGCATGCTTATTTCCTCTGGGGGTTAAGGGTTAGGGCCTTGCAAAATACGCAAAATCAACATCATTGAGAGGAATCGTGGAATATGCACTAGTGCATGCAGGGGTGAGATTCGTCAAAAAAGCCCTATCCCACGTGGCCCACACACATATCCATTATATTAGCTGCCGCTAGCCACTAGACTAAGAATAATAACCAGCCAGGTCTTATAGTTTTTACACCATGCCAGATTAGGACCATGCCGGGCTGTTTTTCCGGCCCCGGATCGCACCATGACGAACCTTTTTAGCCCCGCGTTCAAGGTTGAGAAGCAACTGCATCCGATCTTCCGCTGCCGCCGCCTCTGATGCACAGTAGTGGTGGCGGCCCAAGGGGCAGCTGCAAATAAGACGACGACAAAACCTCAACAACGTTCGGCTCGCCCAGATAGTCTTCGTGCAGCCAGGCACTCAAACCACGATCTTCAGCTGAAAGCTGTATCTGCACCGAACGAGATTTCTCGTGAAACTATGCGTGAGCGAAGGGAGACAGAAGATGTCCAGAAGCTCACCAATATTAGCCGCGAGGGGTTCCAGGGGAATATCAGGATGAGAGCAGTCGATAAGAGCAGGGTGATTGATCTTTCCGTCGTTGTTTTGCAGCCAAAGGATGCAAAGGCGCAAAAGGCTGTGCACATTCAATGACTAGTTTGAGATGGTGGAGACGCATTGTTGGGACGAATTTGGTGGCGGAATCATCCGGGAGGTGGCTGGCGCTGATCAGCAGGGAGATTGATTGGCCAAGGATTGTCTTATTGGGCAACTTGGTTGTGATTCTGAAGGCCGAGCTTGGGAGTTTGGTTCGAGATGAGAACATGGACTGCTTCCTCTCTCATGGTTGGTTCGTAGTTTTCAAACTCTGGGAGGATCACTTTCCCGAAGAATGTCCAAACGGATGGGGTTAATATTCGGACATTCCATCGTTCCGACAGTTATGAGCCCGGGTTAGCTACCAATCGCTATACTGATATCCATAATATATCCATCTGATTACATCCTTATCTATCTATCCGATCTCACCGACCTCCTCATCGGCGACGATTGCGGCATAACCTATATCCGTTCGATGTATATCGTCCTTTGTTCGATTCTATATCGATTTTTTATCTATATCCAAACGACCAAAATGTCAACAGAAAATCTGTCATCAAAAGCACCGCCCTTCATGGATTCCTCCAAGAATTGGAACTTGTGGTACAAGATGATGCTAGGTCTTGCCATAGAACTACAAGTACTGGATCTTGTCAGTGAAGAAAGTCCCAATCGAACGAGCCAAATACCTATACCTTCTCCTCCAGAGTTCCCTATCGAGCACACCACGGAAGCAAAAGTTAGATGGGATATGGAGAATACTAAGTATAACAATGATAGAAATATCTATCGAGATAAGCTTGAAGGTGTCAGTAGGATCAAGAAGGAGATCTTCAGGACGGTATCTGCTAGTGAGCTAGAGATAGCAACTGATGGAAATGATCTCATTGATTTCAAGGACCTTCTGATTGCTCTTAAGAAGAGATTATCCCCTAGGACCGCGGACCGCCAATATTAAGTACGGCAGAAGTATCAGAACCTGCAAAAGGTGCCTAAACAGGTGGTTAGATGCTTGGACACTGATTGAATAGGAGATCAAGCACTCTGTTATAGATGGCAATTTTGATATGTGGAAGGACTTCCTCTATGCTAATATACCCATCGACAATCCATATGTCACCGTTCGAAAAAGGGAAATTGAGATAGGGGGTAAGGAGAACTTCTCCTTCGCAGAGGTGGTAAATGGTTTCCGATCCAAATATCGCAAAAAAAGGGTATACCAAGCCAGGACTGCTTGTGTCCAATCTTGCTACCTTGAATGGTAGGCAAGCAGGACAATCTAGACTAGAAGCGATGCCATTTACCTTTGATGACATGCTCTTGCATCTAGATATGCAGATAAATGACCCGCAGAACCAGCGCCGATTAGCAAGCCAAAGGTTTCAAGATGCTTATCAAAAAGACTGGCAACCGATACGCGACTTCTCCAAATACCTCGAAGATTGGGAATATTACTTACCCCCATACAATGAGCAGCAAAGAATGGATAACCTGCGAAGTAAAGCTTTACCAGTGATACGCAATGAACTCCTTCGTTATACCCAAGAACTCGGAGATGATGACGAACCCCTTCGAAGATGGCAGTTGATCGATGAAAATATGCCGGAGCGACGGCGAGCTATTCGTAAGGGCAAGCCTGCGAGGTTTATAGACAACCAACGTCGCCCTGGTAAATCTAATAGCTGTCAGAACAAAAGGAAACGAGAGGAGCAAACTGATTCGACTCAAGATCCACCGGAACCTGCGCCAAGAGCGGCTGATACCTCGGCAGAAAGCACCGCAAATACAATCAACCGGAGGCGTAGCCGGGTACCACTTTGGCAACTGGAATTAACGAGATCCTGGCATGAGTAGACATCCTCCAAGAAATGATGTGGAGAAATTCCGGGGTCGAAGCATGAAGGAATCTCAGACTTTTGTTACTGCTGCTATTGCATTTCACACCAGTGATCTTGTCTATTACAGTGAATATGATCATTGCAAGATCATCGAAGCAGTTACTCATTTCGATATTGACACGCAACGGCGCTGGTATCAATATACACATAATATTCAAACTCTACCTCCCTGGGAATAATTCATTAGCGACCTAAGAAAGATAAGTATAATTGGATGAAGGTGTGCTCACATTGTCACAAGAAGGGTCATGTCGCGAATGGTTGCTGGATGTTATACCCAGAGAAGTGTAACCAGGTTTGACAAGCAAAAAACCAGCAATCCCAATTGTAGGAGCTGCTGCATTGGGAATTCGAACTACCAAGCTGCAAGATAAATGTTCATTAGCAATGAATACCTGGATGTTAACAGATGCTGGGTGTTCTATAGCGTGGACATTAGTGGACTCAGGAGCAGATGCGAACTTTGTATCCCACACCTGGGCATCCAAGTGCCTTTCAAAGACGGAAGGTAAACCAAAGGTTACTCAGGCAGTCGAGCAAGAGTCTGCATTTGTGGAGCAAGCCATCCCTGGATCAAATGCTACTATCTCAATCCAAGTCAGAAGCCAGAAAGATGGGAAAAAACGAAAACCGATGTAAGAAGATTGTTGAGGCACTAAAGAATGATGATATCAAGAAGAAGATAGATGCAGCATTACCAGAGCTGCTTCTAACACTGAGATGGTAGAACAAGCACTAGGTGGCATGGTTCTTCTAAAAGGAAAGGGAGAACCTACTGATCAACCTATTGATCAACCTATTGATCAACCTATTGATCAATCTTCTGTCACTTCTGATATCACGCCTGTCGATTGATCGATAAAACGGCTAAAGACGAGTGTCGAAAAATTCTCCTTCTAGCTTTCGCCCCTATCTTCGAGATTCCTGGATATTTGATACCGGCGCTGAGTGGCATATACGCAATAATCGATCGACATTCCTGACATCCGAATCGGCAGAAGAACAAGCGTATACTGGAGATTCGACAACAAGGGTTGAAAGATAAGGAACAGTTTGGACCTATGTGATCAATGTAGGGAAGCAGTTCAAAATGATTCTAAGGAACGCTGCTTATGTTCCATTCTCCCATCCGGTGATGAATATAGAGCGACTCTGCCTTGAATAACATAGCCGAGTATGTATGTATTCGTTTAACGTCCCGGGGGCTGGTGTGGTGCTGCCTGCGCCCCCGGAGCCTCCCAAAGGGCATGGAGGCGTGCTACGCTGAAGAGATCCCTATATACATAGTAAGGGGGAGAACAGGATTCAGATAGCAACTCTTGAAAGACTCAGTCCTTGGGACTGTGCATCCACTTCTGGCTAACATAGCCGGGTGACCACGCAGTTGGAACATAATTGAGCACAATACGGAGTGGCATAATTTTCGATTGGCTTGGACGGTATTCCTTGGTGGAAATTAAAAAGATATCGAACTGCACGCTGATGTTATAATCACCCTCGAGTAAGAAGCGAGCAACCCTATGGTGTCCACCTTACAGATTTCCGGTTTATGATATATCGGGTTTCGTGAGACGATTTGATATAGCTAACTCCAATGACAAGGCATCTCCATCTGGGACTGTTTGAAAGATAAAGCAAGATACCCTGAAAATAACTAAAGCTGGCCGCGCAGGTTCTGCCGGCTGATGCACTTCAGGGCATCTGCCAGCCCAAGTGCCCTGTTATCTCCCGAAGGCCAGATTCATCGGCAAATTTGTTTTGTTGTACTGTGTGTGCGTGCTGCCACATGCACATGTGTGCGGTAGGAGCTTTTGTGGCAAAAATTCTTATGTGTAGTCATGGAGCAGGCATGTGCATGCTCCATGTAACACACCTTAATCATACATCTACCTTACCTTTGTCAACTCTGCTATCAGCATCACTATCATGCTCGCCATCAACGCCACGCTCGCCGTCAACACCGTGGTCACTGTCAACATCATGCTCACCGTGCTCGCTATCAACACCATGCTCGCCATCAACACCACCATCACTGTGGTCACCATCACCACTGTGCTCACTGTAATAAAAGTAATGGAAGTATCTATATTTACAAGTGGTAAGACAGCAATAGAAGAGTGCAGAACATGCTAGGATTATAATACATGTAGTATGTAATATAACAATACTATCTACATAATACTCATTGATAGTCATAGATCTTAGAAGATCAGTGATTAGCTTTGAATATAAGAGATTACTATTTTATTAATACTATTATTGTATATTTTAAACTAGTTTTATCACTATCTTTTATAGTCTATCTCTTACAATTCTAATTACTCTTTATTTTATCTGAGTAATTTATTACTAGGGGCAGTCTGCCCCCAGCACCCCCCCTTCAGGGCGTGGGAAAATGAACCTCTAAGACCCAGGGGATGAAATGCATTTTTAATTGCTTTGAAGGAGTGTGGACAGCTCAGGCACAACACTGTATAGCAGAAGCTTCATGAAACATGCAGCTGGGCAGGACAGAGCACAAGTGCGAAGTCATATTAATATCATTGATAGATACCATTGCTATTTCATCAATATATCATCATTGATACATATCATCGCTAGATATCATCGCTAGATATCATCATCGATATATACCATTGGTAGATATCATTCATTCAAGCAGGTGAGCAGATAAATAGGCAGGTATGCAGCCAAGTAGTCATCTAGTAAGCCGGCATTGCCAGGTAGGTGGGCAGATAGATGGTGATGTTTATTCTCATAGAGATTGATGGTAAGCAGCTATCTAGCATTATCTACTCCGTATTCCATCAGCAATCGATCGATATCGCGCAGGTTGGTAGGCAGGTAATTCAGGGGCAAGAATAGGGGCTCAGCCAATTGTGAATCAGTATTTGAAAAGGTAAGTCTCCACTGCAGATTTACAGCGTAAAAGTGGGAATTTTGAGCATTTTGATCAATCAGAGATCCAGAAATCTGCTCTACATTAATAAAATCATCAAGATTTAAGCCACCATTTTGAACACATTGGCATATATATAGTGGAAATTTATCATATCAAATAGTTATATAAAAGATACACATAAATCAACATCTATACATTGTGCAAGTATGAGGAATTTATATTTTTCTGTGGTGTCTCGGGGGTGTATGGAGCATGCATCATGCACTTTTGACACCTGTGCCACGAGTCTTAGCTCCGTGACTTGGTGTGTAAAAACAGTTTTGCCGATGTTGATAAGACCAAAAGCAATTTGGCTCGGCAAAAGATATGTGTTTGCTGTGTCCCACACTTGGGCAACATAATTGGTGCTGTGTTTGGGTACGGGCTTGCTGGAAGCCCATACTGGAGCCTGAAGCTGGGGTTTGACAGTGCCAAGAGTTTAGTGAACAAGATCATACATATCAAGTCGTTGTGTTTATTGATATTTGATGTGATGATAGATGGAATGCACTCAAGTTCTAACACGTAGATCTAAATATTCGTCAATCGTGATCGTGATCGCCTTTTGCCTGAAACAATAAGGCTCATGGGGTAGTAAATCTTAGCAAAGGAAGAAACCATATACCAGTCGACAAAAGGCTAACGGAAAAAGGACGCACAACTGGGCAAAAAGAAAAATGATGCAGTAATCATGCCAGCCACCCATCCTCCCCTTCACAGTTTTGACAACCAATACTAATCTTCGCCCCTTCCCATACAATCACCCAATCCTCCGTCTGATGCGGCATGACCCCGCGAACCTCCATTTCATTCCTCGCTGCCTCAAACCAAATCTCCCGTAGGCGGGGCGGCCTCCTACTTTCTTCCCCGCTCCCATATACCTTAGAGGCCCGCTCATCGTTCCTAATCGCATCTAAATCGGCTTGCATATTCCGCATGAACTCCCTCCGTATGCTGCGCTGGTTATTACCCCCTCCCTTCTCAGCGGCGAAAAATTCGGCAATCCGGCCTAGCCCGGATGTGGTGAGCAGCATGCTAATCCACAGATCGCAAGATGTGGGGAATGGCTGCTCGGAGGAGAGTGTGAGTTGCAGATAGGAGACGAGAAGGTGGATGCAATGGTGGGTCGACACGAGTGTTCGGGTGTTTGTAAATGGAGGACTACTGACGATTTTAGCCTGAAGTTTGCGGAACATTATGGTGCGGTCGGCGGGTTGAATGGTGACAGGAAGTCGGCCAGCCTTGTATACGGCGTAGAGGTTGGACTGAAGTTCAGACCGGGCCTGCGCGTATGTCTCTAAGAAGAACAGAGTATAAAACCTAGGATAGTGGATATTAGCCGGCTACGTCAATTTAAAAAAAAATAGTAAATAGGCTGGGTAATGATGGCGCCGCCGCTGGGCAATTATGGAGATGTTTGTATATACTCACATGAGGGGTGTAAGCTTGAATTGCAACTGCGCTATTCCGCCTTCACGATAGGCTTGAAAGTCCTTTTTAGATGTAAATATAGCTCTATGAGCAGGATCACTTTGCAAGTACCTCTCTAACACACTGTCTGCGAGATGATTTGCAAGTTTGGAACACGCTTCCTGCCTCCTCCGCAGACTCCAGAGGTACCGGAATGAATACACATCATTCGCACCATTTTCAGCCCTGGGCGGCGGAAACAGATCCGAGAGAAGAATCACATCATCCTCCGGTTCTCTTGTATATGTTCTTGATTCATCGATGGGAGATGGCAGACTTCCATGCCTCCGCAACCGTAGATATTCCCGCGAAATGGCCTGCTCATGGATATCTATAAGGGTGCTGAAAGCTCGGGAGACCAGTCTCAGATTAACCACGTCCTGCAGTCGACAACGCCTGAAGATATTGATCTTGATCTCAACTGGGAGCCTGTCCCAGCACGAGGATGTGCCAACTCCATCGAAAGCTAGTGTTTCATCGTCACTACGGCCACAGGAAACTTTTGGTCAGTGGGCGCATTTCCTAGACAGATAAATATATGAACGTAAGATTCGTTTCTCAAGCTGGAATTTCGAGTGGAAGTTGAATTTGGGTATCCTGTCTGTACTAGTAGTTTTGTAGCCGTATTACATACCATTGGTTTTTCTTTAGATATACAGCTTTCGCCCTGTCGATTGCTGCTCGGAATTTCCGTGCCCGCATCTCGAGGCTGGATGTATAGCGTTGTGGTGAAGAGGTGCAGCAGGCGTGCGAGGATGGTAGTTGCGCCTGGTATTGATGTATTTAACCATTTAGCCGGCATAGTCTCGGAGTTGCCCATTGTCTTTGTGGTGGGCTGTCTCAGACACTAGTTCACCAATGCTTTTCAGGTAATTTTGCGTATTCCTCGGTATTACTAGTATTTTAGTTTGGGGAGGGGTTGGTTACTATGAATGTTGTCTAAAGAGGCAAAAAAGAAGCAGAAGCCATTCAGCGGATTCATCCGCTTGTCCAGTCAATGATCCTCAAAGCCATACACAGCAGAATGGATACCCCGAAATACAGCACTCCCATTGTTATGTGTGAAACATGCCTGACACAGCTACCAGCCGATGCATCTGACTTCACATACTCAAACATTCCCCGGAAAAATTACTCCTGAACAGCGGGAAGTTTCCTCAGCTCACTCATTATGCCGTCCCAGAAAAATGCGTAGCCATCAACCACCTCTGCGTCCGGACCATCCAAATGTATCCGACACGATTCTGCTTTCAAAACTTTCGCCATGTATCCCTGTAGTCTTCGAGCATGCAAGGGCAACTCAACAAGGACTGCCTTCCCTTGTACCTCTTCGGTCGAGGATCCGTCGGTTAATACAAGATGCACCCCGCACAACATGAGCTTGTATCCTAACATCTTTGCAGGTCGAAGATCTGGGTGGTTTTCGTAGCCGATGACCTCCGCAAGTTTAGATTCGTTGGCAAGAGCGCCGTAGAGGAAGTACCATCCGGTCTTGGGGCCATCGTTCTGCCAGTCTGCGGAATACCACTCAGCGGGGGCATAGCATACGGAGCTTGTTGACATATCTTCAGCATAATAAGTTGGACGAGGTGTGTTAGAGATATCGTCTTTCTTTTCTTCTCCAGGCATAAGCACTCGTGAAGTTACTGCGTTGCGACGTCAATAGATTGGGACTCCGAGGCTAGATCCTGGGATTGTTCTCGTCACGAAGGTTAAGCTGTACCCTGTACGATGGGTAAACAAATGATGAAATGGGTTGGTTAACCAATATGCACTGCCCAAGATAAGACTAATACCGTCAGGTAGCAAGAGGTCTCCATGTATGGTCAGAAACCGTTGTTGATGTTTGTCGGAGGGCAGGTCCCAGGTCCCCCTCCCGCTATGATGATTCAGGGCCAGGGTATAGCCCCTCATTTGGTTCTCCCATACACTATTTCACCCGAACTCCACGGAAGTTAGACTCGACAGATGTTTTCTTGCAAATGGCTGTATGCATTCACAGTCATTTTGGTTGTTCGCCAGCAGCCAAAAGCTAATGCGAATCAAACAGAGGGAGAGAGTACTCCGTAGAGCACGATATGCCCTGACCGCGGCCGGCATTTCTTTGCCGAAAGGGCGCGGGTCTTGGCGCATATTATGTAAAGCTGCATGACAGTTGAATATAAATTTCCCTGCACCAAGTGATGCGACTCCGCGCAAACTCTCCAACCCACTACTCATGGGTTGGTTTCACAAGTCGTTTCCTCTGTTGGAAACTTGGATGTGGCATACCGGAGTTGAGTGAACTGCTCCTGGAAATAGGGCGATTGGCAGCTTCCTCAGTTTACCCGCCAGACAGCCAATTGCTAAATATGCCGAAGACGACTCCATTCTCCGTCCTTAGAATAGGGGGGTTGACAGGTCGCTCCATAACTCCTAATACTTCTTTACCAACCTCGAGAAGCAATACATGCATACTCTGCCAACATAGGGCATGGCGGCCGTTAGCCGCTACTCGGAAATTCCATGGCTCACGAATACTATTAGCTGCCCCAGCATCCTTTCCGTCCGTGAACACCTCCGCTATATCCGAGCCAGAGGGATCCCCGAATTTGGAGAAAACCTCGACGGATGAGGTAGAATCCCTCATAAATAAACCTCCGGACATCACTACCCACTACACCATCTTCCCCAATGCCATTCCCGACCCACCACCCAAGGGTCCCTTCGACATCTCAGTCCCTGACCTTCGCCAGGAATTCCTCCGCCTTCAAGCTCGTGCGCATCCTGACAAATATCCTCCGGGCCTAACAAAACAGCACGCAGAGGCACTCTCCGCTCGCATCAATGAAGCGTACCGTGCGCTCGCAGACCCATTAAGCCGCGCCCAATACCTTCTCGCTTCTCAACATGGCATCGACGTGACGGCGGAAGACGGCGCCAAGGACCACCCTCAGGACATGGAGACGTTGATGCAGGTACTTGAAGTTCAGGAGATCATTGAGGAGGCGCAGGATGAAGTGACCGTTGCGCGACTGAAGGACGAAAATGAAGAGAGGATCAAGGGATGTGTTGCAGCTCTGGGAAGAGCGTTCGATCACGGTGATATTGAGGAGGCGAGGAAGGAGTGCGTTAGGTTGAGGTTTTGGTATACCATTCGAGATGGATTGCGGGACTGGGAGCCCGGAAAGGATGTAAGGTTGGTACATTAGTTAGCTTACGGGAGCCTGTTCTATTTATGTTGTTTTGTTAACTATCTATCATGATAATATGCATATACCATCCGAATTCACATGAGTGATGATTCTAGCTTTATTAAATCAGTGGCGATTCCCATATTTTGCATTTAACACAGCCCGGAAGAAGAAGAAGAGGAGGAGGAAGCATGGTCAAACTGGCAGGACATTCCTGCTTCTCAAATCTTTGCTGAATTTGAATTATTGCATCACCCGCCTGGTCTGAATCTGGAACCCTTCACCGCTCCATCTGTCTGTAACTGGGTCTGTGAGCTTGGTTGATGGATTTGTTTGGATTTGCTTTTTTTTGGTAATCTCGAAATAACATCCATCACTCAGTAAAAACACAAACGCCAGCCCCAGTGATTATGAGACAACTCCATGGATTTAAAATATCTACGAGGGAGTTGAGTTCTATTTGTATGATAGGTGTCAAATAGAGTCAGCAAATCTACCACTTGGTGGATACGGTCAACTACGGCTAAACAGCAACTCTATATTCCCACCTCAAAGATAGCAATCGGGCATCAATCATCTACATCCAGAAACCAAGCCATGCAGCTTCACTCTCACGCCAAGCAGCGGGCGCATCCGGTGCAGCCCAATCGTCCTCCATGGTCAGCCACATAACCTTCTCTTGCCAGCAACGAACCCTACTAACACCAAAGCAACTGCACACATATGGCGAGCTAGCTAGGCTCATGCAGATGTTGTTTGAGGATCCGTTCTCTGCATTTTCTGCTGGCGTTCTCACCACCGAAAGCGCCCACGTAGCTTGATCCAAACAACAGGCGAGTGGCTAGCCGCTTCTTCATGACGTCGTGAGCAACAGATTACAGACATCCTTAGAGGGTGAAGCTTGCGAGAGAATGGCGACCCGACTGGCCCTGAATACAGAGACAGACAATGCATAACTATGAAAAAGCTGAAAACGAAGGCGTGAACACCATCTCCATCAGGGAATCCAAAAATATCGTCTTTTTTCGGGTCCTTCAATGCTGCAGAACTAACTACCTGGTGGGCGGCAGTTGACTGCATGCTCAATTTTTGTCTTCTTTCCCTGTATGCTGAATGAAAGACCTAGCACCATTTATTGAGTGGCATCACAGATGGGAGGGTCCACTTGACGGCCTGCCACGACAGCGAGTTAACTGGTCGCCCTGCTTCCAGGCTGGTTCCTCTCCCATATCAACATCTTCGCTGTATGCACGATGGTGGATGCATGTGACGTTGTCTCGGGCACGGTGACTGCAGGCGTTATCTAACTACGAAACAATCATAACGGGGGGAACCAGGCACAGTTAGCGCATGCTTTGTCCCTTGTTTATGGCAGCAGTTGTTGCTGTTGGGCCGGCTAGAGATGAGGCGACGTGCACTGAATATAGCGCTGGATACATTATTTATTGCCGTCGAGTGCAGCATAAAGGTTTCAAGTCTCTCCTCATCGTGGTTTCTCTTCCCAAAAATCGTCTTTTGGCTTTTGTCACTCCTTCTGACAGCTGACAGCGGGAAAGAAGGCGAGATTTGTATTCTACGAACTATAATATTGTGATTATTTAGTTTAGACATACTTTACTGCATTTTCTGTCAAGATGACCGCTCCCGTACCAGACTTCCATAGGTACGTTGAAAAGAGTCATAAATTCACCTATACCGATATGAGGCACTCTGGCACCCATTCCGGTCAATCCTGCACTTTAGGAGCATCTACTCAACTATAACGCGCTCAAGCGGGCTTTAACAATACAAATCCACTCTGCAATGACAGACTTCCCGCTGACCCATCACTCTTCTCCATCATTGGACACAACAGCATTGTTCATTCGCCCTCCTTCACATTCCTCGTTGGCCCAGATCACACAAAACTTACCATCCAATCTGGGCTTGCCAAACATGTCTCCCAGCGGCTTGATGAGTTAATGAATAATGGCCACACGCGCGAGTCGCGGCACCGGATCGCGGTCCTGGAGGAGGAAGATGTCGAGACCTTCGTTGGCTTCTGCGAGTATGCCTATACGGGAGACTACACAGTGCCCAATCCTAGAGCCACGCCAATCGGACGCAGAGATAGCCAAGGAATGGCTCCGCCGTTAGCTTCTGCTATGCGTCCCCCGGCCCCATCTCCTCCAGTCACCCCCCAGCCCGGGGAAGAGCCACAGGAAATTGTAGAAGGAGAAGGAGGTGAAGGTGAAGGTGTTGCAGCTGCAGCTGCAGCGGGAGGAGTTAAGGCAGAAGAGCAAGAGGGAGACGGAAATCAAGCGGGTGACTCCGGCAAGGGGAAGAAGGGAAAGAAGGGAAAGAAAAATCAAAAAGCGGGAAACCGAGCAAAACCTGCTCAGGACCTTGATGAAGGCACGGCAGCTAACATGACCCCTCCGAGAACACCTCCGCCAATGACAGGGGGACGGAAAGATGGGGACGAACAGGCGCAGCAAGAAGCGACTGGAGGCATGGGAGCAGAAGACACAGAGAACATGAACCCCGAAGAAAGAGCCGCCGCAACTCCTGGCATACCCCCCTCAGAAGCTGTCTCCGCCGCCCCCGACTGGTTCGACTTCGAGCCAACCCCGAAACCTGAAATGCCTAAGCTTGGCCCGGCCTTCCAAGGATCCTTCATCTCCCCTAAATCTCGCGGTCTGGGACTCTGGGGCGAATTCGCTTCCTTACAATACATCCACCACCAACGCGCCTCTGGCGGTATGACTCTTCCATCCCCCCTCTCTCGAAATACTCCCGGTTACGGTATTGCCGTCTCTGGCACTGAACCAGCCCCATACCTCCTCTTCCATGCCAAGCTGTATGTCTTCGCCACGCGCTTCTTGATTCCAACCCTTGCACAGCTCACGCTGAAAAAACTCCATCGGGACCTTGTCTCCTTTCCGCTCTCCATGGCAACCGCGGACCATCTATCTCCGATCAGTGCCTCTGCCGTCATCCAGCTGTTGCACTTCACATTCACGAGAACTAAACGTGATGACCCAGTCTTCTCACTGATGAGCTCAGAACCTAGCTCGCAACGGCAGAACGAGCTGCGGAAGTTAGTCACGCACTATGCTGCGTGTAAGGTGAGAGAGCTCGCGAGCTACCAACCCCCGGCGCCCTCAGCAGCTAGTGTGGAATCCATGGATACACAGCATTTGGGTTTCAGGGATTTATTGGATACATTGGGCGAATTGGCATCGGACCTGGTCTATCGGATGATGTGAGACAATTTTTGGGTCTTTTGCATTTGTGGGCTGCTGGCATCGCATTTCCCTTTTTCCCTCCAAATTTGTCATCTTTGTTTTGAAAAAGGGGATAGATCAGGATTGGGGATTAAGTAAAGGGACTAGTGGAGTTGTAGGTTCTCTCTCTCTTTCTTCCCCCCCTCCTGCTCCATATTTTATATTTATGTTTACTCTCCTTAAAAGCCACCCATATTTTGTTTATCCCGTCTACGAAGCTATGACAACTTCCTCCCCCCTCTATAAATTAATATACCTATGTCACATCCACTCATATACTTGCTCATTTGGCATTTCAGTATTGGCGTCTTTTTTGTCTTAGGTTTTCTCTATCCCATTTTTAACATGGTTCCAACCTTTGTATTTCCCTCAATTAATTTATATAGTTAATCCTTCTTTTGTATAAACTCCATTTTTTCAAGAATTCCTTCTCTTTGCCGAAATCAATCAAGTCAACAAAGCTCCTAATCCACTCTTCCGATCCCCTGACTTCGATTCTGTTGACGCATTGGTGTAGTTCATGCTTATTTTGTGTTACCATTTTGCTATTATTCATTCATTCAACAGTTAAAATTGGCGTAGATTAAGCTTTGCAGTTTTCTTTTATTCCTCGTCAGTAAATAAAAGGCGGGTTTCCGGAGTATTCACTATTACAACAATTATAGTGGATCCTAGGCTAGGGAATAGGAAAGACGGCACACAAACCCAGCTGATATATTCTTGAAACTTATGTATGTTTACTATACGCCAGAAAGTGAACAAAGAAAGGACTCGTGGAAACGTCAGCGAAGTCTTCTCAACTTAAAATGCTAGCTAACTATTCAAAAAAAGGGGGGGTGGAAACATGGCTGCAGGAAATTGAGGTAAGAGGGTGGGAAGGAGGAAGGTATAAAGGAGAATAGCTGGTTCAGATAGATGATAAAATTAAATGACATGAGAAGATGAAGGTAGAGCACTAGTTTGTTCAAACGCAAGAGGCATAGAATAGAGTAGAAGCGAAGAATGAGCATGCAAGAGAGGGGGCGAAGAAAACGGTAACAGGGAATTTTAATAGAGAGACGAAACATAAACATAATATAATGATGAAGATGATGCAGTGTAATTTGGAAAAAAAATTGAAAAAAGGGGGATGGAGGCAGGGTTGGAGAGAGAACATTCCAATGTGAAATAGGTGCCACGATACACAGGGTTTCTCCTGTTAATTGTGCAGGAACTGAATGATATAATATGAAAGATAGAGGACAAGATGAGAAAGCTGGACGGTGATGACTCTCGGTGTCTAAATTGCAAAAGCTGGGTGGTCGTCCCCCTAGATTCCACGATGACAAGATCATTTGGCTGGCTTTCATTTCCCTCTTAATAGACATGCTTTCATGATGAAAAGAAAGTAGATCATAGAAAAACAGAAGTATATATAGAGAGGACATATTGGAGGGTAATTAAAATCCAAATGGATTGGATGGTGCTGGTGTGAAGGAAAATGAAAAATCAGTAAAATATCCTCATGGAAGAAGAAAGATAAACGTAACTAGGGTAGAACAAATCTTAAGGGGGATCAACTTACTGGCCTGTGAGAGATTTGCTTTAAGCCCGGTCTGCTGGGGCGTAAGCTTTTTCGCATCTTTGTGCACACCAAAACGAACGGGGGGCGCAGGCCCTGTCTTCTGCGGTTGCAGCGGAGCAACAGTAGGCTGATGCGGAATAGGTGGAATCGGGGGCGGGGAGGGGTTAAAACTTGCATTTCCACCAAAGCCATTCATACCAGTACGTTGCGGCTGCATCGGCGGGGAAAGAACAGAATTAATACCTGTTTGCATAGGCTCCATAGGCTGCACGGGTTGAATAGACTGCTGTTGTTGCATTGGGAAACTGGGAAATCCAGTTTGTTGTGGCATGAGTGGTTGTTGGAATCCTTGTTGGCCTATATTTTGCTGCGGCCCGTTCAAGAATGGCTGAGGAGACTGAAATGCATATTGCGGTTGTTGCTGTGGCGATATTTGGCTTCCGAATGAGCCCATGCCAATTTGTTGTGGTTGTGGTTGTTGGTTGAATTGGGTCTGAAACCGCTGCTGATTAAGCTCTGCAAGGCTTCGGCCAGGCGGAGCAATGTTAGGTGTGGAAGCTGGAATGCCAGTGAGCTGTGGCTGGAGAGGAGGAGGCCCAAAGCTGTTTTGATGGAGGTGTTGGGGTGCTGATAGGGGCCGATCTGGGGGAGGCGGAAGAAGAGATGATCCTTGGTTGGTCTTTGCCGGTGGTTGTGGACGCTGTCTTGGCGGCATTGGTTGTTGCTGTGAAACATATCCGGTTACCTGGGGCTGGAGAGTTGTTTGAGGTTGTTGCTGTTGCTGGGGGCCTAGCTGGGCAAAGAAAGTTGGGTTTGCTCCTGTTTGCTGTGGTTGTTGAATTTGGGGTGGGGCCTGCGATATAGGAGCTGGCGTGGTTTGAAGTAAAGATGAGTGCTGAACCTTAGTTGGTTGCAGAGGGGTCGAGAGTAGGGACAGGTCTGCCATTGCTCCTACAGGAGGTCCCGGTGGTGATTGCGTCGCGGGTGCTGCCTGTGTTGTAGCTGTAGGAGCTGGAGCAGATGATGGAGCAGATGGTGGAGCAGTCGAGACATCAGCTTGTTTAGGATGTCTAACTTCCCAAGCGCTGTCCTCGAATCCTTGCGTAATTGTACCTTTCGTAGGGCCAGCAGGCTCAGGGGCACCTGTTGGTGAGCTAGGCTTAGAGCCACTTTTTCCTTCAAATGCCTTGGGATCCACTACGTCGCTAGTCTGGACAGCAGGGGCCGGGCGGCCCTTGCGGGTATTGTTCCTGAGGGCTCCTCCAGGACCAGAGAAGAGCCCGCCAGCTCCTTCTTCGCCATTTCCGATCACTTCTTCTCCACCGAAGCTTACCATTTTTGACTTCGCAGTACGGTTAAACAGGTTATCAAGGTATTTCATTACTCGCAGAATATCTCCCTCCTTCAAGCCTAATGTGCGTAGTGTCTCTGTGGTGATATCTGGTAAAACACTCTCGTCCATGGAATCCTTGTTAAAGTTATGGGAGTACCGTTCGCACTGGTGAGGCCCGACGCCGGCCTTCAGGAAAAAGTCAAACCAGTCATAATCGGAAGATTTCACACTCGCACCAACTTTCCCGGCGTCGTTAAGGCGACTTCGACGTCGGATGTCGGAAAGTGGCTTGTCTTCGTCGAGAGATTGGCCAGTGACTTGCTCAACATATTCAAGGTCATCCACAGACATTTTCGATACAGGAACGGCGATTTTCACACCATTCTGCTTATGAAGATGGATTTTACCCTCGGCAAGCCCGATAAACTCAGCTACAACAGTGAAGGTTCCAGTTCTATCGGTCCACTTTCGTGTTTTCAAAGGGTCTGGTTCTACGTTGAGTTGTTAATGACTTCCTAACACATTTACAAACTGAAAACCAAAAAAGAAAAGAATGAAAGTCAAAGCGCCACTTACTTGGTTTCGACCGGCTATCGCGCTTCTGACGCTGTGAACGATGGTTACTACTTTCTCTGGGAAACAAACTACTACCTCTCTCAGGAAGCTGTATGCCTGGGCCTACCTCTCCGCCACGCGAGTTACTAGAATCATGGCTCTTTGATTTCCGCGCCGTCTCTTTTGTCAGACGCGATTCCTCAAGTCGGTTCTGTTCAACAGTGGAAAGTCCTGCGTTCGTGCCCTTTCTGCTAGGTTCGTCTGTGGTCACTACGCCTGTAAGCTCCACATAGCTGCTAGGAACGACCCCTTCCCTGCCGGTCTTCAGGCGCCTAACCATCCACCACTCGTCTGACTTGCTGTCATCTAGTATAATAACTTCGTCACCCACGGCAACAGTGACTTCATCGTCGCCCTGAGCCATAAAATCATATAACACCTGGCCCTTTTTCCGAGCACCTCCGGTACCAGCAGCAATTACTTCTCTAAGTCCTTCAGCTCTATATCCGCCAGCAATCTCGCCTAGTGCAGAAACAATTTCGTTTGCGGTATCTTTTGCGCCGGCATGAAAATCGACACTTTTGCTGGGTCGAATAAGATCCATGAATACGTGCTTCCCTTCGATTGAGTAGTGTGTGAGTTTATCCGCTGTCCATTCCTGGTGTGGTCCATCAATCGACTTCTCCGGCGAAATAAAAATCGTTCCGGTGTTGATATTTATTCCGAGAGTTGTCGGCATTTTTTTCCTTTTTCCCATTACAGAAACCATTTCGCTAATGTTATAAAGATGGTATCCAGATGGCGAAATCGCAGACCGCTGGTCAGGATTGAACTCCCCGGATCTGTAAGGTGGAGATGGCTGGACGCCGTAGGATTCCTCGTCCCTGAGAGGGGCATGTTTTGGGCGCGGTGGAGAGGGATCGCGCGGAGAAGGTAACTGGGAAGATGGAGTATTCTGCTGAGATGGAGGACGTCGCGGAAGAGCCGGTGGGGGTGCTGCATCTTCTCCGTCAGATTCCTCCGGTGTGAATGTTGGTTGGCGGGCTGGTTGAGGAGCCTGAGGAGAGGGAACCGGCCGAGACTGTTCCGATATCGATGGCTGGCTTTTGTGGAGGATACCAGCTAACGCAGCCGCAGGACTTGCATCCGCACTGGAATGAGATGCTGGGGTTAATGCTCCCTCGGACTCTGTCTCAACTGATTTTGTAGGCAATGAATGGGGGGGTGCAGAGGCAGCTTCTTTGGCCAGAAATTCCTCTGTTATCTCAATGTAGTTGGCGGGTGCAAAGCCGAAATCATTGTTAACGCCTACTAAGGTCCAATCTGGATCCGATGTGTCGTAGACAACGAGTTCAACTTGTTCCGCAAAAGACACCTCTTCATCGGTTTGGCGGGTATAATCATAGAGTGCCTTTGCTTTGCTGATCGGTTGCGCCTATTGTAATATCGTTAGCTGATTCAACACTCTGGCCTTCCAAAATGTGTAGTAGCCAATGCCATCCGATTCCCGTCTTCAGGTAAGGCGGTGAAAAGCCCATTCATCCTTCCCCTCCAATAAATATCCATGGCTCAAGAGACGAAAGGGGGAAGGAAATAATTCAATATATTTACCTCCTCAACATAATTATTCGGCACCAATCCAACAGGTTCTTCCTCATCATCCTCAGCGGCCTTTTTCTTCGCCTTCCACCAATCGTCCTCGACGCTCTTGTCCATCACATATAACAAATCCCCTTCCTTGATTTCCAGCTCATTTTCTGCCTGCGGCGTATAATCATACACCGCAGTGTAGACCCCTAAAAATCCCATGGTTGCTTTCCTTGGACTCTACTTGTATTATCCGCTGATATACTCCTTAATACGACTTATTTCGATTGAATAGCAGATTATTCGCCCGATGCCGGCGAGCCTGGAAAACAAATCGCTAGCGGCTCCAATCCGCCGGATAGTCTTTTACTTTGCGGCAGTAGAAGGACCAATAAAATTGGGAGTGGGTACGGATTAATTGGATGCTTGCGAATTCTGATAAATAGCGATATCGGGCTATCGGTCGTCGCTGGCGGGGAGGAGAAGGATAGCAATAATCGACACGGTATCGTCAGGAAGAGGGAAAATGGTCCATTCGCATGTTAACGGACAAGGCAAACGCAACACAGCACGAAGACACCGCCCTCTGGGTAGCTATCCAAGCTTGGTAAACATGCAGGTGGAAGAGGATGTAAACCGCTGCTATTGCGTAAGCGCAGTAGCTTCGGGCCTGGGGAAAGCAGCTGAATATTTGAGGGGCTGGTGAGAAGACGGAGGTGCTCCGGGAAAAGATGAAGAGGCAACTGGAGGCTTCGCGACCGGCTAGTTCGAGATGCTCCCTTCGGTTGTGCTGCGGTCAGACAGAGTTCACAGGAAATCTTAAAGGTCGATACGTTGGAGTGATGGTTGAAGTTGAGGAATCGAGGGATGTGGAGGAGTGGCCGGTGTAAGTTACGGTACAGGGGCCATACAGAAGGCCTTGGTCTGGAGTTTATCCGGTTCTTGGCTGGACCCGGGAGTGTTTACAATACGGTACGATAATTTGTCATCTGTGTTCCCGCAGGCTAGTTAGAGCTAAGATGGAACGAGATACGGTCTGTCCCACGAAGAAATTTGAATTGAATGATCCTCGTGGCATTGAAGTGAATGAATTTGCATTTACGGAAAAGGAGAAGGGCGCTGAAAGCAGTCCAAGGCATATCTCTACTCCATATATAGTGTCCTCCATATTGAGGCTGGGGTTCCAAATATATAGCCTTGAAAATACAAATCACCACGTGACATGGCTGGATATAGATGCGATCCAAGAAAGCGATGGTCATAGTTCCTCCTTGTAAGTCTCGTCGCTGCCCGTCTCCTCATACTCATTACCCCTCTCTTCTTTCCTGCCGTCTTGGTTGTTGCTATCTCTGCCATAATCTCCCACTGTCTCCTCATCTTCATCTTCGTCAACCTCAGTAACGAGAATACCACGAAGTGTGGATCTCCCATTCGATTCAACAATTTCCAATTTCCAATCTTTCCCACCCGCAATGTTCTCTAGATGCTTCTTCACCTCCTCAATCTTACCCGCGTCAAGGTTGAATTTCTCCAACTCTTCCTTCGACATTTTATGTATTTCCCCAGCCAGGCGCCTGGCGACAACCTCAATTCTCTCCTCTCCAGCCGATGCTACCTTACCTTTCTCAATCCGCTTCCCGCTCCCTCCAACAAGCTTCATCGCACCAACTTCGATACCCCCAATGACCGCGAAATCCTCCCCGTCAGTCTTACCCAGATTCAAGATATCTTGTGCTTTCTTATGGAGAGCCTTTGTCTCCTCGAATTCCGGAACAGCATCCGGTTCAATAATCTCCCGGCATACGATGGGGTTTGGATCATCCTCCCTTGGAGGTTGGAACGCAACATCGTTACACAATCGTGGGGTATAAATGATCATCAGGTAGGTGCATGTCGACACCTCCTTGATCCACCCAATGCGATCCGTCGATTGCGGGTGGCAGTGAAACTGGACTTCAATCTTTCGATTCTTGCCTGTTATGTCGCATAAGGTTCCGTCCTCCAGACGTTGCACAAGGTAACGGGAGTCACCATTGGCCTGTAGCTCTGCCACCTCCGTTGTAGAGGATGTTCGATCACCGCCAGACGACGACTGGCTATTTCTACTGCCCTTTCCATTCTTATTGCCCTGCTTCTCACCACGAAATCTTCCTAAGACATAAGATTGCGCGGCAGGGTCTTCAACAGGCGGGTAAGCCGGGACCCCATTCCCCGGCGCCAGAGCATGAAACTGCCTGATCTGGTCCATATAACAGAAGGAATAAGACCACCATCCCGCAACGTAGTACATACATCTCCCTTTCATATCACTAAGTAATTCCAATCCGCGATCAGCAGCTCGCGCAAGTTCTTTCTCTTGCTCAGCCGGGGTTGTAGCCGCATCTTCTATTTCATTTTTCGCTGCCACTTTGGGCACAGAGCAAAGGTATCGGGCACCTTCGAGAATCATTTCTTCATATCTCTCCACCCCGTCATCGGGAGGAGTGTGCTCCTCTTTTTCAGCTTCTTCTTTCTCATCTTGCAATGGAGCCTGTTGCCGCGATCTCTCTAGGTGCACTATGGAATCGAGGGGAGGTGACGACGGAGGTGATAACAAGGAGGTCGCAGAACTTTGTTTTGAGGATGATCGTTGGTGTGCTAATGCCTCGTGCACATCTGAAGCGAGGATATATTCGGGAGGGAAATGAACTTCAAACTAGATTAAGAACGCGGTTCATGTAAGTTAGCCAGTATATCCATTTTCGTTTCTTCTTGAATAATAGCATAAATATAATTCTCACCTGCGGGAACGCCAATACGTCATCATGAACATTGAAAGTCTTCATGCGTCCCAAGCTTAAGGTGGCATATGCCAGTAAACTTGAGAGTGAAAATATGGAATGGCGCAACATGGTCGCGTTTCTCTTCTTTCTTTCTTCCCCACTTTCCGACTGCGCGAGGATTTTTGCTCAGAATCTAGTTCCTAAGACAGCGAACACGTTGGTTCTAATCCGAAAAATCGCTGAGATAATCAGTACTATCTCGAAACGACAGCCAGTCACTAGAGTAGCAGTATATCAGGGTCATCCCTTGAGTTCACGACCTACGGGTAGTCATAACGCCCCCTAGGAAAGTTGCTAGCTTGGTATGTTGGCTGTTGTTTACAGTGGCCCATGAACATGGTATAGCCGACTGGTTTCCCTGGCGGGGTCAATCCACTGCTGAGCACAGTCGAATATGTCTGGCCTGGGCCGAAACTCTTAGTGATAGATTTGTGGGCAGGTTGGAGTGTCAAACGCAGATAGTCGAGAGTAGTGGCCCAAAGTTAGATAGAAGCTTTCGTGTCATCTCTGAAACGACGCCGAAAGTCTTGGCATTCTGCACTTGGATGTATTTATTCGAACATTGTTCCATATTATTTCTCACATGAGGGGAAAAAGGTAATATTTTAAATAAATTTATTCGGAGATTTAATTCAAACTCAATAAAATATTGATGGAGGTATCGCTAAATATACAAATTCCAGCACAAACAACAAGCTTTTGTGCTCATACAGAGGTGATCAATAAAAATCAATACTAACACGCCTACCCCATTCTTTTCCCAATTTCACTCCGCCATCCCTTCGCCCTTTCAAAACCATTGGAATTGGTCTGATAATCCATCATGGCCTGCTGCACCTGCTCATTGCTATTCAGCACAAACGGACCATACTGCACAACTTTCTGATCGAGGGGCTGGCCAGCAACAAGCATAAACCGCGAGTCCTCTTTCGAATCCTCTGCATTCGAAGCCTGCACAAAATCACCAGCCTGGTCGAATACAATGTTATAGAAGGGGCCCACAGCTTTAGCAGGTGAAGGGTTTGCTAGGGAAGATGTCGGAGTGAGGTTCGATTCGCCACCTGCGCCAAAGCTCGTAGTGCCGCTCAGCGTGTATGCAAATGAATTCCACCCTTGCGGGAGCATTTGCGAAATCTTCCCTCCCGGGCGTATCGTGATGTCGAATATCCAGACGGGGGTGTAGGCCAAGTCACGCACGGAATCGACACCGTGCGATTGCCCAGATATCACCTTAACGGAAACCTTGCCCTCATCGACATTCGCCACCGGAATCTCTGTCGCACGCAGATCACGGTATCGAGGTTCACACATCTTCAACTTCTCGGGTAAATCAACCCACAGCTGCATGCCAACGTTCGGACTGCCGTCCGGATTCTCATGGGGCATTTCCGCGTGCATTATACCCCTGCCGGCAGTCATGAACTGGAGATCGCCGGGACCGATTGTGCCCTTGTGTCCGGCAAAGTCTTCATGATCTACGCCTCCGGACAGAAGGTAGGTGATAGTCTCCTGCCCTCGATGTGGATGGTCTGGGAATCCGGCGCCGCTGCCGATTGTAAAGTGGTCGAGTAGCAGGAATGGGCTGAAGTTCCGCAGTTTATGGGTACCGATTGATCTGCGGACGCGGGCACCTGCACCCTCTGCTTGCTCAGTGGCGATGAAAGCTTGGCGGATAGTGCGAGGTATGGACATGTCTGTTAGCGGGGGTAGGACGAGAGGAGGTGTAAACGATATGTTCTCTGGAGTGGTTTTCGACGTGGAAGTAGTGTTCCGTTTCAAAAAGGGGAGGAAATGAAAATTAACTTGAATGGAAACTAGACTTTTGATATCGTCGAAGGAGTAAAATAGGACAACTGCTGTGAGGCAAGTTAGAATGGAGAAGAGGAGCTTCATGGGCCCGCCCTGGTGGGTTATATAGCTTTTTGACACAAAGTTTCTGCGATCTTCTAAAATGTTGCCAGAAGAGTCTTTCCGACCGCAGTTTCCCAGAGAATGTACCGTAATATACTTTGTTGCTTCTTCCTAAGCCAATTGTTGGAGAATGGTACATGCAAGTATTCCGCACAATGCTGACCTTTTTCCTTTTGTCAGCAGCTTCCAACCCATGTCGTCATAGGCTTGGCAGCGGAACTTTCGTCAAGTTCTAGGTTCATTGTGTCCTCCTCAGTGTGATATTATCTTGGCTACTGCGGACCAGCACACCGCACATACATGCCTCAGCTGCCACTAACACAACAACTTCGACAGCCAACATGAAATCGTCATTTATCTGTTCTTGATATACTATGTGCTTGAATGGTTCTCTTCCTGCTTAAGGTTCCTAGATCTTATAAAAACAAAAAATAAGAGGTAGAACAGTTTCATGAAGGAAACCGAGCTGCGAGGAATCAACGAAAATGATACAGAACTAGAAAAGGCAAAAAGCAGAAGGAAATCAGGAAAAAGCCGTTCCGCTTATGATCGTACATGTTTTTATTAAACCTTAAAAATAAACAAGAAATTTCACCGCATACAACATCCGCCATTGAACCTTCAGCCATATCAGGCGCTCGACAAACTTGCACGACATAACGCAAAAGTGCGAAGAAGAAAGGAAAGGAAATTTGAGATGCACCCTCCATATTTGCAATAGGTGGTTAAGCTTGGGTAGCAGATAGCAGCTGGGATCCCACCAATAAAACCCAAGGCCCAGATATTATATATGCTTCTAGCGAGCCACCTTGCGTGGCTGGAAAATACAGACACAAGTATTTTTCCACCTTTTTATTTCGCAAAGTGCAAATCGTACGACAACCACCGCCTCGCCAGCACGCCTGCAACATCTAACCCAGGCCGTCCATATGTAAGTGGCGCAAAGAAATAGAACCCATACATCGTCGCGCTCAAAATCACGCCGACAGCTGCCCACAGAGCCAGCAGACTCTGCCGACCCAACCGTCCCTTGGGGATCCGGTACTTTCGATCCGTGGCGGCAGTTTCAGCCGCTGTCAGATCGCCGTTGTTGTCATTCGGGACTATTGGATCGATGTTAAAGACGAATTCGATTACGGCGCCAGCGACGAGGGTGGAGGCGATGTGGGCTGGTAAGTAATGGTGGAGGAAACGCTGGCGGCCCATGAGGAAGAAAGGCAGGAAGTGGGCGGCCCAACAGAGGAAGAAGAAACCAGTGCTCCTGTAGAGGCGCGCGCGGGTGCCGGGGCCCCAGACTGAAATCAAATTTTTTAAAAAAAAATTGTGGTTAGCAAACTAATTCACACAACCAAAAAGAGAAAATTGTGGTAGTGGTTGGTTGGATGTGAGGTGGTGTCTAATATATATCTTACTTTCTTCCAGGGCGTCAATCCCTCTACGCATGGAGAGCTGATCGGCACCGACAATGCCGGCAAAAACGGCGAGAAGACCGCTTGAAAGCCACCAGCCGATCGGGTTTCCGAGGAAATAGATCTGCTCTCGCTCGGAATTCTTAGTCCAGAAACTTACTCCACGAAGGAGGAAGGGCCATTCGAATGGTTCACTGGCGTACGGATGGCTGCTGGTTAGGGCATTGTTGTGAACGAACATTGCCCGTTGTAGTTCTAAGTACTTGACAAGGAAAGGAAGTTGTTTGATCGGGCGGGGCTCTTTTTTCAGCCGCTCACTGTCCGGGTCTAGAGACGGGATATCCTCCGCAAACCAGATGTTACTGGACTGTTGCGCATTTTTATTCCCGTTGATTTCAGCTTGCTTAAATCCCCACTCAGGTAAGGGCTTGGTATGGGTCCACATGGCAACCTTAGTGGGCACATGGATAAGCTTGAAATGACTAGACATGGTATTGAACTCTTGCTCTGATCCTCCTTTCTCGATCTTGATCTCAAAGAGGGTATCGTTGTGGCGCTCGCCATTTGCCAGCTCATGGGAAACGGTGGTGAACTCCTGGTTTGTGGGATAATACGGGGAGGCCACGTCGTGCGTTAGCAGAATAGTATCTGTCCCCACATGGTGAAGTTGGATAATGTCACCATTTTTAACAACGTGCCCAAGGCGATCGTTATCGTCGAATGGAGTGACCGGAAGTATCTCCCAGTGGTTGTTGGTGTCGTTGTAAGGGTAGCCAGTAACTTGCTGGCCCTGGCTGGAGACACGACCGTCGTCATAACGTAACGGGTAGCGATCTGGATGGCTGTGTAGATATGTCTTGGTATCCTTGTGTCGTATAGTTATATGATCGTAATAATGGATCCCAAACGAATTCACGTTCATCGGATTATCACTGAGAGTCTGCTGAAATTCTGGGGACATAAAGGCGTCGCCTGGACCTGACTTGTTGAGAATAGCAAAGTGAACCTGGAACCAGAACAGATAAAAGAAAAATGGCACGACGATCAAGGCGAGAGCTCGAGCAGCGAAATGCTTGGCGAATTGAGTTAGGGGAATAACGCCTCCAGGGCGATTCACATCAAGAAGATCCCACAAATCGATGGCAACGGCGGCACCAACAGTGACAAACGTAAACGTGCCCACGTATTTAGTTGAAATAACACAACTCAGCGAGACACCAGTCAAAAGCAGCCATTTCCACCACTTGCGGCTAAATGGCTCGTGTCTGAATTTGTAAAACCGAACGTAACAGAGGATGCTCAGTGCCATGGTGAGCACCAGGGTTGCGTCGAGAAGGATCAGTCTATCTTCAGCAACGTGCGCATTGTCGAACAGGGCAAGTCCCGCAGAGAGGATACAGGCTGGGAGGGAGTAGCCAGACTCCCACATAATTAGGAAGATGACAGGGATCGTCAAGGCGCCTTGGATCGCGGGCATGGCCCGGAGGGCAACATACGGGACTCTGTTTTCGATGTATGAATCTCCAATATTCTCGAAAAGAAAGTGGCCGTCGAATCCCACAAGCCAACCCATAAGAGCAAGGAGAAGCTTGCCAAACGGGGGGTGAACATCGAAGAAATAGGTGCGTCGAAGGTAATGCGAAGCAAACTTATTTAGTTTCAAAACAAGATATATCAGCTATTTGGTCTCATTTCTACCCAATTGAGCTTACAGCGGCATTTTTCTGCGTTGTCTGCCACACATGGAAGTGTAATTGAAAACACCAACTGACCTTCCCGAAATGGACCTCATCAAACACAACTTCGTCAGGGTAGCTTATACTGGCAAAACGTGTTGCGAACGCTAACAGCGTCAAGATCACCAAAGCGGCCTTATAATCCCACTGTCCGGCGGGTTTTGCAACAGCCTTCTTATGTGGGCTCAATTTGAGTGAGGGGGAAATTGTTTGTGGCTCTTTAGCGGCGACATTTTTTTTCCCCCCTCGCTGTCGGAGGTTTGGGGGTGGAGAGGACATGGCTTATCCACAGAAGAAGGGTGTCAAAGGATAAGTATGCTGGAATCACAAGAAGACACGTTAGCATCAAAGATTCCTGGCATATATAGAAAGGAGAGCAAGGCAAGACAGAGGGGGACGTGCCAGCCTACAGGATAAAAGGAATTAATTAATTGGCATGGTAAATGAGCGTCGAGAAGACATGAAAAGCAAAAGAATGCTGGTTTGGGTGGAAGAGCTGCTTGGATGAAAAAGGAGGATTGGCTCAAGTTTGACTTCATGAAGGTAGCCAAAGGTTGTATAACTAGCATGGTTGGTTTGGGTTCTAACTCAAAGGAGCCTGGTTTGGAGGTGCAGCCGAGTCTGGAGCCTACAATAATGACAAAAGAAGTTGTCCATTAACTATCAAAGCTATGGTTTAGTTACAGCATAGAATATTGAGTATATTTGCGACGTATAATTGCTATTGATGGGTATTGATTTGAGTTTCTATCTCGCTAAACATATAGTTATACATGCTGCTAAGTTACAGTCAGCTCCAAAACACGCACAATCAAGACAAAATATCCAACTAGTGACGTATTTACATTTGAACTCCGCAGATGGTATATGATATGATATGAATGCGTACAGAACGCTATCCGCAATGAAAGACGCGCAAGATACGAAAACTTCCTAAAATGAACGCCCCGTTCACTCATCATAGTTATCCACATCTGTCAAAGCGAGGCAGTCCAATTCCCTCCTAACGATCGATTCAAACTCCGCTCTGGACAGCCCGGTCGCCCTCGCCAACCTAAAGAGACTCTTTATGTTCGAGGAGATGTGTTGCTTCACTCCCATCTCAGAAAGAGACTGGCTTTCCGCCGTCTTTTCTAGTTTGCTGACTGTTTCCGAGCCGCCAGAGGAAGATGCTGAAGAAGGCCTCGGGTGGCTCAAAAGAACGCGGGACCTCGCGAGAGAGTCATAGTCCTCTTTGCCGTCATCGTACAGTGCGGCACCAGTTGGGGCTTCTGACAGCACCACCTCTGACTGCTGTTGGAGGATAGAAGCAATGGTATCACCGTTCAATGTCGACTGTCCTAGCTCACTTCGGTCAACGGCCGGGTCATCGTTATCTAACGCCGGTTGCACTCTGTTGTATCTGGCGAAGTAAGAATCCGAGGAAGTTGGGTATGGACCTGGACCAAGGCCATTGTATTGAGACTGGATTGGTGCGGGAGATCGTTTTAACGGTGTCTTGCCTGGGGTATTGTCATATTGCGCCCAGTAACCGTCATCATCATCCTCATCTTCCTTTTCATTCTCCGGTTCCACCACATGACCTTGGGAAATTTTCGAGGCCACCTTATGAGATTCATTATCCTCTGCTTCTTGTAATGCGTCCCGTAGAAGTTTCACTTGCCGATATTCATCAGCTTCTCCAATAGATCCCGACCAGCTGCCTGCTTCCTCCTGCAGAGCATCTCCTGGCAATACCTCTGCAACCCTCCAACCTGGTCCGCTGCCTTCTAGATCTACAGGGCACCAGACATACAGCGCCGAAAGATTAAAGTCGGGGATGGGAAGGTGCGATCGAAGAGTTTCCGTGTCTAACCGCTTATACGTAATCGGGACGTCATCGGGTATCTCAATTTCCCCAGAAACGGGATGTGGCTCAAACGTAGCACCCTCAACGATGTTCTGCAACCGTTCCGCTTTCCCAGCATCCCAACATAATAATCGTAGCCATGAATCCGACGGCGACTGTGAAACAGAGCTGAGGATCTGTACGCGCTGGCGAAGGATTGGAGAAATCAATGGCAGCAGCGCGGGAGGAGGCTTGGGAGAGCTAAACGCAGTAGCAATGCAGGCGAGGAGAGGAGGAATGAGGGTTCGAGGATCAGGGGGTGGAATGTATTCAACCATTATTTCCGGACTTCGTGTTTTTTTGGTTGAGGAAGATTCCGAGGAGGACAACAACCAACTAAACAATATACGCGGATTCAAGGCTTTCACCAAATATGTTTTCAGTCAGTGGTTTCTCAAGAAACCAGCTAGGCCAAGAAGGGGGAGGGGTCACAAGGTGGCGTCGGTGGGAGGGGGAATTCGAAACCGAGAGGTCAAAGAGTAACAGAATTAATAAGGATTCAAGCACCTCGACGAAGAAGTAAGCAGAAGAATGCGAACACGGGCCGCATTCTATTCTTGGTCTTCACTTCTCCTTTTTATTAAGATATTGTCGGGGATCCCGCTTGGAGCCATGGAGGGGAGGCGAAGCACCGGGCGTGTTTTAGGCTCCATTTGCCCGAGAAGGACGTAGAACAGAGCGGGTCTAAGACGGCACTGGATGGCTAAATGCCTGCAGCCGCCTGGGAATGCGAGTAAGCGCGCGTGGCTGGAAGAGTTTTGGAAGCCGTTGGCAAAGCTGCAGTGTGCTCTTGGTGGGTTTCGCGATTAACCTCGGACCCTACCCAGAGTGTTGTTCATGTTCACGAGATGAGGTTCGGCTGACTAATGGCGGTGGCGGAATTCGCCCGCAGCGCGCTCAAATTGAAGCCATACAAGGTTGACAAAAAACCAATACCAACTGCAAATGCTTCCTGGAAGGTACTTCTGGAGCTCGAAACTTGACCCAGAGTCAATCGGCCTACAGCCGTATTCTCATCTATACTCTACGAGCCCCAGCCGATATGGACCAGAGACAATCTTCAGGCTATGCCATCAGCATAATTTGACCCATTATGCAGATCAGTTTCTCCCAGCTCAGCTGCTGGTATATTCCCCGGAAGGTTGATTTATGGCTCTATCAACGGTACATATCTTGGCTAACAATAACCGTGGACGCTCTCAGGAATGGCGACTCGGGATTGATTTTACGGACCTCGGCCTTTCCACTCGGAACCTTGGCCGGTTCGACCAGACACCTGCTAAAAAGTTACCTTCTATAATAACACAGCGATTCTCACACCCAACTCTTTAGCTACCCCCAAAACGCACCATTCGCTTTTTATTTGTGGATGGGTTTGCAGTCGCCCAGCTCCGGTGGGGCTACGTTGACAGAAAGGCCAGGGGAGGGGGGATGTGGGGGAGACAATATTGCCGCCGTCACGGCTGGCGGCGAAATGATAAACAGAGAGGGCACAGATGAATTGGAGCGAAAACTGCGCTTGAAGGTAGATATCCGCCTGTGCACTATTGCTGGAATCCTGTGCAGTTTGAATCTCCTAGATTCCGGCATCATTTCCTCAGCCTCCGTGACTAGCATGATGACCGATCTATCACTGGAGGGAAACAGATATTCCGCGGCGATCTTCATCTTCACCATCGCCAGTGTTATCTTTCAGCTTCCATCAACGGTTGCAGTGCGTTTAGTCGGGCCCCGGCGATGGTTCTCTCTGATCACTATCTGCTTCGGGGTGATTACCTTGTGCACAACTTTCGTAGAAAACTGGAGGCAAATGATTGTTGTCCGGTTTTTCTTAGGCATGTCCGTATCCGGAATGTACCCTGGACTGACATATTTGATCAGCACCTGGTATACGCGCGAAGAGCAACAGCTTCGTTTTGCTTTCCTCCAGGCTGGGGAGGTTTCACTCCTGGCTTCTGGGAACATTATGAATTATGGCTTGAATCTCCTTGGCGACAGATCTGGACTCGAGGGTTGGCGGTGGATGTTCTTGGTGAACGGACTGATTACAATCTTCTTTGGCATTATCACATATTGGTGGATGATCGATTTTCCAGAAAATGCACATCATAGCTTCCGTTTCTTTACCAAGACGGAATCAGATATAGCGACGAGGAGGATCCACAATGATAGGAAGGATGCAATTCCCGAGCCGTTTTCTATATCCAAGATCCTGGTCCATTTTCTCGACTTTAAATTGTACGGATTCAGCTGTCTCTTTTTTCTGTTGAACCTGGTCGCGACTTCGCTGTCGTACTTCCTGCCAATAATCCTTCAAGGAGGCATGGGCTTTGATACGGATAAGTCGATATTATTATCTGCACCTGTTAGTCGTTTCCCGACCTCACATAGTGCTATAGCAACATCAAGCTAACGACAATACCAGCCCTACTATTATGCCATAATTCCCGTCCTCCTCACCTCTCTACTTGGGGATAAACTACGCCTCCGCGGTCCCCTCATCGTCTTCAACTCCCTCAGCCTAATTGCAGGCTTCCTAATGCTTGGCCTGCCAGCCTCGCAGCAAGTCACGGTCCGCTATATCGGCATATTCCTCGCCACAGGTGCGTACGTTTCCAACTGGGCAGCCCTGAACGCTTACCAAGCGAACAATATTGTTGGGCAATGGAAGCGGGCTACCGTAGCGGCTTCTGTGACGGCTTGTAATGGCCTGGGAGGCATTGCGGGAAGCTTTATTGTGAAATCCAGTGAGGCGCCGACATATGAGACGGCGGTTTGGGTTTCTATTGGGTGAGTTTTCATTCGTTTATTCATTCATTATTTCATTTTAGAAAACTATGAAAGATATTGCGAGTTACCATTATATCCCATTGTGTTGGTACGACGGGTGCGGATTTATGGATAGGATAGGGGAAAATGTCTCCCTCGGTTTTTTCGGGGAGGGGGGATGGGAAGGGGGCGCGCCACTTTGAGCTAACTTGGACTAAATAACACACCTGCCGAAAACCACGGTTAGTTCGCACATTCTTATCCTTATGATAGTCATCATGTTCTCTGTGTACTTCCATGTCATGAACCGACAGCAAAGGGCAAGCGGGAAAATAATTGAGGGAATGGTACGTATGATCCGTTCCGCTATTTAAAAATCCATGCTAATGATGCTTTTCTTTTCGCAGGATGGGTTCCACTACACATATTGACATTTCATTGTCATTTTTCATTCGCCCCCGCCCCCTTCTTCTTATGGCTATATTATGAAGGTGCATCCATCTATTCAAAACTCGGAATTTGTGCCTAGACAGATGTTGCCATCATTTCCTTAACCTTATATATTCATTGTATATCCTCTTTTCATTTTTTCAAAAATATTTTCCATAGTGCATGTCTATGGTTCTATGCATTGACATATGTACTGAACGTGTATATATATATATTGAGCGCATGAGGTGTTACGGTGTGATGGTTTCCCAGATTTTGATCCAATTCTGCAGAAAAATAGAATTTAGAACTGGTCATCCTATATAAAGGAGCAAAGGAAGAGAAATTGTTTAGAAAATTATGGGTATCTATGGCGTATTTGTGACAGCTTTCTGAAGGATAATGCAAGGTGATCCTTTAAAATGAAAAAGGAGGGGGAGAAGGAACGCTGTAAGAGCATGACCTAAGAGGCAACATGTTGAAAATGTAACATAAAATCGGTCCAGAAAGAGAAAACAGAGGAAAAGTAGAGAAGATGAGGAAGCGCCAGAACAAACCAGACAGAGAACTGGACTGAACATATCATAAAGTCACTTAACAGAGATATCCACTAGCAATCCTCCCGTGTTTTCATCATTAATGTAAGTAGAAGACAAAAGAGAAAGAAAGAAAGAAAGGTAAGAAAAAACATAGGAAAGGGAACGGAGAGAAGGGGTATCGAAAAAGTACTTAATCCCTCCCCTGCTCTAACTTCGCCACAAGCTTCTTCATAGCCGACCACTCTTCAGCAGGCACCTCATCAGGGCCCCCACTCAAGTCCTTCCCAACCTCAAACACCGTTACCACGCCATCGAGCCCACCCGTCGCCAGACGTCGTCCATCTCTCTCCTCCCACGCAACCTTATTCAAACTCTGCTCAATAACCGCATTGCGCGCCTTTGTCGGCGTCGCACGCGCCGCGTATACCTCCGTGTCCGTGCACAGGTCCCACACCTCGACAGACCCAGCACCGTCGACAAGGGCAAATACGCCAGGTCGATGCGGGGACCAGCGCGCATCGTACACGACGTCTTCGCGGTTCAGATCCAGAACAGGCGAAACCACTTGTGCGGGTGTGGTGGCGGATGTGTGTGAAGTAGAGGTGACGGCGGGCGGTCGTACACGCCAGAGTTTCACGCTCCAGTCTAGGCTAGAGCTAAGCATCAGGTCGCCTAGGTCGATAGCACCACGGGCTGGGTGGAAGACAGTGGACATGACGGGGGCGGCGTGACCGCGATAAGAGAGTCGATGATCGGTACCTGCTTTGGCGCCCGCGCGGTCGTAGCGGTGGCATGGGTATATGGCGCCCTCTTCGGTGCCAACGAGGAAGAAGGTTGGGTCGGATTGGGGGAATGTCATAGTTGTGGGTGCGAGATCTTCTGTTTTGGATGGCGGTGGTGTAGTGAGCTCAAGGTATTCTTGAGGTTGAGAGAGCATGTCGACAGTCCAGCCGCAGACAACGCCGTCGGTAGAGGCGGTGATGATGTTATGAGCATTTTGAGTACCGACGATGGAGATGTTGTAAACCGGGTGGGTGTGACCGGAACCGGTTAGGGGGGTTTTCTGGACGGGGGCTCCACCCCCTGCACGCGATGATCTGGTATCCCATAATAGGACTTGGCCGGAGTAGGAGCCGCCTACGATCAGGTTTGGGTGGAATGGGGAGAATTTCGCCGTGAGAATGTCGGACATTGAGTGAAAGACGTATTCTGGTCTTGAATGGAGATGGAGATTCCACACTTGTACTATTCCATTGGGATCATGGGGTGCGGTGACGTTATTTGTGTAAGAGGCGAGTACCAATTCTGGGAACTATACAACGAAACGATTTTAGTCCATATGTCTCCTTCTACATATATATCATGTACAGGTCTCACCTTTGGAGAAAAGTTGATATCACTGATCATTCGCTTCTTGCTCCATCGTTCATCATAGAACTGAACAAGCTCCTCTATACCTCTTCGTTTCTTATCATTGCCATATTCATCATTCTCACCGCCACCGTTTGCACTAACACCACCTAACGCATAGTCTGTAAGGACGTCGTATTGCTCATCCAAGGCTCTTTCAATAACTCTGCTGGATTTCTCTACGAAGTCCAAGAAATCATTTGACGAGGTGACCGCATTGAGCTCGTCATTCGTAAGCGTCCGTAATGGGTATCTTATATCTGTCGATTGTTGTGTAGTTCCCCCACCTGCCATTTCCTTTGCAGACCGTATCTCCTCTTCAACCTCCTTTCGTAACCTCCCCCTAATCTCCTCATCACGTTCACGCTGCTGTCTCCGGCTCAGCCGTTTATTTGCACGTGAAGTTGTGGGAGAGCTATCATCTTCTGAGCCAGAATTGCCGTCAATGGACTGGCTTCTGGGTTCTGTCCATGAGTCTGTTTGGACACCTTTGCTGTAGGTGACGACCTCCGGTTTAGGTGGCGGGACCGCTGCAGCAGTGGGGGGTTCGGCAGCGGGAAAAGGAGTGGTTTGTGTTGCAATTGAGAGAGACACAGGTCTAGTTGGAGGCGTCACTGATTCGAGAATTTCCCCGCTCAGTTGACTGGCGCTGAGGACAGAATTGGGTCTACTCCCTCGACCCTTGGGAGATTCTACACCTTCTTTTAAGGCAGCAGATGAAGGCCGATCGACCAGCCGAGAGATTAAACTATCGAGCTCAGCTCTGCTATCTGCACGGCCGGGAGTCGGAGCTAGGATCTGCCAAATGTATTACGGGTCAGCACAGAGCAAATCCGAGGAGTTGGGAAGTTTAGGAGCTTGTTCACCTCCGATCCTCCTTCTCCGATGCTCTGCCTGGTTTGCGAAAATTCCCTTTGTCGCAATTCGCGTTGTCGCCTCAGCTCAGCAAGCTTGGCCTTCTTGGCCAGAATCTCATCCTTCCTTTGCTGCATTGTCATATATCCGTGCCCTGAGGCTGGTGCTGTACATGTAGTATTGACGAGGCTGATGGATGGTGTTTATATATTTATTTACTGTCAGTTCCTCCTTGTTTGATGTCGAGGGTTGGACAAGGAGCCGCGCTTCACTTAGTAAGCAGCCCTGGCCTTATAAACCTACCCAGCAAAATTCCCGAGCTTCCTCCAAGGCCGGGTCTCTCGCTATCAACAACGTTAACAGAAAACCATTGACAGCCCGCAAGCCCTCCCGTAACGTCAGAGTTGACGCTTATCACATCTGCAGTCCCTCCCTTCACATTTCTCCTTCTCTAGCTGGAACCCATACAGAACAATTGCCATGGCTACTTCGCAAGGTGTCAACGTATGTCCAGCTTTTTTATGAGGAAAATCTTCACTTTTCCCGTCCACTCTCGCCCTAATCTGCGAATCGAGATATGTTCGAACATCGTGCTGATCAAAAACGATTCCTTCTTAGGTACTACGTTACTCCGCCCTTGGCGCAGGCATTGTATACGGCCTCTTCCACCAATCGTCCCTCACTTCACAAGCCAAGCAAGCGCAGATAGATCGCGAATACAGCCGCAAGGAATCATTGATTGAGCAAGCGCGGGCAGAATACGCAAAGAAGAATGCGCCAGCAGAAGTTAAAACGACGAGTAGTGGAGGTACATTACATGATTTTCTTAAGTCCAAGTTCCGGATGGGATGGCTATATTGACTATTGATACATGCTTTTCCTCTTGTGTTTGTTATATACCTAGAGTTTTGTGAACTATAGCTAACGACTATCTACGATTAGTCATAACCGACCCGGAAGATAAAAGATTCGACCTTGAAGCGTTCATAAATATGAAATTTGCCGAAATGGCGAAATAACACACCAAAATAACTCGAACGCGGAGGTGGAGGACTTGTGAGGGAGGCATTGTCGACGAAATAACTCGATGAAGATCCATGTTCCGCAGCACTCAACAGCACAAAGGGAGCAGCTCAAACTCCTTAGAAAAACTTCCGAGTAAAAAGGACATGAGCGAGCGCCATATATATCCGAACAAGCTGTGTGTTTGGGGAATATCTATTTTGTATTACTTATAGCGTATAACTAAGCTCCGTTTCCTTTTGTTTGCAGAAAAAGCGATAAAAAGGTAGTCATCGGATTTTTTTTTTTTTTTTTACTCTGTTCTTATCTTGTACATGTACATATCCTAGATGGCGACTTAAATTCTATCCAGATTTTGAGCATCCACGGTTTTTGGTCTTCCTCGAACAGAAAACGCCGTGTATCCAAGAGTGGTTAATGGGGAATGAATATATGTAGCTACCATTAAGAGGGATGGAGGATATACTACCGACATTCTGACAGGTTCACTTCCGGCTGACGTCGATGGGCTCACTGATGACTATGTGATAGATCCTATTTTCTTCACTTGGCCTAGCAGAACAACTCAATCCTTTCACAAGCAAGAGAATTGCTCAATAGTCATCCTCGGTTTCCCGTTTCAAGTGTCCCAACTCTCGACTCTCGATTCGCGTTTCTCGTTGCAATCGTGTTGACTCCTTTCAGAGGCCAGTTATCCATCAACCGCCATGACTTCTTAATTGTGCTACCAACTCTCTGATTGCCGCACTTTCCGAACCAGTTACCCCAGGCACCGGCATTGCCACTTTCGGAGCGAATAGCTTCGATTCCGCGTTCCATTCCCAACCTTTCCCAGTGAGCAGGGCAACCAACTCTGAGCCTGTCCCATCTGCGTTATCACTCATTGTATCTTCCTCTACCGAGTTAAGACCCAAATAGAGAGCAGCAGCTGAAGGTCGGATTGATCCGTAGGCATGACTGATATTGTGAAACGTCTTATTTTGGAAGAAGACTGTATGCAACAGTTAATTGTCGAAATGAAACGGGAGATGGTTTGCTTTCTTACACTTACGTTGGTATTGTTGAGCTAGTTGCTTGATGCTCTGTGGCCATTGTGTTGTTCTGATGACACGGTAGATCTTCTCGTAGTTATTGTTCCAAACGGCTCGAAGGAGGGATAAGGTGCTTTGTATTGTAAGATCTTCTTTCGCAAGACTCGCGGGGAGTCTGCGACTTAGCATATGTGCTTCATTACTGTAGAAGAACAATTAGCCTAGAGCAAAATAGAAGTAGGTGCTGAAACGGACATTTGGTCCTCAAGCAAAAGGGCAAAGAAGTATGACGAGTAATATATGCTCAGGAACTCAGTGTCGCTAGCCATATGGGCATCTCCAACTGCTAAACTGACGTCTCCTTCGAGCTCCATAAGCTTCTGTAGAAGAACTGCTGATGACGGGGCAGTTGCGAGCAGATGTGCGACATCTGCCAGGGACACCATATTCGGGTAAGAAAATATAGATTTACTTGCTATTTAAGCACTCAAAATTCACATCAGCAAAGCCAAGAGAGAAAGCAAGCAGTGGCTGGGTACTGAGCAATTAACCAATGAGGAGAATAGAAGACATGGAAGTTTCATGACAGGAATTGTAGAATAGTACCTTCAACATGTTTACATGGTGGGGAAAGCTCAAACTTAGGTTCAAGCCTCAGGCGGCAACGCGATGCCAAGCCCGGAGAGACCACCTTGCGGCGCGAAGCTCCATCCGACTGCTTGACAACTACATACAACTCAGACCACCCATTGCTCCAGCCATCTTGTTGTGTTTCTTTGCAGTTTAGGCCAGCATGGCCAACGCTGCAATTGAGCCAGTCCTGAGGGGCGCTAACTCAGGCAACACTCGAGGTTTGCTCCGTGTTACCATTCTAGGACTCATCGCTGCTGCCGCTGTTGCCAGTCGACTATTTAGTGTAATAAGTAAGATAACAATACCCTCGCCCTCTTTTTGTATATTCATGTTATATGTGGAATTGGAAGTGGTATGCACTGAAACTAACCGATTGTGTTTAATTCAGGATTTGAGAGTATAATACATGAGTGTACGTTGCGTGGCTGCCTTCTCGCTCCCTCTCCAACTTCGAATTTTATCTCTCCGACTGAAATATTCCATCCAACCTATTCCATCAGAACACATACTGACACAACATCCACACTACAGTTGACCCTTGGTTCAATTTCAGAGCAACCAAATACCTTGTGAAGCATGGCTTTTACAGCTTCTGGGACTGGTTCGATGACCGTAAGGCAGCCTTTCCTTAAAAAGCTATATCCGAGAGTTATCAGTGCGTTTGGCAATATCACATAAGAGCAAAATCTAAAATAATATATTCTTGCGGTTAGGGACATGGCACCCCCTTGGGCGTGTTACTGGCGGTACTTTGTACCCGGGCTTGATGGTAACGAGTGGTGTCATATACCATATTTTCCGATTCCTTTCCATTCCAGTCGATATCCGGAACATCTGCGTGCTGCTTGCTCCCGGCTTCTCTGGCTTGACTGCCATAGCTATGTATCTCCTTACCCGCGAAATGTCTCCTTCACCGTCGGCTGGTCTTCTTGCTGCTGCCTTCATGGGAATTGTGCCTGGTTACATCTCTCGCTCCGTCGCTGGTAGTTACGACAATGAAGCTATTGCGATATTCCTTCTCGTCTTTACGTTTTATCTTTGGATTAAGGCAGTGAAAAATGGATCAATTATGTGGGGTGTTCTGACAGCCTTGTTCTACGGTTACATGGTATCTGCCTGGGGCGGATATGTCTTCATCACCAATTTGATTCCGCTTCACGTATTCGTTCTCATCTGTATGGGCCGATACAGTTCCCGCCTTTATATCAGCTACACTACATGGTATGCGCTAGGGACCTTGGCCAGCATGCAAATCCCCTTTGTGGGGTTCCTGCCTATTCGAAACAGTGATCACATGTCGGCGTTAGGTAGGTTTTCCTAGTTTTATATTTCTTTTTTGCGGCAAATCCCCAGGATAGAAGCTGATCCCTAGTAGGGATTTTTGGTCTCATACAGGTGGTGGCATTTGTCGAGTTCATTCGCACCCAGGTACCAGGGAAACAATTCCAGACTCTACTTACGACCATCGTATGGCTCATATTCGGCGTCTCTTTCTTCGGCCTTGTTCTTCTCACCGTTTCCGGTGTCATTGCTCCCTGGAGTGGCCGGTTCTATTCTCTATGGGATACCGGTTACGCTAAAGTCCATATACCGATTATTGCTTCCGTTTCAGAGCATCAGCCAACCGCTTGGCCTTCATTCTTCTTCGACCTTAACATGTTAATATGGCTCTTCCCAGCAGGTGTATATATGTGCTTCAGCAAACTAAGGGATGAACACGTGTTCATTGTTATCTATGCAGTTCTCGCGAGCTACTTCGCCGGGGTCATGGTTCGACTGATGCTTACTCTCACACCCGTTGTCTGCGTGGCCGCTGCAATAGCTTTGTCGAGTATCCTCGATACCTACCTCCTTAGCTCTCCAGTGGAGCAGGATGACAGCGAGAATTTACCGAAGGGAGGTCTTCGATCTACGCGGACACAGGTTGTAGGGATTTATTCCAAACTTTCAAAGGGGTTAATTTCTACCTCCATCGTTATCTACCTCCTCATGTTTGTGGTTCATTGTACCTGGGTGACATCAAACGCATACTCGTCCCCTTCTGTTGTTCTGGCAAGTAGAACGCCCGATGGGAATCAGCTCATCATTGACGACTTCCGTGAAGCCTACTACTGGTTACGCCAAAACACTCCAGAAAATGCTAAGATCATGTCGTGGTGGGATTATGGCTATCAAATTGGCGGAATGGCTAATCGCCCTACCCTCGTCGATAACAATACGTGGAATAACACCCATATTGCAACAGTCGGCAAAGCAATGAGCTCGCGTGAGGAAGTCAGCTACCCCATCCTCCGACAACACGATGTTGATTACGTGTTAATTGTCTTTGGTGGATTGGTGGGATACTCTGGAGATGATATCAACAAATTCCTATGGATGATTCGAATTGCCGAAGGCATTTGGCCAGACGAGGTCAAGGAACGAAATTTCTTCACCCCCAAAGGTGAATATCGTGTCGATGGAGAGGCTAGCCCAGCCATGCGAAACAGTCTGATGTATGTTTCTCTTGTCTTTCTGGCGTTCTCCCTTTCCTCTTTTTTCCCCCTCCACCTTTTGGCAATTTCATCCCACTAATAATTAATTTTATCCAGGTATAAAATGTCGTATTCCAACTACAACGCGCTCTTCCCGGGTGGTGAAGCGGTTGATCGTGTGCGTGGTGCGCGTCTCCCGGCTCAAGACCCACAGTTGACTACACTTGACGAAGCTTTCACCAGCGAAAACTGGATCATCAGAATCTTCAAGGTCAAGGACCTTGATAACGTCGGGCGAGACCATAATAATGCCTCCGCGTTCGATAGGGGCCGCAAGAAGAAGAAAGCACCGAAGAAGCGGGGGCGGAGGGTATTGAGAACCGAATAACTATTTCTCATTCTTGGTTGTCCCTCTTGCTCTTTCCTGGCTTTTTCTTCTTTTTCCTTTTTCCCACTTTTGATTCAGATTCTCTTCGAATTTGTCAATTTAGTTTACTTTTGTAAAATGTATGCTAGGTTTCCTTATGCAATCTTTTCTTTCTACTTGTTCTTTATGGTTGCGAGTTTATAACCTGTAGAATAAATGGGATAAGGGTTTCGCTTTCTCCTGTTCTTTCGGCCCAACTTTCTTCTTCTCCCCAGCGCTTCACAAGGGGTTTTCTTGGCCAACGAAACGGGTGCCTGCCTGCAAATAATGGTATGGATTTTGTTTTGCGTGTTCTCCACTTCCTAAGAGGAGCCACGACAGGACACTTTTTCAAGCTTCGCGAGTTTTGTTCAATCTTATTAAATCTTATTTATTTCGAAGGGACGCGGTTTTGCGGACACTACTAGTTTTCGCTGTTTCGTTGGAGCATCCTGCCTGCCATCCCCTCTGATTTTATTCTCTGATCAGCCAAGAGAGCCCAAGAGAATCAATAAGCCATAATGTGCCTTGCCAATCGACCGCCAACGATGCTGGTGCATGTGCATGGAGAGGAACTGATTGGGTCGAGAACTGATGGCAACGCCAATATCACCGCCCGAGCTAAGTTTTGAATACGAGGGTTCTAACTGAAAAAGAGTACGAGAGGATGCCTTGGTCAAGTGAGGGGCAGTATCATTGCAATCCTGCAACGGAGATGGGAATATATATACAGGCACGCCTCGTTTTCGAGGAGGAAGTAACCGTTATATCGATGACAGCCAGGATCGCATTGCCAGCCTTCACGCCAATCAGAGAATCGATATTTGTTCTTGAAGAACGTGGGTCGATTTCCATTCCACCCAGGTCCAACCCACCCTATCAACAGACAACTGTATGATGGTTCTAGGCAAGCTTTTCGGCAAGAAGAATGAATCCGCGAAAACACCTAGAGTTGGTAGGTTTCATTCATGAGACAGGCCATTCAATTCTCCGTATACACTGCCTTTCTCCGTTCTCATGAATTTATATTATGAACATCCCTAAGCCAACACATTCTTTCATTTTTGCGGTTCGACTTTTGAATCGCACCACTTGGTAGTTGTTTTGTAGCTAACATCCTACAGAAGAGCCTTACGTGCTTCCCCCGGGCCAAATGCAGGATATGAAGCCCATTTCGTCAGGCTCAATACCACGGCCGCATGAGCGGCCGCATCCGCCAACCCCCCAAACAGGCAATGGCAGGCGATTTGTAAATCCACAGTCATGTACTATGCATGACAAGTACGACATATCCCTATTCAACATGACTCTAGTGCATCCAATACAATCGACGTTCATCACCTTTGATGTTGTCCCTACTCCTCCTCCGACGGAACCAGCACGTGGAGAATTCATAAAGAACCATTTCATTCAGCAGCTCAATTGGTATCCTTGGACATGCGACGTGATGTCTGAAAATTTGGCAAATACCACTGTCAAAGACGCTGGCGTAGAGATGAATATGCAATCCCGCTTTGCCGAAGCTGAAGCCATAATCACTCCTTTGTATCGCAGCGCTCAAAAGAAGCTGGGCTACATGCACCCCACAACCATCTACTACATGAACAATCTTGGGGTAGCCTTAGGCGGCCAAGGAAAATTTCGGGAGGCCGAAGCAATACTATATGACACTGTCGGGATGAAGTTTTCGGAGATAGATCCCGCACATCTTAGTACGCTCGGCAGCATGATGAACATCGTGCTTGCCTACAAGGGCCAGGGTAAGTGGCAGAGGGCCAACGAAGTTTTGAGCCAGATGATAAATATCAGAGCGGCGAGCGGCGGTACGGCGGACCCAGACTTTTTGGATTGGAATGATCATTTGGGCGTGGTGCTGGCGATTGAGCAGAAATATGATGAGGCAGAACAGGTGTTGATGCGCTGTTATGAAGCACGGCAGAACCTGGGGCGCGACCCTTATATATTTTGCACGCAATATACTCTAGAATGGGTTCGGAAACAAAAAGCATCACAGCTTGCAAATGAAAAGGAGTCAGGTTGATTCCCCATCACAACAGCCGGCCGGTATGCAAATCCCCAGGGTTTAAGAATGCTCAATGCTCTTTTTATTCCTTTTTTCTTTGTCTTTCAACACTTCCTCTTAATTGCCTTCCAGAGTTTCGCTTCGTCTGCCTCACGGAGTTCAGGAAATCACATTACAGCTCCATCTCATGCCTTTACCTACTTATTTCTGATTTAAACCTCATTTGCTAGCCATTACCTTCCTGTTTTTATTTTCCTTTAATAATGATGCTTTCAGCATCTTTTCTCCTAGAGTTTACGTCCTACTGTATTTCAAGCCCCTAACGATAACTACACCTTATCCTAGATGTATAAGCTCAAACTTATCACCGAAATACAAATGACACATGTCCACCTGCTGTTTATCATTTGTGTATTAAGAAAAAGGAACGAAGGGCTTCATTAAAAATAATGTAGCACAATCCAAGCCTAAGAAAAATCCGACTAATATAATTCCATACTTGACATGGACAAATCTCTGCCCTATAGTCACGATTCTGTGCTCATTCCGCTTCCAGTTATTAAAAACTCTACTCTTGCACATCTGCATGTGTTTCTCTTTGTATATGTCTCGTCTAAGTTTTAATACACACAACTGACCGCTTCACGAAAAACAAGGTGTAGAAGAGAAGAAGGGGTGAGTAATATAGCAGGGTAATAACCTAAACATTAGGACACGAAAACAGCGGGTGATCTAGCCGAAATTACATCACATCATCTGGTCACCACGGTGCCTCAACCAGGCACAGTAGTAGTTGTGGATGACGAATCAGCCGTATTATCCGTCCCCTTCATTTCCTGCTGCGGTGTGCCGCTCAATGTTGAGCCAGGAATCGATTCAGGCTCGCGCTTAATGTCCTGGTTTTGGGCGTCGACAATGCCAGCAGCACCTGGTTCTGATTTTACACCATTCGACGCATTGTCACCGGACACAGCTCTGGGATTGAAGTTTGCGCCTTGGCCTTGGTCCGTCGATGGCGAGGCTGTTCGTGGAATTTGTGTTGTTGATATAGGGTTAGGTTTTGAGGTAGAGTTCTCTTGATTTGGAATGGCATGTGGTCGCCATTTGAGGAGGATTTTTGAAACGAGAGGCCCCGCTTCGTCCACTATACAATTCGGCCATGGTGGTTAGATATGTCATGGTACAGGGATGAGGGTCTTCTTTACCTTTTGTATAGAGGTCTTGGAGAGCATCTAGGCAAAGTTCCCTTGCTGGAGGCCGCACGAGGACAAGATAGCTACATTTTAATTAGTATTGAACGATTCATATATTGCAAAGATACCTGCCATGTGGGCCTGCTACTAAGACTTACTGAAGGGCTTGAACACATAGGGCAACACGTTCAGGATCATTTGCCAAACTCTTTGTCTTTTGCACGAGCTTCGGGCTGAGTTCCGGTATCTCACTTAGAAACCTAATCAACACTTTGTCCTTGCTGTCCAAATAAGGCAAGATGCCTTCCAGTAGCCTCATAACCCATTTCTCATAGTGTTTCGAGGACATGTTACCATGTTCGCCATTATCCTCTGTGGCGGCATATTTCAGTTGTATTTGGTCATTGTACCACTCTTCGTTCATCCAGGAAATAGCGGCATTGATTCGAACACGAAAATCTTCAAGGACATATCGATATAACATCTCCCTGATGCCGTTTGCCATGCTGATGCGTTGGTTCAATAACAACTGGCGGCCGTCTTCAGCTTTAAAATTCTCATCTGTTTCATCCACCTCCAAGCCGGCCGAGGCTCGAGTTGCCAATCGAGTGAGCAAGACCAACCAAGAATCCCTATCAAAAGAGCTGGCTGCTAGCCTCCCAAAACCTGGCTTCTGGGAACCTTTGGTTGACTTTGATGGTTGCTCTAAGGCGGAAATCATGTTAAAAACTCTTTCAATTGCACCCTTTCCAATTTCGGCGGCTTCTTCCTCTGTTAATGGCGGTGGCTGAGGTAGGACAAAAGGGCCGAGGGCAACGAGATCTGGTTGAAATTGTTCATTTCCGGCAATGGACGATCCCGTTGGCACATGAGTCCCAGTTGGGATGTCCATTGGCTGATATTCTGGTTCGTAGTCATCATCCTCTTCTATGCCGGCTGCTGATATTGGAGCGGTATGCTGTGAGGATTGTTGTTCGAAGACTTGTTTCTTGGATAATGTGAGGTAACGAGACCGAACAGCCTAGATATTGAGCAGGTGAGTCTAGGTTTCTTTTCCTTTGCAAGTGAAATACAACTCGAGGATACATACGCCAATAGCTTGATCTAATGCCTCAGGATCAACTCGACTAAGCACAGGAACGGTGATTTTGACAATTAGGTCTGCGGGAAGCTGTTTGACATCAAAGGATGTCAAACCCGCTTCATCGGTCAATGTGAAGAGCTGAGCAAAAGAATTGGGGCCAGGGGGCATGGGAGGGATTTTCAATTGAGGGGGAGTATCAACGCCAAGTCTTGCACGCTTTGCGCTATCTACGAGATCAGTCGGTTCGGTTGGCAGCGCCCGTTTTTTCGATGCTTCTTCGAATATATCATTCCGCGACTGCGCTAATCGTTCCAAATATTGCTGAATGCGGCTTGCCAAAGGATGATTTGGGTTCCTAAAAGCACCGATCAGAAACCAGTTACTGCCTTACACTGCCTGGCTCCGTACCTCTTCATTAAATTGATGAGCAGTGCCCTCGTGGTCCGTTCCATGGACTTGATATTTACTCGAATTGTAGGAGTCATTGGCGCATTTGCTTGTTTAAGCGGGTTGAAATTAAGAATCGCATTTACAATCTTACTTGAAATGGACTGTCGGGTGCGTATCATGACCGGGAGACAATTTAACGTTGCGTTGACCAAGATAGGATCACTATAACTGTTAATCGGTGGTTGTCTTGTTTTACTACCAGTACAAACGGACTCGGATACACACCTCGAATTTTCATTGAACACGTTGAGTAGCCTATCTAGCAAGCCAGAAGCTTCTGCTTCGAGATTTGGTAGTGGTATAAGTGGATGATTTCTCGGCACAATTGACAAGGAGGTTTCATTTTGCTCAGGACGCTGTAGCTGTGCTCAGTATTTCTAGATGATAAAATTTTTTTAGGATGCCATACATACCCTTGGATCAGATATGACGCCAGTAGTTTGGACCTGCACCACCTTCTGGACAAATTTGATACAGCAAGCCTTGATGTTATTGGAAGCAGTGTCCCATCGCTTTAAAATATTCTGCTTGATGGCTGTCATTTTTTCCCACAATGCAGATTCGTTGGAGTTATCAATGCTAGTAGAAAACCGCATTAAATCAGAACCATGCTACCCATGCTGATGAAGAATTACTGCCTTTGAGAGGGAGGATCGCCCATCGACTCTTTCCCACAGCTATTCCGATATCCGCAATTCTAGCAGATTAGGGATTTAAGGGATTGGGGTGCCGGGGTTCGACATACATAGTTCTAAACACCAATGGGTAAATACTAGCAGCAGTTTGAATAACTCCCTTTACGACACTGGCATCCTCTTCTGGATTTTCCAATAATTCCCACAATGTCTGCACCACCTGTGTACTCAGCTTCTGCTTCGGTTGTTGGGCCAGCGCGGGACTGGCAAAGGTTTCTGCTAGGAAGTCGGCGCCCCATCGTCGTAGTTCTATCCGTGCCTTGGCGCCTATTATTGGGAGTATGCCCTGAACGATCTGTGGATACAAAGCAGCATCACCAAGCACAACATTTCTAGCAGTATCCAGCTGGGACATCTGCTCCGCGAGATTGTCGAAAGGCAAAGCCATGGTGACTCTAATCCGACCGGGTCGCAAGACCACGACGGTTAAATCCAATAGCGTTTCGTATACTACTTCTGAGTGGAGATGTCTAATTTCATTACTTTAGCTGGAGGACAAAATCGCGAGTGTCGATACGCAGCGTTCGTGGGCGGCAGGGGAAGTGGACGTGAATCGTCATACGACCAGGAGAAATTTGATGGCAACGGAATACAGGGGAAGAAGGAAGGTTATTCACCACCTGCAATGGGCAAAAGCTGGAATGGAAAAAAGTATGCTACATGGAAAAAATAAAGTAAAAGCAAGCTAGGGAGTTTTATTAATCGTTGAGCTGATGGTGGTGGATGAGCAATGCGTGTTGATTGAGCTGGTTGTTTTGGATAGGAGCAAGTTTGCGGAAGTCTGGAGCGTAGACGTAGCTTGAAGGTGATAGCGCTAACCTGATCCGGATTGATAACCACCGGCAGCAAGCGTTCGCACTCCGCTGGTTGATGGCATGCGATCAGACGAGTGAAGATACATAAACAAATAAGTGAGCTACGCTTCACGAAATACTTGCTATCACTAATTTTCTCTTCATACCAAACCAGCCCAGCTCCTGTTTGCGTGAATGAGCGCGGACAAAGGGATTATCACGTGATGCCAAGGTTTCCTCCTCCGTTGCTTTGAGAGCGGAGAGTCCCTTACAGATTGATGTCATGAAAATTCAAATGGATGAAAGACAACCATAGATATCGGTATTTTACCATTCCACCTTCCTTCGGTAAGCGAATTCAATAAGAACCTGAATACACAATTCTCTCTATCATGACGATGTAAGTTTACACGATCCCCAAGTTTATGCCGAAAACTTCGATTGAACCAAGCCATAATCAACTGACACTTGCTTCCTTAAACAGCTTCAAATCCTCATACTACGATAAAGACTACAGAGCGGGCGCTGCCCTAATTCGTGCCCGTCGACCGTATCTGATCAAAAATGCTGCTACTGGGCTCGCATTGTTCGGCTTCTGTATAGGCGTTTGTGAGTGTTTCCCCTCATTCGGTCTCCCCGCGGACGGTCTTGGCTTGATCTAATCGCGATTTTCGTACAGACGCTTTCACTATAAATGCTGTTGGGCAAGATGATTTCTCGGACGTGAAGCTTCCTGATAAAAAACCGGGCGACACAGGCCCGTCACAGGCTACGAAAGAACTCTAAAAAACACCTGCGAATAATACTATAATGGCCATCCCGTCGTCGAGCTATGCCACAGTGGAGCCACTTATCGCACCTACCGAGAGTTTACGATGTTCCTACTCACCATGATATTCATTTTCAATCGCCTGGCGTTAAGTAGGTTCTCTGATTGGTTGGGAAATATTAAATATGGAGTTTAATGAAGTTCTCACTCTTGGGTCAATGGACAGAGAAGGGGTCAGAGTGCAGAATGAAAGTGGGAATGGATACTATGGGCGCTCGTTTGGACAAATATGGGAGATAATCTTCTTCCACAGCTCCACCGAAACCGGGTTATTTTATCACGGTCCGCTAATTACCTTTTCAATCGAAGTTTTGCAGGCATCTACGTACAGTCTCCGCTCGAATCTCCTCTTCCTAAGTTCCGCAACCATGTTCTACCATTTATGTACAAATACGCTATCTTCACCTGATTTCAAAGTTTTAATATTTTCATGGATATAAATGTACCATTTTGTTACCCTACACCTCTGTGGAAGCAAATATATACATACTCTACTTGTCTATTTGTTCTTCGGGTGTGGCTTCTGGACAGTTTATTAACTCACGTTCCCCAGTTGTTTGTGTTCTCACCTTCACTTCTCAAGTTTCAATCTCGTTGCCCGGAAAAAGTTATTGCCGCTATATTCCGTACCCAGAGGCCAGAGCTGTTATGCCTTCCTATCCGGCTTGTTTGGTATGGCAATGTAACAGGACACGAACGCTGGATTGCGGCTTTCAAAAGGGAGAACGTCAGTCTTTCCCGGGTTGACGCAGGCATTCCAGTTCGCCATTCCAAAATATTTATGCGTTGTTAACCATGGCCTTGATTTCAGGAAGAGAGGCACGGATATCCCTCCAAGGTATCTATTCAGTACTACCTATGAAGTTTACTCCGGCTCCTTGCATACACACCATCAAGGATTGCATGCTGCGTAAGTTTGTCTATGTGTGTACAATACACAATATGGATGGTGATTATCCCAGCTATTTAGCGATAACCTTGCGTAAAGGGAACGGGTTGTGAGCTAACCGCTCAAACTTTACGAGGTATTGTGAGGGGTATGAGACATGGTTTTCTGCTCTAGGCGATATCAAAATATCCCATCAAACAAGCCAACGGTGAAATGAGTATAAATGTCAGGCTAGCTGCTCCCTCAAAAGATTGTTTTGAGTCCATCTGTGTTGCCATCTATATCTTAGTTAAAAGACGCTCACAGGTATGATCAAAGCCCTTTGAACCAGCCATATAGCAATATAATAATGACACAACTAAGCCTAGTTTCCTACGCGGGTCTTCATTTCTTCAACCAACCCTGAGCCATTCCGGCTGGCAACTCAAAAACCGCCCATTCATCATGAAATTTTCGTTCCATGCGCTTCTCGTTACCGCGTTTGTCAGCATCCACACTGCTGTAGAACTCGTTCTCTCATCCCCTCTCAATATTGTAGGTATGTGAGAAATGAATGCCCCGTATGCCATTCACTTGAAACCCTAGTTGAACAGATATGACAGATCATCAGCTCTCCAGGCGTGACTGCAACTACAGAGTGTTCTGTCCGACTTCGCTAGCAGAGTCGTGGTGTGTCTCCTGGGATACAGGATACGCCATGTGCGTGCAGAAAAATGGGAAGTATCCAACGGTGGAATTGAACCGCTGCAAATCTTGTGTGGAGAGCAATTGTGCGACGACGAGATGCGAGGAGGTTATGGATTGAGAAAGTAGGAGGAGCTATCCTGTTAGCCTGAGATGGGATCAGATAACATAGCGGAACTTGTTAACCACAGTGTAGGTAGCCTGATGAGATAAGTTGTTTGGGCAATAGTTATACATCAGCCCATTTACACCGTGTCTAAATAAAGTATTAGCTAGTGTATGAGGCACAGCTATTCAATTTCACAAATGTACCCTTCCAAACCAACCCTAGGGTTGAACAGGTGCTATTCATCAACTGCACATTAAAAACATGCACATACGGCCATATTGAGTGGAAGAAAAAACTTCCACCCACATAGCTATACTTAAGCCATAGTATCGCACGGCCAAGTTTTAAATGCTGTGCGGATTCGCCGTCGCTTGAAGCCTGGACATCGTGCTGGATTAATATGCTCCAAGACGAGGGTGTATGAAGTATAGTAGCAGCGCGAAGTAAGGTATGACATTCGTCACAATTCAGCAAAGAGATAAAAACAGTTTCTGTTCAAGATTCTGCTTGTAGGAGAAGGGTTATTGGCGCCTCATACTTTAAGGATGAGACGGAAGATGCTTGATTGTGAATGATATCTTCGTCGTAATAACTGAAGGTTCAAACCCGATAATTCCTGAGACTAAAATGAAGGGCTTGGTTTGGAATTCAAATCCCTGGGTTGAAAACATGCCTCTGAGACAAAGAAAATGGGATAGCCATTCTTTTGACTCATATTATGGGTTCATAAGGTGGAAACAGCTCATGAGTGGGTAGTTCGAATCAGCTGGCGTGCGATATCGGGGATCTTCCTCGCTACGAGAACACTCAGCTCGGCGTCGGTATGTAACTTAGCTTGACAATCACTTTCTCAATGTCACTAATTGTTGCATTCTCCCGGGTTTTATTCACAATCACTTAGGGGCCTACCAAATATCGGCCTCAGCCCCTAACACCGTTTCAATCCTGGAGCCGCACATTGAACAATCAAATTTTTCCTAGGTTGTCCTTCTCAAAGTCTCGAAAGATCAATGTGCATCCATTTTCCAGTTTGGCATGTCCAAAATTAGCCACGGAATAAGTTTGTGTGAGCCATCACAAAATAATTTCATCATTCAAGTGCCAGTTCTAGAAGCAAGTTTGAAACAACTGGCGAGTATTGCTCGGACGTGAACTCTCGGAAGGGGGATTGTTGACAATGTTTTCAACACTGAAAATCACCACTTTTTGCCATGGAAGGAGACGTTTGGCTTTCCCAAAGTCATGAAGCTGAGAGAGAGACATTCTCTTTCTCTCTCTTTCTCTCTCTCGCACTGTGTGTATATGTTTAAAGTCCACGCACCAACAGGTCAACCATTCCGGTTGGGGCCTCAGGTCAAGCACTTTCCCTGTCTCTAATGCAAATGCCTTTTCTGTCAGAATAGGTGATTGCAACTACCAAAATCTTATCCATCCAACTCTCACCAGGTCGCCATGTCAAGCAGAATGATCGCAGAGTAGGAGCCATGGTACTCAATCAACGATGAATGAATCTAACCTACGCCATTGACTGCCTTGGCCATTCGCTCTTTCTGTCACCGATGCAGTTCATCAACAAGAGGCGGAGGAAGTATTCCAGAACGGCACCTGGAAGGTTGCTGTCACACTGAAACTCATCCCGATGAGGGGTAAGAGTGACTCGGTCCAGAGAGAGCCATAAAACTGTGGCACATAGCCTTCATCACATGTGCCAGTTTGAATGAGCCTGCAGGAAGCCTGGATTTTCCAGCGAGCAGATTCGGCTCATCAAACCATATCATCGCCATTTCAGGTGCTTAAATCGTTGTGAAACTGGGAAAGGCAAAGAAAGTGTTAGGTTTGGGATGGAGGAATGGGCCAAGACAAATATGTACAACTCTCAGAACACAGCTTGCCGTCATAGTTCAGATGGAATATAGATTCTCGATAACCCAATATTTATGGGATTGATCTCAGTCTTCAGATTGTATCAGTCTTTCGTCATTCCCATGAGAGTAACTGGGCATGAGAGCGCCCAGAAACCGGAGATAGATGTGGGCAAGCAGCTGAATGGAGTCGGCGCGAAACCGTTCTGTAAAATGTAACCTCAACAAAGGATAGAAATGAGATTCAAAACAAAACGCTGTGCTCTCAGCAGGCCATACCAATCTGACAGTTGGCGAGCCAGTAATCTTATGTCGACGATGTAATTAACCTGGCTATTTTGTAGACCATGACAGCAAGATGGGATGTACAGCACACGTACGAAAGGAATACGCATGCGCAGTACATATATGCCAACAGGCGACAAATGGAAGCCACAATTGGTACACCCCACTTTGAGTGTCACAATGGAAAGACCTACCCCAGAGGAACCCTGCTTCTGCTTGAACCCTCATGAATTCATGAAGACATTCGACGATTCAAAATTCACAGGATTCCTGGAATGGCAGTGTGAAATCTACGACTATCGGATCAAGTATGAAAACTTGGTCCTATCATACTGGGGGTGACTGAAGATCCTGTATCGTGAAGTATGAAAGCATAGTGGCTGATGCTTCTACACAAGATGGCTACCGTAATGTAAATGATCTCTTTCCTCTGAGGCCAATTCGCAGGCTCTCAACATTTACAATACACCAATATCTTGTCCGATGAATGGGAGGAGATGAACGGGTTTAGGCGATATTCCCCTGAGATATTCAGTAGTGATAAGGACGACATCTACTGACTCCTCTGTGCGGAACAGGAGTGGTGCACCAGGACATACGCCGACGAGAGACAGTGGTTACGGGTGTCGGCTGATGTGCTCCTTGTCCTACATCTCTGGCTCTAGGCTCATCGCCTTGTTTGACAGGTTCGTAATCATGACCATCATCTTCAAAATTCATTCCGACAAGGCGAAAGCTATTGGACCCATGATGTTCCCCTGGTTGCTGGGGGCTAATGGCGAAGATGAGGATGCCCAGTGACCAGCCATTGATGAGTTTGAAATTGAAGAGATTATAGTCGAATTATTCCCATAGACAACATAAACGGTGGGCCTATGTGGGTTGAAGATGCAAACTTGGCTCCGAAACCACGATTGCAGCTGACTCCCAGGCAAGAAAGAGGAGACCAGGGTCTGATCACTTTAACGGGGTTTTGCGAGCCACACGGAAGGCTAGACACCCTTCTATCCCTTCGAAAATAGAGACGGGACTGCTATTCTTCGGATGCTACTATGGGGTCTAATATTGATTCCTCCAGCGACTTTAATGTCACGAGAAGTCAGTCGACAGTAACGCGAATTGTGGCTTGAGAGCCAGCACAGAGATTCGACATTTAGAGACGGTGCCGTCACCACCGGTTGCAGCACCGATGGCCCGGAGAGTAGCAATCTGGCAACAAATGGTTTTACCAGCGTTGATTACTTTGGTTCGAACGACCTAGCTCGAGAGGACCAGTCCATATTCATCAACGACAAATACCACAGGAACGACGTGGAGAAGGTCTATTCCTATGGCTCCATATCAGCCTCTAGACGGTCCGTAGTGAGGGTTTGGAGATGCTGAACACGTCACTGACTAAGTGGTCTTGATGTACACTGACGAAATAAGTAATAGACCAAGAACGTAAAATGTCCCGCCGCCCACCAAACTCCTCGTCATTTGCTAACACAATCATGAGATTCCTTCTCATCACCCATAACCCTGAACCTGTCTATGACCTCCGTCTGCAATTTGTCATGGTGGAGTTCCACGACGACGACGACGACGACGACGACGACTTCGCCGCTGACGACGGATATCCTCCATCCTCACTCAATGAGCGATATCAAACCCTCATATAGATATTTAGTGAACTAAGGACCCAGTGGTAATTCCGGAATATGGTAGGAGGAATATAGGGATTGCTCGATTTTGCCATGATTGCTCCCGTCCCGCTGTTCTGAAGCCACCAGGTATATTGCATTGCTCCGGTGAAGATCTGACCTTCCGGGCTGCTGCTAGAGCTAGGCTGTCCTGTGAAGCTGAAGATATTGTGTCGTGGGCTGAAATTGGTATGTCTTTGTCTTCAACGGGCAAAATGGGATCAAAGCAGGAGGGCTGGTTCACATTACCAGGAGAAGGTCAGGGGTATCTGCAATTGATGTAGGAAATACATAAGATTGCGGATATACATGTCACTTCATAAATGTCCGAAACACCACATATGACGGATCCATCTTCTAAGAATGCCGCCAATATATCTATTCAGGCGTTGGAGGATCAGGAAGGTGCTGCGACGCTAAGATGCTTTCCCTGACAACTCAAATACCAAGCAACGAGGGGTCAATCGGACATCCTGCATGCGAGGTGTTGAGCGATGTTGCGAGATTGAAAGATGCGATGCGCTTGGAGAGATTAAACCCCAATTGAAAGGAGGAAAGCTAAATATTTAGCTTGGATTTTCTTGGTCGTGAGAATTGAGCAGTTGCTTCTCCTCCCATTGTCTAACTATATCTCTCATGGTTTGATCATGATCATAGGGTCTTCCTTCTGTCGGATCAGAACCGTGCGAAACTAATGTTTTGCACTTGAGGAAAGTGTCAGGGAAATAAGTCCAGTAGGATGACGCTCACGGACGTTCAGTCACACATATGCCGGAGTCCGGAGGACTAACGAAGCTGTCATAACAGTTCTGGTCATGCACATACGGAATGGTTGAAGCAAAGCACCCCAATGAATGGGGACTCAGCCAGGGTGCGTTCGACGATGCAGTTCACCGTCAGCATCAAGAAACCATCACGCGCATTTTGATAACACAAACAAGGAAAATGTTCTTAACCCAGCAAAACTGGTTCGTCAATATGGTTCAGGTGGATGACAAATTGAGTTGCGACCATGACCATGGAGACTTTGAATGACTCTCAAAACGGGCGGAAGTTTATCAAAGGAAGCCTTTATCTCTTCCCAGATCAGCCAATATTCATCAGTCTCATGCATGTCACACTCACTATTTGCCAACGGAAATAGGGAGGGTCTCCATCTATCGATGAAGCCTGGGTTTCAACCTGGTTTGGGAAATATTGAACACGATATTCCTTTGTGCGTCTCCCACGACTCACGAGGCCTCATGTAAAATGCTTCATTAACCCAGTAAATTACGCCTTTGAGCTCCTAGACGGCTAGAAGCCAGAGCTCGTCAAAATAGGGCCATTGGGGGTTGAAAGTTTTCCGGTGTGACATACAAATGCTTCTTCCTGGCGTACGGGAGTATCCACAGATGCATCTATGATGTGGTCAGAAGGGATTTTCAATAACCGCCTTTCTAGAATAAACAGACGCTCCTTCTCTATCGACAGCTTGACCTGCATGTTGCCAGTGTAGGAATATTTTTCCACCACTCACGCATTCTTTCTTTCCGGGTTGAACTATTCCGCTGGGGGGCGGGTGGGTCGCTATATTGCAAGGGAACGAATGCATGGAACAAAAAATGCTTTGGAGGGTTCAACGGTCCAGGCTTATCTGACGATCCTTAAGAAAACTGAATACGCATGGTGCATGGAGACAGACCGGATTGAATCCGTCACGAAGTGGTAAATCTGTGCATTTCCTCCCTTCGCATCCCACTAAGGAACACCTTTGTTAGCCTGGCCGTGGCTCGTCTTACAAGTCGCGACAGAGCCAATTGAGTCGAGTCTAGCAACAACCTGTGGCATTCAGCCGAATTGACGCAAACAACTAACTCAACGACGGCTTGGGAGGCTGCTCGCCCTTGCTTCACTCACGCACAAGCCGGGAAGCCAATCGAGCAGATTTCACCAAGCGCCCGGTTATAAGAAAGACTCCTTTCCCTTTCACACTTCACCCCGCATTGGACCTTGACTCAGCAAACGGCCTTTTTGGACGTAGGACAAGTTGAGCCCAGTTGCATATCACCGCACGTTTCGCCTGGGAGAAAACCAATTGAAAACAAAACCTCTCTCTCTTTAATTGATAATAAGCCAACACTGTGTAGGTAGCTCAAACCAAAGAACCGAAAAACCAACCAATTAACCAGCCATGGTGGGAAAAAATAAAACTTCCCCAGGAACGCACCAGAAAATAACTTGCTATGAAGATCCCAGCTAATCAAGTTGAACGTGTTCCCACCAATGCACGGAACATCGATAGGATCATCATTTGCTCGCCATCTTTCCACTGGAGGGAGCTCCTCAATCTGAATAGTGGCATAGCGCCTGAAATCTGAGCCCTTTTCACGCGCCGATCTGCGATGTGTCGATCAACCTCATCATAGGCCTATCACGCTTCGATCGCAACTGCCCGCCATCATGGAACTCGCTCTCTGCCAGCGCTTCCTCGCCCTCTTCCTCGTCTTGCTGCTCTGGGCGCCTCAAGTATTATCTTCCCCTCTGAAAGCAGGTATGTTTGCCCTAATTCTACTAGGCATCTGATGCATGAGAGTTACATGTATATGCTCGTTATATATAATTGTACTCTCACATCTGTCTATCCATCTATCTATCTATATACATATATAAATTCATCTTTCTTTTCTTGGTCGTTTGTTTTCACCATTCTAAAACCACATACAGCCCAATTCCTCCCTCGCCAGGAAGAAGAAAGGCCGAGCGCCTTCGACAACCAGTGCGGCACAACCCATTTCTGCCAAAACGACAGGGAGCGACGACCGGACTGCGTTGACGCCGTTCATGGGTATACCCTTTGCCAGTTTTATTTTCCAAAGACTAGCAGGATGTACCAGGTCTGCAAGGATTGTGTGGATACGAATTGTGACGCCTCCGGGTGCGAGTGGTTTGGGTAGGAGGGCTCCATGTTGGGAGGCGCGAAGGAGGAAAGTGAATGCGATAAGCAATGGGAAGATGTGGTGAGACTAGGTTTGAATTTGGGTTTATGTGAGGTTTTTTTTTTCTTTTCAATTCTTCCGAGGGGGAGAGGATAGAGGTGGGACTGATATATGCGCATGCAATTCTTTTATAGCTTTTTTTTATATATACCCCATTTTGGCAATGTTATGTGAACCCACGATCGTTATGATGATGAGAAGAATCGAGATGAAATAATAAAATGCATCACTTTGCATTAGTTATGTCCTTGAATCGCATGTAAATGATATACGTACCCGGTACCCGGTATCTGTAGGATCGGGTGAAAGATGTATGGGGATCCCGAACTTTCTGACATCTTCCTCCCCTCCTCCTCCTCGCCGCATACGATCCCGATAGCCGCCCCTGGAGCGTGATGGGAGACGAATATGCCATCCATCAGAACCCAACTACGCAGAACTCCCTGAAGCAGGAGCAGATAGAATTCGCGAAAGCTGATTGCCGACACACACCAGTGGACGACATCCGTCCATTTTTCAACGGATGCCAATGCCAACGCTGTTTTTGGCCAGATAAAAGCTGTGGGTATCTGCCCAAGTGCGTTGCGCCATGTCTTGATTCGTCCGATACCGCATTGCGGACTAATCTGCCCCGATCGGTTTCGGACGGGAGTTGAAAAATATCGTGTACTCCAAATCAACCGCGATGAACGTGTGTTGGATGACTTTCGTCGTATATAATATGACCTTGTCGGAGGGCTAGTTGGCTACGACAAAGACGGAACTTGGGGGCAAAGCCAATCAATCAATCAATCAATCAATCAAATCAGGCACACAGATCACTCGGTAACTGAAAATGCATGTGGCAAAGCTCATAAAAACGGGAGACAAAAATGAAGATAAATATGTATCATATAAAACAAACTCCCTTTGACAAATCGCTCAACAGGAAACAGATATCTTTACATATTTATCGAGGAGAGAGAAAAAAGAGTAAAACGTTCCAGGTATCAACCCCAATGCAAATAGATACATCATTACATGAGCTAAAAGAAGAAACGGCAGGAAGCAAATATATATCTTGAACTGTAGTTGAAATTAAAGTCAAAAAGGTTAAAAAACACCTACTCTCGTTCTTTTCTTTGACCCAGGTAATTATGTTATGTCCAAAATGGTTTAGAAAATAACAGAATGGAATAATAAAAAATGCTTTGGAATACTTCCCACAGTCCGCTAACCCCCAATGATATGCAAAAAATGAAAAGCAAAAGAAAGGGGCTAATTGCTTACAGGCCTTCCCCCTCTTATGGAGTTATTACGGGTTAGAACAAAAAGGAACAATCAAACAACCGTGCAGAGAGAAGATAATTAAAATACAGCCCATTCCCCACCCACCCCCATATTCCATTACCACAACCCTTGCATATTCCCAACCGTTTCGTACCGCGTGCGCTCGTAGAGTGAAGAAAAACAAAACAAAACGCCGTTTATCAAGTTTTCATGGTTGCACCAGATGGCAGGCACCAGCATGGGCGCGAGCAGCGCGTACGTGGGAAATAAATACGGGGGGTGTGAGGTGCGAGCGGTGGATGTGCACCATGAAGGATCGGTATAAATATTTTTCCCGGATGTACGTAGATATATATATATCATCGCGCGCCCATTCGACTCCTCCCAGACCCGCCTGCAGTGATGCCAGCAGCTTGGTGCATGGAGTTCAGAGGCGTAGACCGTTGTCGGGCAGCCGTTGCCCCTGACGATGAGGAGCTGAGTAGCTCATGATTGGGGCCAGAAGCCGAAGTCGGTGGTTGCGGAGATGGGTCCCGTCGGGATGGAGGTGGCGCGCCAAACAGTCCCAAGCGCGCTGAGGTGGGTGGAGAAGATTGGAGATTGTTAGAAGTATTATTATTACTGTTGGTGTGGGTGTTGTTATTATTATAATTGTTATCTCTGGTAGCGCTAGAGCTTTGATGAAGCCCGACTTCTGAGGGAGTATTACGATGGTGCTGAGCGTGAGAGGGAGATCGCTGATCAGAGATGGTTCTCGACTGGGGCCGCCGTGGATTATTGGGTTTCCGCAAGTCTAGCGGCGACGATGATTGGGACCGAAATCCTGAGATTCTTTCAGCTTCATCTGGTTTGGGATGGTGAGCGAATGGGGACTCGTTTGCCGCTATGAGCGCCCTGTTATTGTTATGATGTGGTTGGCGTATCCGATCCTGCTCAACGTCCTGCGGAGTCTTTGTAGCTGACGAGTTAGGCGCGGATGCATGATCTGGGATCGTCGAAGCTGACCCGTTGGGCGCGTGTAGATCGACAACGCGCTGTTGTGCAGCAGGGGTAGCATATACATTCTCCGCCCTGCGTTGCTCTTCGTTCATCCTAATCTGCTGAAGCTGTTGCAGATATTGCTCATGGCTAGAATGTTGTGGGTTTGCCCAAGGCGTGTGTTCGAGGAATTCCTCTGCTGCGCCTGGCCGAGCCGTTGTCGATGGTGTTGTCGTAAAAGTGCTGCGAGGCAGGGATGGGCGGGGAAAACTGTGGGGCGCATTGATCGAACGAGGGTCAATCTGCGGAGAGTTTATTTTAGCACTCCTTTCGATATTCCATATCATCCATGATGTATAGTAGAGCACATACCCCCATCTTCGCCAAATCTTCATCTGTCTCATTTTGCCGCGCTGGCAGGATCGCCGGAGCAGCTGGAAAACCCACATATTTCGCAACGCCTGAGAGTATAGACACCTCCTTGTTATAGGCGGCTTGCTGGGCAATTTGTTGCGAGCGGCGAGTTGGGAAGGAAATGAAGAAGTTTGGGCTTGCTTCGGCGTTTTGGAATCTATCCTGCTGGATTCGGTAATGTAGGCTCGAAGCGTCATCAAGATACTTTTCACGAACTTCTCGGGCCCGTTGAAAGTAAGAGCTATTTGTTTGGCAGCGTTCGGCCTGGCTTTTGTTAAATAGCGAGGATAGCTTGTACTTAAAGAGTGTTCTCTCGTATTTGATTTTGTCATCTCGATAATTCTCGATTATACTGAGCTGACGTAGGTATTCAGGGTGAGTAGCGTTCTCCTCAGTGAGCTGTGATAGCTCGTTATTGAGGTTCGCAATTCTCTCATCATATATCCTATAAGGAGCCAAACAGGAAGCATTAGAGGCGATGTAAATGTACCGGAGGATGTAGATCAACAATTTACCTATCACGCAACGTTGCGAATTGTCGTTCAAGAGTAACTAGAAGGTCCATGGCTGTGGATTTCTTCATAACTATTTTCCTTGTCAATAACAAAACCCCAATGAGGTAAGGATTTGGAAGTGGCAAAGAAAAAATGAAATTTGTTTTTAGAGTAGTTATACTTACGTTCTTCTTCGGCCTTGGAAACGACCTCTGTGTCGTCAGCCTCATCAACAGGTTCAGCTTGTTCATCCTCTTCTGCAACCTGTTCATCAGCCAAGCCATTGGCGTCTTGCTCAGCATCTTCCGGTGCAGGAATACTCTCCGCTTCAGCGTCGTCATAAGCCTGTTTAACATTTCTGCCTTTTCGTTTGCCTTTCTTGCCCCGTTTACCCCTCGACACTGGCGCACGTGCATCGAGACTCTGTGTCTCCTCTGCCACTGGGTTCTCGTCAGGGGAGGTTTCACCTGTCTTTTGGAGGGCTTCCGCGGTTGTGGGAGTGGGAGGAAAGTCTGGCAATGGTTTGGAAGCTGTTCCGCTGACAGGAACGGAGCCACGACGCTTCCGTAGAGGTTCTTCTTCGCCTGATTCGGGGCTTACATCTCCTTCTAAGTCAAGACGTTTCCTTTTTTTGTTAATGGTCTCGAGAGAAGCATTTAGAAGTTCACGTCCATCAGTGGTAGCAACATTGTCGGTAGCCAGTACGCCATTGGTACTGGCTTTCCTTCGTGGTTTGCTGGGAGAAGTTTCTGGTTCGTCGTCCTCATCGTCGTTAAGTTCATCATACGTTGTTGATTGCGCTAGCTTGCTGGGGCTCGTTTCGAATATACCCGCATTCAATACGATGTTGGTGCGGTTTCGAGGGTGGCTCGGAGACTCTTCGATCCGTTCCGTCTCGGCTTCTGAGTCGATTTCACTCGCAAGTTTTTCAAGTTTGGGGGATTCAATATCCAGATGGTCGTTATCTAGAGCATCATCAAGGTCGCTCAGGCTACTCGAACGGGCATCGTCGGCGATTGAATATTCCGTGTCGCGACCATTGGCACCGCCATTAGCGGCGAACGCTGATTGAGGAGTAATCGACTCCGCTGGCTCAACGGAGTCCATCTAGATATTGAAAAGGCGATGTACGTTGATCCAACGGAAAGATGGAGGGAGAGGGAGTTATGGGCGTCGGATTGGTGATTTCAGCAACCGATTAGAGCACGAAGGTGGGTGACAGGGTTTTTCAGAAACTGCGAAACAGGGCAGGAAAAAAATGAGTTAGTGAGATTTCATAATAATGAGATTGTATAGAACACAGCGTCTCTAAAAAGACCACGAATATTGCAGATGGAATTTGGAGATTTGTGGAGAGCTATCTGGCTGTAGAAGGGTTCTGACTGATGATCAATTTCAGCAGCCCAACCTCAGTTTCGAGACGAACAAGGGCAAAAAGAAGCAGTCAGAACTATAGGGCCCCAAACATCTCAGGCATATTCAGACGGGTCCAGAAAGTTTCCAGGTATCTCTCACTTCCATCCACATTGTATGAAGGCGTTGTTTCGAACAGAGGCCGGTTGGACGTACCAAGTCGGTAAATGCGCTCGAAGCGCAACGATGGTGGTGGACCACAAGCCAGCGGTCGACAACGGTAATAAGACTCGACAGCCAGTGATGCACAAGAAAGCGTAAAGAAGCAAAATAGGGTAGCAGATGATCTTCTGCGACGTTGTGAAGGGTAGATGAAGAAAAGCTAGGGCGAGGGGAAAGATGAGAGAACTGTTCGCAATAGACAAGGGTGCGTTGAGTTGGAAGCGGGCAAGAAGCTGGAGCACAGCAAATAGCAGAGGGGGATGTTTAAGCAGGGGGCACAGCTAAGATCTAGTTAGATTGGAGGGAATGGGTGTCTGAGGGCCAGCGTGAAGGATCTGAAGATAGTGAATCGATGGCATATGGCCGTGTGGGAGAGCGGAGAGGGAGCAGCGGCACGAGGAGGCTCTAAGTGCGAGAGGAGTGGGAAAGCAACTCTTGCTGTATTGGTATTGGCGGCGTATCGAAGATGATTTGTTTCTTTCCAAAAAGCACGTCGCGGCATCAGAAACTGTAATTTACGCGCCCTCGGTGGCAGTTCGACCTCAGGCAAGAGCGGTGGACGTTCAGAAATTGTCACAATCATCAAGCTGTATTACCAAAGTTTCAATACACCGCAAACGACGGGCGATCTTCCAGGTTTGCTTCAAGTGACCTCTTTTAAGCAAATGTTGCAAACATTCCCTGACAGGAATGGCAGACCCGCTGAAGCCCTGTGCGCCCAATGAACGCCGGCGTATAACTCGCCGCCTTTGCCAAGCGCCTGAATCCTCATTCTGCTAGAGCCCCGATCACGTGCCTGAAGACTCCCGGTGCCGAAGCGATGACAACTTTCTTCCCCTTCTTCCCTCTCTTATAATCCAGCATTCGCACACTTGGGATTCATTTTAGTCAGATTTAGGTGATTTAACTGTTTTCGTCTTCTTTCAAAAGTTGTAGATAACTAAAGAATGGATACTAAATATATGAATGCCTTTGTTTTCCGAGTGCTTCCACCCATGGACTGGCTAGTCGGACTCTGCTCGTATCACAGCCCGATTGCATGATTCTCTTTTGGGTTGGGTTTGTGCGCCGCGTATTATTCAGGAACCCTCTACTCATACTGAGAACCTAGCATTGAATACACAGTGGATTAATCTCATACATTGGTGTTGTGGTGTTGTAGTCGTGCATGCGTGACGGATATTCCATATATTACCTGGGCGGCCCCTCACCACACGATCAGGCGTATATAGATTATGCCACAATGATAGAAGATTAGCCATCCCACAAGTTTTAGTGTCTGCTGGGTGAATATATTAAATTATCCTCCACGAAATTTTTGTCGAGATCCTCCAGGGCTACAAACTTTTCTATCACATGATCTGAATCGTTTTGGTTTAGTCGCCTTTTCGAACCTTAATTAACGAACCTTTCCAGGGAAAAAAAAAGTTCAAAGCTCGGCAAAATTGCAACAAGCGGTGCTGGCATTTGATCATTCAACTCTACCATCCCCTCATAAAAGGAACGATGGGGAAGAAACACAAATCCCAACCCACGGCTGCTGCGTCTGCGCTCGAGGAAAATGCTGGCAGTACTCCAGCTGCCAATGGTTCAATCCCATCCTTTCCCTTTTTTGCCGGCGGTGGGGAGAGCGCAGTAGCTGTTGATCCGATGCTTGCTTCGCTATTTGAGAAGAGCGTGAGTTCTCTGATTACTTTTGTCCTCCCTTGGAAGTGTATCAATTTAATTTTATTTTATCAAAAATCTACTTTTTGACACACTTAAATGCCTGTGTTTTTAAACATAGTGTTTAACTAACCTGGTGTGCAAATCCCCCACTCTAGGCTGGACCTGTGAAAGCTCCTCAATTCACTAATGCGAAGCTGATCGCGACGTCAGCAAATGGTGGAAAGTCTGGGGGACGGACCAATGGAGTGGGGCAAGGCACATCGCAAGATGATATGGAATTAACCTCATCTAATGAGGAAGAGGCGGGGGAGGGAGCTTCGTCGGAGACCAGTGATCAAATGATGGAGGATGTCGGTGATGAAGCATTGAGTCCAGAAAAACGACGGAAACGAAAACGAGGCGGCGCAGAGGACATAGAGGAATCATACATGCGGCGCATAGCAAAGGAGGAAGCCAAGGAAGATGAGAAGCGACGGAGTGAGAAAGCGAAACGGCAGAAAATTGTGGAAAGCGTCGGGAGGGAAAGTGACTCTTCAGACTCTGAAAGTGACAACGAGGAGGATGAAGATGGCATAGACAACCCTCCCATTGTCCACGAATCCAACTCCAGCAAGCCCGATGCCGCCCTCCTCGACAAATCCGCCCGCACCATCTTCCTCTCCAACGTCTCCACAGAAGCCATAAAATCCAAATCCGCAAAGAAAACCCTCCTCAAACACCTCTGCTCTTTCTTCCCTTCCCTCCCCGAATCCGCCACACCACATAAGATAGAATCAATCCGCTTCCGCTCCACGGCCTTCTCCACCCAATCAATGCCCAAACGCGCAGCATACGCCAAGCGCGAGCTCATGGACTCCACCACCCGCAGCACAAATGCGTACGTAGTCTACAGCACCACTGCAGCCGCACGAGGAGCCCCCAAGGCTCTGAACGGCAGTGTCATCCTCGACAGACACCTGCGTGTCGACAGCGTCGCCCACCCTGCCCCCATCGACTACAAGCGGTGCATCTTCGTCGGCAACCTCGGCTTCGTCGACGAAGAAACGCCCACCGACGAACAAGTCGCAGGGCAACAGAAGGAGAAGAAGAAGCGAAAACAAAAGCACGCCCCGCCCGCAGACGTGGAGGAGGGCCTCTGGCGCACTTTCAACGAGCACACGCGCGCCAGCATCGCGAAGCCGTCCAAGCCCACCGCTGCTGGCAAGTCCGCGGATCCCAGTAATAATAAAATAAGCAAGGATACTGGTCCTCGTCCGGACCTGGGCGGCGGCCCCGTTGAATCCGTCCGCGTCATCCGCGACCCGGCAACGCGGATTGGGAAGGGAGTCGCCTACGTCCAATTCCGCGACGAGAATGCCGTTGAGATGGCGCTGTTGTTGGACGGGCAGAAATTCCCGCCGTTACTCCCGCGCAAGCTGCGTGTCACGCGTGCGAAACGGGTTGTGAAGAAAACTCGTAACGATAGTGCTGGGGATCAAGGAAGAAGTAATGGTAGTAAAACGGACAGCAGGAATGCCAATAAGACTCGGCTGGGACAGCGGAGGAGCGGGGTAGGAGGGGATCGGCAAGCCAGCTTTGAGGGCCGCGCGACGGCGTTGTTGGGGAAGGCTGGGGCGTGGAGGGTGCAACATCGCCGCTCCACTGACGAGACTGGGGAGCGGAGGAGCAGGGATAATGAGGCTACTAGTGGCGGTTCTGCCCCGTTTGTCTTTGAGGGTTTCAGGGCCAGGCCGGATAAGGGGCCTGGGTTTAAGGTGAGGACAAAGAGTCGTGGGGCGAAGGCGCTGGCTGGGCAGCCGAAGTCTAGGAGTACGAGGCGGGCGGCGGTGTTTAGGGCTGCCGGGGGGGTGAAGAAGGGAGATGCGAAGGGGAAAGGGAGGGGAGGGGACTAGATGGAGGGACTGGGTACATGGTTGGTTTCATGGTCGCTACCTTTTGTAGATGCATCTTGTGTTGCATGCGTACGTCCACTTTGTTTGGGAGTAGTCTAGACATATGGCCTTTCCTTTCCCTTTTCATTCTCGCTCAGCTTAAATCCAGGATATCGCGCGGACCTTAACTATGTATACACGTAGATACTCTGGAGCTCTTCAGCGGTATTTGATTGACAACGAAGAGAGAAAAGAAGTGGGACTTTTCCGAAAAGCAAGCTCCCCTTATCAACAATTCCAAGGTTGTGCATACAGTGCCCACCATGCGTAAATATATATCCGTTCCATCATTCCTCTGCTATGAAGGCTGCATCAATTCACCACTACAATATACTCTGCATAGTACATGTTTATAGTCTATAGAGGCCGCAAAGATATCTAATGCGCCAAAAATAAAAATAAAATAAAAATAAAAAAGGTAAAATAATAAATAAATAAGTAAAATAAAATAAAATAAAAAGCCAAAAGAAAGCCAAAACAAACAGGATTTCAACCATCCTCACACGCGAAACCACGCGAAACCTACATTAGCGCACTGTGTCTTTTTATTTTATTCGAGAACAGAGCAGCGCGCAGGGCTGCGTGGCATATTTTCCATGAGACTCTCTTTTGACATTTGCTCATATGCATTGTTCCAATCATTATCTATTTCCAGTTTTGTGCGCGGCATTTTCTTCCAATGGATGAGTACAAAGAGAAAGGAAAAAAGAAATTGAAGAACCTGCGCAGAACAAAGAGCCATCCATCCATCATCATCCTTTGAATTGTTGAGCGGTAACAGTACTGATGACATGGAGATTAAATTTCCGTAACTAACTAACTAGGGGTTTTTTTTTTTTTTTTTTTCATTATTATTCATTCTTAGTTCTCTTTCCCCCCTGAGACACGGAAAGCTTGCGTACGGCAGCTGTGTATCTGCACAATCCATCCCATTTTTCTTGGCGCATTCCCTCAAGTAACTCTCAACTCAACTCTGGGCCCTGGGGCAAGCTGGAAAAACCTGATCACCCAATGATTCAATGAATCACCATTTCTAAGACCTCCCCGCAGCAAGGGGTTTGACTCCGGCCCATGCTTCATGCTTCCTTCTGCGTGGGATATGTTGTTTCTGTGATCTTAGGTATGTATATGGTATAGCGACATGATTGATCAGGGGTATGATATCAAATACAAAGTTACATATGAAAAAGGAAGATAGGGAGCCGATCTATTGACGAAATGACAATTGATGGAATATACGTCCCTTTCAAAATGTGTGTATATATATACTATATACACCTATACACATGCAATGGTTAATATGTTTTATCCTTTTTATTATTTATTTCATGCTTATGTTAAAAAGAGAGGAATGCGTTCATAATTTCTGGTTGGAAGCGACTGACACAATCCCGTCAAAAGATAATAGAACATAAAAGTTTAAAATTTAAATTTCGAGCGTCAAATTGTAAATGGAAAGAATAATTAAAACAACGTAATCACAATATAAAGTTTTTACAGGAAAGCCATCAGCCCCAGGACGGCAGACAGCATGAAGCCCGGACGGGTGAGAGAGACGGCGCTGTTTGGATTTGGAGCCGACTTGGATTCACCGGTGGAAGTGGCAGTGGGAGTGGAGGAGGATGTGCTCTCCGTCGTGCTCGAGGCGGACGTGGTTAGGGTGGTGCTCGATTCCGTCTGCGTGGTCGTGGCGCTGGTGGACTCGGTCGCGGTGGTGGAGGCAGTGGTACGCGTGGCGGTCGGGGTCAACAAGGTAGCAGTGCCTGTAGTACCGCTGATAGAGAATTTCGGGCTGAAGTTGAAGTTACTTGGGTCCTCATCGTCGATGATTTGGAAGTTGTAGTCAGTTCCTGGGCCGAGGCTCTTGGGTAAGGTAACCGTGAAGCTGCCGGCGTTGGGGATACTGGCTGGAAGGGGGAGGAAAATGGTTTGTTAGCTCGCGCTACTGTCATTTATTCGTGTCTCCCTCCTCTCTCGCTTGAGATGTATATAGTTATTTATACATGGCGGAGAAATCACCCTTCTCTACTTTTTAATCAGGCTCGATGGGTTTTCCAGATAAAAGCCAAGAACGTCTGGTTTTGGTGCGCGCGAAAATGTGAGATTGATGGTGGGATATAATAACAGTAAAACACATACATGCAAGGACAATGCCATCGTTGGGAGTAACCTTGTCACCCAACTGCAATTTCAGGGTGACAGGCCCTGTAGTGGTGGGTGTCCATTTGAGAGTCAAGGGCTGGCCAGCAACGGGGCTGTAGCCTCCAGATGGGACATTGAAAGGATTATTTGCCTGTGCGGCAACAACGGCGGCAAAGGCGCTGATTGCGAGGTAGATGATTGAGCGCATGGTGATTGGGAGAAACGCTATATTTATGGGTTTGAAGGAGTGACAATAGGGTCAGTAGACCACTGAATAAAAGAAATAAACGATTGAGAAATTAAAGCCTTGTTGAATGAGCGTCAAGAAGCAAGAGTCCACACAAAAAAGAAGCGAATGGTGGGGGAAGAGTGAATGCGAAGAGCAGCGAGGGGAAAAGGAGAAGGAAGAAGGAGAGGAGAAGGAGAGGAGAGGAGGAGAGGAGGAGAGTCCGCCCTTGGTCGCACTAGTCCCAGCGACCGGAAATTGTCGTCGACTGGCTGGGTCGATTGGTTGATTGGTTGATTGGCTGGTGGGTGGTTCAGGGTCGAGCCACACCGCGCCAAGGCCGGGGGGCGCGTGTGGTTTTATTAGTGCACTTCAGTCTAAATGCCCCCCTCGTTCTTTCCTGAAGGCTGGCATGTCAGATCAGCACCCGTGGCGCTTGAGGTCTCTCTATACGTCGAAGTCGCTAATATCTCTCACCTGACACCTCAGTTGGCCTCCGCGGGCGACAGGACACACACCTCCCTTGAAGGTTGACAGCCAGCGCAAGGGCGGATCAGCGAGATGGCAGCGCTGGGCTCTCGTAAGCTGAGATAATTTCGAGTTGCAGCCCTGCAAAGCCCCTTTTTTACCTCCCTATTGACCCTTGGGCAGCTGGATGGCCATCCTCCCATTTCCGTCTCCATTGTTCATGCACCTTCGTGATGTGACTGGATCATGATCGCCTCCTTTTCTGTCCAGTATGTGGAAACAATCAGATCAGCTGCGCCGCATTGCTCCCATGATTCGGCGGCGATGACGGCTCCACCAATGATACCTGGAATTAAACGGCTCACACCAACTAGCGACGCCAGCCTCTCCGTCCGGCTGCCTGCCAAATTGTCAATTGAGTTTGGCCGTTGGAAAGCTACCAAGGTTATTGAATCACGATCGATTCCACATGCTTGCTGATTAGCTGTCACCGGCCTAGCCTGCGTTAACCTCAACTTTAATTCATGAATTAAGCTCGTGAATGCAAATCATCATCCTACGATATGGGCTTGGAATCAACGAGCTCCAATCTGGCCACTCAAGCTTATCGACGCGGTCATCAATCATATGAGAAACATACGCAGTTCTCTCTATCAATGCAACGGCCATATGAATTGCTCGTGGCAGACAAGCATCTCTCCATCCCCTGACCTATTTTCTATGGAGAAACATAGGATTCTCCTGACCAAAAGACTTGTGCGCTCTGATGATATTATTAGTATGCAGTGCAGTTATCCCGGAGAGGATACGCAATCACTTGTCCCCTGATACTCTTGTTATGGCTGTGCTGAGGATTCAACTTTGACGATATTATGCCTTGTGGTCATAATACCTGAATTTCTGATAAATGGTCTCTCTCTCTCTCTCTCTCTCTCTCTCTCTATTTTGTTTTTCTTTCTTTTCTGGCCAGGTGGCGGGAATGTATGTATTATTTCTATTCACTCTGTACGGAGCTTGTGAACAACACCGCGGTATGACTCACACATCTTGGTGGGTTATCTAATATCTGAGAACTGGCTGAGAGATCTTTTGAGAACTGTTTGACAGTCAACAAAGAAGCAGCAGACCCTATAAGCCATTTCATCTTGCTTGTCCACACATCATGAACTTCAACGACGTTCGTCCGCTGCATGTAGATTTCCATCGAGAGCTGCACCGCAACGAAAACACTGTGATCTTCTTTGTATCAGTTCAGCAAGTTTAATGTGTTATGAAAGTGGTGAGCACGATCTTGATAGATGATGCATAGGAGAGTTGACTGAGAGTGGTCAAATAGCACCATGAGCCTCCTGGACATGGACATATCCATGAGCGTGAAGCTACTGCCTATCGACGACTCTAGGCGCATGGTGTGACTGAAACAGGCTATGTACCCCAATTCTATGGAAGCATCGAAAAGCCTGAACCCAAACAATGATAGCCATAGCGGAATATGTTTATAAATGACGTAGAGCTCCCAAGTGCGATATCCATCGAATGTATTCCCGACATGCGTCAATTGCATCCTGAAACATCTACTAAAGAGCGTATGGCTAAATTTGTCGTGGCTATCAAGAAATTTCATGGTCAACTCCTGGAGAAAGGGTGGTATTGCTGGATTTTGATCGGGCCAGGACATACGACAAAAACACTATAACTGCTGAGCAACAAGAATGGCTGCGGGAGGATGTGCAGATTGTGGAGGACCTTTGCACATCCTCTTGTAGGTGTCTCTCTCTGGCCTGGGAAATGCTCAGCATAGATATACCTGACTCGCTTATGATTTCTAGGAAAATGGATGTTGCTGAGGGAGGCTTGAACCATTCCTACCTTTACATTTGCACCTAAACCCGATACAAATGCAAATCAACCTCAAATCACAAGAGATAGGATTTCCTCTAGGCCGGCCGGCCCAGGATAGTTGGGTTTACTACACATGAGCATGAATACAGGACTCACGCTGTACAAGAAGGTATTTCACCTTTCCTACATAACCCCCGATCTTCCAGCGGTTGGATAAAGGAATAATACCAGCCGATGAAACAACCGAAGAACCTCCCAATGTTTACGGCTAGGCTCCGCTTTACAGTCTAACCCCTCGGATGCGAGCGAAAAGTGGGCAGATCAGTTAACAGTAGAGTCGGGATCGTTTACATGGGGTTGCCAGAGATGATGCGAAGGCGGCAAATATTTTTAATTGATGTGACTTGTGACTCAGTTTACTGATCTTGGAGGTGGGAAGTAGAAAAAGGTTTTCATTAGCGATCTAGTCAAGTGTAGAATTTAAATTCTACGAACTAAGGCGAGCTGCCAGCATTTGCAGATGTTCTGTTCAGCAAGGATCTTTGAAAAGGCCCAAAAAAAAACCCCCATTGGATTTAGAAATTGACGGATTGAGAAAGAACTGAGGATTTCAATACCTTCTGTCAAGAGTTCGTGAAGGAAGAAGGTATTTTCAAGCAAACTGGTTAGGGGAAGCAAGAAAAAAGAGAAACTGGGGCGAGCCGGGATTGAACCGGCGACCTTACGATTTAAGAATTGGCTAAAGTTCAACTTCAGTCGTACGCTACTCCCAACTGAGCTATCACCCCATCGGATGGCAAACTCACAGAACTTTTGATTACTTGCACATGTAGTTCGGAGCGGAGTACCCATGTTTCTCATTGCCAATTTCGCCCTCTTCGCACTCTTCCAATAGTATTACGATACTTCTTGTCTTTCAATATCTGTCTTGATTCCCTCGTTGTCGGCCGCTCAACGTGATTATGACTGTCAAGGGCTGAACTGTGTCCAGTCGCTCAGAAAGCACAATCAATGACCCGCGCAGCGAATAGGAAGATGAATTCCCCGCTCCATCTCAGACGGCCACGCCAGCGGCGATGATGATCTTTGGCCAGAGCTGGGCATTGTCTAGAGAAGAGAAGAGATAGGTAATATCGTTAATCATACGAGTTCAAAATAGAACTAGTGGGGTAACGATTTTTGGTAATAGTTACTCATCATAGAATTCAACCACTAGGTCATATTATATACGTAGGTCATGGTGTCCCATTTGGCGCCATTCTAGAAATGGGATCAGAACAGAACCAGGACTAGATATCTTTTTACAAAACATGATCTGAGGCTTAATCTTTATTATATAAATAGTGCAATGGGACTAGAACTAGTATTTTAAGGGTGTAAAGTGACTGACAATATATGGGACCAGGACTGAGATATTTGAGAATGGAATCAGTTGATACTTTGGTCATGTTCCCATGCACGGCCACACAACCAGCCTAAATACAACGACATCAGTCGGGGACATAGATCTAGGGAAAATGCAAATGAAGATCTCAAAAACGTAGTTCTTCACCCACATTCAAGCAATAATGATCTAGTAGAATTTCCAGTTGACACTCAGTTGGCAAAGAATAGAGGATATAGCCTAAAATTCATTGTTAACCCGGCTCATTGGAAAATTTGTTTTGGATATCAAACTACCATGCTGTTCCTCTCAATTTCCTCCTCCACGGCACAATTCACGCGGCTAATTCTGCCTTTGAGAAAAGGTGTTCAACTGGTCTGGCACTGAGTTTCTCGACACACTTCAGCATATGTGCCGTAGAATCATGCTGCCCGCGCCAGGCAATTTCGATCACAGAGTCAAGACCACCGTGACCAGTACGGAGCTGGGACGAAATACGGTTGTTGTGATTGTCGATGGATATTTTCGACTCGACTCCAGTCTCTAATTTGTAGACCATTGAACCAATGGCAAATCTATTTGTTGCATCTTCCATTAAGAAGGACTGGCAGAGACGGATTATGGTGTCCAAATTGGCAGCATGCGCCAAAGTCACCAAGACCAGCGTGGCCATTTGAATCAAAGAGTACATTATCCTCTCACGTATATCTTAATGGGAGATACCCAGGCCGTGGAGGTGGAGAAGATATCGCGTAAGGCCCTGATACCAAAGAATTCGATCTGATTGTGAGTATTGCGTAACTTCGGGCAATGGCTGGTATTTGCGGAGATGGATTCATTCAGGGTGATTCGTATCAATAACCTCTATGATATTTGGATGAGGACGTTCTACAAGCAGGCGCAACACCGCCCTCTCATCGTTCAAAAGGCCAGAGTGAAATATGGTTTCCGAGGCATAATCCCACAAGATGCGTGGGGTGGCATCACTACAAGGAGGCTCATATATCCTGCACACCTTCAAAACGATGTGATCATCGACATTGTAGACTTAGCCCGCTGCTCCGACACCGATAATGTCAAGGCCCATTTGATACTGAACCGCTATGGTAAAATCAGCGCTGTTCGGGGATTTGTTTACAGGAGGATACTCCTTAGCGGTCGCAGCATTTCGCTCACTGTCTGGCGGGGAAGGCTTTGGAAGCTGAAAAATTGACGGAGGGTCTCCTGAACACGAGAAATAGGAGACCATATCATTGGGCAATACGAAAAAACAAAAGAAAACATTTTAATTTTGCTTCAGTTAACACAGGTCGATGAAGAAGGTAACTTGGCTTGGGTTGATAAAAATGGTCTTTGCGGCTTGCCAGGTACAGGACAATTCAGCAATTTGGAGCCTGGAGGTGAAAAGGTCCTAGGACGTACCCTTGAAATAAGAAAATAAATAAATATCAGATAAAAGAACAGAGATTGAATGCACTGAATTTTCTGATGGAAAAGTTGTACAGAAATCATAGGGTTTGGTTTTAATAGTGTTCTTAGTGTTCTTGATACTTGACTCAAAAAAAAAAAAAGAGAAACTGGGGCGAGCCGGGATTGAACCGGCGACCTTACGATTTTAGAATTGACCAAAGTTCACTTCAGTCGTACGCTACTCCCAACTGAGCTATCACCCCTGATTTGTATGTTCACGTAGGTACCACGCGCCCCACAAACCCATATGGAGACTCAACACAGACTTCGTGGACTCCACAATGCAGCCCATATGGCGATCTCGCATTCTACTTGAGCCTCCACCCCAATTAACTAGGTGCATTGCCTGCGCTTCTCCATGGAATCACCCATGAACTTGCCTCATGGGCACTGTCTCAATAATCTGGGCCTAGCCATAGATTAGGCGATCTATCCTTTGTACAGTACTTCCTTGAACGTCCATGCTGGATGTATATCAAGTTCTTCTCTTCGTACTCAATACATAGATGATCGTGAGACCCATCGTGTAGAGGTTTCAGATATATAACTCCAGCTTTCCTGGGTCATCATCTCCGTGGGTGTGTGGCCACGACGCCGACGTCATTGCGGAGTCCCAACTTTTGAGCATCGACCTTCTCCGTAAAACTCGGTGATATCGATGTTGTCCATGTCGATGTCCTCACGCATCGCGTACCTCCCTGGATGGAGCAGAACCAACCACTACAACCACTCAGATGTCGACAAAAATTAAACCATCACGTGGGTGACAGTTAACCGCGATAGACGCAGACGCATCAAGCCAACCCAGCTTCCTATTGATACATCGATAGAGATCCTCACCACGCACACCCAAATATGACGGGTCACATCCCAGGAAGACCACATCCACGGCTTCCGGCAGGCCAGCCTCCAAACTGCAAGGCCAACTTTCATTCAGCACATCCGAGAAACTCTCTAGTCTCCAAGACCCATGACCCGAAGGCTTTGTCTTCCTCCCGCCAGTTACTCACAAGGAGCCAAGATTCCACCCGGAATCACAGGAAACGGAATCCGCGCTTTCCCTGTCGTAGCAGTCCTTTGCCATCGAGTATCGCATTGCCGGCTGATATGCAGGAAACGCCCGTCGGTCTATGCACAGCCAGTCATGGCCTTCTGCCAGCCGAAAATGAAAGATTCTTTCAAGCTTTGGATAGCATCCGTATCTCCGCTCCAAGTTTTGCCGATGGGGATTGTGGAGGAAAGCCACTCTCCCCCGCTTATTTTTATTTCATTTTTCAATTTCATTTCATTTTTTCCGTGAAAGAAGATACATTTCAAAAAAAATTGAAAATATAAAAACCAACGCAAACAAACAACCGAACAACTATTCTCATTGGCTTCTGCAAAAATTTTGTCAGACGACAAGCGGATGCTTGTTGGATAGGGCGAATAGCCATCTGTTTACTCTGACCTTTCTTGGCAAGGGTTTTGTTTCTCCGTTTGTATTTCCCGTGAGAAAATAGCCAGTATGGGATGCCACCTTCTTTTTTCTGCTATCAAACAATGGTTCCAGTTGGAACCAAGCCCTGCCGTCTACTTTATTTTTTTTGGTTTCATCTGCAGCGTTCCGTCATATCCCCTTCCTACTGACATTATTATTGGCTTCCAACAAACCATATACCACATGAGCCTCTCCACGATGCTTCACTTGTAGTCAGGAAGGGGAATTATGCAACTGAATGTTGCTCGGACCGCAGACACCGATCGGCCCACACAACGCATTGTCCATTTTCTCATCCTCTCTTCCGCCGGGCCTTTATATATGTCAATAATTGGGTAAAGAAGAGTCAGAAAATCGATCCTTGTTATTTAACAATCTCCCTCCACCCCTTTTTCGCATTTCCTCTTGAAAGAATAGCTCAGCCAACCCCCTGCGAGCCATAAATAAAATAAATAATGGCCAGCAGTATAGTTGCCCTTCCCATCTCTGCTGTCGACGAGTTGATACAGCTGAAAACGACCTTCGACGCACAACTTCAAGCTACTGACTTTACCTCTGAAACGCCTTCGTACCTGGCCCTCTCAGATAAATGCAAGGCGTACATGATCGCACTACAGAGGTACATGTTCCGATCTATAGATCAGAAGGCGACAGAGTTGCGAATATATTACCAGCGGCAGACGGTTCTGCAGGAGGCGGGGAATATTCGTGACTATGCCGCGATTGAGGATGGCTTGGAGGCATTGAAGGTGGAGAATCATCGTATGTTGAAGTTTGTTTGTGAGTAAGGCCCCCTCCCCTTTTCTTTTTCATGCACACACATCCCTCACATTTTTGTTTGAATATAAGTGTGGCAAAATTTCCCGAAAATCATGCCCACTTGAATCTTGTCGTCTCCTCCATCTGCGTGGTTTTCGAGAATTTTCTCAAAAAATCTGAGAGACAGACTTGGAGAACTCACTATTTGAAATCTTCTCTTCGTTTTGCCTTCTTTCCGGATTTCTAGCAGATGAAACGACGCGAGCAGGACGACTGCTTATGGCTGTGGGGACATCTATTCTCCGGATTGAGGAGAAGGCAGAGAGTCCAGAGGAGATGCAGAAGATGGTTGTGGAGGAAGTTAATGCGTCAGAAGCGGAGGTGTTGATTCTTCGGTAACCCCTTTTCTTCTTTTATTTTTTTTTTCTCCCATGGATCCTTAATCCTTTCCTTCCCATGCTGAGTGAAAACGATCTCACATGCCTTTTGCATGGATCGCGAGAACTTGATGCCGCTACTGATGCTTACTGACACATACGTATATATAAATTTATATATACAAAAATAAAGGCAATACAAGGCAGAGCTGGAAAGCAAACAGGCGTCTCTGGAGCATGGAAGCATGGAAGCATTGAATAATTGAGGTTAGCTCCCTGATGGCATTGCGTCTTTTCCCACCCAGTCCAATATGAGATTATCAAAATGTAACCTGAAGGTCTTGTTGCAAAGAAAGCCCAAGCGTCCATTTCATGCTCTTAAGTGGATTTTATCTGTTTTTCAATCAGCGAGTCGCTTATGATATCCGCGCTACTTAACCTTTTATTCGGCTCATGAATGCAGCATACCTCGCTAACATCAAGAAGTTTGTAGCAGGGACCGGACAACTTCTTCGCCCCCTTCTGCCCCACCATCTCAAAAAAAAAAAAAAAAAAAGAAAAGAAAAGAAAAGAAAAAAAGAACGATTTTTTACACTTACTACTCTGAGCGTTTCCTTCCCTCCATTTAACAAATGTATCTCCTCCATACTTTTATGCTGCTAATCGAGTTATCTTGGCTCACTCATTATTTTAGTGTCATCCTTCGCTGCAATACAGTAAAAAAAAAAAAAAAAACTCACATGTACCTTACAAAGTATGTTAGTTGTATCCCTTTCTTCTCTTCCTCCTTATTTAGTTATTCGGTTTTCGACGTTTTCGATTTTCTTTTTTCCAGTTCCTTCCCAGTGCTGCGCGAAGGAATGTCTATATTTTCGTTTCATATTTTTCACAGCTAGTCCTAGTCACAGAGCCACCTTCTTCTAAGAAATTACCACCCGTTGAGCTCATATATCGCTCATATATCATGACATATACTCCTTCTGATTGTATACTCTCCTCTCTTTTATATCATCTTTCCGGTCATCGTTTTCTTGCGTCGAGTATCCATTCTACTCCGCAAGAAGAGACGAAATGGAACGCAACTATATATATCGTTACAGCACCCCTCTGCCAGTCGGCGATTCCGCTATCAAATCTCCACGAGTTTTTCCCCTTTTGTTTCCGCTGGTCGAGATGGCCTTTGATCCCCGAATCGCCTTCCAAAGTTCAGCTGGGCCGAGAGAGGGATGTAAACGCCCGCGGGAACTCTTTCGACTTTGTAAATCGTTCATCCCACCCTTGTTGTGAGGGTTTGTCATTAAGATACTCTGACTGATATTCTGTCTCTCTTTTTTTCCCCCTCCAGTTTCCAACTATGTATGTACGACCTTTTATGGAAGCGTAGAAAACCAATATATATATATGGGTCCCGAGAATGGAAAAGTAGGGCTACATTCACAATTGATGGACATCGCCATGGCCCTCGAGCCGCGAAAGGTCCAGTTGGCGGGAAGAGAGTTCATCCTTGCTGATGCCACGTAAACACTCCTATTTAAGCAGTATGGTTACAATGAACTAACCTTCCACCTCCTCAACATCAAAGTCAATTATCAAGATTTTTAAGGACTGAGAGGATTAATGGCTTTGTTTTGAGGTTGCTGTCGTGGTAGTAATATTAGATAAGAACCAAAAGTAACAAAATAGTATTTCCCCCCTTCAGAGTTTCTATCAAGATGTAGAACCTTCTCACATACGCCATTGGCAGCTCCCTCTGGAGCCGAATTGTGGCAGAAGCTCCTCCAACTAGGGAGAGTATAGTTACAGGCTGTGGACTCAAGGAGCGCTAGGGGGGAACCTGAGGTTTTTAGGCAATAAGAATGTCTATATATGATATTGAGAAATAAATGATAGCCAGTGACTCTTTTCCCTTTGCTCTCGGTTTGCAGCATCATCAACTTAGCCGCTAATTTCTATGGAGAGGATGTCGTACTGGTACAGTGCCTATCTTGAGTCTGTAACTTCTTGACACAGCCCGGTTTGGCGGGTACACCAAGCCAACTTTGGTTTTGGGGGGGGAAAATATTCAAACTCGCAGCGTAGCACTACGGCTACCACAGCCATGTATCACCCCGTCCATCGCTAGCCAGGCGAAGGATTCAAGTGGTTGATGGTTCTTCATGAATGTCTTGTACCGTATCAGTCGCCGACTCGGCTAAAACACCCCGCTGGCCCAGCCAGGATATTGCCTTCATCACTGTCCGATCCTCTTCCTCCTTCTCACGGCTTACAAGCTATAGATTTCGTCAATAAATGCATTAACATCCCAGAACAGTTTAAGAACAAGAAGTGAGATAAGCGGGGAATTTAGACATATATAGAAAAATACCAGGGGAGGGGGAGAACTTACAGTCTGAAACAAGGATTTCCTCCCCTTCTTATCCTGGACGGGAGCAGAGGGCCTCATTGCATTTTTCGTTTTGTCCGGGGCCTGATGGAGGAATCTACACCTGTTTCCTCGTCGGCATTGGCCCGTTTTAGCAAATTGACGACAAAGCGTTTTGGGTTGTCGGGCGGGTGGGAGGACACGTTCGGGTTGCTCTCGCCTGGTTGTAGCTTGCTCGGGTTCCGAGGAGCTAGTGTCGTCTTCTTCTGAGGAATCTGAGCCGCTGGACGATGTTTCATCATCGAGTTCAGAATCGTTATCTGAGAATGATGAAAGGCTGTCGAGCTCATCGGATAGGCCATTCCCAGTGACGGCTGTGGGCGGGACATTTCCATTCACATGTGGGGTATGTTCCATGGTATTGGGGGTTTCTTGTTGGGTGCGAATTGTTGCAGGTCCAGTAATCGCAGCTTGGACTGGGTCTGTATGGATAGTGCTTTCAAGGTGTGAAGTTGGCTGTTCCTGTTGCGGACTCCCAGCGTCTATTTGATCATCTGGCTGGGTATCTTCTATTTCTGTTGGTGCTGGCTTTGAGGTATCACAGCTTGCAGATGAAGGTGCATATTCCGCCGCGGAAGTTGGGGTAACGGCCGGTTTTGCCTCTCCATCAAGCACCCCATTAGTCTGTGCCTTAGACGCTTCGGCACGCAGCCTAGCTTTCTCCGCATCTGCTTCCGCCCTAGCTACTCTCTTTTCTTCTTTCATGAGCTTCCGTCGAAGTTTTTCTGCCTTCAGTTTCGCTTTAGCCGCTGCATCTGCAGGGTCGAGTGGCTGTTTCTGTTCTTCCTTCAGAGCTATCTTGTCCGATTTATATTTGTCCTTTTTCAATCTAGCTTCTTTCAGAGGCCGTCTTGCTTCTTCCTGATCCATATTCTTCTGTTGTCTTGTAGCATTCTCTTTGGCCCTCTTCGCCTCTCTGGCCTCCTTCGCAGCCTGTTTCTTCGCTTCAGCTTCCCGCAGACGCTCCTCAACCCTTGCTCTGGTTGGATATCGCTTTTTCCGTTCCTCGATCCAGGCAGCAATATCTGTTGGTGTTTGTAAGGTGGAGGTTTGCCCTTTATAGGTAAATTTAAGCTCGCCAGTGGAAACTGTTTGTGAAAGCTTGGTCTCCTCATCGACGTCATCTTCCTCCTCGCTCGATTCATGCTCCTCTGTTAGTGGAGTGAGACCAAGTTGGTTGTGAGTTCGTTTTTTCTTTTTATGTTTTCTAGTAGCGTCGACGGAGGGCGGCGGCTTTGAAGGAAGCGAGAGTCCAAAGCTGGGGATAGGGAGAGGGGCAGTTGGTCTCGTGTTAGACATCTGCGATCCACCAAATGCACCGGAATGTGAGCGTTTATTATTCCGATTGGCGAATTTATCACCACGGTTGAACTGGTTTGTTGAAGAGAACGAATTATATTCCTGAGATGGTCGGGATGCATGGCGATCGTGGGGCGGCCGCGGCGGATGGTGAGGTTTTGAGTCGGGCTTATCAGGGTAACCATACTGAGGGGCACGCGAATCTGGAGGTGGGTACGCGCTGCCTTGGACGGCATTTTCGAAACCCCAATGTATGGGAGGTGGCATTATGTGAGGTTGCGGATGACGATTCGGGGACGGAGAATGCCGGTGCATGGGAGCGGGTGGGCTATATGCAGCTGGATGTGATGCAGGGTGACGGGGGGGATATTGTATCGGCACCGGCTGGCTGTACGTATTTTGTTGAGGCGGCAGATGTGGGGAAGGGCGGGTATAAGGTGCTGCCGAGGGGAAATCGGCCTGGCCTTGGGGTGGCGGAGCATAATGTGCGGCAGGTCCCTGAGGGTTATACTGAGGAGGAAGGGGGTTATTCGGAGGTGCGTGGGGGTGCGGAGCATGAGGATGAGGGTGATATCGGTTGACACTCGCAGGCGTAAAGTTCATATTATGAGAAGGGCCATGACTAGGGCCGTTCATACGGTTTCCTTTCCCACCCCTATGTGCACTTCCTCTTCCACGACCTCGCTGGTGGCCACCAGAGCCTCGTCCCCCTTGGCTCTGACTATATGGAGCACCAGGGAAACTCGTCAGGCCAGTCTGGGGTGGAGGAGGTGGTGGGGGGGGAAACGAGAATCCGCCAGAACCCATAGTAGGAACAGGAGTAGAAATGAGAGACTAAATTCGGAAATGTAGAGGTAAGGCCTCCATCTTCAGGGGCCCATCATCGTTGAAGATGGCGTCGTCGTCGTTATCATTCTCATGGGAATTCCAACTTTTAGCGGTTTCAGGGGCGATACATTGATCCGCTCCGGCAGAGACCGTGCAAAGTCACGTGGACATCAGAAACCTTTTTGATACAACGAAATGTGGAGGGTTGGTGACGAGGGACTTATGTGCTTTTCCACTTTCAATGTTTCTCGATTATACGTAGAATAGGATATGGGATCTATGATATGTATTGTCGCTTAATTGCTTTCGTCTATGTGTTTTCACTACCGAAACCTCCTTTCTCCTGCTTGTGGCATGAAGCGCTGAAGATGCCGAGGATTGCACCGTTAAATTTCTCCTTTTGTTATTCGGTGACATTTCAATCTAAATAAGGATTATTAGCATCATGTTTATTCTGGTATGCCGTATGTTCTGGTAGATTTTCTCCTAACTAGGGTTGACCGCCGATTTCTAATGCTGGATGTTTGTAGACAACCCTCTCCGACCTGGTTCAAATTTCCCCCGAAGACTTTTCAAAACTCAGCGCTGTTGCAATCGAGGATAATATTAATGAGAAGTATGCAAATAAGGTATGTCCAAAAAAAAGAAGAAGAAGAAAAGAAAAAGAAAGAGAAAAAGCCAGCACTTAGAAACTAACTTTATTTCCCAGGTCATCCAAAATGTTGGCCTCTGCATCGGATTCTACGACTTGCTCGAGTCCTCTGATGGCCTGATTGGACATGGCACCGGCCTTGTCAATGTTAATGGTATGCATGAATGAATGAATGAATGCATGCAGCATGAAACGAACTGCCAAATCCATGTTTTCCCTGCAAGCCCTTACTGAGTAACTACATGTTTGGGCCAGTTAAATTCCGATTAATCGTCTTCCGGCCCTTCAAGGGCGAGGTTATCCTGGGGAAAATCACCAGTGGAACCGAGAACGGTATCAAAAGTGCGTCTAAAATACTTTTTTACCCAAAAAGGAGATCGTCGAGACTCGGGACAGACATTCTATCGTTTCAAGATTGCGACGTTACTATGCTAACGACAACGCACCCTCATTTTCGTTCAACACCTTCAGTTAGCGTTGAATTCTTTAACGATATCTTCATACCCCCCAGTCTATTACTTGATGGTGCTAGATTGTAAGTTCAAGCCCCCTCATTCACACTTATCGTAAGACGAATATTTTTTAACAGCCCATGTCTCCGTTCTCATGCTATAGCGACTTCGCCGACCAAGTCTGGATTTGGGATAACGGCGAGGGTGCAATTTTCTACTTTGATATTGGCGAAACGGTGCGCTTTCGAGTTGAGGCGGAGGAGTGGCATGATCAGGTCCCAGACGCGCCTGATGACCAGGATGGTGTGGCAGTGATGGAGAGAAAGCCGCCTTATTCAATCATTGTGGGTTTCTTTTCTTTCCTTTTTTTTCCTATTCGAATGTTCGGATTACGCTATCGCAACTTGCGGCTAAACAGAATATTTATGTAGGGATCCATGCAGATTGCGGGCCTGGGGCTAGTTGCATGGTGGTCTTAAGGTTCCAAGTCTGTGTATGACTTATATTGACTTTAAAAAAAGGGGGAAATACATAAATAAAATAAAATGAATGCTAATCCTCTGCACATGCTATATGATTGAGCGTTTTTCATGTTTGTGTTGACGATATTGAATCCTTAGTCCCCTAGGATCTCATGTATCTATCTACAACTAAAATTTTCTTTTATAGTATCTAAAACCCCGCATTTTATGCAAAAAATAAAATACTCAAAGAATCGACTCCATTCTTAATAGGGACAGTATCTCTACATTTAGAGATTCTCCCGCGTCCATTCCTCGGCGGTTAAGGCATGGACCCCCTTCCGGGAATTCCACGTCCTCTTCAGATCCCACGCAACACCCGTCAGCGCTCCAGAAACAGCATAGAACTTCCACAAAACATTGCCCAGTTCCTTCTTCAACATCTCCAGCGCTTCCGGAACAGTCACAGCCGACCTCTCCGTGATCTTTTCCACCAACTCTGCGACCCGCGCATAACTAAGCGTATCGCCGCCGATAAAAACAGGCCCATTGGCACCAAGCGAGCCGTCGTCCCCAAGCACTATCTCCGCCGTAAATTTCCCAACATCCGCCAACGCCTGGACCTTCGCGCGAAGCCGCGTCACATCAACGACGCCAAACGCAGAGTGGAACAGGAAACTCGTAATCATCCCCGTCGACGCAGAACTGCGGCCGATGGTGTCGTAGTCCACGCCAAACTGCCAGGGGATAGAAAGGGACCGTCGAATCTGATGGAGGTGGAAGGTTGGTTCATTGCAAGTATCTAGCGGGAGCAGCAACGGCTTAAATAGGCGCGGTCACGTGGCATTCTGGCGAGCACTAGGGATGTCAAGACGCTCGATCTATAAAAGCCAGGCCTTGCTCCTTCGAAACGACCACGCACTTTCTCCTTCTCCTTCTCCCCTACTCTCTCTCGCGCGTGCTCAGGTGCACTGCACCATTCCCCTTCCCGTCCCTCTCCCCTGCAGGGGACGGTGCCATCTTACCCTGCGCTCACCCGGTATAGTCGCTCCGGCAGACCATGGCGAGTTAATCACATTAGCTGCCAGTTGCCCTCAAAAATAGAATATTGAAATTTGCGGCGGCGAAGCGATGGGGTCCATGCGGCAAGAGCATTGGTTCAGAGAACAACAGTTGACCAAGAGGAGAGAGGGGGCCGAAGTGGTATCACACAACGAAAGAAGAGAAGCACTGTCACTGACTAATTTTAGGCTGGGTAAGTCCTGGAAACGTATTTTTTAAGGGGGGGAAGATGCTCAATGGTTGCACAATCCTCCACTGGAGTCTGGCAGGGAAGCTGAGCCGGCGGTTCCATTCCTGGTGCCAGGGGGAAACCGAAGCCCCTGGACCAATTGAGTGCGCATGCATGGTGTTGGAGTTTGATGAGCCTGCATCTTCCGAAACCGTATTTCATGCGTTGGGGGGCTGGTCTCCCGTCATAAAAACATGATGAGCGATGATCGAGCGAAAGATGGAGAAATTTTCTTCTCTTCTTCTGCTTCTTCTTCTCTCCTTGTATTTTTTGGATCCTTCGTTGAATCAGTTTTGGAATATCTCGTCAGATGGCTCCGTACCAACGACTGTTATCCGCCCGGAGCGATGGCATGTGGGATCAAAGTACAGCTACGAACACTTTCCGGCCCGTAGCGGCTGTTGAACACCCAAGGACAAAATATCGGCTCTTGACAGCGACTGAAGTGCCGCCGTGGTACGCCCACAATTCCTTCTTACTCACCGGCTACCGTCCCGTCACTCGGTCGACCAGACTGTGCCTCGAAAGTTTACGATGTCTTCACAACGAGACTGTCAACATATACTCTCACCTTGTGCCAGCCGGAATCGCCGTCATCAGCAACGGCGTCTTCCACCTGTACTTCCGCAATCGCTACCCAACTGCCTCCTGCGCAGACCAGTTGGCATTCCATGTCTATCTGTGCACTTCCATTCTGTGCTTCGGAATATCTTCCATCTATCACACCCTCCTCTGCCATTCAGAGGATTACGTCAAACTCTGGGCCCTATTAGATTATGTGGCCATTATTTTCCAGACCCTCGGGTCATTCATTTCGGGAATATATGTTAGTTTTTACTGTGAGCCGGGCCTGCAGAAGCTCTATTGGACAATGGTATCTTCCCCTCCCTCTCCTATTTTCTAGCGCGCCCTATTGAATTCTTTCTCGTCGTAGATTGGCGTGTTGGGGCTCCTGACAGCCACTGTAGTGGTGAGCCCCCGGTTCCAGAGCTCTAAATGGAGAAAATTGCGGCTCTCCACCTTTGTTGCAACCGGTTTCTCAGCACTCGCGCCCATGATCCACGCCTCCATCATCTTTCCATACGCCCAGTGGAACCAGCAAGCGGGCCTGGGTTACTACCTGCTCGAGGGTCTGTCAATAATTACTGGGACAATCTTCTATGCCGTGAGTAGCACTGGCACCCCCTTTTTAAACCAAGCACCAGACTAATCAACAAACTAGACCCGATTCCCAGAGTCGTGGATGCCCGAGAGATTCGATATCTGGGGAGCATCACACCAGATCTTTCACATTTTCGTCGTCCTCGGTGCTGTCATCCATGTGTGGGCGATTCTCAGTGTGTTTGACTATGTCCATGAGAATCCGCGTTGCCTAGTTTGACAACTTATCGTCTCTTCACTGAGAGACAGCCACCATGCTGGGATGCTGCATCTTTCAAAAAATTTGCACTTTCGATTCTTGGTACCTGTATATAGGAGAGAATCAGGCGTGAGAGCTGTTGTAGTCACAAGGCTAGCCCAAGAGGTTACCAGTGGCATAAGCTTCATGATAAGCGCAAGTCCTACTTTATCCGCAATCAGATCCACGAATTACGCAAGTTGTGGCAGTAGATAATTAGCCAGAAGTACGTCTGGCAGCAGTATCTATGTGAAAGATGCTTAAGGGTGGCAATTACAGAGACTCTGAACCTTCAGTTTCTCCTTCGTCCTGAAGAACTTCTTTGCAGCACAAATTGCACCGCCGCAATATTGACTAGCCCTCCAAACTTCTTCAAATTCTCCTCAACCAATCTCCTCTATCATTTTGTAGCCATTATGCAATCCCGCCCGCTGGGACGGTGTTCTGGTGCTTGCCGCAGGGGACAATATAAGCTGTCTTAAGTCCGGGTACGGTAGTTTGTATTTTTGGGCAAATGCTTGCTAGTTAGCTTGGTGCTGTAGTTTTTGTGCGTCGCTTAGAGTGGAATAGTAGGGTAGGAATTTGAGATGGGCGACAGCTATTTTGGTCGTCTTTACGGGGTTCTGAGGCCCGGCCCACGCGCCCCGCTGGTGAAGGCCGGAGTTGGTATCCAAAGCGCCCCAGACATGGAGTCCTGCATAGATATGCTTACATTCCTTGGGATTAGGGAAGATTAAACGGAAATTATAGGGCGTCATGTTTCTCCATTATCCATCGTCTACACACCTCTACGCATTGTGCTAATTTCCCTACTCTCAGACTCGGGGGTACAACGAGTTCTCCTTTCTTGATTTCATACAATATTTCTAATATCGCGTACATATCAGGTCTGGCCGAAAGCACCCGCCCCCGGCGTCCACCGACTCGACGGTTCGGCCTCGCGTTCGCCCTCTACAGAACCAAATTTAAGGTATGGGTGTTCAACCGCTCGGCTCCCCACAGCTCTGACATCCTCGAAGTTCACAAAGACTCAGAAAAATTCATTCAAATGATCGTGGGCTATGCGATGATGAGCTACGAAGAGCTGGGACTCGATGTCTTCAGGACACATTTGTCATATTTTACATCACAACAGCCAAGGCCGGAGTGAGGGCCGCAGGCTTGACTGAACGCGCAGTCCCATCTGTTCTTTTTTGAAGGGTCGACTTCCGCCGGCGCAGGGCCGACTCTGTCCTGTCTGAGAAACAGCGCTTGATCTCCGACCAGAGCAAGCGCTCCTCCATCATGCCCAAAAGCCGTGCGTCGTTCTCGGAGAGCTATAATCACAGCTTGTCTCTGTGGCCCTTCCCTCTCTCACCTCGCTCAAGCTGAAGGGGAGCGCTAGAGTTTTATCCACAACTGCTCCACTTTTGGCCATTCTATTGAAAACGCAATACTAAGATGAGGGGAAGAAGTCTGGGGGAGAGTAACATCATATACAGTACTGTAGTTTTTCCCCTTAACTCTAGACTTTGCTAAACAAAGCATCACAGCGGACTCCATATACCGTGGTCGTTGCGTGGAGGGAAGGCTCGCGGCGTTGGGCTGTTAGCACAAGACCAAAAAGCAGCAGTAAGAACTGCCATTCCGGCCGCCTACCAACCGTCACATCGTTAAATGGAGTATATGATCCATTGTTTGCCTTCGGACACTAGCCAGGGAGTTCTGATCTTCTGGAATTGAACTGCCCGCAGTCGTGAAGGTATGGTGCTCAATATCTCGAGGTCATCGCAGCGATGCACGCCGTCCATTTTATTTACGATCCTGCACATGAGAGATTGCACAAATACCGGCCAAAATCTCGTCATCCGAGAGCATCAAGTCTTATGGGCAAACAATTGAAGCAGAATCAGAATGGCCCTTTGCAAACCAACATTTGGCATCCTTGATCCACGGCAAATCGTCGTCGATGAACAATAAATGACGTCACATAGCACCGAGGTTTTCCTGCCACATTAGTAATAAAGACACTCGGAAAAACAAAGGAAAAAATTGTAAAACAGAATCGCATCGCCATGCACGATTCCAGATCAGAAATGTCAGCACCTGCAGCCACAAATGTGGTTGCGGGACTCTGATTGGAGTCTGGCGCCGGTGCACCAAGGCGCTGCTGCATGGCGCTGGAGGTTTGTTGACGCGGTGAGAGCTGTTGCTGAAGCCGTCTGGGCCTGTTGAGCCCTGGGAACCTGAACCGGGGACAAGGATTCGCTGAGGGGAAGCTGTGTTGTATTCTGCGTCCAGGGATGGTGATATGTTTTCTTTTTTCTTTTTTCTTGTTTTTGGTTTTCTCAGCGAGCTTTTGGCTTTTGATATTGCATCTTTTTCTCGATTAGCGACTCCTCCGAAAAGGGACAAAGATCAAACAGTCATTCCCATTAACCATAAATAGCCGAAAGTTAGAAGATGGATTACCCGTGGCCCGTTTGTGCGGCACCTTCTGGCGGTCGAATGGTGTGCTCGATTGATTGCTTTTCTTTTCTTCCTGTATCAGATTAATAATTCGTTGGAACTCACCTTCATCTGGACTTTTTGCCTTGTTCTGTCTCCCTCATATATATACTAGTATCTCTTATAACACCGGTCCTGTGGATAAAAGATAAACAAGATTTACAAAAGAGATATCTCTTCCTTGGGCCAGCTTAATAGACGAAATTCAGTATCGACTCTTCCGCCGTTCTGTGCTGCAACCCTCTCCGCTTCCCCATCTTTGCTAGCGCGCAAATTGCCGTTAAATACTTGACTTTCTCCCCGCTCATTCCTCTCCTCTTTGCTGTTTAATTCCTCGATCGATTCGGCGTACAGAAATCGGGTAAAGCGAGTATGACAAGTGACACCTATTCAGGCAGCCCTTCCGAGCTGAATGGAACCTCCATTGAAACCCCTGCGAGGGCTCCCACACCAGTCCATGAATTTGGCACACGAGCTGTACATGCTGGAGCGCATGTGGACGCTACAACTGGTGCTGTAATTGCCCCGGTAAGACAGAGAGAGGCGGGGAGGGAAACCTCTTTTACGCCCCTTCATGCTGAAGGCTATGAATGAAACTAACTCCTTCCCTCTAGATCTCTCTTTCTACAACTTTCGCTCAAGTCGGGGTCGGCAAGCCCATCGGACAATACGAATATACAAGAAGCGCAAACCCAAACAGGTCCGCAGAAACTGCCCGTTTCACTCTCAACTTTTAGTTCATTGTTTTTGTGCATGTCGGGTGTTGACAATTTCCCTACCCGGTGGGCAAACAGAGACCACTTCGAGGAAGCCGTAGCAGCTCTCGAGCACGCTCGATATGCCTTGGCCTTCGCTTCCGGCTCCGCAACCACGGCCGTTATCCTCCAATCCCTCGCGGCGGGATCACACGTCATATCAGTCTCCGATGTATACGGCGGAACCTACCGCTACTTCACCAAAGTTGCCGCCGCCCACGGCGTGCATGTTACCTTCTCCCCCAGCATCGAAATCGACATTACAGACCTTATCCGCCCTAATGACACCAAATTAATCTGGATCGAAAGCCCCTCGAATCCTACCCTCGGCCTTGTCGATATCAGAAAAATAACCAGCGTTGCCCATCAGCACGGCATTATGGTCGTTGTCGATAATACCTTCCTCAGCCCTTATATCCAGAACCCGCTCGACTACGGTGCCGACATCGTCGTGCACTCTGTCACAAAGTACATCAATGGCCACTCTGTAAGTACAGATGACATGGGAAGAAAAGAAAAACGAGAAATGTCACTCAAAAGAATCTCATACTAACTCCCACCTCAAGGACGTCCTCATGGGCGTAGCTGTCTTCAACTCTCCAACTCTCCACGAGCGCCTATCCTTCCTCCAGAACGCTATAGGTGCCGTCCCCTCCGCCTTCGACTGCTGGCTCGCCCACCGAGGCCTCAAAACCCTCCACCTGCGCGCCCGCGAAGCCTCTAAAAACGCAACGGCCATCGCCACCGCCCTCGAATCTTCCCCACACGTCATCGCCGTCAACTACCCAGGCATCAAGTCCCATCCCCAACGCGACATCGCCCTTAAACAACACCGCGATGGCATGGGCGGCGGCATGCTCAGTTTCCGCATCAAGGGCGGTGTAGCTGCCGCCGAGCGTTTTTGCCAGGAGACCAAGTTGTTTGTGTTGGCGGAGAGCTTGGGGGGTGTGGAGTCGCTCGTTGAGGTTCCGGGCAGCATGACGCATGCGGGCATCCCGAAGGAGCAGCGAGAGGCAGCAGGGGTGTTTGAGGATTTGGTCCGGGTCAGCTGTGGGATTGAGGATAGTGCGGATTTGGTAGCGGATGTCTTGCAGGCGCTGGAGAAGGCGGCTGTGGGGCCTAAAATTAATGGGTTGGCGAATGGCCGGGCATGAGCGGCCCGCCCATCGTATTTTTCTTTGCTTCTAGTCAATTTTGCTTCTTTTCGTTTACTTTCCTTTGGTGAATGGGGTTTATTTGACTGTTTTGTTTCTTCCTTTACTGCCTCCATCCTTCCTTTTTTCTCTTTTTATCTGGTGCTTTCCCCCTTTTTTTGGCCGGTCCTCTGCTATTTGGTAGAGTTACGAAGAAATGCCCCCTCCTTTTATTAATTACCAAATTTTGCCAAGATTTACCATAGAAATCTTTTTTATATTCTTTTGGGGCGCGCCTCCTTTTGTATGGCGTTGGTCTGACACAGGGCACACTCTACCTTTTCCCCAAACCACCTTTTTCTCTTGAAAATTTCCTGGAGTTTTGGATCTGGTGACTTCCATTCATTTGTTTATGTTTGCATAGGTCATCCACCTACGGGTATACAATTTAAAAGTTTTTCACCACCACCCCAAAAAACCAGGTGTTGAAGCTGAAATTGAATCAACTGTCCAACCATCCATGACCTCTTTTTGTTTGGTTTTTGGTTCCTACTTCCCGATGTCAACAATGGAAAGTATCTTGTTTTTTTTCTCACAGGCGAAATAGTAATAGTACTAATCGACGCAGTTGTGAATGTGCAAATAGGTGTTTGGTTTGATCAAATCATGTCATTATTAAGCTTGGAGTTTTAAGAACACAACCCTTTGCAGCAGCAAAATGAAAAATATTATTGGCAAGTAGTAATAGCCCAGTGATATGGTGCTGTGTCTCAGAAATGAAAAGTGTTCGGATAAATAAAAAGGGGGTCAGAAACAAATAATTGAATGGCGGGTTATCTTTAGTTGTTTCTCCTATACATTCCTTTAGTTACCTCATGGGGCGTTTTATCTCTCTCTCATTTGCGGCTTTCTTGCTGTGTCGATTAATCAATACTTGCTTCATGCAGAGGCATGTTTGTCTCGATTCCATCACAGGCACGTGGCTTCCGCTGGCGTGGCTATAGACCCAGCCGCGTGTTCGGAAATCCTCCCCACAGCCATGAACCGCAGATCTAAATATGCGAATGGACGGAGTATATATATGTTAGTGCATTTAATTTCCATGCGCAGATGTTGTATATATATATCCTCCACCCTGTCGGAACTAGAAGGAGGAAATCCATATTTTTAATCGCCGAGAACTTGAAGCTTCCAACGCTTTGAAGTTCGCATTTTGCCCTCGATATAATTTTGTTTCCCCCTCTTACTATCGAACGTTGGGCCTCCGTCCCCTTTTTTCACAAGCACTTCAAGGACTCGCTCGCCATACTCTCTTTCCTTTCGTTTGTTTCTATCTGCTCCAATGCATACATACTAGTAGTATATATAGTGAAAATCCCGGAAGAGGCAATATATCAGATCGTCCTTCCAGACAAAAAGGAGGTCGAGATCGACGTCGAGACTTCTTCTGTCTCCAATGTCCGCTTTCACATTTGGCTTTGGAGGGGACGATATCGACAATCAGGATGTGGAAGACGAGATGCATGATGCCGGCATGGATGCTGGTATGCGCCAGTTGAACATTGCAAGCAAGGAGAGTCATGATGGAGAAGGGGGAGTCTTGATTGAGGCGAGCCAATGCGATCTTGATGAGATGGTATGTTATTTATTTTATTATTTTATTATATTATTTTTGTTTGGGACATTCGATTTTCGATTTGGGAGTTGCTTGTCACCGCGAGGAAATATCGTTGTGTGAGCTCTGATTCTCCGAATCTCCACTGGCTTGTCTCTTTCTTCCATGGGAATTGGGAGAGCGAGTCTAAGTCGTTTGTGTTCGTGAATACTTTCTAAGTTGCTATTTTGCGTTCCTGGTCATGTACGCAGACTCTACCTTCTGAAAATCCGACTGCGTATGATTTTAGAGCATGTCTGATCACTCTTGTGCTGGAAGAATGTAGTGATGAGATTCATCATGACCACCCGGCCCTCCAATCGATTACTTTTGCCGGATGGGTTATTTACTACATGTCCTGTGATATTGTTCTGGGGTTTTTTCTTTCTTTCTTTCTTTTTTGAAATAGAGGAGGATTATACTACATATCCTCCATCATGTTTTGGCTCAGGATGCTAGATATGCGAGGAGCTGTCAAATTGATAATGGCGACGGAAAATCATGGATGATGCTAATTGAAAACACTGAATAGCTTTCCACACTTCCATCACAAATATCATACAACATGCTCTCAATAAATCCCCAATCATCAGCTCCAGGGCCTCCAAGCCTCACTATCCCACGGCGCGAAGTGTTTGACATTCGCGCCCAGCTGATGGCGGAAGATGATGCAGATACCAACGAGAATGCGGAGTTGATATCCGGGCTGGAAAAAGGTGATCTAAAGCCAACAGTTTACGAAGGCGGCCTCAAGACGTGGGAGTGTGCTATTGACCTCGCCAAGTTGGTGGCTGCTGAGGAAATACCTTCCCTCCTATCGGATCTGGCGGAGGGAGAGAGTGGAGATGTTCATGTCGTAGAGGTGAGAGGAAAAGAAATCCACAATCTCATCTCTCCATAGATTCGTGATATATATTGGATGTATATCTGACACGAATAAAACGTCTGTGCGGATTCTGCAATAAAAGCTCGGAGCAGGAACTGCCATTCCATCCCTTTCCATTTTACATCATCTCCTTTCACAACCTGCTCCGCAGGACCTGCCTCGCAGGTCCATCCGTTTCGTGTTTGCAGATTATAACGCTGCAGTTCTTCGACTAGTGACCGTGCCGAATATACTCCTGACATGGCACATGTGCCGCCATTGTCTGAACAACCCCCAAGACTCAGAGCGGAGTATATCTTCTAATACCGAAAACGGAAGCGATGCCGAAAATCGTCCTAATGGTAATCTCCTCGATAGCGCGGACGCTGACGAACAACCCGACCTAGATATCGACCATGCTCTCCTTTCTAATTTCCGTAAGGACTTACATGCCCGCGGAATATCTCTCTCCTTCATCTCGGGTGCCTGGTCACCTGCCTTCGTCGACCTTGCTTTACCAAACTGCCCGCCAGCTTCACCATCATCACAACGAAGGCGGACACATCTTCTCATCCTCGCCAGCGAAACAATCTACTCTCCCTCTTCCCTCCGTTCTTTTTCAGAAACTTTACTTGCACTCCTGCGGTGCGGTAGGGGTTTGGGCTTTACATCTACATCTACATCTACATCTTCTCCTCAAGTAGAACCAGCTGCTGAGCCTGTTGTTACTGATAAAAATACTCCGCCGGGATATAAAGCAAAAGCGCTAATTGCTGCCAAGGAGGTATATTTTGGCGTTGGGGGCGGGGTTGACGAGTTTTTGCGTGTGATGAGGGATCATGGGCGTGAGGAGGGCCAGATTGGAGGTGATGGCTTCTCTGTAAAGGTGAGGACCGAGGTTAGGAATGAGGGGGTTGGGAGAGTGGTGCTTGAGGTTACGATTTGAGGGAAGAACTCTCGCATTGGTATCGATATCGACTTTGGAAGGGCTGTGTTCCCGGCAGATGATTTCTTGATGGATGGATGGCGTAACGAGCCAGGGATTATTCATTCAGGGATGATTTTCTTGTAGATTTTCTTTTCTCATTTCAGGAACCTGGGGCATAAGTGCCTAAAATAGACAAGGAAAATAAAAAGGGTACATGTAACTAATTGGAACTTTGCGTTGTATGTCTCACTGGCTGCAGGAATTATTCTCTCTTCCTGGTTTTATCGTACGACTCGAGAGTATGTGCGTTTCACCATTACGTTAGTACGACAGTTTGGTGAAAATTTTCCCAGATTTATGTTCTGAACCTCATCAATGAGAGTAAGCCTTTCAGGGAGGATATGAATGCTGGTTTGGTTGGCTGGCATGCTCCAGACAGATGAAATATCAGACATCTGCACGTCTCGGACGTATGGCAATGGTTGCATGATATATACATAAATATACAAAAATGGAAAGTCCAGAATAGCAAATGAAACTGAATAGGATAAAATCTAGGTTGAGGAAATATGGGAGGGAATGGACAAATCAAGAGTACGATTCAAGGACATCAACTCGTCTTCTTTCTCTTTCTTCCTTTTCTTCCTTTCTTTTCTTTCTTGTTGGCAACAAATCCATTACATTAGAAGTATCGATTATCTTCATAAATAGAAAGCACTTTCCCATCCTTCATTCGCGAAACGCGCTCCTCTTCGATTTTCCTATTTTTCGTCTGATAGTGAGAGACGATTGATGTGAGGTCCGCAGAACCGTTACCTGCAGGTACATTCATGGGCGACCCGGTGTTGAAAATCCTATTTATCAAGGTAATTAGCTTTTTGATCTGCATGGCTCTTGTTCAAGATTGAAACGAGGAGGGGAAGCTGGATGTGATGAGAGTGGGAAATGACGCACTCAGGAAAACTCAGCTCCAAGTTTAGGGATGCCCTTTGGCTGTGGAATAGATGTCGATCAGCTGCAGCTCGCTCGATAGCGGCTGTATGGAGGGTATTCCGCCTTTCCCACGTGCTTTCCTTGGGAAAGTATTTTTCAATTAGGCGGGTCATCCATGGCTTGTTGTTTGGATCTGACGTGGAGTATTTGTACAGGGCTAGGCCCACAGGGACGGATGCGATGAACACGTAGAAGCCGCGCTGCGAAAGGAAGGAAGAAGAAGAAGAAAGGCGTTAGCATGTGGATTCCGGTGCATGCGTATGTAGAATGTTTTGAAAGAGGACAAAAACGCAGAAAGGTATGAGATATCGTTCAAAGTAAGCGGGGCACCAATGGCAGTTAGGTGTGGTTATTTTAATGGATCATATCTATTTGAGGACGTGGGGTCGTCCTGTCTGGAACACGTTACAACGGGTGGTGGAGGGATGGGAGGTTGCTTACGCCAAAGGTCTCGTTCACGGGCTCGGCATGGTGATGCTCACCATGGGGTGTAGAGGAGGCAAAGCGGCGAGGCTGTTGGTAGCGGAGGAGAGTCCGAGCAGGGACAGCGGCTCCCCGGGCGGGAATCATTGTTTGGAAGTTGACAATTGGGCTTCGCAACCCGCAATGCATTGAGAATGAGGCGGTGATGTCAATGCTCTCGAGCTATCGTTGGACTGAGGAGTGGCTGTCGTGGTGAAGCGACATAAAGTCAGGTGACGAATGGTCATGTGATATAGGGTCTGATGCAGGGCTACGAATGGATCCAACCAACGAACGACAATCCATTCCGTTTTGCTTCCTGTCGAATTAACAGCAACATGGTGCCTTTCGCTTCGTTATTCCAGCATAGCTCCCGCAGCCTCCGTTAGCAGTTTGGCCATTGAAAATTGGGTGAAATTTTGTTTCCCCAGTGATCTATAATCGGCTGATCTGGGTTTAACAGCTAACTAGATAACTACGTTCTCATGTCATCACCCAAGCCTGGGGCTTCCCCCCTGATGAACAAGTGATTTAGCAATAGATATGCCGGAGGGTAGCCGTCGGCCAGCACCTACTTCTCCAGAGATTCTTGAAGGTTGGGCGAATAAGAGAATTATTGGAGAGTCCCAGGACTTTGATTTGAGACCTCGGCCCGGAAGAATAACTCTTTCAGTTCTCTGCTCCAGGGGTTGGGATTTAAGATGCCAGTGCGGCTGCTGTCGATCTAGTATCTTTACTTTGTCGACAAGCGCGGCTAGTCTACATCGCTATTTGGCCCCTTTTGTCTTTCCGACCAGCATTTGAAACGTCCTGTGACTTTCCACCAAGCCAGCCAGTGGAGATTGCCTCCAGCGTTTAAAGCTGATGGCCTCAGCCCTGGTATTCAATCATATTATTCACTTTATCATTGGAAGGACTGGGAAATTTTGAGTCGTATCATCCAGAAGATTCCACGTGCTGGTTACTCAATCTATGTGCAACTTGGGTTCTGGTGGCTACTACAAATGGGTATCATTACTTGCATGACATTGCCTAATGTGATTGTGTTTGCTACGTTAAAAGTCTGACCATGGCAGCACTCGCCCAATTTCAGAATGGCAACATCAATTATGTCACTGCGAAATATATATACCAAACTCCCTTACCTCTGAATGAGCCTACTTGATCAAAAAAGTGGAGATTACCTCATCATGGACCAGCTCTCCTCTTCCAACTCCCTTCTAAAGGAGTTCTTCTTGTGATATGATTCGGTCTACCTCGGAAGATATAAAATTGGATGTTTACACAATCCTGCGGCCCAAGCCAGGTGAGTTCTGTTCATTATCCTCAGGATCTGTTGCAAACAACGTCATAATGCAAGGTGCCCGGTTGGAGTCACCTGTGTTTTCTGCGTGTTGATCAACAGCGAGTGCACTGGATAAGGGCTCCGGTTGAGCGTGAAGTATAGGCAGGATTCACAATCTGTGGTTATGCAGTGAGACCACTGGGTATCCTTCCAATGTCATTTAAGTGGACCAGCAAGAAGAAATACTCGCAAAGCTGCAGGAGAGTGGCAATTCTCTGTTTGGTTTCTGGATGATTATGATGAGAATGTAGCCAGCAAAGTAATAACAAGTGGATACTTGACCTCTGGAACGGAAGATACAATGGCGTTAGATTTGGGCCCTATTCTCTATGCCAAAAACGGCGACCAGGGATAAGGAACTAGAGGTATTTATATAGGGCTCGTATCATTTGAATATTGTCAAGCACACTCTCGCGGAGATTGGCTTGTATACTTAGCGCGTCTTATCGTTTACCCCAGTCCTATTCACAATCTCACCAACTCTGTTTTTTTTGGGCAAAGCTTTAGGAGTGCATAAGGTATAACTACACATTCGCTCGCTTGGTAAACATGACTCCATCAGCTCTTTGTACACAATTCTGTGCTCTTCTCTTTCTTCCGAGGCCCATCTGTGTCGTGATCTAGCCCATTTCTGCGCTTGCTCTGGCTGTCCAGTCTTCCTTGGAACATCAAACTCCCTAGCTTACCCGTAGCGGCTGATCTGTTGGCTAGCCACCGCTTGGAGGCCTCGTACGCTCGCCTGGCGACCACAACTCACAACCTCCTCGCCTTGGGCATTGCGAGGCTCCACCTGCTGGCTGCAGCATCGGACCAAAATGGTGTTGTTTCTTTTCTCGGGCGCTCGCTGGCTTACCAGATGCTGTCTGTCCATTTGCTCCGTCACATCTGGGTCACATATGCCCGCCACTTAATGCATCCGCAGGGACCCCTCCAGCCTCCAGTTTGCTTATGTGTTCGTTTCTAGACGCTGCATGCAGGTCCGGTTGCTACCTGACTAACGGAGACAACTGGCGGACTGGCGAAAGAAGACCCTCAATTGATGCCCAATATCCTGATACAAACCATTCCATTGGCCTCTTGCCGGCTGTTTTCTGAAGAACCACTTGCGCTTCATTTAATTTGGTAACCTTACGTGGGCAAAATGCACCAGCCATCCCTATTCGGTTTGTTACGTTTCCCTCCCAGGAGCGTTGGCTATCCAACCTGCTCGTCGGATAGCTATATCAGCTGTTGGGCGCGCGACTCTCAACCAGCTTATTATTTCTGGTCATATTTCCACCTTCCCATTCCCTTTTCGAGAAATACTTTTCTTTCATGCACCCAACGCCGGGTTGATTCAACTCGCTGTCTTTGATTTTCACCTTGCCTGAGTATATCATCGTTGATTGCTCCACTGTACACCACCTTTCTATTTTTATTTATCTTCATTCGCAAGCCCTAGCCGATAGAACCATTCTAATTCAAACGGTTTTCACTCACATATCTGCTTTGCTACCCTTTGACTCACTCACCCCTCCTTGCTGCGTGTCTCCCCTCGAAGGGCTTCACTTAGAATTCGTGTCTTCACTTAACTGCCCTCTTCTGCCTCACTGCCGCATGCCATGCTTTCGAATTTTTACCAGTCATACCTGTGAACTTCGCCAGACCTGTTGCTTCTCTATCCTGAACAAGGATTCTTAATTGTTCTTTAACTGGGACCACGTCAATTTTTGTCAGGTGACAGAAGTCATTGAAGTATTTGATACCTTTTCTCGCCGGCATCATGGGTCAATCTGGAGGAAACACAAAAGCCCGCAAGGGAAAGAAAGGGAAAAAAGGAAACAAGTCACAGAAAGAAGACCACCCCTCAGATCTTCAGACATCCACACCATCTTCACCAAAAATCAAACCTCAGCAGCCTGAAGCATTTCAGGAACTCGAAGGATCCAAAGACCTCGTCCAAGAAACTCAAGAACCCCAAGAACCCCAAGAACCCCAAGAACCCCAAGAACCCCAAGAACCCCAAGAACCCCAAGAAACTCAAGAAAATCAAGAATCCCAAGCGTCCCAAGAGCTCCAAGAAGCTCAAGAAGCTCAAGAAGCTCAAGAACCCCAAGAACCCAAAGAAACTCAAGAAAATCAAGAACCCCAAGCGTCCCAAGAGCTCCAAGAACCTGAGGTGCCCCAAGCACTTCAGGAATGTCAGGAACCGCAACAACTTCAGGAACCCCACGAGTCTCAAGAATCTGAAGCAGCTCAGCAGTGTCAAGAACACGAAGAACCTGAGGAATTTCAAGAATTTCAAGAGCCCCAAGAGCCAGAAAAGTCTAAGGAAGCTGAAAACGCCGACGATCCCGAAAAACCTCAGGAACCCCTAGAGATCCAAGAGTCTCATGAAATTCAGGAGGATCAGCAGCCTTTGGCACCGTTATCTGTCATAGAAAGTCTTCCACCCTTGCCAGATGCCACTGGATCAACCCCGTTGGCGACACCCTTAAGTTTCAGCAAAGAAAACATATCTTCTCCAACGTTTTCTAACTCCGAACTTCAGGATCAAACTCTTGTTGATAACAGAGGGAACGCCGACAAGGACGACAAAGATAACGTTGAAGACGGTGCAAAGGGCGACGAAGCTGAAGACGAAGACAACGAGAACGAACTTGACGAACCGCGAGTGCGCTCAGTTCCATCGCCTGCAAGTGCAATATCATCTGCCGGCCCCTCCACACCTGCTGCAGTACTGTCAAATAATCCGTTTGATGCCCCCGATAACGCGGATAACACGGACAAAGCGATTGCCGACTCACCACAGCCTCTAAGGCATCCGTCACCCTCAGCAGCAGAAATTCATCTTCCTTCCCCGTCGCAATCAAAATTGAATCCACGATCGAATCCTGCTGCAGCGCATCATTACCTGCACGAGCCGTCACCGGCGCCTATATCTTCACCCCATTATTCGTATAATATCCCAGGCGTGCATCCGTATGCAAATCCCATGATACCGCCACACAACGGAGTATCATTCGACCCCCAAATGGTCGGAAAAATGGCGGTTACCGTCCCAAGTTATCATACCCCTGTGCGATCATCCACGATGGATTCGCCATATACCCCATACCACCATGCTAGGAGGAGTAGCCGAGCGTCATATGGCCGCGGATACGCTGATGCTTATTACAACAATGACTATGGCCCTGTTAGGGAACCAGCACCTGTCCAGCCACCTGTGATTGAGGACGGGAGAGATGCATCAAAAAATGGGGAAGGGCTCAATATCAGTCTCCTATCACGCATCCAAAGCATTATTCCGGATATTAGCCAACTGGTAATCAGCTATCGAGACCAACAAACTCAACTGTCTGCACGAGAAGCAGAGCACAAGCAAATCGAAGCTCAGCATGAGGAGTCCCTGATGCGCAAGGAGTATTACATCGAGGCCCTCCAAACACAAATGCAGAAAACAGCCAACGAGAGCGCAAAGGAATGCTCGAAATTAAAAGGCAGGATTAATGAGCTCCGGTTCGAGCTTGGAGGACTCCAGGAGAAACAAAAGGATGTCGAGGAGAGCTTAGCTGACGCCCAAAAGGAAAACGATGAGCTTTCCCAACTTCGGGAAGATTTACAAGAGGAGATCGATAATCTTCAACGAGCGATCCAGGAAGAAAAGGAGGCTCATGAACAAGAATTGGAAAGACAAAGGGAAAAGGAGAAAGAGGCACTGGATAACCAGAAGCAGGACTTGGAAGGCTATTTCCAGGAAATTAAGAATGAAGATGACAGGCTCGCTGCTGAGCAACTCCAGGCCCGTGAGCAAGAACTGACTGACGAGCGTGATAAACTCAAGGCTGAGTTGGAGGCCGAAATGCGAGAACTTACGGAAGCAAAAGACGCCATGGCCACGGACTACGAGGGCAAGCTAGCGTCTAAGCAGGCCGAAATCGACGCGAAACAGGAAGAGATTGATGCTAAGAAAGAACAGTTGGAGGCCAAACAAGCGGAATTAGATGAGACACGAGAGACTCTGGCTGCTAAAGTAGAAGCTCTAGCTTCTAAGCAAGAAGAGTTAGTTGCTAAGCAAGGAGAATTGGAAACTACCAAAGACGAGCTGGAAGCCAAAAAGGGGGAATTGGAGACCACTCAAGGTGAACTGAAAAACAAGAAGGGCGAATTGGAAACCACACAGGGAGAGCTGGAAACTACAAAAGGTGAATTGGAGAAGAGAGTTGAGGAACTGAAGAATAAGCAAGAGGAGTTGGAAGGGAAACAAGGTGAACTCGAGACGACACAGGGCGAGCTTACCACCACACGGGAAGAACTTGAGGCTAAGAAGAGTGATCTTGACTCGAAACATTCCGAATTGGAGGCAAAACTCGAAGAGCTTGAGGAGAAAAAGCGCGAATTGGATGCCAAAAACGAGGAGTTGGAGGCCAAAAACGCCGCTTTAGAAGCTAAGAAATCTGAGCTCGAGGCTATTCAAGGAGAGTTGACCAGCAAGCAGACCGAGCTCGAGTCCAGACAATCCGATCTTGAAGCGAAACAGGCGGAACTCGATGCGAAGCAGGCAGAACTTGACCAATTGAAGCAATCCCACATAGCCGAACTCGCTGCGTTAAACGAAACCCACGAGAAAGAACGTGACACTGCAGCACAAGAGGCCGAAGAAAAGATAAGTAACCTGATAAATGAGTACCAGCAAAAGGAGGAGGCTTGGCAGAAGGCTCGCGAGGACCTGGAGGCTCAGTTACTACAACGAGTAGAGGAATTGAAACAAGTGGGGGAAGAGAAGGAAGTTCTCGCCAAGGAGGGACAAGCTAAAGAAGAACAACTACGGAATGTGGTAGAGGAGATGCGACAAACGCATGAGAATCTGAGCAAAGATCGGGAACGGTTGAAAAAAACATTACATAGTCTCGGAGAAGCCACCGATATGAAAATTAAAGGGGACTCTTTCTTGTAAGTATGCTGCCAAGCTTAGCTGTGGGAAGCAAGGCCATGGCATCTAGATCTCTTTTGCATATTGCAGTTCGGATCTTTTTCTTTTCAATAACTTCCAACAACGTAACTGCCGATTTGTCTACGATTTGTTTTCATAGACTGCCCACCACTTTTTTTTCTATAGATTGGTTCGATTGGTTCTAATTATGTTTCATCTGTCGTTCTAGCTTCCAATGCTTTGGCCAACTTACACGCCTTATTGTCGACCTCTCAAAGGAGCATTTTGGCTACCTTCCAATCGACCCACCCGCAGACATCATCGCAAAGATCCCGTCCGAAATCCCCCAGTTCCTTGACAACACCCAAGCATCCCGGGAACTTCGATCTGCTTATGTGCAGCATGTTATTTCTAAGACACTCAATTACAGGATTTTCCAGCCGTTCTTATTCACTCTCGGCAGGCGCTACGATAAAGCAGATACCTTTTTCCAAATGCTGTCTATGGATATCCGTCGCAAATCCGTGAGACGCGAGGCGTACTGGAGACAACAAACGCTCAAGGCTGCCTACACTACCTCCGACGCCAAACAAGCTATCAACGTAGTTGCCGCAGTCATTGTGGATGAAATCATAGACCATATCCGTCACTTCGCGGATCCTAAGCACCTCGACGCCCTGCTCGTGGGGGTGAGGAAAATCGTGAAACTCGCTGCAGAGACCTGGCGCCTCGCCCGTGTCGAAAGAGAACTTATCATCTCAACCATGCCTTCTGCTGAGGATGAACAAACAGTGAATGAAGGCTGGAAGGAATTCAACTATGAGACCGCACCATCTCCACCTACAGAAGATTCCAACGATAACACTCCCTCGGTCCGTAGGCGACGCGTGCTCCTCCGCATGTGTCCACGCATTTACCGAGAGCCAGTGCACGAAGACTTCACCGAGGACGGCGAGAAAGGCACTCAATGCGTGTATCTCCCTGGCGTGGTCCTTTATGCCGATTCACCTTCTGTCCTCGCACGAAAAATGGAAATCGCCAGGAAAACGGCTGACCCTTCAGGCTCCGGATCTGGTACCCCTGCTGTAGGTTCTACGGGTAAGGATGGTGACAATCTCCCTGCTCCTTCCGATCTTCCATTGGATAATGCAACAAATGGCGCAGTCAATGGTGAAGCAAACGTGGTGGATCAGGCTGCTGGAACTCCTGCAGTGGAGGTTGCTGCATAGCCAGTCGTCAACTGAACAATTTTCTCCCTTCTCCTTTTGCCGGTGCGAATTTCTCACACAAAGTTTTCCCACTTCCCAGTTTGCAGTTTTCCTCTGGAAGCCCCTCTTTTGATTTCGTTGAATTTTTTTGCGTTTCATTTTCGCTTCTTAATCCCTGAAACATCTCATTCCCTTCTCGTTTCTTGCTTTCTTCCCCGATGTGTTCTCTTTATCTTTGCTTTTTTCTTTCTTTTATATCTTCTATATGTGATTTTGTAAGATCCTGTAACGGTGATGATAGATGGCATTGTTGTATAGTGGGGTTTTTCATCATCGTCTGGTTTTGTCGGATTTTTTTCTGCCACAAGTTCTTGTTGTATTTCATTCATACATTTGACGAAATTAGCGATGCATAACCTATCATGTTCTGGTTTCCAGTAATGATATCTGTCTTTCATTTATTTCAATTCTTTATTCACTTTCAATTGTTTTTGTCTCTTCTTCTAACCTGGTTTTTACCCAACATCCCAGAGTTGTTTCTTGGAATTAACATCTTATTTCCTTTAATTGTGCCCTAAGTTTTCCGTGCAATATTGCAATCAGCATGGACTTTCGTTCCCTTTATTTATGTTCTCCTTTGATCTGGTATCAAGCCTTTACTTCTCAAAATCCTTTTGGTTTACTTTTATTCCTTATTACCCACAATCCATTTCGCTCACCGGAAATAGAACACACAGCATTTCGCTATTCTATTCAACCATAACTACATCCGTTTTCCACCTGGAATAACCATGACTTGATCCGCCATAAGCTTTTCGACAGAATCCCTGTCAGTCGTAAACGGAGTCGGATGCCAAAAAAATTCACTTTTTTTTTTGGGACACATGGACATTGGCATCCTGGAGCCTGCAAACTGAAAACCCAACCTCTGTGCCACAATCACTGTTGTTGAGCATAGCCTCCCCTCCCCCCCCTTTTTTTTGGAAGGGTTTAAGATGGTTGAGTAGAGAGTAAACTCTGATCTGATGGAGCGACTGAATCTGCTGGCATGACCACAGAGTCAGGCGTTTCTCCGCTGACATCCTTATCATTGATGGCTTGTAGAGTTATGACGATGGATCAAGGTTGGAGATATATAATTTATGACGTAGTTGCATCTGCATGTTATTGTGAGCTATCGGTAAAGCTCAGGTTTTCTATTACTCTCCGTTGTCGGTGCAAGCTTGCTTCGCATTTTGGCACAGCCCCATTCGTCCAACTGCTTGGTTGTCAACTTGACTGGCAGGACTAGGCGCAAGCACGAACGGGCGGATTTGACTAGGCGAAATTTTTCGTGTTAATCGAAAAGGCTTAGCATAATGGATGTTCCGTGGAGCATCCTTCATTGGGCTCTCCGCCATTCTAGCAGCACAGACATTATGCTTGCAGAGGGCTTGAAAATTTTCGGGGTGGCATCGCACCACTCAATAGCTTTCATGCCATGACGTAGTTTGTATTTCAAGATGGACGAGGGAAGAAAGGAAGATTTGCTCTCTGAAAAGGGTGTGTGCAGGTAGCTCGACCTGGTGCTGTTGAATTGGTGAGAATGAACCTTTGCCCTCTGCCCTTGCCCTATGCCCTAATGATGGTCGTGTTGCCCCAAAAGGGGAAGCTCGACGTCAACGACAACAATGTTTTCTTCCTGTAAAGAAGCCATTGGGTATCAAACACAGAAAAGCAAGGGCAGCAAAAAGAACAAGGACTGAGCTTCTCGACAACCAGGACATGTCCATGACTTCATCCCGTGCTGTGTGGAGTGGTTCTGCCTTGGCTTCACCAGTTTGAGCGAAATTGGGGGCGCCAATTTCTGTTTTGTGGGGGCAAATACTCCCGAAAGAGTTTTACTGCAATCCTCCATGGGATGTGTGGCTGAACACTCGACAGGAATGACGATAATAATGAGGAACATTGATGTGTCCGCCAGGATGAACAGGTCTCCTGTGCACAAACAAGTTGTTGGCTCCTGGCCTGTTGAAATTGTGTGATATGTGGACCCCTCTCAGCGACTTTATTATCATGCCCACGAATTTGGATTCTCCAAAGATGCCCATATTGCTTACTGTTTGAATCACGAATGATTGATTACTTTATTCTTAATATTCAATCCATAAGCTGGCAGGGTCCTCCAAGCTTGCAGTGGTTTCTGCCCCGCGAGGAGCCCAGCAATAGGGTTCGAACTTGACAATTTTAGGCTTGATTTGGGGCCGCGCTTCAATCATAATGACAATCGGGCTTGTTTTTGGGCCAGGATTCTCTAACTGGGGCTCCCTCCACTAAGCCTCAAGCTTTTCTTTCGCTCTCTATGGCATACAGGTATGCGCGGAAAGTTGTCATACGCCGTCATCCACTTTGGAATTTCTGCAACAATACACTGTTAATGTTCAGTGTTCCCGTTTTCCTGGGAAGTATTAGATCGAAAACGCACGTCCGCCCAAAATCTCGCGCTCCAATTAAAAAATCATGCATGGATTGTTGGAATAAGGCCGAGGGGGAGTGCGGCTGTAATTGGCTACTGTCCCACGGCAGACTACAGTCAAGCCTCAAGGTCAATCGGCAGGCTTTCATCTAATCAGCCGCAGACTGCGCCATGTCCGTCTCGGCACAGGAACCTCTTCTGCACTCCCTCTTCTCATGGCTTGGAGAGGCTCCGATTACCAACTTTCCAGCGTGTATCCATGCTCTAACCCCCGTTTGACTTTACAATCCCCTTCCTCCACCGGCTCTGCGCAGTAAGTTTTCGAAGGCATCCGTTTTAATTGCCTATTGCCCTCAAGCCAGGTGCCCACGCAATTGAAATAGTCTGAAAATCCCCACAGCTCCCCTCCATCTCTATATTCCCAGTTGCGGGGCTTCCAACAACCGCAACTCGGCTCCTCGAACGGTAACCAACAAGGGACCGCACCTTGACCCCAAGAAATCCAAATAATCGCACAATTTTCCACTTCCGGTTACGCAGGAAGGTTATATCTGAATCCCTTTGCGTCGCAACTCCCAGACCTCCCAGCGAACAGTTAGAAGCTTGGCTGGAATGTAAAGGTGGTCAACAACAGCGGCAGTCTGCCTTTACCTCTTGATCAACTCATAGATTTGACCTATAACGTCGTCTGTGAGCTGACAGGAAGCTGCTGCTTCAACGTGGAATACAAGATCACAATTTAATATCCTCTCATATTCCCACAGTTTGTGATTTCCACCTCTACCGTCCACCTAGGTGTCAGTCAGGTATCGGCCAATCTATTCATCCCGTTCATTTTCCAGACTGCTATTCTTTACAAACTATGTCGACAGCAACTTCATCTCCACGATCTATCGAAAATCAGTCTCCGAATCTCTCTGCGTTCAAAGCTCAAATCTACAGTGACCCTTTTCTCCCGAACCCTTCTAACAACAACAATAACAACGAGCAATTATCACTCCGTCCACATGGTGAACCAGCAACGGTAAACCTTTCTGAATTAGAAAGCCATCACCATAACGGACAATTATCAGGGGAGGGTTTCCACGGCTCATTGCCAGTATCTCCAAATAATATCCACCTCCCAAGCGGCTCGAAGGGTGGCACCGCATATACGCGGCCAAATACCAATCCCTCGAGCAACGTTCAGTCTCCTACATCCCACCAGGATTTCTTAAGCCCCTCCGATTACGCTGAGTGCGGATACAGTGATTTTAGTTCCTACGGATCTCCCGAAATTGACGACCCCTTCTTCTTAGAGCCAGAATTCGGCTTCAATCCCGAATCCGAGCCACTTACATTACCGGGTTCTGAAGCCCTACAACACTACAATCCACAGGATAACGAGCCTTCAGGGCAAAGCAATGAGCAAAAATTAGACATAACAACATTAACAGCGTCTCAACTTTTGAGCCCGGGCCTTACAAACACTCCTAGTCCCCCATCTGACTCCCAAAATATGGACCTCTCTAGTATGAATGACGGAAGAGACAAGGCACACCGGCCTTCAAGAATGGATATTCATACCCATCGGTTTCAACATACACCAACGCTTACGACAGCCAGCCCGTGCAGCGATACGCTTGAGGTTAGCACCTTTTCTCATAGAGATCAACCTACGAGTCCGATTGTTAAGGTATCGAGCTATACTCGAGGCGACTCTCCTTCCAGGGGCGATGACCCAACGGAACAGAGGTCGGAAAAAAGGGGTCGACCTACAATATCGTCTTCCCATCTTTCGCCAACAGGCAACAAGCACGAGTATGACTACGATGACATTGACGATAGCCACTACGTAGGCTCACAGTACAGGTCTATTTCAGTTCCTCCACCGTCATTTCGTGCGGAAGATGGGTCATGGATCGCCAGCTCCTCCACGGGACAAACAGGACTTGATCCTGCTTGCAGAGGTGACATCTACGTGCCAAGCCCCAAAGAAATGATGGAGCAACAAAAAAGAGAGCAAAAGAACGCGGATGTAGAACAGTGGTTGTCTGTCAGCGAGGTTAATAGCGAGGTCCAGGATAATGGTGCTATTGGCCGTAGGCCTAGCAGAAGAAACAAATTGGTGACATTTCGTCGCAGAGCAAAAAGCACTGGAGATCCGGTAGCCACGCACCAGCAATTCCTTGATGATTCTAAAATCCCTGGGCCTGGTGTTTTAATCGATGAGGACAGCGGGTTAGAAGATATAGAGGATGACAATGACTCCGATGCTTCAAGCAAAATCCCAGAGACGCCCCCGGCCAAAGTGGATCTAGATTCTCGAGTCGAATTGTCCAGAGGGTATTTCCCTCCAGTTACCAACGATGATGAAGCTCAGAATGCGGAGCCACTGCCCCGACAGTTTATCAGAGCTCGACCCTGGCAAGACCAACTTAGAAACCCTCGGATCGGCGATACTAGACATCAACCGTCGACCTCGAATGCTGCGATATCGAGATTCGGGCGTGCTGCTGAAAATATTGAAACTGCATCGCGTGCTGCCACATGGGGCACCACGCGAAGAATGAGTGAATCAGATATGCGTAGCTTACATGCAGCCAATGGTTCCTTCAATCCTTCATTTGTCGATAAAGAAAAGAAGCACACTAGGCGAAATAGTATTTTCAAACACACAAACAAACTTTTACCTAAAAGGAGCAACAGCAACGCGAAACGTAAGCTAGCCGAATCTGCGCAACAACAGCCAGGAACAGAATCCATCGATAAGCAGAAGAACAAAGACTCAAAGGAAGGAGGGTTAACCAGCTCAGTTTTACCGCAAAAGAAACCCGGTTTTAGCCGCCCTCCCAAATCCCCGTTGACAACTGAAGGCCTTGTTTTGGCTATGACTGGACAGATTGCAGCCGTCGGTGGTGGTGGACCAGTCGGAGTGCCCTCTCCTAGTGCATCATCGAGTCCCTGGAATAATTTCATGAGACGTAGTCGCAGCAAAAGCGATCTCTCGAAAACTTCAAAGTCACCTGTATCCGGCGGGTTGCTTGAATTAATGACAAACTTTGGTGGTCCTCCAGTTCCTACCCTTGCTTCCCCGCGTCAAGACAAAGCTCTTGCGCCTAGTCCTATGTCAGGAAAGGGGCAACTTGACGACGAGGAGGATGAGGATGATGAAGACGAGCCGATGGGCGATAAGGGCGTTACCATGGACTTCGCTATCCGAACGGATCCTATTGTTCCAACGCTCGATGGCTTCAAGACCCAGATTCAACAGCTCAATCCAAGACTTAAGTCCCCAGCATTGATCGAGCGATTCGCCCAAGAGCAGTTACGTCGATATAAAAAACTTGTTGAACTTAAATTGCAACATGTTCAAGCAGTGAACATGCAAAATTGCACCTCAGGCAAACATTGCTTTGAGCAGGGAGGCGAAGCCACCATGCTCCCACCTAGAATTAGTTCGAAAGATCCAGACGCCACTTGCGCGCAGTTCCAAATAACCAGCTCAGCCAATCCAGACGGGGATATGAGCAGCTTTGGCGAAGGAACTGTAACTGCTGCACTTTTTCCCAATGGAGTTCCTCTGCCACCGGTTAAACGTCTCCCCGCTCAATTCGAATGTTATCTTTGCTTTAAGGTTAAAGCGTTCCAGAAACCATCCGACTGGACAAAACATGTTCATGAGGACATCATGCCTTTTACTTGTACATTTCCCGACTGTACAGAGCCGAAATCCTTTAAGAGAAAGGCAGACTGGGTGCGGCACGAGAGCGAGAGACATAGACAGTTGGAGTGGTGGACCTGTAACATGCAGGACTGTTCGCACAGGTGCTATCGGAAAGATAACTTTGTGCAACATCTCGTTCGAGAACATAAAATGCCGGAACCAAAAGCTAAAATTTCCAGAGGCCGCGGCAGTGGGAACGGTAAAGGAGCAGCGAAGAAGATGGATAACCAGCAAAGCTCAACTCCTGACCAGGAAGTAGAGCAAGTGTGGAAGTTGGTTGAAGAATGTCATCATGTTACTTCCAAGCAACCAAAGGATGAGCCATGCCGATTCTGTGACAATGTCTGCAACAGTTGGAAGAAGCTCTCCGTGCACATGGCAAAGCATATGGAGCAAATCGCCATGCCAATCTTAGGCCTTGTCAAACAGCGGACAATATGTGCTGATACTCCTATCAGCCCCATCGAACTAGGAAGCTACCCTCCCCGTCCAAAAGTCGAAAGTGGCCAGTCACCAGCAATGAGTCCCCTTCCAGGTACAGGGCATTTCCAAAATCCCTTCCAATTAGAGCATGCACCCAGAACCAGTGTTGGCCACTCAACTTTGTCCAATTCAACGGCACAAAATACGGAAGGTTATGCAACCGCGCAATCTCCTCTGGTAGTCGACCATCTCCAGATGCGTACCGTGCAGAATGAGCTGACTGCTGTATCACTGAGAATGGGAGGGAGGTCAATCTCAGCTGGCGGACAGAGGTACAATCTCTCACCCTATCCACGGCCAACGTCGCCGTCGGTTGGTGAGCAGCAAAACGTGTACCCAGTTACAACTAGAGCAGGGCAACAACAATTCAGCTCTCACCATACTTCCGCTACATATCCGCCCCTGTATAACGCCTTGTCGCGGAGGCTAGAGTCACCTATTTCGGACACGGCCCAAGCGCCGGTTGGAGAGACGGTATACAGCATGGATGCGTCAGCGGTCGCCTCCAGCAGCACCGCGTATGGTAATCAACAGCAAATGTATACATCACCAGTTGAGCATGCCGGATATGCCTATCAACAAAGTCGAGGTGGGATAGATTCGTCAGGGGTAATGAACTTCAATGACATCGCAGTTACTGTGCAGTATCCAGTGGTTTCAGGACCTGATACCGATCCCGCAGGCCAGTCGGAAGGCTTTGGCCAACACCGCGGCGGACCATATCACTATCAGAGCCAGTGATGATGTGTAGGATTCGACTAATAACGGCCCTTCATTCTACGAAGCAGTGTTATTGAACGTTTCCGGTTTGTTTCGTTTCTCTTTTCATGGTCACTTTTCGTTCTTGCGTTTCTTTTTATTTCTTTCGCCACTTGTTCTGATTCTGTTTGAAGCGGTCTGGTTTCTGCTTTGTTTACGTTTGCCCCCTTTTTTTCATCTCTAGGGTTTAGCTGTCCTATGAATGTTTCCTCACGTCTGGTATGCTGCACGTAGAGCCTACTTCGTTATGTTTTCTTTCTTTTCTTTTCTTCTTTTGCTTTTCTTCTCCTTTTATTTTTTCGTATCATTGGTATACTTGTGGTTTCACTCTTTTTGATTCACTTTTCCTGCAACTTCTGTTAATCGGCCTCAATCGATACACCATTCACGTAATGACTTGTTATCAGTAAAATGACCGCATTTCCACCCTCAAACCAATTGTTTTTGCGTTTACTTTACTGTTTATTCTAAAATATTGTGAAATGTGCCTTGGAATTAGCGTATTGGTTTATACAGTCACGAATTTTGACTGCCCTGGCATCAATGCCGCTGTATTACTCGTTTTAGAAACGAAACTGTACTTGATGAATTCAATCAGCCTTTTTCTTTCCGTCCATCAGCTCTGGTATGCCGCTCCTATCTGGAGGAAGATGAGAGGGTATTGGAGCGGATTTCTTTTCCTTCGCCCATGGTATATCTTCCATCTGTTGTCTGCGCCAACGGGATCCCTTTCCGGGCCCGATTTGGAAGAATAAGGTGCCCAAACATCGAGAAGAGAACCGTGCGCCAGAACAGAAAGTAACAGCGGAGTTAGATAGAATGATGAACCACTTCAGAATGATCATCGTGGCGAACGGTGCAGTCAGTGTTTTCCAGAAATGTTCCGCGAAGACTGATCCCCAGATGTATCAAGGGGTGATGGTTCTACGACGCATACGACCCCCGAGGAATCGATCTCCCGCCATCCCCGACAGCCACCTCCCCGCCAGCGCCCTTCATCATTCGCTCCTGACGACTCTCGAGATAGGGCTGCGGTTTGGTTGGCTCTGGGCTGCTGCTGCCCTAGCGGCACCCGATCGGGACTAGCGCTAGGTTGTCGTCAGGCAGCACAGCGGCTGTATCGTCATGCGGTGGTAATAATACGCAACAGCATCCCCTGATGTGCTGTATGGTGCCGTATGGTGCCGTATGGGCGCTGTCACGGAGGCCGATTTGAGGCTCAACACCTGAACTCCACCTGCATCCACATCAACGTCCGATCAGCCACCGCTGCGTCTGCCACCGCCTGTCAGGGTCAAAGGGGCGCCGACTGCTGGCATTTTCTGCATATCATGCGCTTTCCAAATGGCAAGGCCTCCTCCAATCAACATCGACGGGGCTCGGCCACTGTTGCCGGTGCTTGACGCTCAATCACGGCCTGCACGCCGATGGGCCCACAGGACTGAGTTCGCTTCCCTGTGCCTCCTCATCCATGAGTTTTGTAGAGCATCTCGAGCTGGCGCCCAACTCTGCGGCCATCCTATTTGCTCGAACCCTTGAACCAAAACCGGACTTTTCGTTTTTGCTTTTTTTTTTTCGATGTTTCTCTTCTCTTTACCACTTGGGGAGAGAACGAACTAATTCCTCCCCATGTGGATTCTGCCAATCAGTCACCTGCATATACACTCAGCCGTTATCTTCATCTTTTTTATCTTCATTATCTTTACTTATTGACTTTTAGATTGCATGTCGTTTGCTTGATACCCATCGATTCTACCTTCAGCGCCAAACTCTTCACATCCTTTCTCTTTGCTTTTTCTCTATGCTTGTTTCGCTTCCATATCCTGTCATCAGGATCTGCCACCGGGACCTGGCGCCGATGATGATCTGAAGGGTAGTCAATGGGAACGAGCTGCGGAACCCGAGCAGAATTTTATCTTGTTTTCCCTTTTCTCCCGTCTGAAAAGGCCCTTCTTACACCGCCACGTCGAGTTTGCCGGACGGGTACCACGAAGACAGAACATCAAATCCGGGAATGCCAATTAGGATTACGTTTTAGAGGGCTCAAACCTCTGCACTTTTGACTTCCGCACAGGCGTAAGCACATTATTTGTTGAAACACTGCCAGCGTGCCCTCACTTTCACTTGTCTTCTCCCTCGGAAGCACTTTCATGCATGATCCCTCTCTCGGGATTGATTCAATATTCCGACTCTCGTTTAATTTGCTTCCTGTTACGCTTCCCATCTCAAGCCGGGAGGGAAACCCGTGACTAGCCCGCGCTCTAATATTTCTTGTCTCAAGCTTCACTTCGTCCGTTTCCCTGAATCAATCCTTCTTTGATTTTATTTTTATATGTCCCCGTTCGGTTCCCTCAGTTTCCCTCTCTTCGATCACTCCTTTTCTAGTTCTTTATTTTTAAAATTAATTTATTATGGCAACTCATCCTGCTTTCCTCCTTCATATAGTTACTCTTTACCGTCCCTTCGCTATAAGTTTAGCACTATAGTCTTTTTCCACAATTCGTCGATCGGTTCATATCAGCGATGCAACTATAAACAGCCGCTAAAACCCTCCTGCCACGTTCTCTTGCTTCCAAAAGCGAAAAGATAACGCCGTACCCCTCTGAAACTGTTTGAAATATACTTGTTCCACTTATATTTTGATCTAGAACCTTTGGTGTTAGCCCTGTAAGACGCAGCTATTGTTGTCATGGATCAAACTCATCATTTACCTGACCAGCTTGAGCAAAGGATGCTCCCTATCTCAGTACGGATTATACATATTTCCTTTCTACCTTTCAATACAATACGTTTATACTTGTAATATTCAGAATGCTATGTATTCCCTATATAGATTCTTTCAAAGTGGAGCTATACGTATCATTATGTTGCATCATACATGTGATTGCGCTAACTAATAATTGTCTTTGCTCTCCCCAGGTGCCGGATGTGGATACACCAAATACAAATACCCTACATGACGATTCGACCTGGAATAATGGAGACACCTTCCAGGAGGGGATGGACATGAATATTTTTCCACATGTAGACATGCTCCCCTTCACTAATTTGGGACCTGTACAAATGTTGGTGCATTATGAAACAGATTCGCGCTCACATATGGTTCCGTCACCAACGTGGCCGTTTTCTTGTGAATTCTTTGATGGTAATCTTTTCGAACAACATTCCGCCGCGAATCTCAACACCGATAACCAAGTGTCGTGGAATACGATGGGAGTTGTTCAAGAGGATTTGACCTCAGGCCCTGAAAGTAAACGACAAAGGATTGATAGCCCTGATGCCAATATGCCGCATAACTTTGGACAATTGTCGTTCGAGATAGGTAGTCAGCCCAACGTCAATTCGGCTTCTGACTCTGGTTATGGCACAAGCATAGCAACTGCGTCCGTTACCAGCTCCTTTCCTGTTAACCAGCCTGTCCAGCAACAGATGATGGATCACTCATGGAACACGCCACAAGTCTCCCCCCAATTGCCAAATCAATATGTCTTTGGTAGTGAGCACCAGCACCAACAACCTGATGCGCAAGGTAGTGTCGAGGCCAGACCGCAAGTAGACACTTCTCAATTTTCATGCGATGTAGCTAAATGTGGATGGACGGGGAAATGCCAGTCAGATAAAAAGCAAGTCGAATTTACTTACTTTTATTTATATCCCGCCCTTCCTTCTTGGACGTCAATAATACGATCAAAAATGATTTGGCTAATATGTACCCCTCTAGAAAGCACATGACGCGTCATAAAAGAGCTTTCTCCTGCACGGAACCGAGCTGCACTCGGAAAAGGGGCTTCGGGACAATCAATGATCTAGAGAGACATAAGAAAAGCGTTCATGGAATAGGGCCAACGCATGGGAAGCTAAAGGAATTTAAGTGTTTCGCGAAAGACTGTGCAAGAAAGGAGAAGATCTGGCCTCGGCAAGATAATTTCATACAACATCTTGTCCGCATGCATAAGGAGGAGGATACCACTGAACTTTTGGCACGGTAAGCTCTGATTTTATTCTTTTCCTCTTTGCGCTGATCTAACCTTGGTTTCTACCGCATCAACACCATATTGACTATAGACTAGGTCTAATGCTTGGTTCGAATCCACGAAGGAGTCAAAGCCGCACAAGTCAGCGGTGCATAGCTTGCTCTCTTGTTTACCTCAGCAGGAGGTCATAGACCCAAAGAGCTATAGGCCTCGTCCGCTTCCAGAGGCGGCCCAATTAGATGACCGTCAGTCTTACACCTTCGAGGCAGTCAGCAAGTGTAATGGGATGTCTAGCAATAGCCCCAAGTATCCACAAGGTATTCAGTCTGGACAACGAAACCATCCTAACGATTCCCCCTTCAACGACAATGTCAACCCCATGTCTGTGGAAGTTACAACAGAAGATTTATCCCAACCTTTGCTCGAGCATGATAAGTCTCAGGAGGATATGGACAATTCTCGGGATAATATTGAGCTTCATCAAAGTGTTGGCAGGTCTACCGAACCCGACGGTGGACATAAACCATCCTCACTATCCTTTCCTATAAAGAACCAAGGTGACCTCCCACCGTCTTATTTTGATTCGGTCAGAGAGGCCGTATTAGGCTTGTTCAAAGCTTTGGGAAGAGACGTAACCAACTCTACACCGGCGAAACCACGAAACGGAAATGGGCCCACCTGCGACGATGTCGCCGCTTCTGCTTTGCAATTAGCTAGCCTTCCTGCTTATGTTGATCTACTTAATAACGGGTCGAAGAAATCCAGGGACAACGCCCTACGCGAGCTGCTCAAGGCCAGTCTAAAGCATTTGGAGGCATCTCGACTAAATGAAGATGTCCCGTCGCTAGAAAAGACTCCCACGACCAGTAAGAATGAGGCTTTGCGACCCCGGGGAAAGAAAACTTTTGTATGTAGATATGAAGGATGTACGCGAGAGACTGCACGGTTGTCTGACCTGAAGTATGTTTGGCTTTTTCTCTTCACTCCTGCCTGATTGAAGACGTTGATTGCTAACGAGTAAACTCTAGGAAGCACGAGAAGCGCCATTCTCGACCCTACGGCTGCACTCATCCTAGGTGCTTTAAGAGTTTCGGAAGTAAAAACGACTGGAAGCGTCACGAGAACACCCAACATTTCCAGCTCCGGTGCTGGCGTTGTCCAGTAAAGCATACCACGAGAAATAACGTAGCCAGCAGAGATGAGACCTTGATGGAAAGGCCAGACCGTGAGGATTTCCCTCCAGCTATCCCTTTGCGGCGCACGGATTGTGCCCGTCTCTTCGACAGAAAAGATAAATTCTATCAACACCTCCGATCCGAACACCTCCTTGACGACCAGCAGACAAAGCAGACCGCGAGACACAATGAGATCGGTCGTAATGGGCAGTTCCAATTCTGGTGTGGGTTCTGTTGCAAACTCATTCAGCTGCGAAAAGAGGGGATGGATGCTTGGGACGAAAGATTTGATCATATTGACAACGAACATTTTAAGAAGAAGCAAAATATTGGCGCTTGGGTTCACCCGGAGGGCCACCTCACCAAGCAGTGTGAAGAAAAGGCGGATATGGCAAGTGACACATTGGAAACATCTAATGAATGTGAGGGGGTTGAGGAGGTGGATGCAAGCTTCAAAAGAAACGACAGTGTAGAAGATCTCGCGAAAGATGTGGGGTCTGTCTCTCGGACCATGCCTGTCTCTATTCAGACACCTGCCGCCAATTCCAATTGTGGACGTTCCCGGCCGCCAGCTCCGGCAGTTCAAACCAATCCCTCCCGAGCCACCAAGAGGAAACACGCTGCTACCCTAGAAAGCTCGCTCCCAGATGGCAATTGTATTGTTACCCATCGACCTTCATCTTTTAATTCAGCATCAATGATGTCGTCTTCACAATTGCAAATACAACACCAGCAGCATGCAGCAGTCTTGCAAGGGAAGGGAAGCGACTATTACATGCCCGTCAACTCATTAGTGCCAAACGATGATTATGATAATTTGCACGGTCTCATTCCGATCGAAAATAGTTTCCCGCAGAGCGCGATTATCACTTGTGTAAGTCTTAAGTCCAATGCCTCGGTTTTTTTTTGCTCTTGAGTGACCTTCCCATCTCGTTTCTTCACCCGTTCCTCTCATTCGCGGGCGCTGACCAAATGTGTGGAATTGCAGTGCAAATGCCCCTCCGGGACAAGTGAGTATATCATTCAAGTCGCAGGAAGGTGTATCGAATGCGACCATGCTCCTTGCTCCGATTGCAAGTTTGCAGTCTAGATATACCGCCACATACGATTGCATATCGGATGCAGTAGGTTTCCCGATGGCCACCGTGTCCTTGCTACACCTTATGAAGTTCTCTACACCTCTTCGCTAGAACACAGCGATATGGAAATGTTTTACGTGACTTCGCCGGCATATTATCTTTATCCTAGTGTTCTTGTGGGGAAATGAAAATTTTTCATTCCCAGATTTCTCTTTTTGTGTTGACATCTGAGCAGGCTTCAGAGTGATGTTTATAGCTTTGAGTCGTATTGGGGTATTTTTTGATGAGTTTTGAATTAGGATGGGATTGGATATTCATCAGATCCGGAGTTACAACGTTACAACGATGTAAAGGATGATTTGTTGGCTTTTTTTCCTTTTTTTTCCTTCTTTTTTTTTATTTTTTTTTTTTTTTTTATGGTATATATGCTATGCATCACGGATACGACTCGGGTTATATATGGCTGCGATATTTTCCATTTACATGATGTATTTGGCCCCTTTTATCCTCCAGGGCTTCCCCTTTTCGTTTCCCTTAGATCCAATATGCTGCGAAAGCACACCAACCTCCCCCTTCCCCCCCAAACCTTTTTTTTGGAGGTGATCCAGATAAAATCAGGCTGGAAACTCCTTTTGTTTTCTTTTTCTGTTTTTCTTTCTATTTTTTTTCGCTGATGATTTTCGGGCATCTCTTGCGTTTGATGGTCTTAGATTTACCATTCGCCATGCGTGGCTTCTTGGTCAAATGTCGGCCATCTCTCTTATTTTCATACGAAATAAATATGATTAAAGTTCAATGTCGCATAAGGTCCCTATCCGTCCTCATCATACAGGAATTACAAGCATACATCGATACCATTACAGCCCGAACAGACGCAGGCAATAAAATTGCTCACAACTTCGTCCCCTCCGGCTCTCCAATCAAATCCAAGAAGCTCCCATGCACTTCATCCGTCAAATCACTCGCCTGCATGCTTCTCCCTTTCGCCATGAACGCCCTCCTCGAGCATTCCCTCGTGATCGCACTCCCCGCCCACGCAACCAGCAAAAGCGTCGCAGGCCTCGACAATTTCTTCTTCGGTTTATCACCATCCCGTTCTCCATCGTCGCCACTCTCATAACCACAAATCGAAAGATCCTCCTCGATATCCTGTCTGGATAGCTCCCTCCCACCACTCGCTTCAGACTCACCGGTATCCCACAACCCCTCATGATATGCCTTGCGCCATGCAAGTAGCGTCCCCAACGACCCCGTCAACGTGTCGCCCTGACCGCCGCTCCTCTTCAACCCACCCCGCACATCACATACAATATTAACCATACCATTAGAAATAGTATCATGCGGCCCCTTTTGAATGATCGTCACGCCACCGAGAGCATTAGATAGCCGCTTGCAGGCCTCAGACTTGCCAGCATCACTATCCGGCATGGAAGACACATCTGCACGCAACGCCTTCGCTAGCCGCGCGAACTCCACAACGTTGGGCGTCAAGATGCATTCTGTGTAGCCATGGATGAGGTCTGGATGCTCCTGGACGAGAAGCAGCGCGTCCGCGTCCAGGACTAGGGGGATTTCTCTTGAGCGTGCTTCTTTGATGATTTCGGTGACTATTTCTTGCGTTACCGGATCCCGTCCGAGGCCAGGGCCGATGACGAGCACGTGCAAACGGGATAGGAAGGAAAGTACAGGCTCTGCGAGGGCGCGGGCGTGTGGGTGTGGGAGCGGGCTGTTGGAGAATGAGGAGACGGTGTTGGAGGATTGGAGGATTGGGTGGACCATTAGATTTGGGGAGTAAGATTTTATTACCTGAGGAGTGTTAGACAAGAGCGATATAGGGGGTTATTGGTTAGGGTAAGAAAGTGGGCGAGGAAACGTACTGTTGCTGAGGATGGTTCACAGATAACATGACTCTACATTATTTTATGTTAGAGTGAGCATGGGAAATTTGTAGGAATAGTTGCCTTATCTGACTTACCATGTCGCAGCCTATATGGTCGAGTTAACAAGAATTGAGTTAGTTACTCCAATAGATGATATTCGAACTTGCTGAATATGAATAGGGAAATAGTATGGTTAACTGGAGCCGCACCAAGCCTTGCAGATGCCATTGCAGAGAAATATGGGGCGCCTGTATAGCTACAGTGTTTGACGAGGCGTCAGCATCTCTGACCTATTCTTAATAATAAATTGGACAAATTTCCCTAAATAAAATGTCCATGATATCAAAATAGAAAATGGGAGGAAAACGACATGACACCCAGTGTCTTCAGAACAGAGACTTGCTAGTTCACTGCCCATAGGAACTAATGGAGTGTGAGAACATTTAAACATATGAAAGCGAACTATATGTCTCCCATCTCAAATTAGAGTAGATGTGATACATTGAGGAGCATGAGGAAGAAGGCAACATAGTGGTTGAAATACACACTCTGCACTGCCTCCTATAACTGCGACTCGGCCAAGTTGTCCTGTTTCGCACCGTCAGTTTATCACTTCGCAAAATATGATGTTTGTCCGCTTCAAGGCCTGGCATAGCAAGTAAAGGGATGTATACATAAGTAGTATCAGTCAATGGCTTGCAAGCCTACTATGATCCCATAATGCTCTAGCTAGCCGCCCAGTAGGCACCGCGCCACTGGAAATGACAAAAAAGAAGAAGAAACTTCCCACTTTCATCGGGAGAACTCACCTTTGTGAAACCTCTCCAGCATGGGCGGGACAATCCTGCGCACGTTGGCGAGCAGCTTCTTCGAAGGGCTGGACATGATATGAGTTTGGGTTGCGCGATCGTCAACCTTCCACATTGGATTCATGCAGATGTCCGAACCGTTTTTTATACGAAGTTATATGATAATATATTACTCTGTGCGTTAAAAGTTTCAATTGATTTATCTTTGGAAGTGCTCCCGCTCGAAGCATGGAAAGAGTAACGTTTGATGGTATTGTTTATATATATCCAGCCACGTGAGTTATGACGGAATTGTTGCCAATCCTTGACGTCAAGCATCATCAATATACACACCATGTCGGCTCATCAACCGCATACAGCGTGTATGAATTCAAAATCCCACGGGTTATACAGGAGTGTAAAGTGTCAATGCTCAAGGTTTCAGCTCGGTTTATATTGCGAGAAGAGGCGAAGAAGGGCGGAGCCCTGGATACGTCGATTACTATCGAATCCTGAAATGAATCTACCAGGTACGTTCTCCAAAAGATGTAAATGATGTAAATATTTAGTACATCCCGTCCAATCCATGAGGATTGGCGATCGTAAAATTTTCATGGGACGAGATAGCCGGATCGCAGTCGTGCAGTACGAACCAGTTGCCTTTGAATGGCAAATATAAAAGGATACCTTGAAATACAGAAGAAACCAAATTGGGAATCATTTTAGATAGGGACATGACATTAGTTTTCAGCTATCATCATATAAAACGTTTTTTTAGCTAAAAAAACAGAGAGTGGGAATTTGATGCGTCTGTTTGAGCAAATATAACCCTCTCCATAGCCCGCAGATATGAAGATTACCAAAAACAAAGCTAAAAACAATGGAAACCCTGACCCGAGTAGCGACGAAAGAAAAACATATTTGATTGTTTTTAGTTTATTTAAGGGGAATGAAACGCGAGGAGTGAGTAGCACCAATACCCGGTCTGCCGTGCTTGACGGGTTTGCTAAAGGAGACAATCAGTATCGCCAGATATATTGCAAATCAAGATACAAACGGGCGCTATGCAATAATGTAGATCGAGAAAAGCGAAAACATACTATGAGATCGAGAATTCACCAAGATAGTGGCCAACCATCTCAGGCTTGATTTCCACCTGGTTGAATTCTTTTCCGGAGTAGATACCGATGATGCTGCCAATCATTTCTGGGACCACGATCATGTCACGGAGGTGAGTCTTGACAAGGTCGGGCTTCTCGTTGGGCTTGGCCTCTTGCTTGGCTTTGCGGAGCTTCTTGATCAGGCCCATGGGCTTGCGCTTTAGGCCACGATTGAACCGGCGGCGGGCACGGGCGTGGACGACATCGCGTAGCTGCTCGGAGGAGAGGTCAAGGAGTCTGTGGTGTTGAGGCGATGTATCGATTAGAATGGCTAGTTTTCAAAGTTTTTTCCGCGAAAAGGGGGGAGGGTAGGTTCATTCGTCCTTCTTTTGGAGCATATGCAGGATGGACGTACTGGTTGAGGTCGATTCCCCGGTAAGAAAACTTGCGAAACGCTCTCTTTTTCTTAAGCTCTGTTTCGATAGGAATAGTTTGTCAGCCAAATTTGATCGTCGTTTTATATGCCAATTTTTATTCTTCCCATTCAAAAATCCATCTCCAAAATGTCGTTGCCCCTCGCTGTTTTCATCATCTTCTAATGTTGAACCCCATTCGTTTGATCGCAATCAAGATATTTCTTTCCCTAATGTTTCCCACGCAAATCCATGATGGAAAAACCACAAATACACAACAGTGTAATGTAATAGAGATTAGCACGTACCAGCAGCCTCGTCGGCGTTCTAAAAGTCACGCAGACAAATCAGCATATGATAATCCACCCACTCAACTGAGAACGAGTAAGAGCAGCACTCACGTATTCGATGTCAGCCATGATTGCGAATGTCCCTCTCAAGTCGCTTTCCGAGTGCCGTTCGAAAAGCGATGGGTGAATGTTGTCGCGCTGAATCAGTCGTTCAGTCGTTCGGTGTGCCAGCGAAGGAGTTTGAGAGCGTGGCAGAGGATGCTCGGCTAAGCGATGGCGCTAAGGTTTTGTGCCCTAACTCGACCTTATCAGGACTAGTCTACATTAGGGCTAGGATTCTCTGGGCATTGCCGAATTAGGAAATTTACTCATCTCAGGGTTAACCCAAAAGGTAGGATTCATTACTCGTACTAATTGTTGGATGAAGTTGGTTGGCAGTCTAATCTTAGACAGATATTGCTGAAGGCACTACAGACTACCGCTTGATCCCCGGTTCAGCAAGGAGTTCATACATTACTGGAAGAACAGGTCTTTCGATTTGTAGAATCTTGTGATTAGAAATACATCAATTCTTCCTTCATGGGTGTCATCAAAAAGCTGGTCGACACAAACTTGACACACACCGCAGCCCCAGCTGTCATGTATTTACAGCTATGATTGCCAGGCTGATACGTTTCGCTGTTCCAAAGCTGCCATTGAAGTATCGCATTCTGTTGACCGCCCCCCTCGCAAAACGAGGGATTCACAAATCACTTAATTTAGTCGAAGAGACCGAAGCCCATGTCCTCATCAGACTCCTCTTTCTCCTCCTCCTTCTCCTCGGCTTTCTCAGCGGCAGCAGCCGCACCACCAGCAGCGGCGCCGCCTGCAGCAGGCGCAGATGCAGCACCACCAGATGGGACTGAGGCGAGCTTGGTGGTGCCCTCAGCGATTAACTAAATGACGAGAAACAAGTTGGTATCAGTCATTTCATCCAGCAGTAGAGTTATCAACGGAAATGTATTGCTAGGCTAATATAAACGGACCTCGGTAATATTTTTCCCTTCAAGCTCAGCAAGGAGCTTCTCGAGACGCTCAGAGTCAGCATCGATTCCGACGGAACTGAGAACGCTCTTGATATCACTAGCGGAGGGGGAGGTGTTTCCACCCAGGCCGAGGAGGAGGTAAGCTGCGATGTGCTTCATTTTTGAAAATGTGTTTCTCTACGCAGCGAAGGGACCACGAGATTAGTTTCCAGATACGGCCAAAAGCAAAACACAGACTTGCGGACATAATACGTACTTTTGAGAGTTTCCGAACAGGAGAATCAATCGATTTAACCGCGAGTTGGGCGGAGACTGAGACGTCGAGTTCGAGGAGAGTTTGACAATAGTGGTTGGATACGGAAAAAATCAGGGCTGAATCCTTTTCTGCTTGTTGAAGCTCAAAATTTGTTTCGCGGCAAGCGAAAGTGCGTTTAGTCAGCAGCCGGCGCGTGGTACTATGATCGGCAGTGTGTGTCATTAAACATGGCCTCAAACATAACACGTGACTGCCATCCTCACCCGATATTTTGCCCAATCGATGAGCACTTGTTTTTTGGCCTTTGTTTTGGACCAGTTCGGTCTACGTCCGACAGTGAATACAGCTGCCTACCGTCTTCTGTGAAGGCATTCTTTCCTTTCTAGCTTAGTATCAGCAATTTTGGTTTCTTGAATAAGGTTATTTCAGCCTGCCAGCAGATTGCTTCCGAGTCGGTCAGCATGTTTTGTCTGAAGATATTAACATCATGAACCCCTCCAACTTCCTAGTTATCGATGAGCATCTCTCCTACATGACGGTTTCTGATTAAAGTCCCAATATATATCTAGCCACCATGAGCGTTAGTGTCTATATTCATACCTTTACGTATCGTCAAGAGAACAGTTAAACTAACATATATCCTTTCCAGTTCCTTAACTCCGTACTCTCGTCAATCGAGACAGGCGACATTACTTCCACCGCCACTCCTGCAACCCGGAATCCTGCGCCGCGCTCTACTTCTTCGATTTCCAAACCCAGTTCCACTCCATCCTCGAAGGCGCAGGCTGACTCGCGCACTACCCTTGGACAAAAGCGGAGAGCCGAGTACGATGTTCGCCCGAAGGACCATCCTTTTAAAGTCTCGAGGTCTTCGTCGCCCCAAAGATCAACTCCCCGGAAATCGACTCCAACTCAGTCCTTGGATACTAAACTTCGCTCTGCCCCAAGGTCAGGTGCCCCAAACATAACCACAAAGCCGCCATCCACAAGCACCCAGAAAACTGGGCCGCCATCTGCCCTTTCCCCAACTAAGCCACCACCTAAGGGATCTTACGCAGAGATGATGCTTCGAGCCAAAGCCCTCCAAGAGAAAGCTCCTATGCAGCTTGGAATGATTAAACACCACTCTATAGCTAAAGAAAAGCAACTTCAGCAGAAACGAAAGGCAATGGAAGCGAAGGGAAAAGGCCCTGAGGAGGAAAAGAATAAAAAGGGCGGAACGACTACACCAACCAAGGCGCCCAATGCTAATGGACAGCAGATAACCAAATCAAATGCGGGAAGGGCCGCTTTGTTGAAAAGCCGCGGAGAATCTGAATATAAAGGAACTGCCCGACCGCCTTCTACCCCCTCTGCTTCGACGTACAAAGGCACGGCAGGCCTTCCCAGCCGTCATGCATCTAGCCATGGCAGGAGCATGAAGAAGAGTTCTCGTGCAGCCGTACGCGATGAATACTTGGCTACGGACGAAGAGGATGAAGGTGACTTTTGCGATGATTACGATGATGGAGGCTATTATTCCGACGAATCAGCGGACATGGAAGCTGGCTTGATGGACGTTGAAGAGGAAGAACAACGTGCCCTCAGAGCAGCCAAACTCGAGGACGAGAAAGAACGGCTGGCTGAATTGGCGGCCAAGAGAGAGAAAATGGAACGGAAGAAAAAGCTTGATGCTCTTTCTAAGAAGTTTCGGCGCTAACATAATATACTGCATTTGAAGCTCGAGAATCGATCACGGACAAAGGTTTCTTTAATTTTATTTTTTTATCGCTGTTAAATTTGTCAGACCCAAACGGATTTCTGGATTTGGATGGGCGCACTTGGTCCACACGGTATTTGTCTGGCTCCAGATTTCGCAGTTTCTAGAGAAGAGGACGGTTAAACCACCTGGACTGGGGTCCCTATAATTGCTTGGGATCACTCGACCCATGATTTCCTTTCATTTTTCTCTCTTTTTCTTCTTGTTCTGTTTTCTATGGCTTAAGTCCTTTTTAATTGCTTTTCTTTAGAAATTGTTTGTGCCGGATTTTTCGCCCTTCCTCTATTTTTAGTGCGGTTTTCTTTAAGCCTGTTTTCTTTAAGCTGATTCTTTTGCATAGCGAAGCGTGTTTTTAATCCCAATTAACTATTAATTTTAAGATCAACGTGAGACGATTACAGGAATATAGGTTATTGAGAATGGGTATCTTTGTTGTTTAGAGAAGATAATTATTCTGCATCACTTAAATAAGTTCCAATTACTTTCCAACCATTGTTATTTAACCTTGGCAGCTCCTCGTCCGCCACTCGTCTCAAGTTTTGCAATGCGCTCGTAATTGCCATCTTGTTTTTTCGGCGTCCGTCGGCTGTGTTAAAGTCGATCCCATGGTGCATCATGTCGTCGCAAATCGACTGATACTCTGCGTTCAGCAAAAGCTGAAGACCTTGTGTATCATCGTATGTCTCCACAAGTTCATGGAGCAAAGCGTACCAAATCCATGCAAAGTCGGGCTGGAGCTGGTCAAGATGCGGAGTTGGAGGGCTTGCATCGTGATCTTGGGATTGATTGATGCACCGGAGAAGCTTTGCGAGGGCCCATGTATTCCGCTTGCGGATAGGGTGCAGTTGGCTAGGATATAAGACGGGGTCGATATGGAGATACCGGATAACAGCGGCCAGGAACGCGGATTTGTAGCAATTAGCCTCCAGTAGATTCACGATAAATTCATCAAGAAGTTGCGGGAGGGGTTGGCGAGTTATAGGCCAACATTTAGTAGCGTGCAGCAGGCCAAATGCTTCTTCTATTCTTTGAACTGAGGTTCTCACTGTTTCGCCCTGTGTCTTACTCTTTGCGAGAAGTTCACGTGCCTCCCTCTCTTGGGAGGGACAAGAAGGTCCCCCTGGCGTGAGAAACTGGTCTTCACGCGCTGAAGTTCCTTTTAGACATTTAGGACACTTGCACTCGAAAAAATACCGTAGTTGGAGTTCAGTTTGGCGTGTTTTGAGCGGCTCGGTATTATCGGTATAGGAGATGAATATTTCCTCATCTGGAGCAATATCCTGCAACGCCTTCAAATACATCACTTGTCCGTCGAATCCAATATACGCGTTTGGCTCGCAACTGTGATTTATGTATGCCGCAAATGGAAGCAAGCACAATCCGATTCGATCAAAATATTGGTTTGTTAAGGTAAAAGCATTGGTTTCCAACTATACTTCTTGTTAACCGTTCTAGAACCTCTAGTGAAAGGAAGCAAGGAAACATGACTCTACCTTTGCAAAATAGACCACAAGGGTGGATAACTCAACCTCCGTGTTAGAAATTGCCTTCAATGCTTCTGCGCTAACAGTAATCCTATGGGCCTGCTCGCCACCCCTCTCGTCCATCTTGGAAAAGTGGTGTCCAAGCGTTCGGAACACTGCATGATGGGTATCATATATTTCTTTCGAAACCTTATTGTCCGGCTGAGAAATTATTCTAAGAATAGCCCTTGCATTCATTGGCAGAATCCTTGGCTGACACTGTTTATATATCTTGCATTCTTTCTTGTGCGATGCAGCCCAGCTTTCGATTTGACATTTCTGAAAAAGAATAGACATGCGGAAGCGGTATTAACACTTGAACAGGACAAACACTTTACAAAGGAAAGCAAATAGAAAAGGACTCACCGAAACTTACCTTACCGCAATACTTAACAACATGACAGCCAGCACACGCTTTCAATGACAAGTCAGGATTTAACTCGTCACCTACCGTGACGAAGCAATTTGAGCACGTATCATGCAGCCTCGCAGTATCCAAGACGGTGGCGAAGTTGGCGATAATTGCGAAGATGTTGTCCCTGGGCAGTATCTGGGATGTTGCGAATAGCCCTAGCCCCTTGTCTGGAGTTTGTCTGGACTCTGCTCGCGGCTCCTTGCAGGCAATTCCACCTGTGCTGACCATGCTGGGTTTGAGAAATGATGGCAACGGGTTGTCTCCTATTACCCTGCCTTCATTTCTTTCTTCCACGCTTCCTCCCTTTCCTTCCCTTAGTAGTCACGCCCCTATATGATTGCTACAAGGATGTTGGCAAGCTTCGCTTACCCGCGCTTGGCGATGGCGCTTAAGGATCTGGCGTCAATGAGGCGCTAACTGTCAACCTTATTTGACCCTGCTTGAAACAAATTACAAGCTCAATATATTCATCAAAGGAAGGGAGGATAGTATTCAAGTGAGCTTTCCTGCCCATCTACGTACTCTTGTCTCCCTTTTAACTACGAGGAAGCATTAGATTGGATGGTTCTTCGATAATAAATATTGGCTGCAGACCACCCGCCACGCACCAAATGAACCCACATTGCTTTCAACTTCAAGCGTGCATGTAATTCAGGGGATTCGCAATGGAACTTTTGTCTATGCGGATCTAGCAATAAAACTGTTCCTAGGAAAATGGAAAAACAAATTAAAGAACTACAGACTGATGCTGTGCCTTGCAAAACAGGGTGGCTCCACCGTTGACTGGTAAACGGGCATGGAATAGTTAACCTATGATAATTGGCACTGAAACACGCAGACGATGGCAAAACAAAAATAAATCGATCAATATAGCATCAGATACTCAAGCTGTGCTGTATCAGGACAACGCAACACTCCGAAACAATAAATTTGAAAAAAAAGAGGCAAGGCAAAAACGAAAAAAAAAAATGGAAAATGGAAAATGGTAAAAAGGCTGTGAAATCGGGTTTGTCTATGTCATATGAGAACAAGATCGAGTGAAGGGGAAGGTGGAGTTTCAGAAAAAGAAAATCTCCAGAGGCAAGCATGGGTAGATTCGGTTTGCGTGCGGAATTTTAGGAATTTTAAGTGAACGAAATAAAGTGAAAGCGTTCAAAGTAGTGTGATCTACAAGAGCTTGCCGCCGACGAAGTTAGACCAGCTTCGCACTTCGGACGGGATTCCTTCTTTTCGTGGCAGCTTTTCACTCATGCATTGTGCGAAGAGAAGGGCAGTCTGTATGGTAATTTGGGTCAGTGCGAACATTTCAAATAAAAAAAAAAAAAAAGAAAAGAAAAGAAAGCTCCAAACATGTAGGGAATTTATGTCAACTGTTGTTTAACATACCTTTGGCTCCATGAAAAGGGTCACGCCGAAATCGACAGCATTTCGTCGCATAACATAGTCCTCATCAAGCAGAGTCTTTCCGCGGCTCTTAGCAATGTTGAACACGCCTCTAATATCGTACTTCTTGAACACTTCTCGCAGGGCCCGTTTGTCTTTTTTAGGGAACTCAATGACTTCAATATTAATGCCACCTTTCGTAGCGGATTCTAGGTGTTCCTTGACATCTGAGCTGGCTGCGAACAACTTGTATCCCAGAGGACTCAAGTAATCGACAATCTTCGGTAGTTCTGTCATTTCTGAGTCACCACCGAATAGGAGGCCCTCACCTGGTTCAGGCATGCGGAAGTTCATTGTGGATTGTAACGAGGCCCAGTAGGCCTCGACCAGATCTTTGCCGAAACAGGCGATTTCACCTGTACTAGCCATCTCAACTCCAAGGTATGGATCAGCACCAGCTAGACGTGTCCAACTGAATTGGGGGACCTTGGTAGCGAGATAATCACGCTTGACTTCCATAAGATCTGTGGGTTCTGGAATGTCTCTGCCGACGAGCGCCTTCGTTGCAACGTCGATAAAGTTGGTGCCCAAAACCTTGCTGACAAAAGGGAAAGACCGCGAAGCACGGAGGTTGCATTCGATAACTTTGAGAATTGGCTCACCACCCTCCGGATTTTCAGCTTTGATGATCTGCATGTTGAAGGGGCCGGTAATACTCCAGGCTTTCGCAACTTTCTCTGCGATTTCTTTTACACGGGCCATTATGGGTGCTTCGAGGTTCACAGGAGGGAGTACTAAAGTCGCATCGCCAGAGTGAACCCCTGCAGCTTCCACGTGTTCACTTACAGCGTGAACAATAAGCTTGCCAGCAGACGCGACTGCGTCAACGTCGATTTCTTGTGCACCCTCAATGAATTTGGTGATAACAACAGGATGGTCTGGAGAGACTGCGCTGGCAGAGAGAAGCTTCTCCTTCAGCTCATCACGGCTGTGGATGACGCTCATTGCAGCTCCGGAGAGGACATAACTGGGACGGACGAGTACAGGGTAGCCAACAGAGTCAGCAAAAGCCTCAGCTTCAGCAACTGAGCTTAGCTCTTTCCACGCTGGCTGGTCCACACCGATGCTGTCGAGGATCTGGGAGAACTTGTGACGATCTTCAGCCTTGTCGATATCCTTGGGGTCTGTACCAAGGACCTTAGCACCGCCAGTTTCCTGGAGTCGCAGGGCAATGTTCTGAGGTAATTGACCGCCGACTGATACAACGACTCCACTAGCGTTTTCTAGCTCATAAATGTCCATGACACGCTCGTAGCTGAGTTCTTCGAAGTAGAGTTTATCAGCAGTGTCGAAATCAGTGGAATAGGTTTCCGGGTTGAACTTGTTTAATAATTGTTAGCATTTTTTTTGATAGGATTCTTTAAACATATATTTTATGGTACTCCGGGTTGCAGAGGCATCACTCTGGTCTTTCCAGGCAACCGGCATAACGAGCTGAAAAATGGTTCCCGCAGAAAATACAAAAGGTGTCATAGTGATTAAACAGTCTCCACGAGAAGGAATGAAGACGATAATGAGCCCGAAGAGAGCACCAAGACGGGATGGGATTGGTGAGGGATAGCGTGGCTGAGGGGTTGGGATGGTTTGGGGGGAAGGGTTTCATTGGGGGGAGGGTGAAAATTATTGTACGTACATTAATCATAACAGTCTTTTTGCCCATGTTTCTCAAGGAAAGGGCTGCGTTAACCGCGCACCAATCGAATTCCACGGAGCTTCCAATACGGTACACACCACTTCCCAAGATTATGGTTCCATGATCATCGAAAGTAACATCATGTGATGTGGCATTGTAGGTGGTGTAAAGATAGTTGGTATCGGCCGGGAACTCAGCGGCAAGGGTGTCAATCTTTTTAACCCAGGGCCTGATACCGAAGCTTTTTCTCCTTGCACGAACATCATCCTCAGTAGAGCCGACACACAAGGCGATTTGCTTATCAGAGAAGCCCATCTTCTTCGCCTTAAGCATCATATCTTTCTGGATTCCAAACAAACTGCCAATTTCCTTAAGCGTGTTTTGTAGAGAGACGATATTTTGTAGCTTGTATAAAAACCACTTATCGATCTTGGTCAGTTCGTGCACCTTGTCAACAGAATAATTCTCATGAAGCATCGCCTGTCCGACAGCAAGCCATCGACGATCAGTAGGGCTCTTGAGGACATCATCGAGATCTTCGAACTTGTCGCCCTGGAAGCCAACGTACTTGGGGTCAATTTGGCGGATAGCCTTCTGGAAGGATTCCTCAAAGGTACGACCAATTGCCATGACTTCTCCAACGGATTTCATGGAGCTGCCAATGTCGCGCTTCACATGTTGGAATTTACTCAGATCCCATCTGGGGATCTTAGTTACAATGTAATCCAAACTAGGTTCGAAATTAGCGGTCGTAGTCTTTGTCACCGCATTAGGAAGTTCAGGTAGTGTATGACCAAGTCCAATTTTGGCCGCCGTATAAGCAAGAGGATATCCAGTTGCCTTAGAAGCCAGAGCTGAGGACCGGGATAGACGGGCGTTGACCTCAATGACTCTATAATCAAGCCCATCAGGCTGAAGCGCATACTGGACATTGCACTCCCCAACAACTCCCAGGTGGCGAACGATCTTAATGGCAGCTGTCCGGAGCATGTGGTACTCTTCATCGGAAAGAGTTTGGCTGGGTGCAACAACGATACTGTCTCCAGTATGGATTCCCAGAGGGTCAAAGTTCTCCATATTACAAACCGTGATGCAGTTATTAGCAGCATCACGGACCACCTCATATTCAACTTCCTTCCAGCCCTTGAGAGACTTTTCTACCAGAATCTGTGGTGCCAAAGTCAACGAGCGGGATGACAGGTTCTTGAGCTCTTCAGCATTATTCGCAAAACCTGATCCAAGTCCACCAAGCGCATACGCTGACCGAACGATAATGGGATAGCCGATCTTCTCAGCAGCCTCCAATGCCTCATCAACGCTGTTGACAGCAACTGATTCCGCAATTGGGATGTTAATTTCGTTCAATGCCTTGGCGAAAAGGTCACGGTCTTCGCTGACTTCCAGAGTCCGAATGCTGGTTCCAAGGACTTTGACTCCATAACGATCAAAGACACCCATGCGGTTCATCTGGACGCCCAGATTAAGAGCGGTTTGGCCTCCAAAAGTCAAGAATATTCCGTCTGGCTGCTCTCTTTCAATAACATGGGTAACATATTCTGGTGTAACCGGGAGATAGTACACCTCATCCGCGAGCTTGTGGTCCGTTTGAATTGTGGCAATGTTAGGGTTAATCAGAACGGATTCAACACCAGCCTCTTTGAGGGCTTTGAGTGCTTGAGAGCCTGTTCAAAGACAATAATAGAAAAGTAAAATTGTTAGCTGTATGGGTCAATTGAAACCTCAATCCTCCCCCAATATTGCAATGCCCACTTAAACTGTATCGAATTCGCGGAATACAGCCCATAAAATCCGTTCCCAGAACCATTGAAAAGCTCAATTGTCTTGCGCACACATTATCCTGTGGAGGGGTGACTGGATGAACACGCACGCATTCATGGCCGATGCGCTCCGCACTACGTCAAAAACAAAAGCACATACCAGAATAGTCAAATTCACCCGCCTGTCCAATACTCAATCCACCGCTCCCAATCACCAGGACTTTTTTCACATCAACCAGTTGGCCCGAGCCCTGAATGGCTCCGCTTGCCAAATAAGCCTTTGCGCTCGGAGCTTCCTGGCCCGTAACCGCAGCCAGCTTCTTCAACGAGTTCGAAAACGCCCTCTTGGAGCCTCGCCATGCGGGGAGCTGTTGCGATTGTTGCAAAGAGGACGGCCCGGAATATAGGGGGTTTTTTGAAGAAGGGAGAGTCTGAACGGTGGAAAATGTGCGGAGAGATGACGGCACGACTTCAGAGGACAAGCATCGTTGTCGGAGCAAGGAGGAGACTGTCCGCTGCCCGCATCGGGCTGGGAACGTCATTGAGAGCGCTGCGCGTAGCGCAGGGGGACTGAGAATGCGGAAGGTTTGTTAGTAAACTAGGGAAGTAAGGCAAGGAATGCGGAATTGAATGAGCTTTAAGGGAAGTGTAGTGGAGAGGGAATTGAAGAGAGGAAATCAGTTATTTTTCAGTTTTCGAGTTTTTCGAACTTTTTTTTTTTTTTTTTTTTTTTTGGGCGGGAAAGTCTTTGTTTGGGTGGACTTTTAGCGCCGTGACTCATTCGTTATGGATTCCACCGAGGGGAGCTCGGCGTAGCCCAAGAACAATTGGAACTGTTAAACATATATGCATATACATATTGATCATAGTAAAACGGAGTGTCAGGTCGGATTCATTTCTTGCGTGTAAATTGCAGTTGTTGACTGAATTATCTTCCCATTTCGAACATCTACCTCAATACATAGCTTAAAGCTAGGATCCAGGACCTATCTCCAAAACGATGGAAAAAACACCTTAGATCCAGATTTCTCCGTGACACAGCGCTCATTGCTATCGATCATTTTCGTGATTCATGAATTATCATCTCTATGTATCCCACCCGTCACACTTCATCCATCACCAATGACTCCAACTTTCCCATTCAAACCTGACCATGGGCCTTTTGGCATATTCTCCGATCGACAATGTCGTCCTCCTCTACCCCGAGAAAATCGGCTTTCCGAGGCCCAGATATCTCCATCATCCTCTTTCTTTTCCTCCTTACCAGCCGTTGCCTCCTCATAGTCCTGGTTCATGAGCTCATACATTTCCTTCAACATATCTTCTGTCTTTCGTGCCAATTCTGTCCCGAAATTCACCCTATCTTCTACATATCCATTCGTAGCATCCCGTGCTTCCCTGGCAGCAAATGACCAGGCCTCTGCACGGGTGACGATCTCCGGAGTGTCACTTGGGCTTGTTGGGCTAGCGAGAGAAGTTGAGCGACTATTTATCGCGGCAACTGCATGTCTAAATCGCGGTTGTCTCGCAAGAATGGGGTACTCCGGAAGCAGATGGCTTTCTTCCTGCAGACGATCGAACATCCGGCACGTAGTCCACTTCTCTTTAGCAAGAAGGGCAGATAAATAGGCCTTTTGCGTAGAAGGTGCTTTCTGGGCTTTTGACAAGGGCAGCAAATGCTCCGACACATATGGGAACAGTAAAGCAAGGTCCGGAGTGGATGCACTCTGTTGTTTCCCCTGAGGCTGACATCGGCGTTGTGATGTTTGGAGCCCAGCCGGGAAATGTTGAGACGCTGTAGATACAACTGATATTAAGGATTTTCGAGCGTTAACGTAGGAAGCGTATTGCTGTTGGATCAAGGATTTAGTCTCCCCCAAAACACGAACATTCTCGGCGTCTGACGCATCAATCGCAGCTTGGTCCTCAATAGGGTCTTGCTCATCGATTGACGAAGAGATAACTAATTTCTCTTCTACCCAACGTACCAATTCCGCATGCGTACGTCTCAGCGCTCCTAGCTTTTTTCTTGTCGGAACTGCTTTCTCACCATCCGCTAGGCGTTGGCTGTTCAGCTTCTCAAGGAGCCTCTTCTCAATATCCGCTTGATGCTTCGCACGGAGTACCGCTTTTTCCAAGTTGTTAAGCAGGGTTTCCGAATCTGATCTGTTGCCACCTGAACTCCCCGAGGTTGGGTTAGAATGCGCTATCAAGTTTTGAGCAGCCTGGCGAGATATCGCTTGCTCCTTGGCAAGTTCAAGGTACCCGGCTTGCCCAGCTTCCATTTTGTTCAGCTCTTCCAAGTAGTGTTGAAAAATCTGTATTTTCCCATGTTCTCGTCGGCTTCGTAGAAGTCCCAAGTATGTCTGCAATTCAGCACCCTTTGTCTCTAGTCTCTCACCATCACCAGCGGATGCGGAAGAGTGTATATCTTGTTTGTGAGACAATATCTCCCGAAGCACATCATTGTACTCTCTCTTCGCAGTTAGGTTAGCTTGCAAGGCCTTGAGATACTGAGCGCGAAGTCCATTGTTCAATTCCGGTGGAATTCGCTTCACGTTGGTAGCATTATGTGGAGCGCAGAGGCTGATGTGAAACCCTGGAGAGTCGCCCGCAAATTCGATATGATTCTTCACATAGAGGGTCAAAGCCTGTCGAATACGTAAGGCCTCCTGGCGAGTTTTCGTGTACTGGAGGATTGGCTTTGCGAATTGCGGCGGTCCTGTTGTCTCCGCGAGTTTTTGGTCTCGCACCATATCAGAAATGTATATATAGTATGTGCTCAAAAACGATGGTGTTTATAACTAAAATATGCACACCCGAAACATATTTATGAGTCTACTCATCACATTCAAGCCTTGTATCACAATGAGATGTGAACCTACGAGAAACAGGGTTGGAGGCTGGTGGTTTGTTGAGCTTTTACCTTTTCCAGACAATCCCAGCTGATTTTCGTCTTGGCGCGAGTGACAGCCCTCACCACATCAATAAGCATCTCGCATCTCTCAGGCAATTGAACCAACTTCTCCCTCTCAGAGCGCGGCATGGTGAGCGTCTCCAGTGTCGGTTTCTTTACATTTAGAGCAATTGGGAAAATGGGTGCTGCGTCAACTATTTCTCACCCTCCTCCCTCCGAGCTCCTTGATTTTGATTGCCAATGCCATTTTCATGCAGCCAACGACAACATTCACTTCGGCCACCAACAGCCAACAGCTGGTGGCTAAATACGATATGTGCAAGGGTGCAACCGATTAGTTTCAATAATGCCCTTCGACTATTCAAAACGGTGAATTTTGCCCAGATATATCACTCAGCCTTGCCTGAAATATTTGTGCTTCCATGCAGTCAAGAACGTGTTAAATCCGCCAGCCGGGATTGCGATTTTTAGTTCCCACGATACGGTGTCGCTCAAGATGCGATTTTCGCTTGGTACAGGTCAAGATAAAGCGAATTTAGCACATCACCTGCGTTTACGAGCTTGGGCTGCCACAATGACACCGTTGGCAATCGAAAACTCGCCAAATTTGTGGTGAGCAACGCGCTAGGGGAATGGCGATCGATCCCTAGCAATTGGCGGTGCAGTGACAGAGTATTTTTATCTGAAGGTTTCCGCTTGTTGGTCCACGTAAGATTGCAGGATTTCAAAGTTAAGTTACCAGCGAATTGCTGCCACTCCGGAGTACCATGGCCCCATTTTCCCCTACGTATCTCAGCCTCGGTCCCCGGTTGACAGACTAGTGGAAGACAGCTCTCAGGATTTTTGTTCTGAATACCCCAGGTTACCATGCACCGTACAGATCTGTACGCACTGGGTTTGGTTGGTTTTAACCACTTGCCACACGTTGACGCTTTCTTTCCTTTTTCCGTTCCCGCTAATTCTTGCATGGCCGATGCCTGAGCACCACGACCACCGATATACCCCTTACAAAGTGCAACTCCGCTTGGCAAAGACTCAAAAGGGCAACAACCACGATCCGATCAAATGAATTTTATAACTCGCCCATGTTCAAACCCATGGATATTTGAACGAATCCTGATCCATATCAATGCCAGTGAAGAAGTGTCAAATCGGTTTGGCGCCTATGTTCCTCCCAGTGGCGTCGGAGCTAATGGAGCCGACTTGTTTTCTCCTCATATCCTCCAGAGGCTTGACACGCCCACCTCGCATTCTCAGGCTCGTCTCAGGTGGCGAAATGTGGAATCCAAAAAAGCCATTCTCCGACTATCGTTCATCCAGATTGGTTATCGTTCAGCATATCACGTACTAATGCATCCCTACCAATAACGGACCACAGCGCTGGCACCCCTAGATCCGAGTGATAGTTGGTCAATTGGACATTATGGCTGTTTAAATCTACGCCAACTTCATTTGTCATTCTTCCCCGTCAGTTGCAAATCCTTGCAGCGCTGCAAGGATTAGTGTCAGATCGATCAGGCCCGGGCACAAACCTAAATAATTTTCGATTCAATCCCATATTTGCTTATAAGTACCGAAAGGGACGACGAATTCAGACTGGGACTGCTTGTGGAGTTTCGTGCTCAAGAAATATGTGAACTATTGATCATTAATTTTGTGGTACAGAGTACAGATTCACCATTACATTCACCACCACGGTCTGTTTTCCGACACATCGTGTACTCATGAGGTGCTCTCAATGTAGAGTGTTATAGTCTCTGTGGTACCGCGAGCGACGCTCCTTCGATCCTTTTCAATCTAGTTAAAAAACTCTTTGATCATACCTTCCTTCAACTTAGATCGAAGGATCAAGATCAATTTGAACCTGGTAAGCCAAAGCAGAATAGAAAGTGAACAAAACGCAGTCCATGATGCAGCGCATTGACGATCGGCTTGCTCGCCATGACCTAAAGCTTTCCTCGAGCGAAGCACTGCTTTCGCGCAGATACAGACGCTCGATAACGGCTGGAATGGACCCTTCTGAACTCTCGATTGTTACAGTCCAGCTCTCCGCATCAGAAGGAAAGTATCCATCTCGAACTAGATCAGCACAGACGACCAATATCAGATTCGCCGATTCCCTCCCCGTTAGACGCCCTGACAAGCCACGCACACGGTTGGAGAACCCATACGCTCCTCCTAAATCTCAGTACAATCCGCATCCTCACGTCCAATCTATGATTATCAGGAAATCAAGGAGTTTCACCCCACCATCAATTCCTACGGACTTATCGTCTCGAAGTATTACACCGTCTCCGTCAGGATCTCCAAAGCCACTACCTCACTATCCTCAAGAGCCGTCCAAAAACAGACAAAACGAGATGAACAACTTCAAGAAACCCTCTTCCCCGCCCCTAGTTGCAAGCGATGCCAGCAGTAATGCCAGCGCAACCAGCATCAATAGCAGTAGCAACAGCAGTACTAGCACACAGGTTACCGAGCCCACAATCAAAACCGAAAACCAATGCGTGAACCCTATCGTAAAACCAATCGCACCTGAGTCGCCCTCCAAAGACAAAAACATACCAGGCCCCTCAAAGCAGCTGCGGATGAAGAAAAACCTCATCCCTCCGCTCACCAAAGTCCACTTCTCCTGCTACCAATCACACCGGTACTTAGCGCCTTCAAACAACGTCGTCTACCCCGTTCCGTGCATGACATGTCTAAATGACGACCAATTGATCCGTTGGCGATGTACGTTCTGCTGTCTGCGGATCTGCGGGGATTGCTTGCAGACGATAGAGAAGTGCAAGCGCCGCTCGCTCAAGGAACTTATGGAATCCCTAGTGGCGGCGCTGGAGAGTGCCGAGAGTTCATGAAGAAATTCGACAGTTTTCTATTGGTTTAGTACCCTTTTTTTTGCGTTTTCGCTTTTTCTTTCTTTGGCCTTTTCTTGTTCTGGTTTTGGCTTCTACTTTTCTATTTGCCTGCCCGCTTACGAGTGAGTGATTGCTACTCAATTAATTGGCTGAAGGTGGAAAGAAACCGAGTAAGAGAGCACCTTGTAAGCGGGAAAATGGCAAGGCAGTTTTTGGCTGGAGAAGGGTCAAAAATACCCTCGATGAGGGCATTCGTGACAGTAGCAGCTAAGCTTTCTATTCCTCTTCAACGAACTCCATTCTGTTTATTTCATTTATTTTTTCCTCTTTGTCAGGAAATGTTTGTTGGCGTTTGGCGATCCGGTTGACCCTGTTAGAAAAAAGCATGGCGCGAGTATGCATAATTGTGTGCATCGATTTGCCGTTGTCAAGGTTTTGATACTCATTGCCTTTTTTTGTTTACTTTTATTCTCTTTATCCGTGGAATTTTAGTTCCTTAATGTCCCTCACATTTTCATGCCCCCACGTCCAGCACAAATGCATTCCCACCTTACGCCCCTGCCATTCTTTGCTACCCTTTGTTTGGTCAGTATTAATATGGACTCTTGCATATTCTTCCTTAAACTAGATGGATAGTCGCTGCTCCCAGAGGCATTCGAGCCTGCGATAATAAAAGTCAATAGCTTAATACCTTGCATATACGAATAGGTTTCTCAGCTGATGGCCTCAATCTTCTCGAATTGGGAAGAAATGGAGTCGACATAAAATCAAAACCCCTAGACCATATTTCAATTATTAACAGGGACCTTTAACTACTTACAAGAATAGTGGAAACCCGTTCATCTGCTTTTATTCGTGCTCTGTACGCGCCGCTCTCAGAAAATCTGGCTTACGACTTCGGAATCAGAATATACAACGCACATGAACTAATTCAACAGGGTCATTCCCTTTGATAAACCATGCGACATGTCAGCACCCAGGGAAACAGGAAATAATATAACCATTCCAGCTTACAACAGGGGATGTCGAATATGGAGCAAACGCTGTACGCTTCCTTTCCCAAACCCCCGTTATCTAGATAACAGTGCAAACGGGCAGTTTCTTCGGAAGTTGGATTTCAAGCCACAGGAACACCGACACTAATCCGAAGTATTCATACAAATTCTAGACCGAGATATACGTACATGTACACAGGGACAACTTCAAATCCTCTAGTCCCTTCCCCTATTTCCTCACGTACGGAGATATGTATAGTTACATCTCTCCCCTTCGCGTTTTTGTCTCTTGTCTTGGAATGAACGGGTAGGACAGTAAAAGCCGCTGGATACTATATATGATGTTGCACCCGCCCCGTTTACAATCGTCGTACGCAACAACAAATTGAAATGAAACAGAAACAACAGCTACAGATCTTCTTCATACATTCCCTATGCAAGTTTTGCTTCCAGCTTTTCTGAGACTCTTTCGGTCATTCTTATTCACCACTGAGGGCATTACATACAATGCTCAATCACCCAATGTCTCTGCACGGGGTCCGTACTCCCTTTGTGAGAAATTCCCCGCATAATGGGACATGTCAATCCGAGCGTTCCCAGTGGTTACCAACCATGCGTCAAGGCAAGGATGGGAAGACGAAGAAATTTTCAGCATTCCCATCTACTTGCCATGGATCGACGGTATCAAGGAAGGAAATAAAAATTTTAAATGATACGGCATGAGGGCGAGTATAGGAAAGGGCAGAAGAAACAATTGAGGTGGAGATCATGCTTAAAATATGAAAAGCATGGGAAATGCAAAAAAGCCATACGGTATACCGCTGAGCAATCCATGGAGGAAGAATATGGATAGTTTGATCGGCGGGATTCGTTACATGGTGGGAAATTCGTGTTTCGTGTGACAAGAGCCATGAGCGCTACGAATTATGTATGTGGTATTTTTATGTGGAAACAATAACGGATCTACGAGGGAGTGCTTGTAACGTGTCGGCGCTTTATCTGAGTGGCTGCTTTCCCTGTACTATTTGATGTCGTCTGCTTCTCTCTGTCGCTCCTGAGAAAGTTGTAGAAGTGCAAGCTCGTGGAAAGAATTTCCCACTTCCTCTCCTGTTTCTTGCGACTACCCCACTCGGTGGACAAAACCTCCACTCCGATTGTATATTTGTACGTAACAGCTCACAGGATTGATTCACAATCTGTGGCCTTGTTTGCGTCGTGTATACGCAAGAGAAGCCGACAGTAAATTGACCTGGGCGGTTATCAAGAGTGCCGTACCATCCATATATGTCATCCAACAGCAAAGAGGAAGAGACATCATAGTGCTGTCTTCTCGGCTGGATCCATCTAGGTGCTACCATCCAAGAATAGGTAATAGAGACACAAGCAACTTTTCGAACGCGTTCGTAGTAAAGTCATAACTTAGGAAAGTGTGACAAGAGCGCGCATCAAGATATCATGTACCAAGAATATCAGTCATGATCATCTTCAGTTAAACCTGGACAACCTTCCATTTCATCAGTCTCGTAGCGATACTTGCACCAGAAGCAGTACCGATACTTCTCGCGAAGGTACAACACTACTCTGGATAGCCGTTCCTGAGCGCTTAGCGCATTGAACTCTCTCAGCTCTTCATCTTCGTCTTCATCTCCATTTCCATCTAATTCAACCTCAACAATTTCGCCTTCTGCTGTTTGGCCTAGTGCAACTTTGTCATCTGCATCCAGATCAGTATCTCGATATGTTGGAAGATTTTCCGGGTTTGGTATGAGTGCCAGGTCTCTAGTAGCGAGTGAGTCGTAAAGGCCACGACGAGCTTGCTGGCTACGCAAGTTCTCTTCACGAGCGCGAACTAAGCCGCGATAGAGTATGTTGATTTGAGAGTTTGGCTTCGTCTGTCGCTTCGCGCTGCGTGAGTCGGCAGGTGGGGATGGCGGCGTAGAATCGGATGCTGGTTTCTTTTGCGCATTCTTCTTCTTGGGCGAATCTCCTCTCTCATCTTGCGCGTCCATTAGCTTCTCCCTTTCTTCCTCGGATTCCTCAGCATCTAGTCTTTCGGCAACTTTCGCCGCGGCGCAGAATATGGTTTCGGTCCTCTTTTCTTCTCTTTCACGTCTGACCCGCTCTCTAAAATCACCTTCCTCAGTTTTAACTCTTTTCGCCTCTAGCTCGGCTTGCTCCCTAATCTTTCTCTTTTTCTCACTGTCCATTCCAATGCCTCCTCGATCCTCCTTAACCACCACGTTTAGTGGCTCTGTTAGCCGTCGATTCCATTCATCAACACCGGACGGGTATTGAGACGAACGGTCCTTTCCAAGCGCAGTCCCGGGCTTAAAGCCCAGTTTCGCCATCATCTGAAACCCTTTATTCGAAGGATCGAGTGAACTGGTGGAGAGTGCAGCTTCCCTTCGAGCAGCTTCTGCGGCAGCTATCTCCGATTTCGAAGGGACGCGAGACTTAGCTTCGGCCTGCAAATTAGGGCGCGGATTAGTTGTCAGTAAATTCATCAGGACATGTCTACGGGAGAGCGATATGTTGTTGTTCGCTGTAGCCAAAAATGACAATTGCACACAGTACATGAGCAAGGGTACTTGTAGATAAGCATTTAGAGGTATTTAAATCTGCTGACTGGAAGAGTTCACACACCTCTCTCTGCTTCCGGCGTCGCATTTCGCTGTATGGCTCTTTGCGTCTATGAGGCTCAGGCGGCTCGACAATGGTCATAGACATGTAATCCTCCTCCTCGTTGTCGCTCCCATTCTTGTCACGTTGTTCTCTCTCAAAACTCTTTTGAAGGAGGGACGACATGTCTGCTGCCGAGCAAAGCCTGAAGCGGACTATCTAATTATATTTGCAAATTTATGATATTCTTCGGCTTCATTCCCATCATGGATCGGGGGTAACTAAAAGGTTGTTTCCATGTTTGATGTCATATTTCGGCGGCAAATTAAGCTAAAATCACGTGGCTTGGCCGCGAGATCTGCAAATCTAGCGGTTAATTATCACCAAAAGTATGTTCTAAATTTACAAACCACCGTTGATAAGAAACTAAAAGCATTTGACGCTTTATTTACATTCTTAAATAATTCCTATTGTTCAAAAGATGAGTAGAGCAAATGTATATAAAAGGGAAGGAGAAATGCTTCAATTCCGGCCATGTTTAGTATGCCATGTCATCACTCCTGGTCGTCGTCGCCATCCTGCCAGCCGTCTCCGTCATCCAGATCATCACCATCATCTCTATCATCCAGGTCACCATCGCCGAGACCGTCAAAATCTTCAAAGTCTTCAAAATCATCCACATTCTCCCCGTCTATGTTTCTCTTGCTCGGCCTGCCCTTGGTGATCTGATAGGCGCGGATGGTTTTGGATTTCTTCCAATAGCGCCGCTTCACCTTGTCTGAAAGCCAGGCGTTGTTGTATTCACACCCTCTTCCGCTGTAGAAATACACCCCATTGGGGTCTGGCGCCCAGCTCGTCGCGGGATTGAAGCTGATGCTTTCGGCGGAGAAGGCCTTGTTCAGGTTGATGCACTTCCCGCTCGTGAAGTCTCTGCCGTGCATTTTGAGTTTTTTGCCGCCGCTGGATTTGAGCTGGATGCTCCAAGCGCCTGCGGTGGATGCGACGGCGAAAAGGAGCCCGGTGGCGATGATAGAGATCCTCATTGTTGCCGGGCTATTGATCTATCTATCTGTATACGGTTCCGGGTGGTGTTCTTTCTTCTTTCTCAAGAAGGTTAGCTGAGAGCTTGAGCAACCAATGTCAGAAAGGGGGTATTTACTTAGGGACTGCCCACTTGTCCCTTCACCCTCCCTATGAAAAAGGATAGGATAGCTAGGTGGGTATATTTATATTGAGATGTGGAGCTGGAAGACCTGAAAAAAATGCCGTGAACAAATGATTTCACTAACTAAGCCTTTGACGAAATTCGAGAGGGACATTATTCCCAATTATATACCCCGTTTATGCTTCCCCTTGTCTCTGATTAATTATTGCAATGCTACCCCATAGCTTAGGTTTCCGGTGCGAAGTGGATTCAGCCGCATCACTGCGCCCTCCAGACTGTATGTCAACAACACGAAAACGACATATCCTAGAAGTCCAATATAGGCAGGGAATGATAAGAGATAAATCCCTTCAAAGGATGGGCGACGGCTGTAGCAGCCGTTTTCCTCACAGCCCCCCTGTTGATTGGCTCGTATAGCGCGGATGCTCTGGCATGTTAAAAATAACTATCGCGTGTAGGGTTCTGCAGGAACCGTATTCTTCAGGCCAAGAAGTCGTGATGATCCATTAATAAGGCTACATGGGCGGAAAGGGGGAAAAATAGTGTCCAGGAACCGAGATGACGAAATAGTTCTTCCAGGAGAATGAGTGACATTGAGAAATTCAATTTGCTCCCATCTTCTGAGTGTGGGGACGTTGGCATCGGCGGCTGCTCCCGCTTAACTACTAACTAGTAGTTAGTCAAAGTCCACGAATAGTTCAGATGGCCATGAAGATGAAGGAAAGCAGATGCATAGCCCGCAGTATTTTTTCAATAAATTATATGCAACATGCGGGAATATCCAAACTGTTCATTTCGAAAAAGGACGTGAAAGAAATGTATACCTGGCCGAATCTTGAAAGAGAAGAGGCGCAGTGCGTCGATATTATCATAATTAATGTCGTTGAAACCTTTAGCCTTGACCAGTTAACTTTAGTCTATGCAGTAACTTAACTAGCCCAGACATCCCCAGGTCGCATATATGACAAACATATTGACCTCGGCCTGGACATCCGCATGCAAGGGCCGTGTTTTTGCTCAAACAACCCCAGGCAAACTTGGGTTGGCCAGAAACGATCGATCCCCCAGGCTCACATCCAGGATGCATCGTATACATCCACTGATTGTACGGGTGATGGCTTGAATTTGTTGATTGTGGTTTCCGTTCAAGAAAACTGTCTTTACAAGTCACTCGCAGCAACCTGCAATGGCTGGCCAGGTTCTGGAGAACCCATTGATTTCCATTCATGATGCGAATAATCAACAAGAGCGCCATGGCGCCTCACGCACAGCAGCGCGCGCGTCCCCCCATGCGCGACGCTCCCGGGAACCCTTAATTCGACTGATGAAAGACCCATGCTATGAGGCGGTGGGTATGATTGAGCTCTCCGGGCGAATGCGGGCCGAATACTTGTTGCTTGGACAAGGTCGGTTTCTTGGGGGTATTTTAGCCCCGAGGACTCACGGGATTGTAGTATGGGAGCAGGACAAGGCGATGTTGGGGGATGTTGTGGGATATTGGTGGTCCAGTTTACATGTGTTCGCTGCCTGCCAGCCAACGCCATTCAATGCTGGGTCCGTTGCTTTATCGCTTCTTCCTTTTTAGTTATTACTTTTTATGATCCCGATTAGGCAGAAGACCTTGACAACAAGGTTAGACCAAGAAAAAAAAAATGACCCGACGTTAGCAATATTTATTTTCCTTGCCAACTTCTCATCATAGCTCCACATAATGACTGAGCACCATGACATCAAGAAGCAGGCAGATTTCGACCTCCTCCCGCGACCTAGGAGGGCTGGCTGGCAAGCTCACTGGCCCAAGTATCACATCCAAGCTCACGCTAGGATGCAGAGTGAACGAAACGGCTTTTAACCATGCAAACTCAATTTGCTCTCACCACCAGCACATCCCCCTCCAATTCTTCCCTGTCATTGCTGTCAACTCAGGCCACAACCAGCCGAAAAAACAAAACAAAATAAATAAAACCAACCGACACGTCAAACAAAGGGGTTTTGCCAATTCAGATAATGAATCAACCCGCGAGAAACCTTGGTCAGTTGCCAGGTTTCCAAGTTGGTCGGGTTGAACTGGTGGGTCGATGAGAGCTAAAGCTGGCTGGGATCAGTGGCACGTCACAGATCGGTCCGCGGTTCGATTGGCCGGCTGCAGGGGACAAGTGCAGGGCCCGACATCCCCAGGCTTTGGCCCGGTGGCCCAGGCTCTGGAGGGGCCAGGTGGAGTTCTGGCGCCGGGAGAGCGGTCGCTATGGCCCATCACCGGCCATGGTCTCTGGAGTGGTTGGACCATGGGGCAGTACCACGGACGCGGGGGCGGGCAGGGTGCGGGTATGGAACTGGAGCCTACCGCCTACCGCCTACCGCCTACCGCAAACCACAAACCACAAACCAGAGACCACAGACCGCAGACCACAGATGGGATGGGCCAGCCAGGTGGGACTGTGGGAGCAGAAGAAGGTACCGCGGCCAGATTGGGCCTGGTATCGTATGGTACGAATGGGTCACTCTTGGCGTCTCTCTGGGCAGTGCTGGCGCTGCTGGGTGTGTAACTCTGGCCGCCGTAACAAGCGCAATACGTATATATCCATGGATAGTTGCATCAACGATACAGCCCTGTACCACCCCCTCCAGGCATCCCTCCTCCTGCTCCTCTTCCTCTCCTCTCCTCCTTTCATGCTCCGCTCTCCCTCCTCCGCCATCCCGTCTCACCAGCTCCGCTCGCATATCTATCTCCATCTCCCCTTGCTTTATCTCCTTGTATCTTGATGCTCTCTTGTCTCTTTAGCTCACTCTCATTCGCCATCCTGTCTACAGTGTAGAGTATCCTCCTATCTTACCACGCGTTGTTGGTCTGCCCCATCTTTGGGCTCTTTTATCCTTGGGCTGTACAGACCGTTTTTAAATTGCTGAATACGCTTTTGCTTTAACTCTCTCCCTTATCTTCCGATCTTCTGCAGGCTCAGTTCTGTTGGGCAATTGTGGGCGTGGTGATTCTGGTGATTCTTCTACCTCTCCAGCCTATTGCTTGCCACTCCTCTTTGTTGGCTTTGTGAGTATTGGAATCCCTCAACATCTAGGATTATCGAACATCATCACCCTTCTAACGAACTACACAACATATGCGACAGGGACTTTTGAACTCGATCTGGTTTTAATCTCCGCCGCTTATTTCTCACTCGTTGGATAAGGATCACGGAGTTGGCCTTACTTCTTCCATTCTTCTGGTGTTGTTGACTACAAAAGTTGTGCGCAAAGAAGAAAATCATTATATACCAAAGGCCAAGTTTGTAGACGATGTAATCGTCATACCGTGCACTTGGACTACTCCTTCCGTCGAAACGGACAAATTATAGACCGCCCGAATACCGCTCCTCCGTCAATCGACGACCACGACAACAGACAAGGACGAACAAGGGCGACATCATACAAAACCCTCCTAATGTTGCCTCGTCCATGATGGCTACAGTCGTTGTACAACAGCAGCCGGTGCGACATTCTGCATCTCCACCCCCAATCGCTCCAGCTCTTAGCCTCAGTGCCAGTTCTTCCCATGGCCAACCCCCAATCCCAAACAAACATCTTCCCGCCTGTCCTCCAGGCCCGGCTCCTGCGAACTCCAAGATCCCCACAACCCCTCCAGCCTCACCAACCCTCAGACATTCTACTTCCGTCCAGGGCGATTGCGTCCTGTACCCTCCAAATAATTTCCCCAAACTGCGCGAAAATCCGACAGTGTACTCGATAGATGCAGATACATTCGCCCTTGCATTGGATGAGCTTGCCTCTCGCCCTTTGCCAGACCCTAAGCAGGTCTTTCCATGGCTACACGGCCTGCATCCGGACAATAATATCCAACTAGGATTCTTCGTTGCAAGAAAGAGATCGCTTAGACGGATACCACAATGTTTGCGATCTATAACAATTGTTAAAGCCGGTGGGGATTTGTCCAAGGCAAGGATCAAGGGGGCCATTGCGCCAGAAGAGATCCTCTCCCCTTCTGGCACTTCATTCATTGATGCGGATCCCCCAGAAGGGTTTTCCGTGCGCAACTTCCATATACAGACGGCGAAATTAGCCCCGTTGTCGGATATTATTGTATATGGTGAAGATGGCACCAAAGAAAAGTATCTTTTCAGGCTTGCTAGAGGCATTATTAGAGCTCAGAGGGAATGGAGAAGGAAGTTTGATCCGGGCAAAGAGTATCCCAAGTTCAATACTTTTATTCTCCAGAGTGAGTTTATCTTGTTGTTCTGTTCTTCTTCCTTAAATTTCCGCGGCCATTTTTCCCTCGTTCTCCTTGTTCACTCAGGATGAAATGTTAATACGAAACACAGGTCCTTTCCGTGAACTAGAGGAAAAACATCCTGAATTGGTTGCTGTCAACTGCCAAGGGCAACTTACCGGTCAAGTCGTGGATTTCTGTAAGCATTGGAATGAGCTCATCTTTTTGTCTCTTTTTCTAAGGTCTGCTTTTATTTATGCTAACATGTGGACTAGTTCGTTGGGAACGGTTGGAAATGTGCAATATGGCCGAAGCCTCAGAGATAACAAAAAACGTTTGGCAGGGCCCTACACCAGATGTCAACGAACACCCCCTTGAAGATCTAGGGTTTGATGTTTTCATCGAAACTCATGATGTTGCAAACATTCCTAACAATCAATACCTCTCGGGAGTGTCAAGGAAAATGGACGATGGACCGCAGCGATTAGAATTTCCCTCATCGGGAAGCCTTCTAGCTTCATTCAACCAGATAGTGGCCATTGACCTTATTAACCTTATTGACACGTGTAGATGGATATATCACGTTACCAACCCCGAGCATATTGAACAGCCAGTTGATGCAGATGGTGATATTCCAATGGTGGAGCTCACTCCCAGACCCCGCAAGGTTCTAATTCATTGTGGAGACGGGTACACTGAAAGCTCTCTCCTAGCCATTGCCTACTTCATGTTTGCGGAGGGAGTTCCATTGGATGAGGCGTGGTTAAGGCTACACTGCGAGAAAAAGCGGAACTTTTTCGCCTATCCCTCGGACGTCGCATTCTTAGCTGTCGTCCAACAAAAGCTACTGTCCGAAAGCCCCGCCGCCCGTAATCGCAGCATCCCGAAAAGCCTCGAACCGGATTGGCTCTTGAAAATGGATGGGTCTTTACCAAGCCGCATCCTACCATATATGTACCTGGGAAATTTAACTCATGCTAACAATCCGGAGCTCCTCCGCAACTTAGGCATTAGACGTATACTTAGCATTGGAGAATCTGTGTCATGGCGGCCGTCAGAGACTGGAAAATGGGACCCGGAAAATTTGATGATGATAAACGAAGTGCAGGATAATGGCATAGATCCTTTGACCCAGCAATTTGATCGTTGTCTACAGTTTATTGGTAAGTCGTGTTGATGCAAAACCATTGATTTCATTTGTTTCGCCCGATTTTCCTCCCTTCCGCTTGTGACGCTAATTCATTTGGTGTGCATTTGTTTAGAGAAAGGAAAACAGGATGGTACTGCAACGTTGGTGCATTGCCGCGTTGGGGTTTCGAGATCTGCTACGATTTGTATTGCGCAAGTGATGGCTTGTAAGGGGTTGTCGTTTCCTAGGGCATAGTATGTAACCACAAGATGGATCTTTCCACCAGCCAGCTTGTATTTGAGACGGACACATTAATCTAACCATTCCAAATACAGTTGCTTCGTTCGTGCCCGGCGTCTAAACGTCATCATCCAACCACACTTGCGGTTTGTGTTAGTACAGCATATTTTCTTGTACATCCATTTTCCCTTCATCGGTCCAATCCGGCCATCCACCATCCCACAAAACTCATACTAATAACACTGTCTATCCAGCTACGAGCTCCTCAAATGGGACGAACTCCTCCAGCAAAAGCGCCACGAACCAATCCGCCGAGATCTAGAATGGGCAACCATCGCACGCGAGATAGCTCTCATGAACAAACCATACTCGAAATGATCATAATACATTCGATACAACCCGAGAGCGCGAACGTAATATATCTATTTCGATAAAGATCCTGAACAACTATCTTATTATATTTCCTCTTTAAATTATTGACTTCCCCTCCGTCCGTTTTTGTTTCATAGCTTTACCGCTTGAACCACTCAATTTAGTCTTTCTATAACACGATGTATACCTGAGGGAGCCATTTTGTGTCACCTTTTTAAACGACAAGACCAGTTCGAGATACCACATTTACCACGTTTACCACCCTCTGAGCCTTTATATATCTTTGTCTTGTTCTCAATGCATTAACTCCCTTTATTTTATCACGATATCTACGTACTATGTGATGCGATATGAATTATGCTCCCCCCAACCTCTAACGGTCCCCTTTATGAATCCCCTTCCCCTTTTTGTTTTGTGTTTTGTAAGTTCCTGCATTTATTTATTTTATTTCTGCTTTGTGAATGTAGGGGGGTTCTTCCTAACGATATGTACGCCTCGGTGACGCTTATGCAATTCAATTCTCATATTCCCTCCGAGTTATTTTATTTATATTCCCATTCCTCCATTCGTTTACAGTTATTATTATTTTGTCCCGTCATATCTTTTTATATCCTTTATTTTATTTCTATGACTACTTTCCCCCGGATCTCATTCGATATCTGGCTTCTTTTTATCTTTTCTTTTTTTCACTCCAATTTTACCATATTTATGTACCCTTTTTCTTCTCAGCTTACCTACTACCTATTCAATTCTATTCCCCCCCACCCCCCCTCTTCTCTTGTTTCCTATCCGCCTTCCTCCATTTTTCTAGTTTCTCATTCTTACAACCCCCGACCAAGCTGAGACATGAGCCGCATGCAGGTTAAGAAGGATACAAGTATATCCACATCCGCCGTCTTAGGTCTGTTCTATTCTTTTCACCAATGATATAATTTTTTTATCTCCTGTCCCTTATTTTCCGTTTGCTGGAAAGTTAGTTTTCGGAGCTGGCGCGGGAACGGCGAATTCACTTTTGAGAGAACTCTGCGTGATTTTGATACCAGGGAGTTTTTCAAACTTTCTCCAACTTTCTTGATGTGATTTTATTTGAAAAATTTCCACCCAATCTTCTGATGATTGAAACGAGACTCCCCTCTTCTCTTTGTTTATTGTATCTTTTTTGTCGCTTTGCTTGTCCCCTCCCTTTCTTGTTTTGCTTACCTCAGTTCTCTCCTTTTGCTTTCCCGGTGTTAGTAACCAGATAAACTGAATTGAGATTGAGTGCGTGCGCTTTATTTTTTATTTTTATTTTTTTATTTTTATTTTTTTTTTTTTTGATATTTTGATTGATCGGTATAAATAAATATACATATATAGTTGATAAATTGAGACTATTATTTTTTAAATTCATTGATTGACTAATTTTTTATTATAATTCTCTCAACTATTTTATTTGTTTTCTTTCCCTCTCCATTCCCCCCCTTTGTGAAAATTGATTTTCCCGTCATGATGGTGAATTTACATTATATAAGTTTTATATATATCTATATATATATATATATTTCCTTCTCATCCATTTTGGCTCCCCTCCAGGATCCAGAACCATAAGAATATGTATGCAAAGAGCTCTCCTTTCACAACTTTATAACCCTTATCATTAATCAATTTTAATATATTTTATTCAAGCTTATCAAAGCTCAAAGCTCAAAGCTCATTCTGTTAAGGGGGCACACACACCCATCATCCATGTAACTTAAAAAAATGCCTGTCGCCATATGAGAGACGTCGGGAGGAGGTAGTAGTTTTATTTTATAGCCAGTACACAGTACACAGTGGTTGCACGTAAGATTCACTAATGGGTTTTATGCAAGTCGGTCAGTCGTCTTGGTATTTTAGTGGGCAGAAGAGGGTAAATTTGACCTCAACCACCCACACAGTAAATAAATACAAATGGATGTAGTAGACTAGTAGTAATAACAGATGATAGAAGCCTTTGAAAATAAAATAAGAAGAGAAGAAAAAGAAGAAGAAGAGGAAGAGAAAAATGCACACGCACACACGCCCGTGCCCTGTTTTTCCATTTTTATCCCGTTGGTTTGTTTGATTTAACAAACGCATAGCTCGCACCTATCCGATGGAGAATTACAACGATATAATAAAATATATACAAATATATATATGCATAGGCATAGATGAAAATTAATAAAATTTGGTACAGGGGGCAAATGTGAGAGAGGGGAGGGCGTGTTTCTCGCTTTCTCTCTCTCTCTCTCTCTCTCTCTCTCTCTCTCTCTTACGTATATGTGTATGTGTATGTATATATATCGATACAAATCGTGATGGGGCCCTCTTCCTCACACCCAAAGCTGAAAGGTGATTGCTTAATAATAATATAATATTATTATTATTATTACGGGCACCTCACACGATCATCACCAGAAACCATCCAATTCCTCAACAGCGTTCAAACACCCTATACAGCCCCTTTAGATCAGCCACCTCCACAACCCCCCTGACGAGGTCGTTCGTCGCGACAAGCCGCGCGCGCAGGGAGGGAAAGAGCACGTGCTCCAGCGTCCAGGACAGCTGCGCGCGGCGCCGGACGATGGCTTCGTCTTCTCTTTGTGGCTGTGATGGCTGTTTGGGCGGGTTGCTTGGGCTGTTTGTAGGGGGGGTTTGTGCGGGTTCGTTGGGGTTCGAGGGATGGCTTTCGCTCGATGATGACGGTGATGATGATGGTGATGGGTGTGATTGCGATGTTGTGCTTTGGGAGGAGGTCGCTGTTTCTGTCTCGCTTTTGCGTGCGGCCGGTTTTGTAGTGGGAGGGGGAGCCGAGTTGTTGTTCTTGTTGCTGCTGCTGGGGACGATAAGGGGGGCGATGGGTAGTTGTTCTGGCGTGTAGAAGGCGGCGAGTTCACGGAGGAATGTACGAAAGCAGGCCTCTTCGTCTGTCCAGTCGACGTATGGGCCCAGCCGGAGGAGGAAGCGGGGTAGTTTGGCGAGAGAGGGCATGTACCCCTTTAGCAGGAGGGGGATGGAGAGGAGGTTACCGTCTTCGGAGATGGTGAGGGAGAAATACTCGTCGAGCATTTCACGGCGCTCGATGAGTTGGGTTGCTATTGTGGTGACTATCCTGTCGAAGTCGACAGATTCGATATCTGCTGCTGCTGACTGTTCCTTTGTTGCAGCAGCAGCAGCAGAAGCACTTTGTTGACGACGGTATTCGTCACGTTCTGTCGCGGCAGCTAGGGAGAGCAGGTCCACGAGTCGTGGGGAGGATTCAAGGTTTATTTTACCAAAATTTCCAAAGTCCGTAAGACCTACTTGGTAGAAGAATTCGCTGCTGATCATCCCGTAGTCGACTAAGAAGAGTTTGACGCCTGATTGTATCGCTGCAATCCGCCGTCGTTCATCCACGAGCCCGACGTAGGTTAGAGATGCGAAGAGTTCTGTGAGGTTATTATGCATAGAGGATCGTACGGCAGCACGGAGGGATTTGACAGATGAGAGCCGTATCTGAGTTGGTTCTCGGCCTGTGCTCTCGTAGCGGAGGCCGTCCTCTTCGAGTGGTAGCGTTTGAGAATTGCCGTTAAGAATCGGCCTCGCTTGTGATGTCGTCGCAGGTGGTAACATGGAGGTTATTTTACGCATGCTCGCATCTGTTCGAACAAGATTGTTCTCATACGGACGTTTGGTACCAGATAAGGTCCGGGGCGTCGGCTGTCTATCGTCAAATGGAGGCTCTGCGTTGGAGTTCACTGAAGCACTTTGAGTTCGTCCAACTGGTAGCAACGTTTGCACCATAAAAGTTCGGCTAGAATCGACAGTTGCTAGCTTTTGTTGGATCGTAGTACATATGGACCCGATTATCTCGTCTTCATTCAGAAAATTGACCTCCCGCTTCGTTGGGTGGACGTTCACATCGACTCGCTGCGGCTCTATTTCTAAATCGAGATAAGCAAAGGGGTGGCCTCCCTTTGGGAGAAAGTTGGAATACGCCTGCTCTATGGCCCGTCGAACCGCAGAAGATTCCACGGAGCGATGGTTAATGAATAAGAGAATAGTGGTCCGCTTAGCATGGTAGTTTGCATTGCTAGCCCATCCTGAGGCACGGAAGCCCAGCCTCGGGTCATCGACACTGAAGTCGATAAGCTCACTCGCAACTGCACTGCCGTGGATTTGACGAATCCGATCGACCGTGGTAGAGTTTGTTGACGTGGATATGCTGACACCAGAATCGCCATGCTTCTTACATGAGAAGGCGACCCCAGAGCAATGTACCGCATAGCGGCCAACGACATCGAGGATTTTCGCGTATTCTTCGCTTGAAGAACGAAAGGCCCGACGTCGCGTAGGGACGTTGTAGAAGAGATCCTCCACCTAGGTATTTCAAGTGAGTTAAAAGGGTCTTATATGAAAAACAAACATGGAAAATATCAAAAACATACAGTGATCTGAGTGCCGCCTCGGCCAGCAGTCGGCTTGGGTTCTGCAGTTTGGCCGGGCTTTGCGGGAACCAATTTGCCATCGCTATAGTGAGCTCTCCAGGCACAACTGGAACCAGCGGTCTTAGTAGTGACGGTGAGATGAGCTATGTGGCTAATGCTCGCCAGAGCCTCACCGCGGAAGCCATAGGTGCCGATGGACGACAGGTCTTCAAACGCTTTGAGCTTGGAAGTGGTGAATCTCTCACAAAGGATTCCCAGGTCGTCGCACTACCGAAGGCAAGGGATTAGATGGGGTTCAAGCAAAAGGTATCTCAATCTCACACACGAAGAAAAAAAAGAGATCAGAGATCAAGATAGCGATATTAATAAAATTCAAATGTAGATGAACATACATCTATTCCGTGACCATTATCTGTGATCTGGAGGAGCTTCAAACCGCCATCCTTTACCAAGATTTCCACAGAGGTGGCTCCGGCATCGACCGAATTTTCGATGAGTTCTTTCAGCGCATGCATGGGAGCCACGATGATCTCCCCAGCAGCGATCTTGTTGACCACATCTGGATCAAGAGCCTTCTCCGGGCGGAAAGGGTAGTTAGTATCTTTGATACTAGTAGAAATTCCCTCCAGTCACCCAACCCAAGCACGAGGGAATGAGATAGAACAGGATGTCACGTGGCAGGCAGTTCAGGCTCCTACCGCCATCACATACCTGGATTTTCCTGGATGGTTGAGGGGGAAGACCAGCTTCAGCGGCGGTTCGTTTGGTCCCTCGAGGGTCCGGGGAGTCTACATCCATATCTTCGTCGGCCATGGTGCCAGAAGTGGTGTTCTATGTCATGTAGTAGTGGTGTGCAGGCCGAAAACAACGAGAAGTTGAAGCTGGGGATTTTGTTATTATTATTACTGTCACCCAACAGCCTGACACGGGATCCACTCCAACGCTGGAAGACTGTCGTGGAAGATTTCTCTGGTCGCTGGCTGGACTGATCTAGGCCCAGCTGTTGCGGCAAGACGTGACTTTACGCGGGGAGGGGGCTTTCTAGCGAGCTGGGATGAGGGGGGTTGCGGGAGGGCCAACAGACATCCGGAGCAGAAACCCAGGCGCTGGACGGAGTACCGGGAGAAGCAACGCAGCGTATACACCGCAGCAGAGAAGAGATGTCCCCTCCAGCATCGAGAGAATAGACACCTCGACAGATCCGCCGCTGCTGTCTCTTTCTGGCCGGAGAATAACCGAAGTTGTCCCTTTCACGCACGCACCTACCATCGCGGGCCGCGGCTTAGGTCAGCGCCGGCTTGTGGCTGGAACGCCAAGAGGCCGGGGGCTGCTTAGTCATATCCAGGGTCTGTCTGGACTGCGGCGGCTGCCGAACTTTAAATCGCGAGGCGTCTGGAGGCGCAACAGGGCTCTTGTCATTCTGCTTTCTCTTCAGCACAGTACTTTTCGAGTAAGTCGCTTTTTTGCAGGCGGCTAGCTGGTAGCTCACCAAAGTTCGTTTGTGTTGAATTCAGGTTTGTTTTTTTTTCTTTCTTTCTTTCTTTTTTTTTTTTCAAAATTTCTCCAGTGATGTTCTGGTCTAGTTAAACGTACTTACTTCCTAGTGGATGTGACTTAATCAAATGGCCGGGGTTTCAGCGAGGCTCCAATTTAAGCGTTCAAGGTTGAAAGACGTGCGCTTACCTTTCCTGTCCCAACGTCCGAAGATTTTCTACTCTGGATAATTCAATATCAGCGCTCTCTGTCATTTGGCGAGTCGCCCACGTGGCGGAATTCCTTGTCACTGCGGTCCTTGCAAGGTCCCTCTCAATACTTAGCGGTTTGAATCGGGCGGTCGCCATCCTTTCCGTTGTTGAGCGAGTGGAATGGCTGTTGCGGTCGCCAATTTGGTGCCGCCCTCTGGCCCGGAACAACCTCCACTCTACTTGAAAGCGAAGAAGCTGCCTCGATGAAATATAGAGAGCTCAGAGTTCAATAATTATCTCATCCCAGAGAGATAATTTGTGTATAGGTAATGGACATCATGTTCGTGATTTTCTCTCGGCTGACCGTTCGCCGAAAACTGTTCCAAAGAAAATGTGATTGAGATTCCCTACATCTTAATGTGCAAAGCATCTGGTTCTGGGTGTCGATGTCTCCAAGTGGCTCGAGAAAGGTTTCAATTGCATCTTGGGCGAGGTGGAAAGTCGGGGTAATGAAAAGGAGGTCATTGGGTAGGTGTAGTAACGTATTCTCAGTCTTCTTTCATCGAATGGAGCTATGGGCAACTTAAAATATTAAAGAAATTTCTACATAAAATAACAATAACAATAAATGTAAATATAAATTTATTATTACCCTGCTGGTGGCCTGCAAGTTTCGTCAATTCCTTTTCTGGAGTCACAGTGGCATGCCTTATCCACATCTCTTTCTTTCATTCTTTGTAATTCTTTAGGGTGCGCATCAATCACAACTTTCTATAGTTGTTGAGTCTTGGGCCTACCCCTGGACAACCTTATGAACAAAAGGCCAAATCATCACTGAGCCGACTATACTCTCAAGTTTCCCCACGATTCCAGCTGATGCAAAGCGCAATCGTCAGCCCCGAGCGCGCTTTGACAAGTGTGAAATCACCAAGACACCTGGATTGTAAATTACCACACTGGTGATAAATGAGAATTTGTCACGAAGGCTTGGGATGGAGAAGGATACCGAAAATGAGAGTGTTTACAGGTAAACCAGGATTCAAGGCAATGAGGACAGCGGACTCTGAGCCATCTCCGGCGACATTGGGCCACAGTAAGTATCGCACTGGAATAATATTAACTACAGTATCGGAGGCCGTTAGTAAGACCAATTGTAGCATAATCCACGATGAAAAAAAATGAAAATGAAAAAACCAAAAAAAAAAAAAAAAACACCTAAAGATTCTTTTGCCGGAATATCTGCCACTAAGGCGAATGAGATAGCTGCCTCAAACGGGCGACGTAAATGGCTCTGAGGGCGGAGAGCAACTCATTACTAGCACCCGCGATGGAATGAGGGAAGATTCCAGTCAGTGTAGCAAGCCGGTGATATAGTACTTGCCCTGGAAGTAACACCGTTCCGGCTTCCGTAATAGGGCAGCAGATGCAGACTATTAAGTCGAAAATGGAAGGAAAAGGGTGTAGAAGCAAGGGAAGGGGAAATTGCATAGAGTCAAGGTGGGCAAGAAGCATCGAACTGTTGGAGGGACTTCTGAGGAGCGCCGGCTGGACAGCCACGCAAGGCGATAGTGGACAGAATTGAGAGTCACACTTGAGCACCTTCCTCAGGAGTATTCAGCATTCGCCCAAGTTCAGGCGGCAACTACGTTGCAGTCTCTTGAATCTTGACCATCGCGCTTTCCCGATAAATTCCTGCATCTGGTTCTCGACGGCGACTGCCGTATATTCCAGGGTATATAAACAAGGTATAAAATCCCGCTCATCGCCCGGTTTCATCCCTCTTTCCTCAACTCTTTTCCAGCCTGGAATTCTGCTCGTTGACACAATCATTCACACATCAGGGTTCAGCTTTTGCCATGAGACCTATCCTGTTATTCCCCTTATGGGGATAACTGAAAAGAAAGAAGAGTGGCATTCAGTAAGTCGCCCGCATCCTCATCTCAGTTGGTGGGTGGCCTACAGGGGCTCCTCATGCCCAAACAAGCACCTCGTCCCTGTAGACGCTAGGTCAATGAAATCCTTTTGGGAAAAAAGGGGTGGACTTCAGACAACCAACCTGCCAGAGAGGCAGAAACAGCGAAGCCGATTAACCCCTTGGTAGAGGATGTTAGAAATAATGCTTGTCACAAGTCCTAGGAATATATTCTCTCCCAACCCTGCGAGTCTGTCACCACTGGCAGAACACGGCTCCGCGAACTGCCTTACACCAGCCCAGAATGGACATGGATGTCAGGGCATCGCCAAGGGGAAAGCAAGGCTGAAAAGGGGGAAACAAAGGTAAGGACTCCTTTTGAACTCGAATATTGACAACACCAGTATCGACCTCTGAGCTCATGCAATGTTGAGGATCATGCTAATCTTCTGACGAGCACCGACAAGGGGTCGGGTTTTTTTCTCTGGTTTTATAACCGGCTTTCCGTCACCGCACTCAGCCAATTATTGTAAGTGTATTTATCTAGATCGTTTCTGCTCTTTTGTGATCTCAGATTTGAATCAAAACAAACTGGTAAATAGCTGGAAAACAGAGAAGACTTTAACTATAAATGACTAGTTGTTTAGGCACAGGTCCGGAAACGATGACATCATCATTACGTCATCGTACTCTGCGGTTTACCTCATCCGGTTTGGCGCGACCGACACCAAAGCTTTTCACACTTTGATATATTGATGGCTACTATGCACTCCGCTTGCTTGCACTCCGTATTTGTTGTGGCTCATCAAGAATTGCCCAGTTATTTTGTATGTGCAATGTGATGCAATCTGCTCAATAGATCTGTATATAGTCCATAGTAATTGTACCGTGTGTTATGATCAATCCCTGACAGCAACTGTTTTGTCATGTTGCCCTGACATCAGGCACAACTATAACTCGTGTGTTATCTCCCAGAGAGAACAACTATTCAGCTGGCACACAGGCGGCATTAATGATCCTTCGTTGGAGCCAAGTATCATTCAAACAGCAGGCTTTCAAACTATGGCATTCAAGTCACTCTTGACACGAACGGTACGAACCGCGAGGCTCCTTGACCAGGACTGGCATGGCGATAGATCAAAGCTCAAATTCTGGACTCGCAAGGAATAATGCTTCCAAAGCTTTTTGCATTGAGACACGCGACGGCACTAGTAATAGGGTTCAGTGAAGCTATTCAGCTCCTGGACACACTCTAATTTTGGAATAGGCTGCGATGCTGGCGGCAAGCATGAGATGACAGACAGCATCACTAACTTTGAAAATACTAGTATTTTTAACTTTCATGAGCTCCATGCTGAAACCGGTGCCGAGAGATCATTCCACTAACAAGTGCTAGTTAGTATTCACTTCGTCTATCGCTAGCATCGACGGCTAATTTTGGAATGACGTTCGTAAATACGAAGCACTCTGATCTTGCCAAGAGCGAAGAAGTACGATGCCAAGTAGTTTATATCCCCAACTGGAACATCGGCAAGCAACGAATGGCGGCTCCTGCAACGACCACCATTTCTTTTGCTCGTTTCCGCCGTTGACCAACACCAATCCCCATGAACGACAGCGAAGGCTGGCTGCGCCTTTATACCCTCGTATGAAACACATCCCCCCGACGAAGCTCCCGTGGAGCGCGTTGTTGACTTCCCACACGTACCATGACTTTGCCGAGAAGGGGCTATCTCGGTGATGAGGAGCTGGGCAAAAAGTTCGACGACCACGGACACCGAACACCCGCACACTTCAAACCAAGATCGGCCACATCGTCATGGAAAATTCCCCGAAGGAGACGCGTGCTCCTCACCCTGATCGGCATATGTATCGTCTATATTCTCTTCAAAGCCGTTCCTCCTTCCGAGCTAACCCCCGCGACGAAGCCATTCGACGCACCACTCAATAATAACGACCCTCCCCGGCCTGGCGACCCCGGACAACGAGAAGAAGATGGCGGTTCCGTTTCCTCTGAACCACCTCCCAAGGCCCCGCCTGCTATGGATGAAATTCCCACCAATGATTCGTATGAATACAATGGGCCGATAAAGTTTCCCCTCCTTACCCAATCGCTGCACTCGAACCAGGCACTCCATTATAGCTGGTATAATAACGCTGTGCTTTTCGCGGCGGCGAACCTGCAAGCTCTTTCCTACCTTCTACCTTTAGCCTGTGAGATGGCTAAGGAGAAGCGGAACAGCGTGCATTTCGCAGTGATGGGAAGGAGCAGCGTATCGGTGAAAGGAATACAAATGGTTAATGGTGTGGACGAGGAGTCGTGTCCGCTGTTTTGGCATGGTGGGTTTTGCGATCATACGAACAATGTGCCGTATTTGGAAGAATGTGTTACTAAATATTTTTTTTCTGGCAAGATGCACGTCCCGACCATGCCTCTAGGTCTCCCGATGCCCGTATGGAATCAAGTGTAATCACGGGGCTCTCCCGCATTGCCAATACTTTTCGTCCCAAGGTCGTAATTACCCACAGCCATGACATTGATGAAACATTTCATTGGACCGCTGCCAAAGCAACAGCTGGCCGGATCGGAGTGCCTCATATCAGCCTTCCGGCTCGTGGGGGTGATTTCATGTGGTTGTCAAAACTGGACTCCCACTCACTTGGAGGTACGTAGGATATTAATTTTTGAATACATTTCTAGAACCCCTAGGTCGTGAAAAGATGATATTTACCTTCATTCAGCTTGGGACAAGGTCGATGTGCAAATCCTGGTGCAGGCACCCCCAGCCTCCTCGGGCTCCCTAACTCGATTGCTTCGTTCCCTCCAAAGGGCAGATTACTTCGGTGATACCCTGGGGCTAACCATCGAGTTGCCGCATAATGTTGATCCTCCACTGCTTGAATATTTGAAATCCTTCCATTGGCCACCGAGGAGCGTGCATAACCATTTCACACTCCGACGCCGAATACAACATGGGAACATAACTTCTGAAGAAGCAACCCTTCGAATAGTCGACTCACTCTACCCCAAAAACCCGGCCTACTCACACGTCCTCATCCTTTCTCCTCAGACGGAACTTGCGCCATCCTATTACCACTATCTCAAATATGCCATTCTTCAACATAAATACTCTCATTCTGCCAAGAAATCTTTGCACCGATTGCTAGGAATATCCCTCGAACTTCCATCATCTACCCCTACCGTCGATAGCGAACCATTTACTCCACCAATCAGATCCGACTCCCGTGTCGCCACCCAAGGTACTGACAAGCACATACCAGTATTTCTCTGGCAGGCTCCCAATAGCAATGCGGCTCTATACTTTGGGGACAAATGGGTTGAATTCCAGTCATTCCTTTCGAGTCGACTTTCCAGCGCCCGCAGAGCAGGTCTAAAGATGCACGCTAATCTCATCTCGAAGAAGTTCCCATCTTGGATGGAATATATGCTTGAACTAACCCGCTGCCGGGGCTATTATCTCCTTTATCCCTCTTTCCCCGCCGTCAAAAGCAGCCATGCCGTACTATCAACTATCCACAACGAACTCTACCGCTTACCAGAAGAGCACACCTCGATCTCGCAATCGCCTAAACCCATCTCTGAAAACCCCCAAAATTCAAACAGTCAAAAACACATTGCCGATCCCAATAGTCCCTCTTCCAGCGGCTCGTCTTCATCGCTGGATATACCACAGGAGGTCGAGCTAGGTTCCGTCGAGCTGCCCTTGGCCGATTCCTCGACCATATCGAGTCTCCTGCAACAATTCCCCGCAGGACTACCGGATGAGCTATCTCCCAAACACGTTTTGCCGTATTCACAGAAAGATCAGACGTCCCCTGACCTTGTTGGGAGGACACAGGCTTATATGAAGGAATTCCGGGAGAAGGTCGGTGGATGCGGAGCCCAGGCTCAACAGCAGGTGGTGGTTGAGGATTTGAAGGCGGATGATCTATTCTGTTCAGAGGGTGAGGAGGGGGTTGGGTTGTAATTACATAGTCGGTTGTCACATCGTCTTTATTTACTATTACATATTGCTCAGCGGTTTTCTTTTTTTAAACACTTTTTATGTCCTTGGTCGGCGGGTCTCGTCCATTATTATTAGTAACATGTTTTTTTCTTCAAGGCAATCTTTCTGGAGTTATTCTTGGGCAAAAGAACTAGATTGTATACTGTTTTCCTTTTTTGACAAGCGTTTGGTCCTTTCACCAAGTTGTTGAGCATTATTCCAATAGCTTTTTCGGTTGGGTTCTAAAATATCCCTCTCTACCTTCTACGGTCAATCTAAAGTTGTACAGTACATACATCAGGAGTGCTTGCGGAATATCATTAGGATAGTTTCTTCTGACTCCTACATATTTAATGTACAATTCCCCCATCAACAGAAGCTAACACTGGACACTCTGATTTTAAATAAGCCTGCGAGTTGTAACATAACTACCAGTAATCTGTAGTTACATAGAAAACACCTGACAGACAGGCTCCCACATGATTTCGGTGCTGAGAATGTAGAGCACCTTGCATCATTTCTTTGGTTGATGCTACTCTCTCTTGTTTGGTAAGGTTCAAACATCCTAACTTACAAACCCTCCAAAGCTCTTGAACAATCAATCACCAGGACACTCCCACACCTTCTCATCCACCTCCCAAATCCATATCATAGCCTTATCCTTATCGACACTTCTAAACTGCCCCATCCCATCCACTGGATTACCTGAACGTGTATTCTTCTTTCCTTTGACCAACCAGACCCGCCATGGCGAAGGATCAGCGGCCCAATGCGGCGGACAAGGGCAAAGGAAAGGTGGACGATATCAGGGAACTAAATGGGGAGAAGAAGGATGCTAAGGATGGCAAACCCCTTGCGAATGGGAAGAAGGAGGAGGGACCCAAGGAAGGTATGGAACGCAGAACAACAAAGCATCACATCCATCTTGTTTTTGGCCCGGCCGCGGCTCGTGGGTTGGAAATGGCCGCATGTTTTTTTGTCTCTTTTTGTTTTGTTTCTTTCGTGTGGGAAGTTGACACAATCGTGTGATTGAAACCTTTTTGCAGAAGAGCTTAGTGAAGAGGATCAACAACTGAAAAGTGAACTTGAGATGCTTGTTGAGCGGTTACAGGTTAGTTGCATTTCGTTGGTCGAAGAGGCGCTCTGGGTTCTAAAGCTATGGTTCTTTTTCTTTAACGCGGCATACGCTTTTGCCAAAATTCTATCTAGGAACCTGATACGTCTCTTTATAAGCCTGCTCTGGAAGCGATTAAGAACTTCATCAAGACGTCCACCTCTTCCATGACCGCTGTGCCGAAACCTCTTAAATTCCTTAGACCGCATTATGACGAGCTTGCTGCGCTATACGAACAATGGCACGCGGGTGATGATAAGGTACGGGATATTCTCCTGGAGTGGTTTGTTTTGTTTTGTTTGGGCGAACTTTTTTCTTTTCGGACTAACCACTGTATGCGTAAACAGGATTCACTTGCCGACATGTTATCAGTGCTTGGCATGACATATGGAGACGAAGAGAAGTTGGAGACACTCAAATATCGTCTCCTTGCCAAATCAGACGATCTAGGTTCATGGGGCCACGAGTACATCCGACACCTTGCTCTGGAGATTGGGCAGGAATACCAGGTTAGGGTGACGGATGATAAGGATGTGCAGGATTTGGTTGATCTTTCCCTATCGCTCGTCCCTTACTTCCTAGCCCACAACGCCGAAGCAGATGCAGTGGACCTCTTGAGTGAACTTGAGATGATTGAGGAAATACCACAGTTTCTCGACGAGAATACGTACTCGAGAGTCTGCCTGTATATGGTCAGCATGGTTAACCTTCTCACATACCCCGAAAATCACCAATTCCTGCGGACAGCGCATGACATTTATATGACTTATAACAAGCTCACCCAAGCTATTGTTATTGCCATTCGGCTGAACGATATTGATCTTATCAAGAAAGATTTTGACTCAACGAACGACCAGGCCATCAAGAGACAAATGGCATTCCTTATTGCGAGACAACAGATATGGCTTGAATTGACACCTGATGAGGAGGAGGAAGGAGGCCAAGAGTTATCCGAGTGCCTGCACAATATTCAACTGCATAACCACTTCAAGGCTCTCGCGAAGGAGCTTAATATTTTGGATCCTAAGATGCCGGAAGACATCTACAAAACACATCTGGAAAGCAATCGAGGATCTGGACTTACTAATGTGGATTCCGCAAGACATAACCTGGCAAGTGCTTTCGTCAATGCCTTCGCCAATGCTGGGTTTGGGAATGATAAACTCATGCTGGTCGATGGCGATAAGGGCCCTTGGGTCTGGAAGACGAAAGACGACGGCATGCTATCCACCGCTGCATCTATGGGAATGCTGCTACAATGGGATGTGGAGGAAGGTTTGGATAAAATCGACAAGTTCACGCTTATTGAAGAGGAGCAAATCAAAGCCGGAGGGTTACTTGGTATCGGCATCCTCAATTCCGGCGTTAGACTTGATGCAGATCCTGCCATGGCTCTGCTCAGTGAGTCCATCGGCCCTGAGGCCGAGAGTGTGCACGTGAGAGTGGCTGCAATAATGGGTCTGGGCCTAGCATATGCTGGCTCATGTAAAGAAGAATTGCTCGAACTTCTTTTGCCCATTGTTGAGGATGTTGCCCTCGACATGCAGATATCTGCTATGGCGGCCGTCTCGCTAGGAATGATCTTCGTCGGTTCTTCAAACCACCAGGTCAGTGAAGCTATTGCGACCACGTTGATGGATGAGGAGCGGCAAAGACAGATGAAGGATAAATGGACGCGATTTATGGCACTTGGTCTTGCACTCCTTTACTTTGGCCGACAGGAAGAAGTCGATGTTATCTTGGATATCCTCAAGGCGATTGACCACCCCATGGCGAAACCTACTTCCGTACTTGCTTCGGTGTGCGCGTGGGCCGGTACTGGTACTGTGTTGAAGCTCCAAGAGTTGCTGCACATCTGTAACGACGTCATAGAAGACAAGGAAGAGAAGAAAGGGGAAGAGTTGGTACAATCATATGCTGTTCTTGGCCTCTCTCTCATCGCGATGGGCGAAGATATTGGACAAGATATGGTCTTGCGACAATTTGGTCATCTGATGCACTATGGCGCCGCAAACATCAGGAAAGCAGTTCCCCTGGCCATGGGTTTGGTCAGCCCCAGCAACCCCCAAATGAAAGTTTACGATACGCTCTCCCGTTACAGCCATGACAATGACAACGATGTCGCGATCAATTCCATTTTCGCCATGGGTCTCCTTGGCGCCGGAACGAACAATGCACGCCTCGCACAGCTCCTCAGACAATTAGCAAGCTACTACCACCGTGATCAGAACTCGCTCTTCATGGTCCGCATCGCCCAGGGCCTCCTGCATATGGGCAAGGGCAGCCTTTCTGTCAACCCCTTCCACACCGATCGCCAGGTCCTGTCGCGGGTGGCTGCTGCCGGTCTTCTTACCGTCCTTGTGGCCATGATTGACGCCAAAGATTTCATTCTCGCCGATTCGCACTATCTCCTCTACTTCCTTGTCACAGCCATGTACCCGCGATTCCTGGTTACACTCGATGAAGACCTCAAGCCTCTTACTGTGAATGTCCGCGTCGGTCAGGCAGTGGACGTGGTGGGCCAGGCAGGAAAGCCAAAGACCATCACCGGGTGGCAAACGCAAAGCACACCCGTGCTATTGTCGTATGGGGAGAGGGCGGAGCTGGAGGATGAAGAATACATCAGCCTAAGCAGTACCTTGGAGGGACTCGTGATTCTGCGGAAGGTAATGAAATCGATAGAACCCTCAAACCCTTAGCTTTTGTGATGCACAGGATGGCTGACTTGGTATTTCTTTCTCTCTACAGAACCCTGAATGGGTAAGCCCAGCGTAAGGAGGTGTATTCTTCCCCTTTCGCCTCTCCAGCTGATGTTCTCAATATTTCCCGAATCAAGTCTCCTACTATTTCTGTGAATAGCGTGTAATGGGTAGTGCTTTTCTTTCATCATTAGGGAGTGGGGTCCTTCTCCTTATATACAAAGACAGCCGGCTTGGCCCCACGATTTTAAATGGCATATTACTGTTCGTTTGTTCCTTCATCCTTGGTCCTTACTACCGCCAGGGCCATCTTGTTGAAAGTGAGAAATGCGTATGCATGCCGGCTCTTGTTAGTGGAGGTTCCTCATATAACACATTTCAGAGTAGACCCATAGATCTTGTAGAATTTAGAGGGAGCCTGAATCATATATTGATTAACTGCCCACCAAACCCATTAGGACATCTAGGACATCGTATCCCAGAACAAAATATATTGTCCAAGAACGCACTTCTCACGGCCACGACCTCGATAACTATCTGGCCTTAATTTCTTTGAGTAAATATTTTCACGACCAGTGTGCTTAAGTTTGTTCTTCGTTTCATCGGGGTATATTTATTGTATGGTCAGGGTGAAAAAAAAAAAAAATTAGGGTTTCGGGGTTAGCTTCCTTACCCCTCCAGCCTGAAGCACGATTTTAACCAAAGGGAAAACTTGTCGAAGTCCAGCCATCCCCATTTCCCTCTATCTCTCAAAGCTGTTGGCACACCCTCCAAAATGAAGCTCGACCCAAAGGCAATGCGGTATTTGGCCGCAGAGGACTTCCGTACTCTCGCAGCTGTATGTCTACGCTTACCTTCCCTTCCCATTCCGTCCCCAAATAAGAGCCGTAACCCCGTGTGTACCTCGCTGTTTTTGCCATGAACGGCGGGGTAATTGACAAGATGACTCTCATATCTACAGGTCGAAATGGGCAGCAGGAATCACGAAGTTGTACCTACGCCGTTAATCGTCCAGTTATCGGGGCTGCGCGGTGGAAGTATCGTGCATAAGTGTATATCGAACCTGGCGAAGATAAATTTGATAGCAAGAGTGAAGAATGCGAGGTGTACGTATATAATATAAACAATGACCATGGATCTTGGTATTCTCCTATTTCTTGCCTCAATTAACATGCTACCCTTCTCTCTCTCCAGACGACGGCTACCGCCTCACCTATGGCGGCCTCGACTACCTCGCCCTTAACTCCCACCAGAAGCAAAAGTCCATATACTCGGTCGGCAACCAAATCGGCGTCGGCAAAGAATCAGACATTATCGTCGTCGCCAATTCAGACGGCAAACAACATATCCTCAAAATCCACCGGTTGGGCCGCATCTCGTTCCGCACGGTCAAGACCAACCGCGACTACCTACGCCACCGCAGCTCCGCGTCATGGATGTACATGTCGCGCCTCGCAGCGATGAAGGAGTTTGCCTTTATGAAAGCGCTACACGAGCATGGGTTTCCGGTCCCCGAACCCATCGCGCAGAACAGACATACGATTGTTATGAGTTTGATCGACGCGTTCCCTCTCCGGCAGATTTCTTCGGTTCCGGACCCTGGCAGGCTTTATTCGGAGCTTATGGAGATGATTGTGCGGTTGGCCGGGGTGGGGCTTATACATGGTGATTTTAACGAGTTTAATATTTTGATTAAGGAGGAGGTCGTTGGGTCTGAGACGGCAAGGGGCAAGAGAAAGGAGGGAGGTGATGGTGCTGAAGGGGAGAATATCAATCTGATACCCATCCTTATCGACTTCCCGCAGATGGTCTCTGTGGATCATCCTAATGCGGAAATGTACTTTGACAGAGATGTGCAGTGCATCAAAAGGTATTTTGAGCGGAGGTTTGGATTTTCGAGTGATGAGAAAGGGCCATTTTTTAAAGACGCGAAGAAGCTAGTGGGGACGAAGAAAGGGGGTGCAAGGCTGGATGTTGAAGTTGAAGCGTCGGGTTTCTCGAGGAAGATGGCAAGGGAGTTGGAGGCGTACATGAAGGAGATGGGTGTCGATGGAGACGGAGGTGAAAATGGGGAGCGTGATGATCTACGATCTGATGAGGAAGGAAATGAAGACGAAGAAAATGAAGAGGATTCCGAGGAGGAGGGAGAGAATGAAGATGACGGCGTCCCATTAGGTGACGAAGTGGATGCTTTTGGAAACACGATACAGAAAAAATCTGAGGTAGAGCAACCTAATATTTCTGAATCGGAATCTACAAAGGGAATTAGCATTGAGCAGCTCCAAATATCTGACTCTAAACTGCAAGCTGCATGAATATACTAGTATTTATGATTTACGCTTTTGCTCTCACTTACGGGGTTCGGGATAATGGTGGTGGTGTTGAAGCTTTACAGCGGGCGTACATAATGGATAAATTTTAACGGTTCGCATTTATAGTCTAATGAGATGATCACACTTACATATAATATTTGCTTTACATGTCATGCAAGAATGTCTTCTGTATTTCGCATGCTTCGTTTCTTCTGATAGAACTATCCGCATTGTTGCAAAAGAAATTTATACGGGCACCCTTACGTGCCAATGATGTATTTTTTTACCATTTCCGAACTCGTTCTTTGCCTGGCGTCCAACAAACCACCGAAAATAATTCAATTGATACTGTTTGTCGACTCGATTTGTCGTTTATCCCCCGCTATATCCATATATCAATGAGATAGGTCATCATGCGCAAAAAAGTAGCAGAAAGGCTGTCGCGCCTCCGCGAGGCCCGCCCATACCTACGACCGATTCCTCATGAACAACGGAAGCAAATATATCTGTATGAGCGCAACCCGCACCCCTTTACCCGGGCACCCGCTGTTATTTATTCCTATTCCCCTATGCGAATGCTTTCCCAGTTGCTCAATTTGTGGAGGACCTATATAAGTCAAAGTCTTAGAGATGTCTAGCTAACCTCTGCTGGCAATACGCAAAAAAAACCCCAGACCCGACTTTGTCATTACACTCATCCGCACCCCATTCCTCCCACCCAGATATGCCTCCTTTTGGGTGCCGCTGACCTTCAACAAACTGGACATTAAAGACTACCTGAAACAGGCGTACGGCGTAGATGTCCTGAAAGTACGCAGCTATGTCGAACAACAGAGAATCACACGTGAGAAGCCGTGCGGGAAGGAAGGGTATGGCAAATGGCGAAGACCCATGGCTAGGAAGAAAATGACGGTGGAAATGACGGAGCCCTTCGTGTGGCCGGAGGAGCCGGAGGATTATAAGCCGTATGTCCTTAGTTCTGTCCCCTACCTTTTTGTTGCATTGTTGTTATGTCTTACTATGTCGACCAGCAGATCGGCGCTAACTAACAATCTTTTATTTATTTCCTCCGTGACAGATGGGAAAAAGATCGATATTTTGAAGCCAAGAAGCTTCAAGAGGATGCCTCCGAGAGCATTGCGCCAGACGCGAAGAACAAACCCATGCCACAGAAGAGGCGCGACACTATAGCTGAACAGGCGAAGAGGCTGCTGGAGGGTAAAGAGGAGTGGCAGCCGACTTGGAAGGCTCTGGGGTTGAATTATGACAGACCTGTACTCGGCGCTGGTGTGAATAGTGCGAAGATGGCTCCCGCTGAGATATTAAAGGGAGAGAATAATACGGGTCCTGTGGCAGAGAGGAAGTGAGTGTGGACCACCTTGTCCGGATGGAAGCTGGGCTGGGATATTGTATGTATATGGATGTGGGGTCTATACTTCCTTCTTTTTATGGAAAACATTCTGTTCACGGGTCGATATTGGGATTTGTTTCTTGCAGCTTTTTGGTTGTTTTAGGTCCCGTGATATGGGTGGAATATGTTGCAAACGAATGTCTCCCTTTAGATAAAAAACGGGACCCAGGAGGCAGGAAACTGAGAATGATTCTAGTTATGTATTTTCTGTTTTAGTGTATTATACAAATAGACATGCTATTGCTACAAGAGATTTTAGGGACCTACATAGGTTCACGGTCAGAAGTGTTGTATAGGAGCATGAAACAGTTTTACGAGAACAGTAGTTTCCTAGTTCTTTCCAGAAGAGATCTTCATTGGTTAATCACCTAATTGAGGCAAACATATATAATAATAATAATGATAATAATAATAATAATATTTCAACAGCTTGGGATGCTGAAAAAAAAAAAAAAAAAATTTCTTGCCATTATTTTCCAAAGGGGATATGCAATTGACACAGCGAGCAAGGAGAATTACTGACTCGAACGTTTCGAAATAGATCTGGATTAGGGGGGAATAGAGTGGGGTTTATTATGTACTGCGTGATATAGAAAAAACAATGCGAGAATGGAAATATACTAATTGGATTGAAAACAGAAAGGAGCAATGGGAAAGATCAAAGAAGAAATACATATCAGACACCGCTCGCTAATTATGCAATCTTGTTTAGTGGGATATTTCCCTTATCTTGAAAGGACTGGCACACGGTATAATTGGGATGTCGAGAGAAGGAAAAAGTAAAAGAACTACAATCTGCTCTCAAACATCGGAGTGTGCTCGCCCGGCCAGTGCGCATGCGGCCAGATGTGCCGGATTGCTTCCCAGATGTGCCTGTGGGAGGGTTGAAAGTGTTAGGAACATGGTGGAAAATGGTGTGATCTCACTCTGAATAAACGTGGAAGAAAAGAAATGAAAAGGAAGAAGAAACGGGGTGGGGGAGGCTTACTTGACATGCACAATTTCCAAACTATTCTTAACCTCGACAGGAACTTCCCGTACTTCTTTGCGATTATGCTCAGGGAGCAAAACAATCTTCACGCCTGCGCGGTGCGCACCGATGAGCTTCTCCTTAATGCCACCAACAGGCATCACCCGGCCGCGGAGAGAAACTTCTCCCGTCATGGCGACATCTGGCGGCACCGTCTTGCCAGAGAACAACGAGATCAACGCGATCGTATGTGCAAGGCCGGCAGAGGGCCCGTCCTTGGGGATCGCTCCGGAAGGGCAGTGCACATGCAGGCTGCGATGTTTCATGATATCCTCGTTGGGATCGTGGGTCAAACCCAGGTCGAACGAGTGTGCTTTGACCCAGGTAAGCGCCACTTCGACAGATTCTTTCAACACATTACCCAGCTTGCCTGTCAGCTGCACGCGGCCATTGCCCGGCATGTCGGCCACTTCAATGAAGAGGATGCTACCCTGGCCACCGGTGGAGTATGCGACAAGGCCTGTCACGATACCAGGACGTGCGTGTTTTTCTGCGATTTCTTCGTCGAAACGCTCGATGCCGAGGATTTCGTCTAGGTCTTCGATGGAGACCTGCGGATTATATGTGTGTTCTTTGGACGTATCTTTGGCATCTGCATATTGGACAGCTTTGTAGCGGCAGACGGAGCCAATTTCGCGTTCTAAGTTGCGGACCCCAGATTCACGGGTGTAGGCTGTGATGATTTTCTCAAGGACTTCGTCAGAGAGGAAGACTTGGCCGTCTGAAAGGCCGTTGGTCCGGATCTGTTTGGGTACGAGATGGCGGGACGCGATATGTTTCTTCTCAACGGTTGTGTAGCCGGAAAGCTGGATTGTTTCCATACGATCCAAGAGGGGTGGAGGGATAGTATCCAAAGAGTTTGCGGTTGCGATAAACAATACTTTACTCAGATCGATGGGGATGTTTATGTAGTGATCTGTAAAGCTATGGTTTTGCTCTGGGTCAAGGACCTCCAACATGGCAGCTGACGGGTCGCCGTGGAAATTGGAGCCGACCACCTTGTCGATCTCATCAAGCAAGAAAACTGGGTTGGCAACACCCACTTTCTTCAGTCCATTCACGATAAGCCCAGGCATTGCCGCGACGTAGGTCCTCCGATGTCCGCGAATCTCGGCCTCATCCCTCACACCACCAAGAGAAATACGATGGAATTTGCGGCCAAGTGCTGTGGCAACTGATTTGGCCAAACTGGTTTTTCCCGTACCAGGAGGGCCAACAAGGAGCATAATTGGAGATTTGTCTGTCATACGCTTTGATTTGAGAAGCTGTAGCTTAGTTTCTATGGCGGCCCGCTCAGCGCTAGATTTAGATTCAGTTTCGTCTTCGCTGCTGTTCTCATCTACGTCCAAATCTGTCGAGAGCTTTGAAATTTGATTATCAACATCAGCGTTGAGAGTCTGCTTCAGTTTTAGAACCGCCAAGTACTCCAACAGGCGTTTCTTTATTTTTTCCAGGCCGTAATGGTCATCGTCCAACTGTTTCCTGGCCCTCTGGAGCGTTTCAACACCCAACTGGTCCTCAGTGACCTTAGACCAAGGAATCTCAGCCAGATTCTCCAAGTATGTTCGGCAGACGCCATATTCTGCGTTGGAAGGATTCATCTTACGGAGCCGCTTGAGTTCACGATCTGCTACTTTCTGGGCTTCTGGGCTTAGCTTGGCATCTTGAAGTTTTTGCTGGAGTTCATCGATTTCGTTTGGTTCCTTCTCTTCGCCGACATCCCCCATTCCTCCGTGAATCCCCGGTGGAAAGCCATTGATTCCCGTCATGGAGCGTCGGGACAGTAGTTCTCTTTGGCGCGGATCCAACTGATTGATATCAACGCCAAAATTCGAAGGATTGCTCGATGTAGTGATAGAAGCCACCTTAATATTGCTTCTCATGTCTTGGACTTGTCTTGACAAGAGTTCCACAACTTTCTCTAGCCTGGTCTTCAGGTCAATCGAAGCTAGAACCTGTAGCTTTTCCTCGAATGTGGTTTCCACCACATCTGTCATAAAATCGGCGAGAGTTCCTGCTTGCGAGATACTCTTCTTGGCGATGAAAAGTTCAAATCGTCGAGCAATCAGGGGAGATATGCCATTGGTTTGATGCGGAAAGAAGGATGTGAGTCTGAGGAAAGCCAAAAGTTCTCGTGAAAGTCGCTTGACCTGGTCAAAGAGTGTTACGATTGCGATGTCAGTGGCAAGGGGGGCTGTGTATTTGATATCTATTAGTTTTCATATGCCATTGTATACATATACGCGAAGGATAATTAAACACAAGGCAACCTACCAATTTCATCATGTACAGTCACATCCGCCTCTAAGAACGGAGTCTCCTTGGTAACCTTGCTAATCGAAAACCGCTTCAAGCCTTCCACAAGTAGACATGGCTCACTATTTGGCCTTCCCTGAACGCCAATAACCTTAGCTACTGTGCCATAGCTGAAGAGATCATGCTTGGAAGCTTTAGCTGGGTCGACTGTGCTCGAGGCTGCTGATCGGGTACTTGATCCGTCCACATTATTCAACAGCTTCTTGCCATCCTTGCTCAGAAAGGGAGAATTGAGAGGAGAGCAGCCAACAATGGTGGCATTTCCAGCCTTTAAGGAGGATTTGCTGAAGAGAGAAGTGAGGAGGAGAGGGATATCAGGGCGTTCCGACAGCGGAATACGAAGGGTGACACCGGGCAAGAGAACCGAATCCCTAGATAGCGGTAGCAAAGGGAGGTTTGTTGATCGCGATGAATTGGTGCCCATGATGGCAAAGCTTGATGTGTCCTTTTGCGAGGACGGAGAGGGATGGTTAATGCACTGAAAAAGCGGAGAAGGCGAACTTGTTCACTTAACCGTTAATGCGGAGACAACTACTTAACAAACCAAGGCGGAGTGGGCGCTCTTGGGAGAGGGACAAAAACAGGATGTTGGAAGAGCAACACTATGGCCACAAACAAGGAGTGGTGGTGCGTGGGACAGGGTAGAGGAATGGGAGGAGCAAGTGTTTATGAGGTTGAGCGGGCGAGGATCTGAGGCTATCTCGACCCACGCCGCCTCCGATGCTCGGTGCCGAGGTTAGTTAGTTGCCTTTGAGAGGACCATAATTGGTCTGGAACGATGGTTTAACAAATCGAGGAGTCAATAGCAACCCAAACAGGCTATAATATTATTTGTAATGAATACTCTTGGAGTCGGATAGGCGGTTGTCCTACCATCTCTTGACTGCTTTGACACAGCCTGTAAATTATTTCGTTGTCCCCAAAATGTCATGTATGGGTTTTATCCCAAGCTTTTGAGTGGCGGAACATCTTTCTAGCATATGTCAACTCACTAACTTAAATGAGAGCCGGACGAAAATTGAAAAATAATAATGATGATGATTTCTCAACATCACCACCACATTGCGTCTCAAGGCTTTAAAAAATTAAACAGTTTCCCTCTGCCCTTTGAACCTAGCCTGTTTATCAATGCAAGCTGAATAATTAACCAAATATAGACTAATTGCAAGCAGGATTAATTACTGATCCAGCCTCTCAACCATGGCCGCTGCCCCTCCACAAGCTCACCCCGCGTCGGAAACGTCGCCAACAAAGACCACTTTTACAATTGGCACACGCAAATCAAAACTTGCCCTGGTGCAGACCGATCTCGTGCGGGATGCCCTAAAAGCCGCCTGGCCACAGTACGAATTCGACATCCTTACCAAAGATGCAGCAGCAGACCTGGATAAAGTAACACCACTCCGCGAATTCACTTCGAAGAATCTCTGGACAGAGGAACTTGAAGAACTGTTGCTTGCGAAACAGATTGATCTTGTTGTTCATTCATTGAAAGGTAGGTTTTTTAATTCACGTTCTTTCCGATTTTTGCCCTTCTAGATTTTGAAAGTGTTTTGCTTCGCTTCCAATTGTTAGTTTTGTCTTTATTTTATTATTGATTTCTATTGCCTTCTTCCCGCCAGTGTTCATTTAATATATCTTCTCCTCCAACAGATGTGCCAACTCAAATTCCCACAACATGCATTCTCGGCGCTATGATGCCGCGAGAAGATCCTCGAGATGTCCTAGTTATCAAGAAGGGGCTGCCAAACATGACATTAGCGGAACTTCCCGCAGGATCCATAGTGGGGACCTCCTCGGTACGGCGCATCGCGCAGCTGTCACGACACTACCCGCACCTCATAGCCAAGGATGTAAGAGGAAACATCGACACCCGTTTAACAAAGCTCGACGCCCAGGATGGGCCTTTTAGCGCTCTAATCCTGGCCGCTGCGGGCCTTTTGCGGACTGGCCAAGGCGCACGTATCTCTCACTACCTAGACTCGAAGGATGGCAAGATGCTACATGCTGTGGGCCAGGGAGGGTTGGGAATTGAGATACGAGCGAATGATGAGCGGATGAAAGAGATGGTTGAGAAGATTGGGGATAGGAAGACTACTTTTGCGTGCCTGGCTGAGAGGAATCTGCTAAGGACGTTGGAAGGGGGTTGTAGTGCGCCGCTTGGGGTTGAGACGGAGTGGGTGCAGGGTGCAGAGGGGAAGGAGACATTGATGCTACGCGCTATTGTGTCGAGTGTGGATGGGAAAGAGGCTGTGGAGATTGAGAAGGTTGAGAAAGTTACGTCTGGAGAGGAGGCGGAGGTGTTCGGGAAGAAGGTTGCAGATGAGTTGGTTGTGCTGGGTGCTGGGAGGATTCTGGCGGAAATTCAGCAGAAGAAAAAAGCGTGGGGTAGATAATTAAGCACTCTAATATCTGACGAATCCGCCAAAGTACTTGGCAGGTAGGCATTCGATGATCTGATATATGACGACCTATGATGATTTGGGCTGCTTGTTTGTCATATCAAACTGCATATGGATCAATGCCCGAAAGGCTCACTGTATGGCGATGATACTACCTTTTTATATTACGCTTTCTAGCAGTCCTATGCACGATAACTGCCATGATACCACTCTATAGTCACTAGCCATTGTAATACCGCATGGAAGGAAGGAAGGAAATTCATATCCGCCAAACTAAAATATATATCTATGAACCAATGAGGTAGTTGCCTTGGAGAAATATGCAGGCATCTACAGCCTCGCCCGATGACAAAACTTGAATATACACACTTATGAATATGCATCTCCTCCCATAGCCACCTCAGATGTACATACTTTTCATGAAATCCAAGTCACTATCTCGTTACTGTTAAAAGGCTGTCCCACAATCCCAACCAAATCACTGAGCACCCCTCACCGTTTTGACCTGACTATCAGTTTTGTCACCTAAATATAAACGAAACAGAGCCCCAAACGTAAATCACTCAACAAATAACAGCAGAACAAACGGCTGGCTCATTTTTAGCTATTATAGCTATGACTAAACGCCCAACCTCAAATGATTACCCACGCATCTATCTGTTCGGAGACTCGCTGACGGAGCGGGCCTGCTACGAGGGGGATAATGGGTTTGCGTGGAAATTGGAGCAATATTACGACGGCAGGGTGGATGTTGTCAATGAAGGTGTGTATTCGTGTTTTTATTTTTTATTTTATTTTAGTTTTTCAAAAGAAAGGACTGGTTTTTTTTTTTTTTTTACATGTAGTTGCCTACCAGTTGTGTTTACATGGTTTAAGGAACTGGGCCCCACTATGGATTAAGAGCTCTTGATGCATGGAGAGAGCTTGTGTTTTAGTTCTAGTACTGATTCATGATTTATGCAGGATATTCTGGGTAAGTCGTTAAACAGCAGCTCTTTGTATTGCTGAATGATGAAATATATCCATATATTCATCATCCGTTGTCCATACATACCCATATACATCCTTCCCCACCAACTTGTTCCAATGTAGTGGCATTGACCTGAAGAATTTCCTTCCTCGAAATTCAGTCAAACCACAAAAACTCTCCGTCGCACATTTGAAAGGGAGATCGTCAATAAGATTACAGACCGCGGACCCCCTGCCCCCCTATTCATTACCATTTTCCTAGGTGCCAACGACGCCTGTCTCTTATCCTCGGGTCCTTACGTGCCATTGCCGGAATTCGAAGAGCACATCCGACACTACGTGAAGAGTATCCTGGACCATCCCGGCGCGCAGAACACCAAGATCATACTGATCACGCCCCCTCCTGTTGATGTGCCCTCATCCGAAATGGACTCTGCCGACGACCTGCCCGAAGTTGCGGAGGTCATGCAGTCCATGGCAAAGTTAAGTAGGGGGCACAAGACGTGGGCTTCAAAGAGACTTTTTGCGGAGAAGATTGTGGATATAGGGAGGGAGTTTGAAAGGCAAACAGAGCGTGTGGCGGTGTTGGATTTTTGGACGGCCATGACCAAGGCCAAGTGCAACGAACTGGGGTTTACTGACGAAGAGTTCCATGACCTGGATACCAGGGATATGCTCCCGGGCTCAGGATTGCCTGGTGCGAAAATGTTCGGGAAAGAATTCCTGATTGACGGGTTGCATTTTGGGAGTCGAGTATGTTGACCGCTTCTGCTCTGTTATCTGTTGGCGTGTTTTGAAGAGGACGGGAGGGTTTCGTGAAGCTGACATGTATTTTGTTTTTCCGAAGGGATACGACATTCTGACTCGCGAGCTGTTTGGGTTATTCCTGGCGAAGTGGCCAGAACTAAAAAGGGAAAATTTCCCCTTGCGTGTATGTGTGTTCCGTTCCATGAATTTGTGATGAGAATCCCCAATGATTCGCTAACAATGTATTGCGATTTTAGGGGTAATCTAACTACTCCGTTGGGACTTAGGATAGCTAGATAGCTAATGTTGGACGCCATCGGCGTTTTGGAAACATACCAATAACACTCTCAAACAGGCCGTGGGCCAGATTCATCAACCTCTATTCAACGTGTTACCGGACCCTCGCGGATTATCCTCAGTGAACTCATCCCACGCCCTCGCTTTCATAGTTTCTTCATCAGCCTTTTCTAGATCATCTTCGTCAATTTCCTTTGGTTGGTCGGATTGCTCTCCACCACCCTCGATAATGCCTCCCCTTTTCCGCTCCTCTTCTAGATATTCATCAATCGACATGGTGGGCAAGTTATGGCCGGGTCTAAAAACTCCGTTTCGAAGTTCCGTGCGCTTGCTTGTGAGGACGAATGGTTGTAGCGGTACGCCAGTTTTGCTTAGAAGAGGCCCTACTCTGCCTCCACGGACATTCTGAGCGAACCCTATATCCAATCGATCGGAAAAGCCGGGTGGATTGTCGGAGTCACGTTGTCTATTATCATGATTGTAACCAGGATCGGTCGATGGGACAGCAGCCTGGGTACTTGCAAGCATGGATAATTCCTGCGATAACATGTCCAGGGCTTGGAATGTCTGGTGTGTATAGAGTTTAATCTCAGCTAGGTATAGTTGTCGAGTTAGATCTTCATCAGCTTGAAAGCTGCCTTGACTTTGTGAAAGATACTACAGAATTTTTTTTCAAGCCACATTTAGCACCAGCCTAATCCAAAGTGCCATAGAAAATTACGTATCTGGATTTATTTTTATACCTCTAGTTGCTGTTTCAGCTCTTTCTCATCTCGATACCTGGATATTTTGATATTCCTCCGCGCAACAGCATCGTTTAAAGGGCATAGGCTAAATGAGCGGGGGTTTTCCGTGTATCGTTCGTAGAGCTTCTTATCCTCCAGCGAGAGAAGGCCATATTGATCTAGACGCTCTAGATATTTTTCATATTCATCCCGCGACCGCTGGAGGGTTTTCACGCGGTCTGTGTCGTATGATCTTTGGAGAAGGTCGGCAAGGACATAATCGGTGGTCAGGTACCTAGTGATGGTCCGAATAACGGGGATTTGCTTAGTTTGGCTTGTCCCGTAGATCTCCTCGAGAAGCACCTTAGGTACAGGCATGGCCACCTACTGTAGATCCCCAGTGGTAATATCATCTAATGACTCATTGGTACTGAATAAGGAGAGCTGTGCAATGCGCCGTTGGCATTCTTCGAATTCTGCGATTACGTCGCTGAGAGCTGGAGTATTTTCTGATGAAGGGGAGTCGAGAGCTTTCTTGTGTGATTTCGCGCGGGATAAGAGTGCATGGAGGGTGCCAGGATGTGCAGCCATAGCTTACACTGTCAGATCATGTATATAATAGAAGTACCAAGGGGTCGAGCGAGGCTTTTTGGTATTGGGAGATTCCGCTGCCAATCTTGGTGGCGGTAGTAGTCTCAAGTCATGTGAAGATAGGCTTATCAGTCAGTAATTGTCTGATAGCCACAAACCTTGGAGCTCAACCTGTTGACCTATATGGAATCTTGCATAAGTTCTACCATATCCTGTTCTATGAATTAGATATATTTTGATGACCATGCTGTATATACCCGTTCAGCTAGCTAAATTAAACATATTCTCTTTTATCCCCCACCCTATGCTCTTTGACTATCGCAAACATGTGTGTGTGCGTGTTGGTGACCGACATAAATTCACGCTTTCCAAACATTCTTTAGATTAATTTCAGATATCTCTCATCTACCCTTTCTTTGTTATGTTCTTGAAAATATACAAAATAGGCTTCAATCTCGCAACTATTTCACATTGTCCAGATACACACGCCTTGTCATCTGCGGCCCAGCCACTTCTGTTCTTTTACCTCACACTTTTTAGGATAGCTGACTCCCGTCAGGGCGGTTGATTCTGGTGTAGCTCTCATAGGGAGGGCCCTTGGAGGAGCCAACTGCGGGGAGATATAGGTAAAAGATGAGCGCCATGGATATCGATAAGCTCTCCATGCTGCCTGACGAAACCTCAGAGCCAGAGGAATCAGATAACGAGTTAGAGAATTCTGATCGGGGTCTTATAAATGTAGAAGATCTACGACAGAAGCAAAATGCCAAATTCAAGGCTTTGTCAGTATCTCTTTGACTACCCTGGACCAAATATTACATTTTTCTGATGGGAACAATCTTTTATAGGCTGTCAAGAGCATCCGAAGCCATTACGGCGGAAGACATCCAACGGGCAACGAAAGTTAAAACCGAGAGTGAGCTTTCTATGACGAATTTGATAGAGAATCAAGACTTCACCTCTATTATCCATGACCCAAGAGAGTATCAACTGGAGTTGTTTGAAAAAGCGAAAGCTGCCAATATCATTGCTGTGCTGGATACAGGTATGCGTTTTCATGCATTCAATTCCTATTCAGATATTAATATGTGTAGGATCCGGCAAAACATTTATCGCTGTGCTTTTACTTAAACATGTGATCCAAAGCGAATTAGCTGATCGAGCAAGCGGAAATCCACCTCGTATATCATTCTTTCTGGTTTGTCCTGACTGTTCCCTTTTGAAAAAAAGCCCGATATCTAAAGTCGGTCTAGGTTGATAGTGTTACCCTCGTATACCAACAAGCCGCGGTCTTGAAAGCAAACATTGATCAGAATATCGACAAATTTTGTGGAGCGATGCAAACTGACCTATGGAGCAAGGAGACTTGGGAAAAACACTTCTCGAAAAATATGATTATAGTCTGCACTGCCGAAGTCCTGTATCAATGTTTACTCCGCTCTTTCATCCGAATGGAACAAATCAATCTCCTTATTTTCGATGAAGCCCATCATGCCAAAAAAGAGCACCCGTATGCCAGGTGAGAAGCTACGATATTTTCAGCCAACTGTACTTCTGTAACTGATGGGGTATATAGAATTGTGAAAGATTTCTATTTGCGAAGACCCGAAGCACAAAAAAGACCCAAGATATTCGGAATGACGGCATCACCAGTTGACGCGAAGGTGGACGTGGCAAAAGCTGCAAAGTACGGAATCGCTAGAGTGATAATAATTGGATTTGCATTCTGGCTAATCCATTTTGCCTAGGAATCTTGAGACGCTACTCGACAGTCAGATTGCAACCGCGTCCAACCAGGATGTTTTGCGGCAAGCGATAGCGCGGCCAACTGAACAAATATGGGTGTATGACAAACTTGATGCAACATCTGAAACTGACTTGTACAAGTGTATGCAATCACGCTTTGGTAAAATTCGTGAACTTGAAAAGATTTTCTTCTATGCCTTGGAGGCAAGCTCGATGCTGGGGAGATGGTGTTCAGATTGGCTATGGACATTCGCTTTGGAAGCAGCCGAATTGCCCAAACTCGAAGGCAGGGTCTCTAAGAGCTATATGCAATCTAGCTCCAGAGACCACTCCAAAGGGCTTGACGAAGCAATTAGACTTCTTCGAGAAGCTGGGCAGCTCATCAGAAACCACACGTTTGATACTCCGGTGGATTGCCCCGCACACCTGAGTTCGAAGGTGCGACTACTGCGCCATGAGCTTTCCTTGTACTTTGAACGGCACACGGATACCAAATGCATTGTATTTGTTCAGCAGCGGCATACAGCGAGGCTGTTAGCAGAGCTGTTTTCTCGAATCGGAACGCGGCATATGCAAACAGGAATTCTTATAGGGGTTCAGCATGATGGAATTGGGGGCGCGAACTTTTCGTTCCGACAGCAGTTTTTGACGCTGTTGAAGTTTCGCAAAGGGGAGCTCAATTGCCTGGTATACTGGTTCCGTTTTCCTTATTCTTCAAGGACCATAGAATTCTTCGTTAACAGGAGCAGTTTGCAACGTCCGTCGCTGAAGAAGGGTTGGATATCCCAGATTGCAACTTGATTATCAGGTGAGAATATTTCACACCCCATCCAACAGGTACGAAACTCACTGTATACTAGGTTCGACCTGAGCTTGACCATGATTCAGTATATTCAAAGCCGTGGAAGGGCCCGACATTCGAACTCAATAGTATGGCTTTCACTCTATGATTCAGAATGTCTCGCTAACGGCACTCTGCAGTACGCACACATGGTTGAACGAGGTAACCTTATCCACGCGTCATGTATCCAGGAGGCCCAGCGAGCAGAGGTGAGATATATGAGCGCAGGGTTTAAGCGGGCTCTTTGGACTAAAATTTCCTAGCATATCATGCGACGGTTCTGCGAAGCTCTCCCGGAAGACCGGATTATTCGCGGAAGTAGTGATGATTTGGGAATGAATCTAGACAAGGAACGATACTATAAATCGTTTACCGTCCACAGCACTGGGGCGACGTTGACTTATCCCTCTTCACTTGTTGTTCTTGCGCATTACGCAAGCTCTTTAGTAAGATTTCCTCCCTGATGGCATTACGTGCAAGCTAATATTCGCCAGCAATACGAGAAAGAAACGTCCCCTCAGGTGAACTACTTCATTGAGCGGATAGACAGTGCTTTTGTTTGCGAGGCAATCCTCCCCGAAAAGTCCCCTTTCCGGGGATTGACGGGCAAACCGTCAGCACGGAAGTTGCATGCCAGACAATCTGCTGCTTTCGAAACATGTTTGATGCTTAGAAAGAATGGGATCCTCGATGACCATTTCGTGTCAAAATATCACAAAAGGCTGCCGGCGATGAGGAATGCGAAGCTAGCCATCAAATCGAAGAAAACGAATCAGTATGATATGATGGTGAAGCCCAAACTGTGGGAAAGTGGTCGTGGCACTACTCCAAGTGTAATATGGGCTACTCTCTTGATGTTAAGTCCTGTGGCTAAATTGCGGCGAGACTATCAACCTCTGATCTTATTCACGCGATACCAGCTTCCGAAGTTTCCCATATTCCCGCTGTATCTTGAAGATGACATTGAATCAGGAGTTATTACGACTCCCCTGCGGATGCCGTTCCGAGCTTCAGAAGATGAGTTGGGTCTACTCACTACGTTCACTCTCAGGATTTTCCAAGATTTGTTTCATAAAGTATATGAACATCAGCCGGCTATGATGACGTATTGGCTTGCTCCAGCAAGGTTGAATTCTAACTATCGTGATATGTCAGAAGCTGTAGACCCACGACAACTTCTTGACATCAGCATTATTCAGTATGTGCAACAGAATTCCGAAATACGCTGGTCCTTCGATATGCCACCTAGCGAGGTAGAAAACCGATTTCTGTTCGACAAATGGGATGGTAGATATCGTTACTTCACGTCCACGGTGGAACCGACCCTACGTCCCTCGGACCCTCCCCCAGCTACGATGGCGAAGAGAAAGCATATGGAAAATATAATGAATTATTGTCTTAGCCTATTTAAGAATTCCCGCTCCAAGTTCTTAGGGGAATGTGATTGGAAGCAACCAGTCGTTCGAGCTGAATTGGTTCGACTTCGCCGGAACCTTTTGGATAGGGCAACGGAACAGGAAAGGGGAGAAGAAACGGCGTATTATATTTGTCCAGAACCTCTGAGGATATCAGCTGTAAGGTCTCTTTACGAGTAGGAATAATTTGCAAAACTAATAATTTTAGTAGTTACCCCCACCGGTTGCCGCGTTTGCCTTTGCATTTCCGGCTATTATTAGTCGCATAGAGTCCTACTTGATTTCTCTTGAGGCATGCGACAAACTTCAACTCAGTATCGAGACGCATCTCGCTCTAGAAGCCTTAACAAAGGACTCAGATAACACTGAAGAGCATCGAAAGGAACAGATTCATTTCCAACGTGGAATGGGTAAGAATTATGAGCGGTTGGAGTTCCTAGGGGATTGTTTTCTGAAGATGGCTACTTCGATCTCCCTTTTTGCGATGAACCCTGACAATGACGAGTTCGATTTTCACGTTAAAAGGATGTGTCTGATTTGCAACCAAAATCTGTTCAATACTGCTGTTCGTCTCAAACTCTACGAGTTTGTCCGCACACAGGGCTTCTCAAGGTTTGTTTTCCCAAGGGCTCTGGACTTCAGTGCTTACAGCTGACAAATGATAGACGGAACTGGTATCCTGAGGGTATCAAGCTTCTTCAAGGAAAAGCTAAGTCGGAATCAGCACAAAACAAACAGGCTTTGGGCGACAAAACAATCGCGGATATTTGCGAGGCACTTATCGGGGCTTCCTTGTTGTCAGGAGGAAAAGCTTGTCGGTTCGATACGGCAGTTAAGGCAGTGACTGTGTTTGTGGACAGCGACAACCACCGAGTTTCTGATTGGAATAGTTATATCGACCTATATTCACTACCAAGCTATCAAATTGCCCAAGCGGATGCGGGTCAACTTGACTTGGCTAAGCAAATAGGCAACCGGTTAGGATATTACTTCACATATCCAAGGTTGCTCCGTTCCGCATTCACACATGCATCATACCCGTCAGCATGGAGTACCGTTCCGTGCTATCAGCGTCTAGAGTTTTTAGGCGATTCTTTGCTCGACATGGTTTGTGTTGAACATCTGTATCACCATTATCCTGATCGGGATCCTCAATGGCTCACAGAACATAAGGTACTGTCCCAGTCTAAGTCAAAAGGAGGAGGATCATGAGTAATAAGACAAAGCTAACGGTTTAATAGATGGCTATGGTATCAAATAAGTTTCTGGGTGCAGTCGCTGTTAAGTTGGGGTTACATAAACACCTCCTATATATTAGCAATGCTCTTTTTGGCCAAATCACTAGGTACGCCGAGGAGATTGAAGTTGCAGTGGCCGAGAGTGCCGATTCTCCAGATGCCTGGACAACGACCAGCGATCCGCCCAAGGTATGTGGTGGGATTCTTGAGCATTAAGGAATTCGGTAGCTGACGAACGTCGTAGTGCTTGCCGGATATGCTAGAGGCATATATCGGGGCAATATTCGTCGATTCGAATTTCAGTTTTGAGGTGGTAGAGGATTTCTTCCAGCGATATCTCAAACAGTACTTTGAGGACATGAGCATTTACGACGCCTTTGCAAACAAGCACCCAACGGTATGTATCCACATCCATCGCACCACCTCATTTACAGTACATATACGTACTTACATACGTCTATGTTCTGTAAGGCATGATATGTAAGTACTGTAAATGTGCAAGGCGCGTGGCTAACATTGCTTGCAGACATACTTTCACAACCGACTAACGATCGATTTTGGATGCGCTAACTACTGCTTGAAGGCGGGTGAGGTGCAAATGGTAGATAGCACAGAACCACGGATATATGCAGCGGTTATCGTCCACGACAAGTTTGTGGCCCAAGGTATTGCCTCATCCGTACGGTACGCCAAGACCAAAGCCAGTGAGGCTGCACTGGCAAAGTTGGAAGGCCTTGCTTCGTTCAAATTCCGTGAAATATATGGTTGTAATTGTGCGGCCAACAAGGTGGAAGAAGCCACAGATGCAGCCCAGAGAATGTGAAGCCTATATCTGTATGTGGAGGGTGATTAATTCGCTCCTTTCTTGGAGTGGGGTATGTTGCCCCGAAGGGGGTCCCTTCGGAGATTGCTGATTGTGTTTCGAGATAGTCGAATCCGTCCTCTACCCAATGTTTTTATTCGTTTGCTTTTTAAGTGTTTGTGATGTTCGTTTGAAATTGAGGCAATATCTCTGCTAGATAGTTCACGCTTAAAAGTTTCCAGATGAACGATGCGTAATTTGGTTCCCACCCCCTGAAATTGTCCAGCGTGGATGAAGCTAAAGCTGCGGCCTGGAAACGCAAGGAACACCCGAAAGGTTCCAGCAATGGCCCTGGACGAGTGCTAATCCTAAAATGAACTAGTGCTCTTGCCCCTGACATGCCCAACGCCGGATCCCGTGACCAAATAACACGCCGCGTGCAACCAAAAGTTTCCATCCAGTCTCTCGATCAGAGGTGATGCATACGTCTACAACTTATCGACAACGTGAATAAATGACCACCCCATATCGGTCGATGTACAATAGGCTTTGTGGCCTTCTTTTCTTCCCCTAAATACCCCACCCTCATGACTGTCGAGCAACAATCCTCATTTTGATGCCAATATGGAGGTGGTTCTGCCAGGGGTGCCCAACGGCCTTGCGCCGCCCACTCAACCTCCATCTGTTGATCCGGCTACTGTTGTCCAATATTTAACGGAGACCCTACAGAGCACACTCGACGCTCTGAAAACCGATTTAGAGAGCGCTGGAAGCTTCTTGTCCAAGGCAAAATACCCTGAAACCATTCAACGGTGCTCTCGTTTCGCCTCAGAATCTCAGGTTGCGTTGTATGTCCAAAAGGATGCTATTGAGCTGGAACAGACGAACGGGACGGAGGAGGGTACCCGTAAGTTAACATACTTCTTTGACATGCTATGTCGGAGGCATGATACCTGAAAAAGAGCTAACACTTGTTTGTTCTCGTTTGAAAGCTTCCCCAACTAGATATGTGTATATCCTCACTCTCGAGTTATCACTTTCCCCTACCACCGTTGCTTCGATGGCCTTCACGAGGCAGCTTCAGCCATTAGATCCGAATATCCCAATATCCGCCCAAGTCCATGCCACGAGTCTTCCGGGCTTCCTGTCACCGATACAGATGGCTTTGAATCAAGGCACTACTACAGCTTCACCTCTTCAGACGCTTCATACCTTTGTTAACCATGTACTGGGACCGTATTTTGATGCCTATACGAGTGGCCAGGAACGGGTGAACGGGGTGAAAGGGAGGGGCGATAGCGATGCGAAGACGGGAGTGCCTGTAACCAAAAAGAAGATTGCGGAGTTGAAATCAAGCCTGTTGCAGCTACAAGAGAATATTGAAATTCCCGTGCTGAATCTTCCATTGCATGAGGTCGTCCAGGGAGCATTGGACCAGGCTGCGGCACGAGGAATTAAACCTTCTACCGATCTCATCCCGGCATCAGTGCTTGAAAATACCATTGTTCTTAACAGTATCCAGAACATTGTGAATGGCTGGATCAAATCAATCCAGACTACCACTCAAATGTCTAGGGATGATATCAAGGGATCCGCAATACAGGAAATCAATTTTTGGTTATCGATGGAAACTGCCTTGGAAGCGATCGAGGACCAACTACGCAGTGATGGAGTGCAACTTACGATGGATATCCTGCGGCATGCAAAACGATTTAATGTAACACTTAGTTTTTCGGCAGATACCGGACTAAAGGAGACTGCGGAAACGGTCCAGAAATACAATCAACTTATGCGAGATTTCCCACTTGATGAACTTTTGTCCGCTACCTCTCTACCGAAGGTGCACGATGCCCTGAACCTTATATTCTCTCATTTGAACAAGAAACTCCGCATTTGCCCCTATCCTATCAAGCGTTCTCTTTTACTGGTGGAGGCAATTTCCGGTGATTTGGATACCCAAATCCGAACCCTGATACACGGACGCTCTATTATGCACTTAAGTTTCAAAGAATTCCGCGCTTTAATGCGGTCGGCTCAAGTCATCTGGCGCGCCTGGGATGAGAATGTGAAGGAATTTACAAATGTTGCTCGTGATGCTATAAGACGGCGGAATGAGAAGTTCATCTCCATCAAAGTGGAACCAAGACATAGCGCAATTCAAGATCGATTGAAGTACATCAATACCTTCCGCAACAACCACGAACAGCTGCAACGAACTATCGTGAACGTTCTTGGACCTAACGCAAACATGTCAGCAGGTGCTAATACTGATGGAGCTGTGACCGTGGAGGAAATTGGTGATGTCGATGCCCTGGATGAAGTTTCTCAAGCATATGCGTCTTTGAAGGATGTCGACGTTCTAGATGTATCTGAAGAAGGTACTCAAATATGGATCCAGGCCGAAGCTTCATATAATGAGCGCACTTCTAGAGTGGAAAATTCAATAATCGCCCAACTCAAGGACCGCCTGGCTACCGCGAAGAACGCTACGGAGATGTTCCGTGTCTTTTCAAAATTCAATGCCCTGCTTGTCCGACCCAAGATTCGAAGTGCTATTAGTATACACCAATCTGAATTAATCGAGCTAGTTAAGCACGATATTGCAAAACTGCATGAGAGATTCAAGCAACAGTATGGTCATTCTCAAGCACATCCCATGGCGCAGCTACGAGATCTTCCTCCGGTATCAGGTGCAATCGTCTGGGCTCGTCAGATTGAACGGCAACTTGATGGCTATATGAGAAAGGTCGAGGACGTTCTGGGAGAAGACTGGGACTTGCATGCTGAAGGGCAGAAACTCCAGGCTGAAAGTAACATGTTCCGAAAGAAGCTTGATACGCGACCTATATTTCAGAACTGGTTACAGGATGTTCAACGACGAAATATTACGATTTCCGGCCGCTTGTTTAAGATTTTCCGCAATCGTGCGACGGGGAACACTTTAGAACTAGATGTTAATTTCGACCCGCAGATTATTGTGCTTTTCAAGGAAGTTAGAAACCTTGTCTGGCTCAATTATCAAGTTCCTCATGCTATCAACACGATTTCCAAAGAAGCGAAACGAGTGTACCCATACGCCATCAGTTTAATTGAAAGTGTCCGAACTGCCTTGCAAACAATGCGTTCGATCTCATCTATGGCTGAGGTTTCCATTCTTTTGAGTGGGTACAAAAACGACGTCCAGGCTTTAATCATGAAGGGTCTTCCATTGCGCTGGGAGTCATTTATACATTCTTATGAACTCCACATCAAGCAGGTAATGGCCAATGGGGCAGTTGATCCCTCACCAGCGCAGGGTCGAAGTGAAAGCAAGCATGTTCAATTTGTTCGCGAATTTGCTGCCTCGGCCTTTGTTCTTCAGTCGAAAACTTCAACCCTCTTTGCAATTAACGAAAGTATCCAGAAAGCCATTACCGATCTCAGGACTTGCCCTTACGATGCGTCCATCTTCCGCCAGCGCCTGGATGAAATCCAAAATTCTGTCGATAAGTTGAACCTGGAGAACTATGTGAATCTCGGCTATTGGGTTTCTAATATGAACAAGACAATCGAACTTATTCTCCAAGAGCGCTTACACCGCGCGATAAGAGAGTGGATTTTAGCGTTCCAGGAAATCAAGTATGATGAGAACGGTGTCCAACGGAAAACGTATGCTGAAACCTCAAAGACAGCAAATGACGCCGAAACACAAACCTACACGATTGAGTTCCCCAAGCTTTTCCATGAAATTTCCATGAGAAATCAAGTACTTCGCTTAGATCCTCCTCTGGAGTACGCAAGAGCTAGCTGGTTTGCTCATTTCGACCAATGGGTTGGAGTTCTTTGCAATCTAGAGAAAATTAAATCGGCGCGATATAAGATGTCAATCGAGACGGAAAAGGCTCGGCTATCCGAAACCCACTTCACAAATCTCCCACAATATTGTACCAGTGAATTAGTCGAGGTGTATTCTGTAATTGGTGCTAGACTAGAAGACATCTCGGACTACGTGGATAAATGGCTACAATTTCAATCCTTGTGGGATCTTCAAGCCTCCCAAGTTTACGACACGCTGGGTGACGATTTGTCCCGATGGTTGCAACTTCTCCAGGAAATCCGTAAAAGCCGCGCAACATTTGATACTTCTGAAGTTGGCAAATCATTCGGCAATGTTAGGATCGATTATGAGCAAGTGCAGACCAAGGTTAATGCCAGATATGACCAATGGCAACACGAAATTTTGCACAAGTTTGGCGGCAAGTTTGCCAGTCGTATGCGCGAAGTCCATGATGAAATCGTCTCTGCCAAGAAAGATCTGGAGAGCCAGACGCTGGAAGCTTCATCAACTGCACATGCCGTTTCGTTCATTACAATCGTCCAGCAATGCAAGCGAAAGGCGCGAGTGTGGGGTCCGGAAGTTGATCTCTTCCTCCAGGGTCAGGCTACCCTGACTCGACAGCGCTATCATTTCCCCAGCGACTGGTTACATGTTGAGCAGGTTCGGGATGACTGGAACGCCCTCAGCGAGCTCCTTGAACGAAAGAGCAAGATCGTGCAAGACCAAACTGATGCCCTTCAGGCAAAAATCATTGCAGAGGACCGTGTTATCAGTAACAAGATCGCCGAAATAATCCACCAGTGGAACGAGGAGAAGCCAGTTTCCGGCTCTATTCCGCCGGAAGAGGCCTCTAGAACACTAAGCTCCTTCCAATCACGATTGGAAAACCTCCGCTCTGAATCTGAAATGGTCACCAAAGCGAAGGAGGCCCTTGACTTGCCCGGAAGTCCGGAAACGGCTCTTGCGGCTGTACTTGAAGAAGTGCAGGATTTCATGTCGGTCTGGGCAGCATTGTCAACGATCTGGAAAAGCTTGAATGAACTAAGGGACGTGCTATGGAATAGTGTCCAGCCGAGAAAACTTCGCCAGTCGCTTGACGGGCTTATCAAAATGACAAAGGAAATGCCGAGTCGGATGCGACAATATGCTGCCTTCGAACATATCCAGGCTACTTTGCGCCAGCTTCTCAAAGTCAATCCTTTGCTTTCCGATATGAAATCCGAAGCCGTCCGGGAGCGACATTGGCAAAAGATCTTTAAAGTTCTTAAACCAGGCAAACGGTTCTCCCAAATCTCACTCACCCTTGGTGACGTTTGGGATCTGCAGCTGGCTGCCAGCGAATCTGTTATTCGTGATATTATCGCCCAAGCCCAAGGTGAAATGGCCTTGGAAGAATTCTTAAAAATGGTCCGCGAAACATGGCAAAATTATTCTCTCGACCTTGTGAACTACCAGAACAAATGCCGCTTGATCAAGGGCTTCGATGACCTGTTCGCTAAATGCAGCGAGAACCTCAACTCTCTTCAAGCAATGAAGCATTCACCTTATTACAAAGAATTTGAGGAAGACGCTAGTTCTTGGGAGGATAAACTAAACAGAGTTCACGTTCTCTTCGATGTCTGGATTGACGTTCAGCGACAATGGGTATATCTTGAGGGCGTTTTCACTGGAAATGCGGATATCAAGCACTTGCTTCCTGTCGAATCTGGCCGATTCCAAAATATCAATTCCGAATTTTTCGCTGTCATGAAGAAGGTCTATAAGTCCCCCTTCGTTTTAGACATTCTTGCTATTGCTGGAGTTCAAAAATCCCTCGAGCGATTGGCGGAGCTTCTTCACAAAATCCAAAAAGCCCTTGGAGAGTACTTGGAGCGAGAACGCATGTCTTTCCCACGGTTTTATTTCGTTGGCGACGAGGATCTCCTTGAGATTATTGGTAATAGCAATGACACTCTTCGTGTTGCGAAACACTTCAAGAAGATGTTTGCTGGGCTCTCTGGTTTATTGATGGATGACGACGGCAACATTGTTGGATTCAGCTCAAAAGAAGGAGAGGAAGTTAGGCTGAAGCGAGAGGTTTCGCCTATTAAAACCCCGAGGATCAATGACTGGCTGAGTGCTTTGGATACTAACATGAAGCTAACATTGGCTGAATTGCTAGCGGAGGCAATTGAACAATTCGAACCCATTTATAGCGCCCCTGAAGTCGATCAGACTGCATTTAGCGACTTCCTCGCCAATTATCCAGCTCAGATAGTCGTTCTTAGTAGTCAAGTTGTCTGGACTCAAGCTGTCCAATCCGCTCTTGAGGCCGGGGGAAGTGGCTTACCCGCGCTCTATGATGCGGAGGTACGGGTTCTTGACCTGCTTGCTGTAACTGTCCTTGGAGACTTGGACCCTATCACGAGAAAAAAATGCGAACATCTAATTACGGAATTTGTTCATCAGCGAGACTCGATTGCCAAGCTAATCAGGTTTAATGCTTCCTCACCAACACACTATCTCTGGCTTTTACAAATGCGATATGTATACCAGGCTCAAGGAGACTTTTCACAGCGACTTCACGTCCACATGGCAAACGCGAAACTGGATTACGGCTTTGAGTACCTCGGTGTCCCTGAACGACTCGTACGAACTCCGCTGACAGACCGTTGTTTCTTGACGCTTACTCAAGCGTTGTGTCAGCGACTGGGTGGCTCTCCGTACGGCCCGGCTGGAACTGGAAAAACTGAATCAGTCAAAGCATTAGGCCTTCAGCTCGGTCGATTTACGCTTGTCTTCTGCTGTGATGATACATTTGACTTCCAAGCCATGGGCAGAATTTTCTTGGGTATCTGTCAAGTGGGTGCATGGGGCTGTTTCGATGAATTCAACCGTCTGGAGGAAAGGATACTGTCTGCGGTTTCACAGCAGATTCAAAATATTCAGATTGGACTGAAAAATAGTAGTGATGAGGAGAAGGCCCAAATCGAGCTCGTCGGTCGCCAACTGCGGGTCAACTTGAACACTGGAATTTTCATCACGATGAACCCTGGATACGCTGGTCGATCCAACCTTCCTGACAACTTGAAGAAGCTATTCCGCAGTGTAGCTATGTCCAAGCCCGATAAGGAATTAATTGCAGAAGTCATGCTCTTCTCCCAAGGATTCAAACAAGCCAAGCCTTTATCAAGACAAACTGTTCCATTCTTTGAACACTGCGCCAAACGCCTGACGAAACAAGCACATTACGATTTTGGTCTACGTGCTTTGAAGAGTGTCCTTGTCAGCTCTGGTGGACTTAAACGTTTACGTCTTGCAAATTCCGACGGCGACCTCGGGCCTAATGAGATTATCGAACCCCAAATCATTGTCCAAAGCATTAGGGAAACAATCGCACCAAAACTAATTCGAGAAGATGTTGAGACTATGTTGCAGATCCAGACTGATGAATTCCCTGGAGTTGAGTATGTTCCCGCGAACTTCGAGAAGCTGACGCAGGCCATTCGCGATATTGCCTGGGAAAATCATTACGTTGCTAGTGACACATGGATCGCGAAGACCTTGCAACTTTACCAGATTCAGGGCATCCACCATGGTGTCATGATGGTGGGAAGATCCGGTGCTGGTAAAAGTGCAGCATGGAAGACACTACTCGAGGCAATGCAGAGAGTGGAAGGGATCGAAGGAGTTTGCCATGTTATCGACTCTAAGGTCATGTCTAAGGAAGCCCTTTACGGTAACCTTGATAGCACTACCCGAGAATGGACTGATGGTCTCTTCACTGGAATTCTCAGAAAAATCGTCGATAACCTTCGAGGTGAGGATTCAAAACGACATTGGATTGTATTCGATGGAGATGTTGATCCGGAATGGGTGGAAAATCTGAACAGCGTCTTGGATGACAACAAATTACTTACTCTTCCAAACGGCGAACGTCTGAATCTGCCTGCAAATGTCCGGATTATGTTCGAAGTTGAGACTCTTAAATACGCCACTCTTGCAACAGTTAGTCGATGCGGTATGGTCTGGTTTAGCGACGACACTGTAACTCCCAATATGATGGTGACCAACTATATTGAGTCTTTGAAAACAAGAACCTTTGAAGATCTTGATGATGATAGCGTACCATCTGGCCAATCTTCCGCGAAGACGCTGGAAACTCAGAAAATGCTTGCCAACTTGCTGGAAGGCCTCCTCCAGAACGATGACCTCATTCTAAAAGCACTCGAAGAGGCAAAAAAATATAATCACATCATGCAATTCAGTGATATTCGGGCTCTTAACACCCTCTTCAGCTTACTGAATAAGTCCTGCCGAAATATCCTTGAGTACAATATTCAGCATATTGATTTCCCGTTGGACCCAGAGAAAGCCGAGTCTTACATGTCGAAGAAGCTTTTACTAGCACTTGTTTGGTCTCTTACTGGTGACTGCACCTTAGGTGACCGAAAAGCATTCGGCGAATATGTCACTGCATTTTCTACGATTGACTCTCCCCTACTCAATGAAACTTCTTCCCTCATAGACTTTGATGTCTCACTTCCTAAAGCTGAATGGACCACTTGGCAATCACAAGTGCCATCTATTGAGATAAATACACACTCCGTCACGCAAACAGATGTCATTATCCCTACATTGGACACGGTGCGCCACGAAGATGTTCTTTATTCATGGCTGGCTGAGCATAAACCACTCCTGCTTTGCGGCCCTCCTGGTTCCGGAAAGACCATGACCTTGTTCTCCGCCTTGAGAAAGCTTCCTAACATGGAGGTGGTTGGACTTAACTTTTCTAGTGCTACGACTCCTGATCTTCTCATTAAGACATTCGAGCAATACTGCGAGTACAAGAAAACTCTTAATGGCGTTGTTATGTCTCCCAATCAGATTGGTCGCTGGTTGGTGATATTCTGTGACGAAATAAATCTTCCAGCCCCTGACCAATACGGTACGCAACGCGCAATTTCCTTCCTCAGACAGCTAGTTGAGCAAAACGGCTTCTGGCGGACGACAGATAAAACTTGGGTTACACTAGATCGCATTCAGTTTGTTGGTGCTTGTAACCCTCCAACTGATGCCGGTCGTACTCCACTTGGCGAACGTTTCCTTCGACATGCTCCCCTTATCATGGTAGACTACCCTGGAGAACTCTCTCTGATGCAGATTTATGGAACGTTCAATTCTGCCATCCTCAAGATTATACCTCTACTCCGTGGATATTCTGAAGCATTAACTAAGGCCATGGTTCAATTTTACCTAGAGTCACAAGCAAGATTCACGCCACAGATCCAACCTCATTATGTCTACTCTCCCCGAGAACTCACAAGATGGGTTCGCGGCGTCTATGAAGCAATAAAGCCACTGGAAACACTGTCTCTCGAAGGGCTAGTGCGAATCTGGGCCCATGAAGCTCTGCGCTTGTTCCAGGACCGGCTTGTCGATGAAGATGAGAGAACATGGACCTCAGATGCTGTGAAACGAATTGCACTGGAAAACTTCCCGACCATGGAAGAGCAACAGGCATTACAGGCACCTATTTTATTTTCGAACTGGCTATCCAAACATTACGTCCCAGTTGAGCAAGAGCAGCTCCGTGAATTCGTCAAAGCAAGACTCAAGACCTTCTGCGAGGAAGAGGTTGACGTGCCTCTTGTGTTATTTAATGATGTTCTAGAGCATGCTCTCCGCATTGATCGTGTGTTCCGTCAGCCCCAAGGACACCTCATTCTCATTGGTGTAAGTGGAAGCGGTAAAACAACATTGTCACGTTTCGTTGCTTGGATGAATGGCTTGAAAGTGTTCCAGATCAAAGTCCATGGCAAATACTCAGCAGAAGATTTCGATGAGGACCTCAGAAGTGTTTTGCGCAGAGCAGGATGCAAAGGCGAAAAGATATGCTTTATTATGGACGAATCCAATGTTCTTGATTCGGGCTTCCTAGAACGGATGAACACACTTCTGGCCAACGCTGAAGTTCCCGGCCTCTTCGAGGGTGATGAATTCGCTTCATTGATGACGGCTTGCAAGGAAGGTGCACAGAGACAGGGACTGTTGCTGGATTCTCAAGAGGAACTCTATAAATGGTTCACACAACAAATCGTCAAGAATCTTCACGTTGTATTTACCATGAATCCTCCAGAGGATGGCCTCTCTTCCAAAGCGGCGACAAGTCCTGCGCTTTTCAATCGATGCGTTCTCAACTGGCTCGGCGACTGGTCGGATCAAGCTCTCTTCCAAGTCGGCTCCGAGCTTACCCAATCTGTTGATCTCGACAAGGCCAACTTCGTTGCGCCCGATGGCATCCCGGTCGCTTATCGTGGTCTCAATCTTCCTGCTTCCCACCGAGACACGGTCATTAACTCAATGGTTTATATCCACTACTCTCTTCAGAAATTCAACCAGCGTCTACAAAAGCAGCAAGGCCGAATCACTTATCTTACTCCCCGCCATTATCTTGATTTTGTCGCTCAATATGTGAAACTTTTCAATGAAAAGCGGGAAGATCTGGAAGAACAACAACGCCATCTGAATGTCGGTCTTGAGAAGCTCCGCGATACTGTGGAGAAAGTCAGCGAATTACGACGGAGCCTTGCTGAGAAGAAGCGCCAACTCGAACAGAAAGATGTGGAGGCGAATGAAAAGTTGCAACGCATGGTTGCCGATCAACAAGAGGCCGAGCGACGTAAAGCGGCTTCCCTTGAAATACAAGTGGCACTAGAAAAGCAAGAGCATGAAGTAGCTCGTCGAAAAGAAATCGTCTTGGGCGATCTTGCCAAGGCTGAACCTGCCGTGCTTGAAGCTCAGAAGAGTGTCAGCAATATTAAGCGACAGCACCTCACTGAAGTTCGTGCAATGGGAAATCCGCCTGCAAGTGTTCGGCTTGCGCTGGAATCAGTGTGCACTCTGCTTGGTCATAGAGTTGATAGCTGGAAAACCATTCAAGCGATTATTCGGAGGGATGATTTTATTGCTAGTATTGTCAATTACAACAACGAAAAACAAATGACCCGTAGCCTGAGGAACAAGATGCGTGTGGATTATCTTTCCAAAGACGAATTCACTTTCGAGAGAGTATACCATGCCAGCAAAGCTTGTGGCCCGCTAGTCAAGTGGGTTGAAGCTCAGGTGAACTACTCTGAAATTTTGGATAGAGTCGGACCACTCCGAGGCGAAGTCGATCAACTAGAACAGCAGGCATTGCAAACTAAGGCGGAAGCACAGGCCATCGAAAACACCATAAACACCCTGGAAAGCAGTATTGCCACCTACAAAACTGAGTACGCGGGACTTATTAGCGAAACCCAGGCCATTAAGACCGAGATGTCGCGCGTGCAATTTAAGGTCGACAGAAGTGTCCGTTTGCTAGACAGCCTGTCTTCGGAAAGATCTCGTTGGGAGGAAGGAAGCAAATCCTTCGAGACACAGATATCCACTCTTGTCGGAGATGTCCTCATTGCAGCTGCTTTCCTCGCATATGGTGGCTTGTACGACCAACAGTTTCGAAAGGCAATGATCGATGACTGGGTGTACCAATTAGGCCAGTCAGGGATCAGCTTCAAGCCCCACAACCCCATTACTGAGTACCTGTCGAATGCAGATGAGCGACTATCCTGGCAAGACCATTCGCTTCCAGTTGATGACCTGTGCACGGAAAATGCTATTATTTTAAAGCGCTTCAACAGATACCCGCTTATCATCGACCCTTCTGGCCGCGTTACTGAATTTCTGCAGAAGGAGAGCAAAGACCGGAAACTTACAGTTACTAGCTTCTTGGACGACTCGTTTATCAAACAGCTGGAGAGCGCATTACGGTTCGGCAACCCAATTCTTATCCAAGACGCTGAGTATCTGGACCCGATTCTCAATCATGTTCTCAACAAAGAATACCAGAAAACTGGTGGCCGTGTCCTTATCCAGTTGGGTAGACAGGAAATTGACTTTTCCCCTGCCTTCAAATTGTTCTTATCGACAAGAGACCCGTCTGCAACTTTCGCCCCAGACATCTGCAGCAGAACGACTTTCGTTAACTTCACTGTCACCCAGAGCAGTCTCCAGACTCAGTCTCTAAATGAAGTGCTCAAGTTTGAACGCCCCGATGTTGACGAACGCCGAACGAATCTCATTAAACTCCAAGGCGAATTTAAGATCCACTTGCGCCAATTGGAAAAACGTCTTCTACAAGCCTTGAACGAGTCTAGAGGTAACATCCTCGATGACGACAATGTCATCGAAACCCTGGAGACATTGAAAAAGGAAGCTGGTGAAATTTCCAACAAGATGGTTGAGACTGAAGGTGTCATGACCGAAGTTGAAAACATTACACTTCAGTATAACATCATTGCACGATCCTGCAGTGCCGTATTCGCTGTTCTTGAGCAACTTCATCACCTTAATCACTTCTACCAATTCTCTCTGCAGTACTTTGTCGACATTTTTAACACTGTCCTCCACCAGAATAAACATCTCGCCCAGGAAAAAGACCATTCTGCAAGAGTCAACATCATCCTCCGTGACCTGTTCATTACCGCCTACCAAAGAACTTCACTTGGCCTTCTCCAGAAAGACAGAATAACACTCGCTATGCTTTTAGCTCAAGCCTCGCCTTATTCTATGGATAAGGGAATTATAGACACTATTCTGGACACGAGTGTCGAGGGGTGTGATGTATCCTTAAACAAGGATCTCAAAGATTCCGTAATGGCAACTGCTTCGCAGATGTCACTCTTCAGTTCATATTTGCCATCAGTTACTCCAGAGGCTTGGGAGAGGTTCCTCTCAGAAGAGTTTGCTGAAAATTTTGTCCCTACTGTCTGGGAGGAAGGCACCAGCCCCCGTGACCAGCAACTCCGGTCGCTTCTCTTGGTGAAACTCTTCCGCATTGACAGATTTGTCCCTACTGCTGAAAAATTTGTTACTGAAGTTTTTGGACGGGAGCTCTTTGAGAGCAGCGGAGATCTTAAAGATGTCGTTGAACAGGTTACTGCCACCGCCCCTATTTCACTAAGCTCAAGTCCCGGTTTCGATGCCAGCTACAAGGTAGATGGACTTGTCGAACGGATGCACGCAACTTGTGCAAACATTGCCATGGGTTCGAACGAAGGAGTTGAGAGCGCGGACAAAGCTATCAGTAACGCGGCTGCAACTGGCACCTGGGTCCTTGTCAAAAACGTACATCTTGCGCCGTCTTGGCTTCAAAGTCTCGAAAAACGCCTTGACTCTCTCAAACCACATAGCGATTTCAGACTTTTCCTATCCATGGAGTCGAGTCCCAAAATACCTGTCAATTTGATTCGAGCTTCGCGAGTTCTGATGTTTGAGCAACCCGCGGGTGTACGCGCCAATATGAAGGACTCTCTGTCATCCCTATCCGCCAGAGCCAGTAAGCCACCAGTGGAGAAAGCTCGTATTTATCTGTTGCTCTCATTCCTACATGCAGTCGTTCAGGAGAGACTTCGCTACGCACCTAGCTTGGGATGGAAAGGTTTCTGGGAATTCAATGACAGCGATGTAAGTTACATTCAGCTCTCCCACTTATCCCTTACCGGTAGTTATATTAACTAATATCGCTAAAATTACACAGTATGAATGTTCTGCGTTTATAATCGACACGTGGGTTGACTCGATTGCCCAAGGCCGTTCCAACGTCGCGCCGCAGAAATTCCCTTGGGACTTGCTCCGCACATTGATTACCGAAACATACGGTGGTAAAATCGACGATAGCGGGGATTTCCAGCTTCTCAACGATCTTGTTAACAGCATCCTGACTCCAGCTGCTTTTGAGGATGAACACAACCTAGTTGCTGGTATTGAAGATGATGATTGCCTTAAGCTACCCTCAGGAACTAGTATGCGAGACTTTATTGAATGGGTCAATCGACTACCCGAGCGTGAACCCCCAACGTATCTGGGGCTGCCTGCCAACGCAGAAAAATTGCTTCTTGTTGGATATGGCAAGACAATGATTGAGAACCTTGCCAAGGTTACCAACCTTCTCGATGAGGGAGAACAGTTGATGGTCGAGGCGACTGCTCTATAAATGAACTACCATCTGTGCAGATCACTATTCGCTCTCGCAAGATACAAACACACCCACTTCCCTAAAACAAATTTCTTTGTTAGTCAAGGCCCGAGGGCAAAGAACGCCTCTTCCGGCGAGCTAATTTCCGACTCAGGGCGTTTTGAACATTCTCTGGTTGATTTTCTTATTTTCTTATTTCCTGATCAAAATTTGTCTTTTAAATGTGTCCTGGCGGGAGGAGGATATACCCAGAATGCAAATTTCCGTTCCCTGGTCATCCCATCTTTTGAAACACATCTCTTATCTTATCCCTTCCCCTCCTTTTCAATTTCTTATATTATCTTGTTTGGACCAGCATCTTGTTGTGAACCTGTTTTACGTCAAATGGTGACGGGGTTTGGGTTTCTCTTATCTGTTATCCGGAATATGTCTTCTCTTCGATTTATCAGTTGTATTGCTATATGCTATTTACTACACAAGCTGAGATGGTGATCCCGTCTCCCACAAGGTGGTCTGTTTTGTATTGTTTAGCTCTTTTTCTTTATTTGACCTTTGTCTTCTCACATGTTTTTCTATATTTGAATTTTTTTTCTTCCCCGCTTTCGCTACAATTTTTGTCTAGTCTATCGATTCTGTCTTTGAAGGATGTTAAATGCATAGAATGCAGCATGCCATAGAACAGTGAAAGATCATGGTTTCTCACCCCGCCTTCCGAGGTTCATGCTCCCACAAACGCCCATCCCATCCCATCCCGTATCCCGTTAGACCATTTGTTGGACTCCAAGTTCGCCGCGATCAATCCCCATGACCCGCTCTTGGCGATGATGCCAGCCAATCTGCATGCGGCCATTGGTGTTTCAAGACGATCAGTCTCCTGTCCTACTCTCATTGGCAAGCCCAAAGGAGTTAACTCGTAAGAAGCTGGGCCCCACTACCAGGATGAGCTGATTACCTGCGACTTTCTTTTTTTTTTTCAATATGGACGAGTTACAACTTTTTCTTGCTCGATTTTCGCTTTTGCTTTTTCTTAACATCGACAGAACCAGATCCATGGATTCCCTTTGGACATAAACAAAACATCCTTTCTACGAAATAGCGGGGTCGACGTTTTGCTTTTAGTGTCTGTTGGTGTTTATTCCCGAGAAGGAGAATCTCTCTTCTCTCCTTACTTTACTTCTACTTCTGTTTAGTCTAACTTATCGATATACCTAAATTTTTTCTTCTATTTAATTCGCCTTATACATAACCATGGAATAGAGAACCTCCCCCGCGCCTCCATATATTCCTCTATGTGCTCTATTCACAGCCATGAAACGCCCTCCAAAACTTCGACCCAGCTCGGCGGGACACCTGTCGACGTCGTCTTCTAATTCCATGCTCTCGCGAGTCCCGTTGCTGCATGTAAACGAAATCAGTCTGGCTGCGTGGGATGTGGGAGATCAGATCCCCGGCTTGCGCATTCCGCTTGGTGGGTTCTCTATTTCTTTCTTCATCCTAAGAATATAGATATATGAACTCAGATAGAACTTCAACTCCACTCTCTAGACAGATGCTAATACTAACCAAACTTGTGTATAACAAACCAGCGTTCCTATCATCCCTACGGACAAACCTGCAGATATCCTCTGCAAATGAGGACCTCCTCCCACCCTCACCACTCCTCCCCCTTTCCTATATGCCAGACCCTCTCAACCACTCCCCTCACCTATCCCCCGGGTCGAACAAGCCCTCCCTTTCCCGCTCAACTCTCCACCCAACCCCGCATCCCCGGCAAAACATCGTCCCATCAACCCACACATGCACAAACGCACACCCAAAGACATCCAACAATACCAACACCCATTCATCCCCCAACCCCCCTACCACCACAACGCAGCTCCCCTTGATAACCTCCTCCGCAACAACCGAAGCCGAAATCCTCACCGCCCTCCGCCTCGTCGCCGACACCGTCGCCGAACAGCGCCAACTGGCCGCAAAATGCATCCTCGCGCACCCCGCCATCCTCGGACCCTCCACCATGCTCTTCCTCACCATCGCCAAGCTCCTCCACACCGGGTCGCCCAGCGATCTTGTCCTCACGCTCGCACTCTGGTCGCTTTGCAGCCTCCTCGCCCTGCTCGCCATCCGCTCCATGGTCCGCGGCTACGCCACCATCGCCGAGCACGTGGGCAGCTGGGCCTGGCTCGCCGCGGATTCCGTGAATGGCACCTCGCAGCGCCGCGACGAGGTTCTCGTGGCGAGGTGCGCGGGCGAGATTGTTGGCGTGCTTGTGCTGAGGATCGCGAAGACGAAGGCGACGACGACTGCCGCTGTGGCGCGCCCTGGTGGTGCTGCGAATGGCGCTGGCGTCGGCATCGGATTGATGACGGGGACGGGGGCAGGGACAGGGCCGTTGAAGCCGCGGTCGTCGAGGCGGAAGAGCTCGGCGAGGTGGACAGGGATTATCCGTGCGTGGAGCGTGAAACAGTCCCATCGCCGTTGCGGGGTGGGGACGAGGCTGCTCGAGGAGGCTGTGGGGTATTGCCGGTTGAGGAATCTGGACGACCCGCTCTTCGCGGATGACCATGCCAATGCGACACAGGTGTTGCCTGGGATGTTTCATGGGAGTTTCTTGGTGCATGATCGGTGGGCGCGTGGGTTTTTGGAACAGTTGATTATTCTGATACAGAAGGGGAGGTGAAATTTTTTTTATTCTAAAATTCTCTTTATATATTAATTACGTTTTACGATTTGCACGATATCTATGAGATACCACCATGGTTCACTCCGTTCGCTTTCATTTTGGTTGGCTGGTGTCTGTCTAGCAATTTAGCGATTCTTCTCTTTTTGGCAGCACACACACAATCGTTTCTTTGGGTTGGTTAGTTGTTGAATGCGGGGTGATATGAGGACTATCGCACCTTGGGTTCAGCTCAGGAAAGGCATTGGATACAGGATGGATGGGCAAAAGCGCTTCTTAGGAAATCATTGTTTGAGCAAGCGTGCCGTTAAATAGTTACTACGGTACCAGTTAACTACTAACATTCTTTAAAAAAAAAGAAGGATGAACAAAGATGTTTTTGCGACTTTCCATATCCATTCCCCGTTGAATTTACATTCCATCAACATTACACGTTGCGCATCAGAGCTCAAGATGCCGCTCCTCTTATGTCTGTGCTGCTCCGCCGTTCGTCACCCAGTCTTCTTTGCATGCAAACTGCGGAACTAAATAAATAGTTCGTCCTCAGCGCTCAAATGCGAAACGCCAACTGATGGGCGGGCACCCAAGTAGATCAATACTTGTAACTGAGCAGATAACGACTGGTGGGATTCGCATCTTGCTCCACTCTCACTCCCACAGGGGCCATTGGGGCCATTGGGGCCATGTGTGTGAGACCTGGATTCTGATACTCCGACTGACGCACTCTCCTCCCACCCGAAACCATCAGATGCAAGTTGGCATACGTACGCGTTCTCCACCATCCTGCGGGCGCGGGCTGCAACCGTCGCACACAACTCGCCCCCCGAAGGGCTGATCCGTCTCTGATGGCTGTGGTCCTACCCCTTCGAACAAACCGCGTTGGTGGAGAGGTGGGACAAAACACACCTGTCTTGTCGGGGCAACTAGTTACGCTGATGGACTATCCAGTAAGAGCCATTCCTTGCCTGTGTTCTGAATACAGATACTGTCTAACATGGCCTGGCCCTGCACTCATCGGCCTGGTGTTTGGTGGGCAACTAGTTCGCTCGACGAAGGTTTTCTGTCGATCAATTATTGTGGCGGACGTAAAGCTTGCGAAAACAGAATTTTCTGCCACCCCCTGAAAAGTAGTAGCAAAACACCGCAAAAATAACCAAAATATCCACATATCTCTAGAATCATTCAAATATCATCCAATTCATTCAAATACGCATCTTTATCATCAAATCTGCCAATATGCCCCCTCAGCTCAGCAAATTTACCATCAATGAGATCATACACCTTCTAAACAATGGTTATATGCCTGCTCAGATTGCGCGGACCATTGAGTGCCATCTGACCACTGTATATCAAATTCAACAAAATATTCACTGCTTTGGAACTGCTAGAAGTCCTCATTCAACATGAAGTATAAAGTCAAAGATCACATCAGATATCTTGTCAGATTTGAAGGATTTTTTTGAGGCATATCCAACTGCATATCACAATGAGACTGTCTGCTTTGTAAAGAATGAATTTGATGTTGATATCCACTCTCAATCAATATCTAGATTGTTGAAGAAACTGAATTTGATATAGAAAAAGATGATTAATTATTGCAATTGTCACTTATAGAATCTGCTAATTCATCAGTTCTATTTGATATAGATTGAATCTATAATCATTCAACACAACAAAGAACTTCAAGCTGAATGATATATTCAAGTTACTCAGTATCAATCTGATCAACTTATATTTTTAGATGAGAGTGCTGCAAATGAATATACTGCAGATCAACAATATGAATAATCAAGCAGAGAATTCTCTTATCACATTAGAAGACTCTGTAAACAATCTCACAGATAATTGTAGCGGGCGTGCCACCGATTAAGCAGATGTTACCGATGTTGCAGATTAAACCGTTCGTACCGCCTGCGCAGTTCGTACGATCCGTTCCAACGGCAATATCAACGGACTTGACACTATCCTGATAACAGTTTACGAATCGATTAAGGAAAGAAAGAGAAAGAAGATCAGAAGAAGGGGTCGTACGAGGGGGTTCTTATAGGCAAGGGGATCGGAGCGGAAGAAATATCGGAGGTCGCGCTCTGGGGGAGCGCGGGGCGGAAGAATCGTTAGGGTGTTAAGATGTGCGCGATTGTGGGGCGGAATCGCGAGGAGGCGTGGGAGAACTTCATGAGCGCGCGTGAGCACGTGAGCGCGCGGTAGGGGGTTGGTTGCGTAAGTTAACTACCAACGGGTGCTAACCCGTCACATTATCCCCCCCTACTGGGGCGAGCGAGGATTCGTAGGCGTCGAGTGCAGCAGTGTCCTTCATGGCGGGCGCGGGTTCCCAGGTTGGACGATCGTATCCTACCCATTTGACAAGATATTCGCGGCGGCGACGGCTGGTTCTGTCGTCGAGGATTGCTTCGATTTCCCATTCGAGTTCATTGTCTTCTCCTACGATGGCAGGTGGTTGCCAGTTGGAGGTCTTCTGCGAGGGGAACGGGTCCTCGGCCGCGGGTCGGAGCAGGTTCGTATGAAAGACGTCGTGGATGCCAGGCGGGGTGTTCAGTCGATAGTCGTGGGTGCCTAGCACTTCTGTTACCGTATATTTGGCGTGGCGGTAGTCCAGCGTACGCGAAGGGCGGTCCGTTTTTATGTTCTTGAGGTCCAACCAGACCTTGTCCCCTATGCTGTAACGGGTCGCAGGACTCCTCCTGGTGTTCGCTTGGTCTTCGTAGTCCTGTTGAGCACTAGCCATCGAAGCTTCGGCCCATTCGCGGGCTTTCTTGAGCTTGCTGACTATGTTCTCTGCTGCTTGCACAGGGCTGCGGGCGTACGTGGTCTCTCGGGGGGTCTCAGGGAAGTCCAGAATCTCTAAATCATAACCGTGTAGGAGGAAGAACGGGCTTACACCTGTTGTAGCAGAATCTCGGCCGTTTATGGCAATCTCAGCGTGCGGCAGCAGGTCGCTCCAGTCATCTTGCGCGTAGTTGCAGAACTTTCGGAGGATGTTCTTAACTGTCTGTATCATCCTCTCAGTAGCTCCATCAGTCTCTGGGTGATACGCTGTCGACAACTTTCGCTCGATTCTCAGTAGCTGGCATACGCGAGTCCAAAGTGCGCTCACGAACTGACTGCCTCTATCTGATACAATGGATGAAGGCAGGCCGTGCATACGATAGAATGGACTCCTGACAAAGGCGTCCGCGACAACTTCAGCGTCCATCTTGTCGCAGGGCTGCAGTATTACGCCCTTGCTAAGTCGATCGACAATGACTAAGACATTCGTAGAACCTCCACTTTCGGGCAAGGAAACTGCAAAATCGATGGCTATATCACGCCAAGTTCGCTCGGGGACAGGTAGGGGCTTCAGCATTCCTTTTCGGCGTTCGCGCCATGCTGTCACTGAGCCGCAGCGATCACAGTTGCGTACGAACCGGCGTACGTCCTTCGACATATCCGGCCAGTAGAACTCTCGGGCGATGATGCTGTACATGATTTCGCGCCCTGGGTGCCCGGTCATTGGTGAGTCATGAATTTCTTGCATGATCCGTGTTCGTAGGGGTTCTGAATCGGGGACCCATCGCCTGTCTCGAAAGCGTAAGCAGTTGTCATCATCGATCGAGCATGCTGAGATGTCCGTTCTTGGGTATACGCCTGCGGGGAATCGGGGTGCTTTGCTTCGTACAGCTTCGGCAGCCTGTTGCCAGGGTTCGTCCGCTTCTGCCGCTTGTCTCCATTGCTCTTCGAGTGAGGGGTCTTGAGTTCGGGACTGGTTAACGCGTACGTGGGGTTCATCTGGTTGCGTGGGACTCTTTATGATCGCGGGGTCGATTAACCGATGCTCTCGGTGTTTCCACCTGTCATCCAGATCGTCAGATGGCATGTCTTGTTCTCGGCGGGACAGGGCGTCCGCAAGGGTGTTCTCTACTCCTGGTCGGTAACGGATTGTGAACGAAAAACGGCTGAGGAACAATGACCAACGCATATGCCTCTCGGTGAGCTTACGAGTGGTTGTGAAGTACTCCAGGTTCTTATGATCGGTGACAATTTCAAACTTCTCGACGCTCATGAGTTCGGACTCCCATTCTTCAAGGCATCGTATGATCGCTAGGAGCTCCTTATCATAAATTTCATAGTTGCATTCAGCGGGCGACATTTTCTTCGAGGTGAAGGCACAGGGTCGCAGAACACCTTCGTTATCGTATTGCATCAGTGCCCCGCCTACCACGTAACCTGAGGCGTCTGTTTCGAGAATCGTATGCTTGTCTGGGTCGAATGATTGCAGCATCGGAGCGCTCGTGAACATATGCTTCAGCTTCTTGAACGCTGCGCTCGCTTCGTTGGTCCATTGGAATACGGCATCTTTTCGGGTCAAGTCCGTTAGTGGTCGTGCGATATCAGAGAAGTCCTTGATAAACCTTCGGTAGAAGTTGGCGAATCCTAGGAAGCTTCTAGTCCCTTTTACCGAGACTGGTGCCTCCCAATTGAGGATTGCTTCCACCTTCTTGGGATCCATGCGTACGCCTCTTTCAGCTTCGATGATGAACCCTAAGTAGGTCGTAGACTTAGTCTCGAAGTCGCACTTGTCAATGTCCACTTGTAGTCCTGCTTCTCGTAGGCGGTCAAGTACTTGTCGTACGTGCTTGCGGTGCTCAGCGAGCGATCCATCGGTGAAGATCAGGATATCGTCCATGTACGCAGAAGCGATCTCATCGAGTAGATCTCGTAAGGCCCAGTTAATATATTTCTGGAACGTACTCGGAGCGTTCGCTAGTCCAAAGGGGGTCACTGTCCATTCGTATAGTCCGTAGCGCGTACGAAAGGCGGTTAGCCATTCGTCACCTTCATTAATCCTTATCTTGTAGAAGGCCGCGGAGATGTCAAGCTTCGTAAACCATTTTGCCTTTCCTATCCGCTCGAGTGTCTCATTGATGAGCGGGAGAGGATATCGGTCCTTTCGCGTAATCTTGTTAAGTCCTCGGTAGTCGACGCAGAATCGTAAGCCTCCT